GTGTTCCCCAACACCCCGGGAAAATCATGAAATCCTATTCACCAACAAGATTGAGTCCAAGTACCTTTTCGCTAATATCGTGATGAAAACACGGGAATGGAATCATGTTGTATTGTGATGTTGGTTACACATAACAGGACTTTGACCTGTTTATTCACAAGGCATATTATTGCCATCGTATAGCATAACTTGACGTAAACTGCTGACACTTCGTCAAAATTCCGTCTGTCATCTCCCCACCATCACTTGGAAAAGGTCTTATCATCTTGAGTGTGGTTATACGATGCAAACTCACGTCCATATGCAGGCCCGATCAGCAGTGATACGAGGCTTGAATCCATGCTGCTTACTGTACCGTAAGCAAGAAATCTCCGTCTTGACACTCCGGGTTCAGCCCCGCGACGTCCGTGGCGCCAAGCCCGTTATTTACTCCGCCCAACGGGAAACGCGGAGACCCCGATCTCGGGCATTGACTATGAGCACGTGGCTTTCGATTTGGAGAGGCTGTTTGGATCGTTACATTTGAAGGCTGACACTTCCATCCGTCGAAGGAAACACACACTACCAATGGCGTCAGAGAAAATACAGTATTTTATTTCCATTTACAGCTTCATAGCCCTATATCCTATACCTATTCCCATTGGCTTCGTGTCGGCCGGGTCTAGTAATTAGCTCCTAATATGACATACCCTCTCTTTTCATCTTGTCTAAGACTCCCAGCCCCTGTTGATTTGTTTTCTCCTCACCTAAAAAGGTTAGCAATGTGTCTCATGCGAATGCGAAGAGGGTATTCTTACCATTGGTGAAAGGAACAGTACACCGCCCAGCAGCGATACTACAGTTAGAATGAGAGTAGACTTGTTAAATCCATCTCCCAGAATATCAAACATGCCGCTGGGAGCAAGTCGTGTTCCAAAGACATCCACGCCGTAGGCTACAATCAGACTTGTGCTCTCCACAATAACTGGTGTGGCGAGGATGTTCTTCACACCCAAAACGTTGCGCTGATGAGAAATGATTGATCGGGGATCGATCTCAATGGCGGGTGTGTATTGGATGAGGCCTTCGGCTTCTTTCTCAGCTGGGGTTGAATCACGGCCAACGGGTCGTCGGGCGTCGAGAACCTGGCGGTTCAAGCCGGCGATGGAGTGGGCTTCGGGAAGGTAGGCAAGAACTTGGCGGTTAGCAATGCCTTGTCTAGTTTGTGTTACCGACAGAGAGTCGAGTGGCTGAGACAGAACGTAAGCTTGCGACTCAGCCCAAGGCAGAGCAGGTCCAGCTGGAGAATCGACGGGCTTTAGAGGAGAAAAGGTCTCGGCATCACCCAGAGGACCACGGTCGTTGGGAGAGGAAGATTCGTAGAGGTCGGTAATGACAATCTGGTTGCCTTGAATGGATCGCTTGGTTCCGTCCTCAAGAATGTACTGTCCGAAGAAAGTGCAGGCGTACCAGTTCTCAGCCATAGTGCAAGAGATGGGCTTAGTAGAGTCGACGCCAGCATAAGACTGAGACACCAGGACTTGACCTGAGATGGTGTCAACCAGCTGAACGGACAAGGAGGAAGAAGCCTCGTCAATGGCAGCAACCACAATCGTGTTGGGGTTGAGGTACTTGTAGCTGACGCGACGATCGGCCAGAACGCGACCAATAGAAGCGACAGGGTCGTGAGAATCAGGCTTGGCAATCTCGACGATCTTCTGACCACGGAAGAGCTGAAGCTGCCAGATCTCCTCCTGGGAAACCTTGTTGTTTGATTCAACAAACTTGAGACCCTTGAGAGTCTCTCCTTCACCTCGGACAACAATGGTCTGGCTAGGAGTGAAACCAGCTGGGACGGGTCCAACTTCTCCGTTGGCACCGATAGGAAGCAGCCAGTTACCAGCGGGACTGTCAACAACGACGGTGCTGGATACACGAGGAAGAGATCCTGCGGGCATGACCTCGACAACATCGCCTGTGTCACTCTTGATAGCAACGTACTCGCCCTTGGCGCCACGCAGTGTAACAACACCCTCATCCTTGGCGTAAATACCCTTGACATCGAGGGTCTCGCCAGGAAGTTGGGGAAGGACAGACTTGGACCAGACAACCTGGCCCTCGTGCTCAGTGCTTAGACCGTACATGCGACCGCGGCGGGTTGCAAGGACAACAAGTTTGTTAAAGCCAAAGGTATCTCGGTGCAGGCCCTCTTTCTTGCTGACAGTCTCACCGCCAGATACGCTAGCAATGAAGCGCTCAGGAAGAGATGCAAGGTATTCAGGAAGGTACTGGAGGTCATCAATGTGACGGATGACACGGTGGATGTAGGCCTGGACAGGGTTGGTGTGAGCCTCTTCCTCCAAGACCTTGGCCAGGTTCTCGGTGCCGGGGACATCGGCCCAGACGGCAGCGACGGCAGCAGAGAGACCTTCGGGACGCTTCCAGTCAACCTCGCCGTTGCGGACCATGACCCAGTCGTCAGACTTGGTAACAGCAGCAGCTCGAATAGCAAAGCCTTCAGCACCAGCCTTCTTGATGACCTCAGCAACAGCATGGACAGCCTCGATGTCACCGACAGGCTTGATAGCCCAGCGGGCCAGAACAGCGTGAGATTCGGACGAGACAACTAAAGTCTCATCCTCAGTCACGCGAGCAAAGTAAACGTTAGCTCCGTCGGAGCTGGTGGAAAAGGCGCCTGGGCCGGAAAGGTGAGGCAACTCGTAGGCCTTGGAGACCTTGCTGTTCTTCAAGTCGGTGTGGTAAACCTCGGCCTTGTTTCCAGTCTTGGTTCGAGTGTGAACGAGGAAGTGAGGCTGCGACTGGGTGAGATGAGGGGCGTGAATGACAACAGAGACAGCGTCGGTAGGCAACTGGAGGTCCTGAGTTGTCTTGCTTCCTAAAACATTGACCTTGAGCTTGGTACGGGTGCTATCAGTCCAGGCGAGGATAGGAGCAGCAGAGTTACCGCCAACAAACATGACGTCCTTGGGTCCATGGACATCACCCTTGGTGCCAATGGCAAAGTCATCCAGTCGTCCTCCTGTAAGAGTGTCGAGCGCAGTAACCTTGAGGCTGTAAGAAGCAGGCGATCCGTGGAGGCTGACAACGTAGATCTTGGAGATATCGGTAGAGACCTGGAGGGGAATGTTGTGGGCGACCTCTCGGAACTCCCAAACGACCTGACCCAGAGTACCATGTAGACGTCGTAGAACTGTGGTGCCGTCCTCATCATACAGAACCAGAACATCCTTTCGAGAGCTCTCGGTCAACTCGAGAATCTCAAGATCCTTAACCTCGCCCTTGAATTCGTTGTGCCACACGTTACGACCAGTCAGCGCATCCCAAGCTTGTACCCGAGAACCATACGCCGCAGCAACCCAGTGCTCGCCCTCAGCAGCGCGCAAGAAGCCGCCGCCATTGGTAATATCATCTGCAATCTGTTGACGCCAGACAACTGCTCCGTTGCTGGGGTTCACAGCACCGATAATGCCGACATCGCTGAGTGTGTAAAGGAGGCTCGCCTTATCTGTCTTTCGTGGTCGATGGAAGAAGGTAGTCTCGACTTGGGGGACGCCGACGAGCGCGTGGTGGAAATCGATTTGGCCGACTTCGTCCTGGAAAACGGCGGCGCCGAGGGACGATAGCGCCAGAAGGAGAAATGGCTGGAGTGAGAGCCGCATTGTGGTTGTGTTGAAGGCGTTTATGCGGCTTCACGCTTGGAGGAGCTTCAAGCTGGGTGTTGCATCATGGCGGGCTATCTGTTCGTTGCGTAGTGCTTAGTCATCAGATGAGCTTAGGGTAGGTCAGTCTCCAAACTTGATCTTCAGAGCAACATGTAGATTGATGATCTATTTCCCTGGCGGTTTTGTCGTGTAAGGAAGAAGAAAATGTCTGCCATTGTGTTATCATTTTAACAGCTTTATTCTGATATAGAATTTTGTTGAAATCTTGAAAGCATGGCCTTGTGGCCCTATGATATTGGTTTTTTACGGAAAGTCTACTGTTTCAGGGCAGGTCGTTTCTTCATGAAATGATCGAAAGTCTCAAAAATGCAAATATATTGATGATACTGCAGTAAATTGACAGGAATGTTCATAGTGGATAAAAGAATTATATTTGATTTAGCATCAAATTGCATACGGCGTCAATACTCTTATCCATCTGACCGACCGAGAGATTTAGATGTACGTAGGTGAGGTAGCCACGCCAACAAAATCCCAACGTTTACCTCGAAGTTTCAGAAAAATTGGTCTAGGGACATAAGTGACGGAATTAGTAGGTTAGTTTATGTTATTTCGACCAGACTTCTTAGGCTATTTATTTTTGTTCCCTAAATATTGGGGGCTGTCTCTTCTGCCACCCGCCAGATCGAACTCAGACTCGTTCTCTGACTCCAAAATCTAAAGCCAGAAACAGTGTCGAAAAGAGCATCACTATCGTGATGGACAGTCCAATCCAAGTCAACATACCTGCTGTTCGTGTTGTATATTCAGTATATTCGTGGAGGCGAGGGCAAAGCCTTTACGCGATCTGTGAAACATCCCCAACGTTTTCTTTCTTAACCTTAGGTATCTTAGGGTTCTTTGCAAACTTTGATCCTTTATCTTAGGCTTCAACCATAACTTTGCATAAGCTGAGTACACACTACCAAAATGTCTCTCGTCTAATCTGCCTGCGGTCTATACAAATTCCGCTTCAAAATAAAAATCCCGGACCGAAGTCCTTCAGCACCTGTGTAGTTATCCATGCAAGTTTGTCACTGAGGAATCCTGAAGCACTTGATATGGTATACTTGGATTAAATCTGTCAAGAACAGAGACTTAGATAGTTAATTATCAGGTTTCAGATTCCATTTGACTACTTGGTATCTAGGCAATCTACTCCTGACAATACTTCTTCAGATGGTACTGTTGAGAGATCCAGAATACAATGTAATGCTACGAATAACCAATGGTCCTGCAAGTTCCAGCTATCCTAGGGAATGAATTGCCTCAGATTACATATTTAGAACCAATCCCATGTTACTTCTCCTCCGTGGGGGTTTTCTCCAGGGTGCTACTCATACAAAAGGACCAAATTTCCGACTGAATGCTTTCAATCCTTTCCGCTAATCTTCCCCCGATGGAACATGGTCGCGAGGCTTTTGTCCATTTGGAAGTACGAAATTTGATGCTCTTCGAGTGCAGTGCCATCGGTTTCTCAATATCTGTGATCGTATGTAGAACAGAATTGAGGCTGTATCCGTCGTAAGGATGTTCGAGAGGTATGCTGAGACTCGTGATTCCGTGTCGTATACGCATTAACACTCCGAGCGTCAATGTTGTACACTGGGCCTCCTGCTCCATGGGACAGCTTGTCTCTTTGAGCAGCTGATCTTGCAGATCATCTAAAAGGTGAAGAGATTCTGTGATAAGATGTTGTCGTTGGCCCTCGATATTGTCTGCTCGGTGTTGTCAAACCGTTGATACATCAATAACTTGGCATGAACCTTGACCTCTTACCTAAAATACCTCCAATAGGAAGGTCAAACGTGTTTGTCTGCGCCAGGCCTTCGCTATATAGCAACGTAAGACGGGCCATGCTCGAAATAATGTCTTTATCTGAAAACACCCACGCAGCATACAGACACAGCAGAGACGCATCGCATAGTTTGTCTGTTGAGGCCTTTACCTTTGCGTTCTCACTGAGCCAGCGCTTGCGATAGACATACAAAGCTTCATGGAAGCCATAATAGTCGACAATAGTTGCAATGCGGGCCACAAGTCCGAGTGTCATGTCTTCTGGTATTCCCCGATGACGCCCGTGAATGATATCCAAAACGATAGCAAAGGCCATGGCATCCCAGTCCGATGCGTTTATCTGTCGGACAGACTGGGAAGATGAAGTCGCCTCACTCCAAGGCCCTTCGAGCATGGCTTTAAAAGCGCGAGAGGCAAGAATGAGATGGCGCGACGAGACACTCATGCGAACTTCGCTGTCGACGGGGGGAACAATTGTTTTGCCGGCCGGATAAAGCTCTTTAAAGGCGCTGTATCTACCAGCACATGGTGGGTTGTTGAGCTCTAGGTCGTCAAATTCCGTATTATCGGGATCAGTGACATCTTGGGTGAAATATAGAGCCGGCACTATCTTCTGGTTGTTGGGCTTGTTTAATACCAGCTCGATGTCGCCCCCCGGATCTATATCGTACGGGATGGACAGCATCTGGACAGAAGATTAGTGTTTAGACATCAGCAATAAACATTCCAAATCTTTAGTTCATAATAACTCACTATTGTCTTCTCGGCGCAGTTATACCTTATAATAGCTGGGGGGCGAGAGGTAGTTATATATGTTGTTTGAAGAAGGACAATGTGGGATGAATGAAGAAGCGGAAGAGTCTACTTAAGTATTTGAAAGGAATAATGAATGAGAAAAGTGTTTGGCTGTTTGCTCCAAGTTAATCTACACCTGCTTGTCACTGCCAAGTCAAATCTGTTCAAGATTGCATATCTTTAGTTGTGGAGTCCAAACCTATTGTCACTCCTCGTCAAACTTGTTGTCAGAAATCACTTTGTGATTGATGGGCCAAGGTGTCATAAAGTAACAATTAATACACTATATTGTTTTATCTTTCGTCCAGGCGTAGACAAACACTAATCTAGGCAGGCATAAGTCGCGATACAATATCAGGGATATATGAATAAACAGTCTGAAGATGGCATAAAACAATCTAACAATTCCATCTCTCATGCTTCCAGCGCTAACATTTCTCATACCTTAAAGGGCCAGAGGGAAAATACCAATAATGCTACAATTAAGTCTTATGCTGTTCACCATTGACAATCCCTCAACCAGAAAGTAACCATTGAGTTTTATATGTCAAAGCGATGCTATCTACAATTTGGTCATGAGCTCTTAATAATCTTCCTCCCTCATACCCATTGAAAGTTGGAAAGAAGCCTTGTTGACAGCCGTGCGAGCCAGTGTAGTGATGCTACAAATGTAGTTGTAGTATCTCTCGCGAAAAGGCGCTGCGAGGTAAATTCGGGCAAACAACTCGCAAATTGAGCATCTCATTAGCGAACCCCTTATTATGGAAGCCCGAGACAGCCGCAGACGTATCAATGGATGGCATTCGTTATAGCACTGCGCCCGCCAAGTCTAAAATGATCTCTTCTCTCATTCTCTCAATCATCTCTGTAGGAACTTTTAGTAAGAATTCTGAAGTTCGAGGGCTGTGAACTGACTGAGTAGTTCTACCATTGGCAGGTCGTTGGTATTAATCAACGTTAAGTCAGGAGTATTCTCCAAGACACGTTTGGCTATGTAGATGAGGTAAAAGTACCATGAGAAAACCCGTGAAATAAATAAGTTCACGATATCCCCGGATCGATGACATATGACATTTCGCTCCCATTGTCACATAGCTGCCACTATGTGTACATTCCTCGCACCGATAATTGTCCACGATGACAGTTATATGAGCGAGTAGGAAAGTGCTGGGTTCTTGTGGTACATCGTTCTCACCGGTGCGGTCGTGAATAATATTGAGTACAACCGCGAGGGCATCCCCGTTCCAGTCAGTCGCAGATACTTTGCGAAGATGAGAAGAAGCGGTTGCCTCCTCCACAGCCTCTTTCGATGGTCCCCCGAACATCTTCTTAAATAACGTGGAAGATTGGATCATACGCAACGAACAGACTCTAAACTCAATCTCAACTTCCTCGTCGTCAGATGGGTCATCGTAATAGGGATGAGGTGGGCGATAGGACTCATGTTTGGTGGGTGGATCCGGCATCAAGTTCAGTGTATTTGGGTGCTTGAGGACGATCAAGAGATCCCCCTTCGGGTCAATTTCATGCCTGATAACCTTCATGGTGAAATTGATGTTGAGATTGCTGATATCAGAAGATTGAAGATGAGATCTCAGAAAAATCAGAACCGTTTTATCTTAGTCGAGACAGCTGCCATTCACTTCCATTATACGCATCATCTGTGATGAATTGTGAAGACATCTTGTGACAATTCGAGACCACAGGCTTGCTGAGGATAATTGTTTGTCTTGCGGTCAGAGGTGACGTAGGGATAGTGAAAGATGGCAGGCGAGTTTGCTGGTCAATATTTGCTGAAAGCAGGTGAAATGGGCATGATGGTCTGGCACGATGAGGGTTAATAACAAACAGTCAAAAAAGTTTACTTGAATTGGGACAAAAAATGTCGTATTTTTGTCTGATAGTAGAAGTTCTTGATGTTTTCATGGGTTTGTATCAATCTTGATTCTCTTACATACATACAGAAGATCAGAGCACCGAGACCTTTGTTTGCCCCTTAGGCACGAGGCTTATCTCTGAGCAGGTGCCTAATTCTTAAAATCTGAGAGCTTGAGTAGTTTTGCATCATCTTGAACCGACTTGATGATTGGTTCCATGAACTTCGTTGGGTTGCATTGATGAGGGCGAGAACGCGAAGCTGGGTCGATCCACTCGATTGAACTAAATGCGTTTACCGCGGTAATGAGTCCGGACAGAGACACTCTTCTGCAGTCAATTTCCTTCTTGAGTATCAAATCGGGATACTTCTGCTTCTCTAGGATCAATGACCCAATCATCATTGATCTGCATTTCTCGTTACAGCCCAGCTTGCCATGTGTCAACTTTTGTTCCAGTTCGGCCAGTGCGTTGATGAAGCGGACAATTGAGCTCTTTCTTTTGGCTTCCAGATTTTCTAACACCACAGTTAGGTAGGGTTAACGGAAAGTCATTGAATTTGATTTGCTTACCAAGAATTGTAGCGATTGGAAGATCGTCAGTCGTGATATCAGCCAGAGCTAGACCATCTTGTACCACAAGGGTCGCCAGTCGAGAGAACGCGTTGGGCCAGGAGAAGACCCAAGCGACGGATAGCCACATGATGGCCTCCCTCCCATAGTGTGCTGGGGTCATGTTTTTCGCTGCACACCAAAACTTTGCAGCGAGTGATACCGCCTCATTACATTGATAATAGTTGGCAATGACAGCAACGTGGGCGAAGAACTCCAAGCTAACCGAGTGAGGAACCTTACGGTACTGGCCGTGAATTATGTGCAAGACCATCCACAACGCATGGGCATGCCATCCAGTGATTGTTATTTCCCAGTCTCCGGGCGTGTCAGAAGCTGCCTGGCTGAGAGAAGATGAATCAGGAGTAGAGCCAACAGGAGAATCTGACGAACCACTATCCTCCAAATCCATCTGGTCTTCAGCCTCGGAAGCGGGTTGAGAGTTGGCAGAATCGCCCTCCTTCCAGGGGCCGTTGAGCATTTTCTTGAAGACGACTGAAGCCAGTTTCAGATGTGGAGATGATACTCGAAATCGTATCTCATCGGATTCTCCGGCTACATACAGAGTAGACGTTAGTAAAATTTCACATTTGTCAAGAAAGATGGGGTTACCGATAGCTGCATTGTTGGGGAGTCCAGAAGGCATCAAAGGGCTTTTCACGTCTGTGGTGTCGGGCGCGAACGTAGGATCCTTTTCTCCCAGCTTGGATTTACAACGAAGGGCGACTTCAGGGATCACCTTGGTCGTGTTTGGCTTCTTCAGCACGACAACAAGATCCCCGTTGGGTTCGATATCGTGTGTTGTCGAGCTCATGACGTCGACGGCATGAGGTAGGTGCTGCTGGTTGCGGTGCTTGTGTATGAACACGATGAAGAATGAGGGAAGAAAGAAAGAAAGAAACAAAAATGAAGGAAGGCGAGAAGTGGAGGAAGAAATTCAGGCTTCAGGCTGATTTTCGCATTTGGCAGCTGGAAGACACTGTCAAAGTCTTGACCCAACAGCTTCTGCCTACATCCACGGCCAAAGGGCCACCCAGCTCCTTAGCCATTGCATTCAAGGCCTGAGAATTGAGAGATTGAGTCTCGGTTTCGTCTTCTTGCTTATGGAGAGGATCTCAAGATACCTCCCCTTCTCCCCAACACGATGATGTGTTTGAGAACAATGAATGGTTCAGTTGTAGAAGGAGTGAAAGCATGCAAATTTAAGAAAGATAAAAGAGAAGCATGAGTTACAAAGTTGGCAGTTTCGAGTACCCAGCATTGAATCACTGCATACCCGAGTAGCTCTGAATCAATAGCAAAGCAGATCTGTCTCGAGAATGAACGGACTTGCAAATCCTTTTTCATTCTTAATCTAAGGCTTTAGACTTTTAACCTAAAGCTTTAGACGATAAGAGGTATCCTTAGTTATTTTGTTGCTTGGGGTCTATCTAGAGAATAAGGACATGCAGGCGCTGGGCGTGCTGCGATTTCGGAATATCTCTTGATTCATCAAAGTAATGTATTCATAGCAAAGCGATACAATCCCCTCATGGGGTACAAAACAAAAGAATAATATATTGGAGCCAAATCTCCCATCTACAACCGTTTGGAGTGCTGAAACTTTCTCTGACTAAACACAGCTCTGTTGACGAAAGAAAGCTCTACACTTTGGAAACAACAATACTTTACTGGAACGGTAGAATATAACACAAGATCTAGGTACTTTCAACGACGGGTGAAGTCTTCCGGATATATATCCAGTGTAGAACTGACTTGTCCCTTGTAAGAGGAAGCTCCTTTCAGTAGAAGGCACATCTAGCAATTTTAACGAGGGTGAACATAAAACTTGCAGACAGTGACTGTGCAGGCTTTTCTTCTTCATCTCTCATCTAACCCAGCACACCAAACCAAGAGTGCAGTTGGTGCACTTCATTCAGCCATCAGAAAGCCAAGCAGTGATCATACGACATCCCGAGACACTTTGCTGTTAGTTGATGAGCCCGTGTCCCTTGAGGGCATCTTGCTGGCAACCCTTCATTAGATGGCTTGGTTACTCGCCCAGAATATCAATTAAATACATAATTAATTCCCAGTACGCGGCTCATGTTATTCCCGTCGTCCACATTCCCATCTCATCGAATCTTTACCATTCGCGTTACCCACCCTGCACTATTCGCCCCCATTCCAAACCCCTACTAGCGTCACTTAGAATCCCTCCCCCTGGAGTTTCAACTCAACACCACGTCTCATCTTTTTTAACGACTACAGAAAACAATTTATTCAGTACATTTGATCTCTATCTCGACTTTATAACTTATCTATATCTTATATTCATTACTCCCCGGGTTGTCCCGTAAGCTACCAAATGCTCTCATCATTCACCACAAAACTCGCCCTCAAAAAGGCCGGTATACCAAGCGATATACTCTCCTTTCCCACAGAAAAGCGCGAGCCAAACAAACTCCGCAAAAACCCTCCCTCACCTTCAGAAAACGATGCAGATTCTAGCTGGGCATCTTGGATGTCCGTCCGATCTCTCCCTCTGACAGTACAGCCGTGGCTGACGCCGCCTCCCGCTGCTGCATCCGTCGGACGCGTACCTGGAATTGGTGATAAAGCACCCGTGGATAGAACACAGAAATTAAGACTTGGAAGGAGGACTTTGGTGGTGTTTTTACGCTGTGTTGGTTGTGCATGTAAGTTATTTCCTTTTTTTTTTGCACACAAAAAAGTTGGCTTGAGTAAGAAGTCTGGTCTAAGTAACACAAACTGACCTGCAAAATTTCGCACCTTATCCTTCCCAGTGGCCAATACGATGAACCAAAATTCTAACAGAGAACCAGTCGCGCAAAAAACCTTTATAAATCTTCGTACAATGGCAAATCGCTATGGAGATGCACTAACATGTATAGCCGTTTCTCACGCTTCAGAGCAAGCGACAAAGAAGTGGGTAGATCTTCTCGGCGGCGCATGGAGTGTACGCGTAGTAGTCGATGAAGATCGAGCTTTGTATGCGGCGTGGGGTTTAGGTACAGGCAGTATGTGGTATGTTTTGAATCCATCGACGCAAGTGCAGAGTTGGAAAGAGACGGGGTGGTTGGGTGAGAAAGTAGCGGGTGCGATACAGGGAAAGACGAAGCCCAAACCAAAGACTACTGTTCAGAGTGTCGGACCTGGAGAGGATGAGGAGGATGAGGGACCTTTGACGACGATGGGAAATAAATGGCAGGAAGCTGGTGCTTTTGCTGTGGATGGGACGGGGACTGTTATTTGGGGTGGGAAAGCTGCGAGGGCGGATGATGTTATGGAACTTGAAGATGGAGCGAGAATTTTATTAGCCTAGCATAGGTATCTCACAGCAAACATGAACTTTGAACAAGCCGAAACACTGAAGCAGACGAAATCTCAACGCTCTGGATTTGATACATCTACATCAAGCGTCTATGACCATCAAGCCCTCGCCCATAGAGCGATTGCTGGAAAGGGGAGTGAAGGGTATACAGACATCAGTCGGTGTCTCCCTCTCCCATTCCCTCCCTCCTTGCATCTCCAGTATCCTACTGATATGCTGATCTGGGATAGGCTGCGGATGGTAGGTTAGAAAAGTTAACCCGTACCAAAAGAACCAGTCCAGTCGTCCTTGCCATTTAGCATTATGCCAATGAAGCCCAGCCTCAGATGTATTCACGCCATAAATTGTCTCGCCATTCGACGGTATCAATCTCATCGCCTCAACGACCGAACCACGGGTAAGATACCTAAGCCCTAGCCACATATCCCCTTTTGGATCGGTCTTCATTGGTGCGAGAAGGTGGTCAAGCTGTATTTGTCCGAGCGTTTCACGATGCCTATCGGAGTACGTCAACAGAAGCCCAACGATCCCGGTTGATCCAGGTACCCATGATCTGCATGGTACAACCTCAACTACATCTTTCAGCGGCGCCGACGAAGCGAAGGTTTGGGTCGGTACACCCGAAGAGCACAGCGCAGAGATGCCTTGCAACGGTCTGTGAAACTCGTTTTTGTTGTGGCGTTGGTCTTTAGAGTCGAACGCTAGATAATCGACATAGCCCTCGTGACAGCTGAACCAGAAACGAGCCTGCTGTGGTGTTGGAAACGAGGTGAGGCGGTCGTATTTGACGTCGAGGTCATATTGGTTGACGTGTGTACCTAGAACAAAGACGCGTCCTTTATTCGTACACAGCTGTCCAACAATTAGTACTTTAACAACAACAGTCACCTTCCAGGACTCACCATGGGGATATCTCGACAAAATTGAGGTTTCTTCTGCCGTCGCCAAACTTCAAAGATGCGCTCGCCTTGTTCAACTGGGAAATATAGCCAAACAGCATGCCGTCGATCGCCGCCACCATCGTGGTAGAACCCAAGGTTCTTGCCTTTAGTATGGCAATGTAGATCTACAAGGTCTCCATCAACCATGCACGCTGAAAAGCCAGTGATCCCAGGCTTATCGCAGTCCAAGAACTTGAAGTAAAGATTCGAGTGAGTTCTGTCGTCCAAGTTCACTATCCATGTAGATCTCGGCTTTGACGGCAATACCAACCACCGGCTGGTCAGGCCTCCCTTGGGGTAGTTTGATCCCACTAAGCGCAGGTCACGCATCTTGTAGCCCTAGGCATGTTAGAATTAGAATAGGAGCATTGGGTATTGTTCCACTTACATCAGTGTATCCCTCTATGAGGTTATTCCTTAAATTTCCTTGAACACAACTCCACCAAATCCCAGGCAGTTCTTGTTTTGACCGGACAGGTTCCTCGAAGTATATAAATACAATACCTAGATGGTTTGAGGCAAAGTAGATTGAATCAAGAGCATCCTTCTGCCGTTCTATCCGCTTAAAGCTTTCGTCATGTTTCTTGTTCGACAGATACGACATGTATCGAACACCTTCAAACACTAAACCTGTTCCCCAGATGGAGTTGCAAACGCTGACAGTAAAAGAAGCAAGGCCCTCTCCTTGAAGTACATTTTTAGGAACTGATGACGAGGATAGCAAGGCAAGCAGGCCCAGCCTCGCTTGTTTTTGGAAAGAAGACTCGGTCTGTGTGATTATTTCTGTCGCCAAGACGGATCTTCTTCGAGCTATATCAAAGACTGGCGGTTGGAAGTCGTAGCGAACTACAGCCCACAGTCGATTCATGTGGACTTCTGGAAAGTCTCGAAGACAAGACTGATGCGATGCGGGAACTACTTCCCTATACCGTCTCCATTTGCGCGGTGGAATGCATTGCTGATCTTGGGGGTCGAAAACCGGTGTTTTGTATTCAAACAGCACGTCTGTCGGGGCCACACTATTAGCCACTGTTGTTACCTATTAGTGAAACTGGATAGTAAGTTTTTAGGGAGACAAACCTTCAGATGGAAAAGATGTGACCACCTTGTCCCCGTCATGGAAGTCAAAGAGACAAAAACAACAGCGCAAATCCCATCGAAATGTATATGTAGTATCCATTTTGTATCAGTGCGTTTGGTTTGCCTCGAGTCAGACGGTTGTCCTTTTGTACGAAGCCTTCATATAGCCTACCTCTGCGCCTGAATGGCGGGGGTGTCGGCACTTTTTTGAAGCATAATTGCTTCTTTTCTGTTGGTTCTCTCTTTGTTTGTGAGCAAACATCTGAGCAAACATCTATGCATGCGAGCAAACTGGAGATTGATCACCCAACCCGTCTGCTAGCGCATTGGCACGGATAGTGACAACGGCAACAATCGACCCAACAATGGACAATTCCATATAGCGGAAGACGTAAAAAGCTGTCGAATTCTTGGCGTGACAATTCTGCAGTAACACGTTGTGATAAAACGTCTTTCGTCGGCAGCAATCCGTAGCTCGAGTAGAATCGAGTACCGTTTGATTCCTCCTTATCTTCGAAGCCGTTTGTCAGGCGCATCATGACTGGCAGCCTCATCACAAAAGAAAAGAAAGTTGTGTTTCATCGATTGATCAATGGACTGACCACTTGGTCAATCATAGCGACAGGCAGCTGCCGTCTGTTTCGGATCACGTGCAAACGAGTAGGTATCCGATATCATCGGATAGCAACCGCAGCAGCTGATGAGAAAAGTCAGCTACGAGCGTCAAAGCAAGAAGCCTTCCGCGTCGTAGTGTTGACTATATGGTTGAGGATCCATCTACTGTTCTCTTAGTAGACAGAGAGTGTGTTGGGAAAGAAGCCACCTGCAGGTTCAGCTCAGCCGCTTACAGTACCAAAATAGTGACTATATCAGCCAAGACGAGGAAAGAGTAATTGAGTTTCAGCAGCCAGCAAATAGTTTACAAGCCACCTCTCGTCAACTTGAAGTCAGTCAGCATTTTTCAGCCCAGCCAAAATCAAGGCAGAGCGTTTTACTGGCTCATGACAACGCACACTGTGAAGAAGCCCAAACAGGTAAATATGATGACTTTAGGGACCTCGAAAAAAGGTGTGGTTGTACCTGTTGCGGTAAGAGTTGTTCTCGTAAAGATGGCTTGTGTGGATGGCAAAAAAATATATATATATAAATTGGTGAATAAAACACGAGCTGAAAAAGCGAAACCACAAGGAAACAAACATATGTGATACCGGTACTACAAAAAAGTGTGGCTTGAGGCTGGTGGTTGATCTCCCGAGACGAGACTTGTGAAAAGACGTGTCCAGAAAGAGTGGCCGGGCCAGGAATAGACACGGGGAGAGATCGTATTTCCAGACAAGACGAGACGTAATACGATGCACTATGATACATCTCAATCGATCGCCATCGGCAGAATAAGCAATACTAATAAATAAGTCAAGCTCGGTCCACACGTGCAAGGGATTACTTTATACTGTATCTACACCCTCTATAAATGATGAGGCTGATATTTATCATGTTCCTGGAATTGTAAAGGGATAATTAACCTTTGATTCGTCAAAGGGAGACCTCGGAGGTATGACAATGGCGCGTATTCTAGAAATGAAAGAGTAAGAGGCTGGTTCGTCGGCGAGACACTTAAGGAGAATTAATTATATCTCATACGCCGTCAAGAAGAAGATACGAACGAGGCGTATCCGTAAACTCGCAGTGGACCATTGTTGTCCACTGACGATCAAAGCATCACGAGACCTCGAATTCTCTCTCTTTTGGGCATATCAACCATCACAGGCTGAGTTGAACAAGGTAGGCGCTAAACTCTTAAGAACTATGCCTATCTACATACAGAATTTCGATAGTTTGGTCAAGCTAGCGTGACGAGAGAAAGAGGCTGAAGTGAATGCGAGTGAGCCATTGAAGCAATAAACTTCAAACTCTACAAAAGCCTAACAATCATCATGATTTACCCCTGCATCCGCACCCTAGAGCCTTGACCTTGGCCACATAACGTCGTCTTGTTCAATGCGCTGGCATGGCGGCATGAGAACACCAGTTCCAGTGCTTAAAGGGGAAGGGAAGCACACGGGCCGCGGGTGGGTTAGGTGCATTAATTCCCATTTTTGATCCAGATTTACTGATGACTCTTTTACCGAGTTCGCCTGATAGAATTGTTGGTTTTTTGTTATTAATCGGACAAATGTTGGCTTGGCTTCTTTGCTCTGGAAAAACTGTGGACATTTGCTGCAGGTTGAGATGACACATCAACAAACGACATGATGACCCCAAGTGTAATTACAACTCTAAATCAAGAAGAAATAGGAGACGTCGCTTTCTAATATCGTCACTATACATGAATAAACTGAGAAATGTATCATGAAAGGGAGACCAGGCCCTTTCCCACTTCCTCCACACACACAAATCAGTTAGTCCAGTTCAGTTACGGTTAGTTGAACATGTAATGTATCTTAGTATCTGCATATCTTCCCCACAGAGTCGGCCTTTTGAGGCTGCATCTCAGCAAACCATTGCATTGCAGGTAATGGAAAGGGAAAAGGTACTGTACCCGCTCACGGACGGACATGTCCGGGGCTTCTTCAGCCATCTCTTTGCTATTCTTGCCGACTTGCCTGTCCTCTCTGGCTGTCAATGTTGTAGCACCGAAAAGTCCAGAAATACCATCAAACAAAGGGGTCCTGAGTTTGAGGGGAATTAGAGGACCGACCCCTCGAAATCCAGAACCCGCCCTCTCAGGAACGGGAACTTTGGATTGGATATACGAAGGCTCCAAGTAGAATATCACGTCATGTGACGCACAAAGTGACTTGTTCCACTCGTACCGGCGCAACAACAGCCTGAGCTAGGCATGGATCATAAGCGGCCAGGAGGTCATTCATCCAATCCGCAGCCTGGGGGCGAGAAAGGATGGACAGGTGGATACATGGACCTTTCAGGGGGGAGGTTTTTAGCAGAATCAGGGTCCCCGGGCCATCGTGCTCCCCCTGTAGATACTGACACAGCGCTAGACTAGCCGGGGGTCAGGAGTAACCTTGACCTTGACTGACCAACCTTGAGGGCAGTCGGGATAGAGCTGGAGCAGTTGTAAATCAATGATGAACTCGTGTTGTGCGGCGTATCGTCAATGGATAAGAGTTGATGTGATGTGATGTGATTTTGGCCAGGCAATTTCGATGGAGTCTACTGTTAATTAATACACTAGGCCAAGTAACCCAAACAGTCAGCAATCACCGAAAATCGCACGGTATATCGAAAATAGCACTCGAATTATTCCATCCAATACATCTCTGGACAGGGCAGGCCTAATTACACTGCTGCTCACCTAACGTTGGTACAGATTCAGTGGCTCCTATTTCGGACCCATTCTTTACTTGTGACCGGCCTCTGGGCTATTGCTTTGCTACACGGTTCAATTCCAGTGGTTATTGTCTTCCTTATCCCTCCGGCCAGAAACATTGACCCTTTGATGGTCTTTGCTTTGAACCTTCCCGGGGCTCGTCTCTGCTGAGGCTGTCCAGTATCCCCGCTTTCACTACCGGCACAAAGGCCCATTCGCTGCAACGGACGGTGAGTGATAGATGGTTGGGGCTAATTGACCTGCTAAACACTGTGCTATACCGTCACTGTGATTGCAATGAGTTTGATGATGGCAGCAACATCAGCATCAACAAACTTAGTGTGCAATAATTGAATGATATAATAAAAGGCTTAGGTGAGCTTAAAAACGTCCCCGTTTAAAACTGCAGGTGAGCTTATTCTTTTCCGAGGTGTGTACTATTTAAAGGGTGCACAACTTGGGTTGGTTACAGTGCGAGACCACTAATTCATACCCCTCAGTCAGCCTCCCCGGGTACATGGAAAGGCAGGTACAGCACAGCACAGTAGGTTCCTGCCAATCTTCAGTCGGGGGGTACTTGGTACGCTAACTAAAACTCCCGGTGAAGGCCTGCATTTCCCCCCTCCCAAATATTGATGTTACCAGATCCAGAACGACTACCGTAACGAGACGAGATATTACCTACTTTCCCCTCAGATCAGAAGGTCCAAACCAGAAAGAGTCTATTGTCTCGTCGTACCTAGAGTGTCTTGCCTTGTTTGACATCTTTCTTTCTCATTCAACTCTCCCTCCAACTGGTAAAAACTAAACAACCAACGGACTGTCCTTGTCCTGTCCATCCATCCCGTCCAATCCATCTCGCTACTCAACGCCATCTCTTGTCATTCCCATACACATCCGCATTTTCCAATCTTGCTTTGTCTCTGTTTTCTTTCTTCATAATTCTTCTTCTCTCTGCTATCAACTCTACATGCTCTGCTCTTTTCGATCGCTTCTTCTCATCCATCCTCGCCACGTCCTCGATCCCTGAACTCAGTACCTACCTACTACCTACATACCATCATTTCGCCCTCTACCCCCCGACGAGACGAGACGAGGTGAACCGGCGTCCCTCGCACCGAGCGACCCCCTTTTGGCAACGAAGCCCCCCCACAGACACAAGCACAAGCCTCTCCGACACGCTCAATTCATAGTCCATTAGTCCAGTCCACAGGCCACTGTTCGCCATCTCCAGAAACCTACCTACATTGCCATCTTTATCCTACGCCCCAGGAAATTGTTGTTATACCGATTGCACTTCGGCTACAATTCTTCACTGTTTTTTTTACTCAGCGCCATTTGTTGTGCTCTGATCTAGATACTCGTTCACACTCGGTCGAATACGCTGTCGCTGTCGAATCACATTTACATACTTTCTGGCCCTGACGTTGCTTCGCTCTTTCGCTATTCCCACCCAGGAACAGCGGCTTCTCATCAGCGACCAGATTCGCCCCTGACGCTACGATAGACTCTGGCATTGGATTGCATGCTGAAGTCTCGCGACCATCACTGGCGCTCAGAACAGAATTGAATTGCACGACCTTTTTTTCCACGTTGCTCCAGCTTGCGTTTCTACAGCGTTCGCCGCCACCAAGTAAGAGAACCGGATCCACGAGCCCAGACGCACGCAACGTCGTCACGCATATACTGCCGCCGGTCCCCGCAATCACTTGAACCGTCCCGGGGCTCACTCGCTGCTCCATATGGACGCCCAGACCACAACGGCCGAACCGCAACATCCTTATCCCTCCAGTCCTTGGACCTCTGCCTCGACGATATCATCGAGCACAACGTATCCGACGACACCATCGGCGACGAGTACGCACAGCGCTTCCGCCGCTGAGGGCTATTTCTTCCAAGATACGCCCGCCACACAATTCCACACTCGGCTCGACTTCTGGCCATTACTCCTCCCTCAGCAATCAAACATATACCACGCTCAACTCCTCCACTACAATAAGCTCATCTCCCCCTCCCGCGGCGGCGGCCTGCAGACACCGCCACTCCCTCCCGTCATCTCTGCTCCTTACATCCAGGCGGCGCCACGGTCGCGATCTTCTAGCAAGGTGTCGCCGAAGGACGCCTCCGCCGGCAAGGGGAGCACAGCTGGAGGCCATGGGAGCAGGTCACACCAGAATTTAGACAAGAGTCGCTCGGTTGTATCCTCCAAGGAGGTTCCGCCCAAAATGCCTTCCAAGCAGGCCGCCGACTCATCGAGGCCTTTACCCCGACGATCCGCACCCTCGGCTCAGTCCCACTCTAGTTCAGTGCCCTCGACGCCTCACCAGCACGCTCGGCAATTTTCGTTTGAGGACCGCGAACCGTCGCCTACCGGCACGAATAACCACTCCCCGCGATCGGCTTATTCTGAGACAAATAGTACATTACCTGCGCTTCGGCCTTTGCCACCGCGATTAGGAGGCTGCAAATACGAGACTGCCCAGATCAATTCCAGAAGGAGAATACCGTACTCGGTCGGCAATGATCGTCTGGAAAAGCTGGACTTGCGGACGGTCAAGGCCAAGTTGACCGAGGACGAGGAGCGAAAGTTGGCCACAGATATGAGAGAGGTTTTTGACCAATTATTGCCCACCGCCGCTGTCGAAGAAAACCGAAAGAAACTAGTGTCGAAGCTTGAAAAGATCTTCAATGACGAGTGGCCCGGACATGACATTCGGGTGAATCTCTTTGGTTCCTCTGGAAATCTTCTTTGTTCAGATGATTCCGATGGTGCGTCTTTTCTCCAATCCGCTTGACTGTAAACTAACCCGCTTTAGTGGACATTTGCATCACAACATCGTGGCACGAACTAGAGGGTGTCTGCATGATCGCCAACCTGCTAGCGAAACGTACGTATCACTCTGCACTACCACCAATCACTCGCTAATAGCAGATCAGGAGGAATGGAAAAGGTTGTTTGTATTTCAGCCGCCAAGGTACCCATTGTCAAGATATGGGACCCTGAATTGGGCCTTGCGTGCGACATGAATGTCAACAACACCCTTGCACTCGAGAACACGCGCATGGTTCGAACGTATATCGATATTGACCCACGAGTTCGCGAGCTTGCCATGATTATAAAATATTGGACACGGAGGAGAATAGTCAATGATGCGGGTATGTCATTTTTCCCTCCACAAACTTCCTGTCTAACGGTTCGGTAGCATTTGGTGGCACATTGAGTTCGTACACGTGGATTTGCTTGATAATTACGTTCCTGCAGCTGCGCAACCCGCCCGTCCTCCCTTGTTTGCATCAGTCGCCACACAAGTTACCCAAGCCCGACGGTACGCTTCCCGATTTCGCCGACGATATTGATAAGCTGGCTGGTTTTGGAAGCAAGAACAAGTCATCCACTGCCGAGCTCTTGTTCCAGTTCTTTCGCTTTTACGCACACGAGTTTGACTACGATAAGCACGTTCTTTCGGTACGACAGGGCAAGCTGATCACAAAGCAAGAGAAGAAATGGCATTATGCGATCAACAATCAACTTTGTGTCGAAGAGCCTTTCAATACGTCTCGAAATCTCGGAAACACGGCCGATGAATATTCTTTCCATGGGTTGCATGTTGAATTGCGCCGGGCTTTTGATCTGATCTCAGTGGCGAACTTTGAGGAGGCATGTGAGCAATACGTCTTCCCTAAGGAAGAGGAACGAGTATGGTCTCGACCTGCACCACAGCCTCGACCTGTTCTGCTTCGCAGCTCGTCACAGACACATTCAGGACGTGGAGGCCGCGGAAACCATCGCGGTGGACGACATAATAACAACTATCGGGGTGGAAATTCGAACAGGCGAGCATCCGCGGGTGTTCCACAATTCGATGCGAGCACCAACAACAATGGCATGTTCATGCAGCCGGTCAACATGGCGCAAGATTTGCAGTGGTACCAGAATCAACAGTTCCAGTTCCAATATGCACAGCAGGACCTCATGACTCAAATGGCGTTGCACCAAGAGAACATGAGGCTTTTGTATGCCAGTCAGTCACCAGCATTTATGCAGCATCAGGCCCAGGCCCAGGCCCAAGCGATGGGCCAACAGCAACAGCAAAGAATGTCCACAAGTGCAGGCTCAGGCCAACAGCCTCAACCGACATCGGATCGTTCTAGGACAAATTCGTTCGATAACCCGCCACTGAGTGCCCCCCTGCGACCAGATATATATACTTTATATGGTATGAATCTGGGACAGCAGTTCTATACCCAAGCGGGTGCAACTTACGGAACGTATCCTTCGTCTCCTGCTAGTACGACTGGGGCTACTCAGGACTTCCGTCGCCCCCTGCAGCGAAACGGTATGACTAACGAAGCGGGTAATCAAGGGTCAAATAGTACCCTGCGTTCGCATTCACAGCCTGCATCGCGTTCCCCATCCTCATCTCAGGCAGCCGCTGCGTACTTTAGTGCTCAATCCTTCAGCGGATCGACCCAGTCTCGAGGCGTCAATGGCAACCCAATTCCTAGTTTCATGTCTGATGACACAGAGTTCGACGAAACACCAAAGGCGACTACCGACTCTCCACAGTCAGAGGAGGGCAAATATTCTATGTACCTATCAGAAAGCCCCAGCCCTAGCAAGAAGCTTCAACAGCCAGTGCCGGCCACGAATAGTCTGGCTTTTGGAGATCTTGCCGGTCAGAATTCGAGTAACCCGAGTCCTGGGAGACGACGATTGTCGACAGATCAGATTCCCCAAACAATTCTCGACCGCCGAATGAAGAGAACGTCACGATCGCCGTCGCCTTTGGGGCAATCAAGAAACTTTGCCTCAACAGCTTCATCTGCGCCACTGGCACAAGGACCTTTTCCAGGTAGCCAGAACAAAAACCTTGGACGTCCCTTAGTCGTGAATGGATCCAACTTGAAGACAAGCGTCACTCCAAGCCCGCGTCAAGCTCCTTCCGGGACGGAGAGCAGTACCTCGGACGAGACTCCCACTTTTGAGAACCCCTTGCAAATCCACGCTACAAATGGAGTGCCCAGCTACCCTGTCGATGGACCCATCATGCCCATGGTTGAGCCTCAGGGCGTTATGAACCAACAAGGTGCCTTTGGTCAGGTGCCTGTTGTGGCCAACGGTTCCGCTGCGCCGCTTATGGCTGTTGCGCCTTCTACTGCAGACGACCCCTCATTCCGCGATCGTATTGCCGCTTACTACATGGGCACGCCCCATATCGTACAGGATGCAACGGTTGGAAACTCTCGATTGTCTCCTTCGACTCGACAGCGCCTCATGTCGCGCCAGAACCAGAATGGAGTTATTGCTCCTCTCGATCTTGCTATTGCTGAGAACCGCATTGATCGTCCTGTTGGCCAAGACTATGCTCACCTGTCGCCAGTGTATGAGACACGCACTCCTTCGCCTACAGTTCTTCGAAAGGATGGACCTTGGAAGTCTGAGAAGCAAAACAGTCCCAAGTCGGGTCGAGGCGAGGGGCCAAAGGGAGGCCAGAAGTCTGAAGACCAGTCACCGAATCACCAGGAAGGATCGAAATCTCAGAAGAACCAGAAGGCCAACTCTCAGAAGGCCAATGGAAATCGAGAAAATGGCCACGTCCGTGGAGCCCGAAGCGAGAGCGACAACGGCTGGCAAAAGGCTGGTAAAGGCAAGAAGAAGGGCGGCAACAATAACGCACATGCAAACGCCGAGCAACCTCCAAAGCACGAGTCGGAACGAAAAGGTGGCTGAGCGGTTGTCTCGATCTGAGAAGTGACGAGGCATGCCAAGGGGATGCTAGGCCAGTGGCTGATATATCCTCGGACTTGAACCAACAATGCAATCGTTCCACGATCTATAAACGGCAGGTTGCTATTTTGGATAGGGAGTATTGCCAAGTCGACACCGCGATCAACGATTCAAGATGGATGGAAGACTGTTGAAGAGATGAGAAGGACACATTGGAGACTTTTCTGGATGCATCCAGATAAGTGACGATATTTACATATGTATCAGCGAGTGTGTACGATTGACGTTCCCGGGGTGTTTTTATTCATAGCATTTACACCGTAGTGGTTAGCGGTTAACTTACAGATTGGCAACGCAGGATGGTCGGCTCAATGGCATGAAAGAATGACAGAAGGCCGGAACCGCTGGCTAGACAATGGAAAGGAAAGGGAAGGGATGGACGGCTGGTTGGTCGATTCGGTTCGTTTGTTGAAACATGAAAACGACGAGGCGTTGGCGTCTTTCTACACATGGCCGGTTGGGAGGAGGCGTTTTATATACACAGCTGCAATTGCATTAAGACAAAGTCCATGTTACAGCGGGGGAGTCGGAAGGATAAGCGGTTCATATCCTACAGGCTAGGCTACATGGGCAAAGAAGGATCAAGCGGTTTTTCTAGATGATTGTCAGAGAAAAAGCATGGGCAGATGTAACGAAGCACACAGAAAAGAGATAAATGAAATTCTTAATGCAAGCGGGAACTAAACAGTGTTTACATGTGAAAAGATGCCATTGATCTACCTGAGTCTGTGTTGATAATGATGCCGAAGTTCCGTCACTCTACAGATCACATGATGTATTATCAATTTTTTGGTGATGTCTCATTCGCGCGCGGGGTTAATTGCGATAATTCCCGAAGCTTAGCAACACAGGCGCTTCATTACTAAGAAGTTAGCTTCTCTGCAGTTGGAATACGAATGGATATTGGTGCTGACTGACCAAATCCGAGACCATCAAGTGACGATTTGAGGGGGTTATGCAGGATGTTAGAAGTATAAAGACGTTGCTCATTCCCCAGTGAGAGTTATTTAGTATCATCATCGTCAATCACTCTTCATCAATCTTACAATATGAGCATGCTTTCAGCTGAAGTCACAGAATGGGGTCAAACTCCCAGACCTGTAAAGGTTGTCCCACCTCAAGCCCCAACCAACGACAGTGAAACTGAGATTCGTGTCCTCGCTACTGGTCTTCACCAACTCGTTCGCTCACGAACTGCTGGCAAACATTACACTGCTACTGAACTTCCCCACCGTCCTGGTGTCGACGGTGTAGGCGTTAATGTATCAACCGGCAAAAACGTCTACTTTTCTCTACTTGGTACCACGGGTGGAAGTTATGCTGAGATCGTCAACGCTCCTACTCGCAGTATCGTCGAGTTGCCTGATGGCGTTGATCCCGTCGTTGCAGCAGCCATGATCAATCCTGTTATGGCGAGCTGGATGGCCCTACGAAAACGTGTTGATCTCAAGGATAAAGGATTCAAAGTGTTTATCAACGGTGTTACAACAGCAAGTGGGAAAATCGCTATTAAAGTTGCTCGTCACCTCGGCGCAACAAGTGTCGTCGGTTCAGCACGCAACCAAGAAGCTTTATCCAAGCTTGATCTTGACGCGAGCGTAATTCTCGCCTCAACACCCACCGAAACGGATTTCACGTCCGCCGCAGATGCAGATATCGTGCTTGACTTTTTATACGGACCATGGCCTAACGCGTTTTTGTTGAGTGCTAGTACAGCATCTGCGAAGAATGCGATTACGTGGATTAATATTGGAAGTATGGCTGGTGATGGGGGAGATATTTCGGCCATGGGGTTGAGGAGGAGAGATGTTACGGTGCGGGGGTCTGGGCCTGGGTCGTGGGATCCTAAAGAGCTGGGAGCTGAGACGGTGGGGATGTTGAAGGTTCTTGTGGGTGTGGGGAGTGATGGGTTGAAGAAGTACAGGTTTGAGGATGTTGAGAAGGGGTGGAATGATAAGGGGAGGGATAGAGTTGTTTTTGTGTTTGGGGAAGAGAGTGAGAAGTTGTAGTGGTTTGGTACAGGGTGGGAGATGAAGACATGAACGATAATGAGATTAATTGACTGTGTTGCAATATTGATACGCACGTTTGATCAACTGACCGTGATATCACGTATTTTACGAATTATATAAACATATTGTAATTAGTTTTCTTCATAGGAATGGCCTTTAAGAAGAGACCCTGCTTGCACACCTATATCGTATCTTCAACACATCAAGCCTTCACGACCCTGTCGCCGTGATATGCAGGACTCTGAAACCAGGGAAATAAACACCACGCAAACTACAGTATCTGTGTAACTATAGGACTCTATCCAAGCCCTTGTCGTATTCCAGGCAACTCTCAATACTCACAGCCATTGACAAGCCTTAAGAGTATCCTGACTGCAGGTGGCTCCGCCACGTAGATTATAAGGCTGGCACTCGACAGGGAAGAAAAGAAGCAAGAAAGAACTAAACAAGTTTTGTTCTATTTATTTTCCGCAGACCCTGGTATAAGATCGCCTGGTCAAAGTGGTTGAGCGGGTACCTAGATCGTGAAGTTGGGATTTGGTCTCAGATTTGGTGGATCTTGACATGGAGGTCTGACTCGGGGAATAAAGGCGAGTATTTGGGTAGCAGTAAATCTATTAAAATTGCAGATATTCTAGAAGTGTAAGAGACCATATATCTAGATTGACCTGACAACTGTTTTGTCGTTGTCGTTGTATTAACGGGCATGCAGAAACGGTTCAACGGTAGGGCTGCTTTTGCGTGATACTCACCGAGTCCCCCGCAATCATCTTACTGCACTGCTGTAGCTGTAAATAATCACTGGGATAAATCCGACTCCACCGGAATAGGACTCAAGAGAAGACATGGAATCAACAAGACGGTCATCATTCATGTCTGTCTGTGTTTCTACCGGCAAAGTCCGTAATATGCTGCTTCTACCGAGGAAGTTATTTAATATCTCCGCACACCGAGACTTTGCTAAGAGAAGACCATGCCAATATCCCTTGCTTGCTTCTGTCGCCCGCTAAGTAACAAAAGCAAAGGCGTAGACGCCAAGGACTCTTGTTGGTGCCCCAGTTTTCAACCCCAGCTTTTCCCTTTCCCTCTCCCAGCCCCAGTCCACCTTTTAAAGACCCCCAAGCGAAGCCTCCTCCACTTTCTGTCACTGTCACTCTCAATTCAGTTTCCCGGGTCTCGCTTCGCTTTTACCTTGTCTTTCTCTACTAATCTTTAGACTAGACGACAACAACAACAACCGAAGTTGATTCCTTTCCTACTACGACTTTTCAATCTCGGTATTCCGACATTACCAGGTTGACTCATTCCTACCCTTCATACAAAGACCATCACGTTTCAATCTTATTACCGACACTGCAACGGTTCCGGTTCTCTGGGACGCATACCTGACGTTGCACCACCGACCCGAATCCCCGGTTGAACGGACAAGTCGAGTCGCGACTTTCAACAACCACATACAAGACACCCAGATCCTTTACCAACACTCCAGAGTGCATCGCAACTTTACATCCGGCTGTCTTCTAGCGAGGCGCCTCTTTGCCACGCTGTGACGACAATGCTGTGGTCAGGCGCTAGCATTGACGCTGCGCTTTCCACCCCAGCCTGATGCGATCTACCAGAAACTCCGTCCCATCCGGCGACAAACACTCCAATTTATCTATGAGGGTCGACATGGTCTCGAGAACATCTAGCGACGGGCCTCCTCCCGGGGGCGGCCGACAATGGAAGTCGTTGATCAACAAGATTCCAAGACGAGGGGTACGTTTGGTCCAACAAGTTCATGATCACATGTGCGAATACTGATGTAGTGATCCAGATCAAGATAATCAGTCAACATCTTCCCGAGACAAGTACCTCCGATATCGATCTCAACGCCAGATCTCCCGATGGCCATTCTACGAACCCTCTTGATAGTCAAGAGACTCATATCCGACAGCTGCAGTCTATTGTCCAGCGAATGCCTCGCAATTTCCCCAATACGCCGAACCACGTCGATTCGGCTTATAAAGAATTTAAGAAGCACAAAGAGCAATGCGCCATGTTATGTCGGCATATCCTGACAGAAGAGCTGGGCCGCTGTCCTCATAACGGTAGCGATCTTGTCCGTCGCGATTCAACCCTCGACTCCCCCCAAAGTCCTGGTCATATATACGATACGAGAAGCTCTTTCAGTGGGAGAAGTCTCGCTGAGGTGGTTTCTGGAAGTCTCGGAAAGAGTATACACCAGAGCGACGCTTGGCTAACGTCAGTGCGCGACTGGAAGAACTGGCTCGAGTTTCTGGCCGATGCTTGCCGGACATGTTTGATCGAAACGTACAAGAACAACGAGCGCGATGCGACACCAGAACAGGTGGAAGCGCTGTTCACGAATAAGCGGTTTCGCAAGGAGGCTGTCCAGAGGATGCGCAATGCTAGCGTTACTCGGGTCATGTCGGCAGACCCCCAATTTGTGAGTTCTCCAGATCAGATCTTGAAGCGCATCGCAACTGACTATTTGCAGTTTCCAAAATACGAAATGAGATTCTATGACTATGAGAGAATAAGACAGGAGCTGTTAGAGATTCGACAGCTCGTCCAGACAGGCGAATCGGGCATTTCCCCAGATCGAACGATTAAAGAATTTGCCATATCACAGCGAGGCGATGCTATACTGGAGTTCGCCAACAGTGCGCCTGGATGCAACCATAGCGACCCGGCACTTCGTTTCAGAGTCTCTTCTTACATGCTCGCAGAGACTTCACCCATCTTTGCTCGCATGTTTGCGGGGAACTCCAGTAGTCTTCATCTTTACGACGACGACGATATATCGTCGCAGTTGCCGTTGCCTCCAACAAAGTACTACTGCAAAGATGGATCCGAGGCTAAGCTCTACCGCATGCCACAAGTCGAGCTGAACCATTTGGATTCCTTGGAGATCTTGCTACACGGAGCGCACCACCATAGCGAAATGATTCCACGAGAGATTGAGTTTGATAAGTTTGTTGCTATCGCCGAGTGTTGTATGAGATATAAGAGTACCTCGCCTTTAGAACTCATCGTTGAACATAGATGGCTACCGCAATGGATGCACAAGGGAGCAGATGATATGCCAGACGGTCTCTTGGTCATCAGCTACGCCTTTGGCTTGCGCCGACTCTTCTCGCGCATGTCAAAAACAACAATTCTGAACCTTGTGGATGAGAAGGAGCTACAATCGAAGCCATGGCCACAAAAGATCAAAGACAAGATCTGGGCTGTCCGCTGCGCAAAGGTGGCGCAGATCCACGAGTGTTGTGTTAGTGCGATTCGGGAGTACATGCGAGAGCCGACACACAACACACCCGACCAAGTCGAACCCACGCCGCTGAATTCCAGCTTCTCCCCGGATGCTCTACCTCCGATGATGCTGACTAGCACCCCGCGATGTCCCAAGGGCAGCCATTGGTGCGACGCCACGAATCTTGGCTGGCTGATGCTACTCTACAACGAGATGAACCTTTTGCCTTATATCATGTCGACGGATGTGCTTTCTCATCTATCCAGGTCGCAGCCACAATCGAAAAGCCTGGCGCAGATTGTGGATGCGTTGAGGAGGATTCCAGCACCGCCGACGCCAGTGCATCGAGGCGTTTGTGATCCAGGTCCGGTGTTTCGCTCTGCTATTAGTGATATCTACAACAGTGTACTGGGCTTGACACTTTTCGACATTAGCGGCAAAAGTCACGGCTGGGGCTTGTCAAAGCACAAGGAAAGAGAACCCCAAACTCAACTCAATGAAAGGCTCAATCGTATGGCCGCGCATGATCCTGATTATAGTGTCGCTACAGAATTCCCGGAGATTATTCGCCTTCGCATTATGTGTCAACTGGACGAGCTGGATGACCTTCACTCAGCAGCTATGGTCAGTCGGGCATACTACGAGACGTACAAGAAGCATGAGCTTTATCTTATGAGGAATATTCTCCGTATGGATCGAAAACGATCGACCATTCAGCACCACATCCCAATCGGACCCAACACAAACGAAGAAAAGGTCCTCAGGGAGGAATCCGATGTTCTTAAGCGGACACCGGCCGATACTGCGGATGGTATTACTCTTCATAGTGTGGTCGAGAGTGAAGAGGATTACACAGACTCTGATGATGATAGCGACAGTCTGTACTCAACATCAGTAACCCGGTCACTTCCCCGATCAGCAGCTACCACAAGCACAACAACCAGGGGACTAGACTACCAGGGATCGTCAGACCTTGCACTGATCACAGACAGTCCCGCACGGACACCAAGGGCCCGAACCGGTACACCAACATCCTCGTCCCGATCCCCGACAACCCCTCGACAAGCCGTGTTCGACCCACCACCTGCTCCGGCTGCCGCATCGCCTGTACTTACAATCGACGAACCACCTCTCACAGTTGAAGAAGCTCATCGAATTCTCTGGCCAGACGACGCGATCAAGGCATCTGAACTACCACTGCCTACAGCTCATCCTGGTGCAGAAGGCATTCGTGAGAAATTCCGCGCTGGTGATCCAGCTTTTCACCTGGGGTTAGAAGAAAAGACTCTTGTTCCAACGGGTGAAAAACAACTTAGGAGTGAACATGATCGACAAGTTGGGCTGTTGAAGGGGGGCGAACCGAGTAAATGAGCTACATCTCCACGAGAGAATACTTTTGCAATTTTCCCGAGGATTTCTCTTGAGCTAATTGTTGCATCTGATCCTTGATATATATATGAACATAAGCATGAGGATGGATGAAAACCGTTTTTTACCTTGATCTTTTTGGAAAGCAAGCGATGAGATTACTGGAGATACGCTTGCATGGGACGCTTATACCCTCTTGGTGTAAAGGAGTTCAGGTATTGGATAAAACTGAATTGAATACTTTTTTACATTTGTCTGGTTACATGAGAAGAGTAGGTGATTGATAAGCCACATACCACCAAAAGAATTATGTCTTGCGTTTACCTTGGCCGCGGTCGCTTCAAAGTAGGTGACAGCATCGTCGTACATGACCCCGAATCTGGTTTCTTAGTTCTGCTGCAACTGGTAGCCAAGATGCAGTCTCGCTTCTTTCTGAGCTAAGGTCTTGGGTGTTGGTGGCTGATGGTTCTGCAAAGCTTACTGCGAATCAATATCTAGTTGGACTGAACCCTGATGACTTGGCGAGTTTGTTGGCACAGGGTAGATGTTGCATTTCGATCAGCTGTTCATGTTGCGTTATGTCATTTTAGATGTTCTCACTATAGATTCTGAATCTGATATGTTGGATGTCAGATCAAAGAACGTGGTGAAGGATCTGAAGAGGTACCACCAAAAACAGAACATTGAACCACACCTAACCCCAACATTCTTCAGGAACACTATACAAGTTTGGCATTACCGCCCCTTCCTCAGCCTTGACAGCTCCGACTCAGCCTAGTTACTCCTCCACAGGTTTACGATTAATGCTTTAGCCTACCACCGATCAGCATGACTCTCTATCTCCTGTCTGGACTCGAAGGACTCAAGTCTGCCGCTTTGATCTACACTGGTCCTGAGTGAAAACTCAACTTTGTGTCCACTAGATTGTTCTACGTTTTGACCTGGCCCTACCGATGCTGCCACTGTCACTTTGGGAATGGTAGCTGTCATGTTTGACAGTAGCGTCTGAGTCTATGAGGAATCCAGAGGTCCCACATGTGCTAGGGCTGATTATGATAGCGCTGGTGGATTATGACTTCTCTCGTTTAATCCCGATGTTCATTGGAGAGACTCTTTAGCGAAGATTCGTTGCTGTCCATTTGGCAGGTGATGACTCCTGTTTAAGTACCAACAGCATCTTGTGAAGCACTGGCCACGATATCTTACCAAGTATGCATTCGCTGCGATGATTGCAAGAAATAGGTAAGCTGAAAGGCACGACGAATGTGACATGAAACCGCCTTCATGACCATCGCTATGTGTGTTCGGAACACGGCACTCAGACTTTCCACTGCGCAGCCCTCCATCAGGAACGCTTCTTTCGAAACCTCCCAGAGACTAACGTCTCGGTACCGCCGTTGAACCGAACTCTGAGTATAAAGCCCAAGACTTGAGGAGTGGGCGAGTGTCGGTGGAAATCGTCTATCCAGCTGCCTGGATCCCTGGTAGCTCGGACACTGAACAAAGGCCGCACCATTCCAGCGTACGATGGACTAACAGCAGAGTCACTAGATATCAGACCGTCAATTGGGCTTTTCTGCGTTCGTAAGGCGGCCGCCTCCAAAACAGAAACCCGTGTGGTGTTGATAAGGCTTCGGATATCTGAGGAACGCTCATTGCGGACCAAACGTAAAGTATAAAAACAAGATATGTATACTAATAAACTTTTGTCTTGACCGTTAATAGACAAGACATGTCTAACAAGGAATGATGTGCACTGGTCCATGCCGCCATGTACATTCCTCCCCAGATCCCTGACCTTTAGCGGGCGGATCTACGAGTTTTAAGTTGGCGCTATGCAAGGTCCCGAACAGGACCTGCATTGAGAATAGCTTCATTAAGCTAACCTTGATTCTTTGAACCTTTTGTATATAATAATTTGGGAAGTCGCGTCAAGATGTTTTTTTTTTCCCGACTTTCTTCGGTTCGACGAAAGCTTTATACCCCAATCTCTTTTTCACTCCCTATCACAATATGAAGCCCGTGTTTGCGTTGATGATATGCTTGGGCCTTTTGGAAGGTGCCGATGCTATCGCCATCCCCGAGTTTGTGTCTCCCAAAGTGGGATACATCACTCCTTTGACCCACGGTGAGAAGAAAGACGCTTCAAGCCCAGCGGTCAAGTCAGGTTCTGAAACCAACTCCCCGCCACGAGTTTATGGTGCTTATTCACCAAAGTCCAAACTTGTCGATCTTCCCCCGGTTCGCAGAAGCGAAAAGACTGCAGAGTCGTATGGCTCTGATGACGATGTTGAGGATGACTACCAATATGACTCGGGAGACGACACTCCAGAACCCCCAAAGGACTCTTCTGACTCGGATGATGCCGAAGAAGTCTACCCAGAACCAATGATGGCTCCCGCATATGTCCGAACTGGTGCCCTTCCAGTTGACAAACCGGAAGCAGCCCCCAAGGCAAAGTCATCCAAGAAAGTGGACAACAAGTCCAAGTCAAAGTCGGAATCAAAGTCGAGCGATGACACGGTCCACACAGTCAAGCATGGAGGCGATGACGACTCCGAGTCTGGCTCAAGTGGAAAGAAGAAACAAAAGGGCAAGGGAAAAAACAAGGGAAACGACGACAACTCTGGAAAGCACTCTGGCGACGATGATGCTTCCAAGCCAAGGTCCAAGGCTGAGGATTCCACTCCAACATCAAAGTCGGCACTCTCAACCAGTGTGACTCCAAGGCCAACATCTGGCACGCATTCTGAGGACGATGACGACCAGAAATCCAGGACCAAGACTGAAGACTCTCCTAAGCCTACATCGACGTCGGATGATTCATCCAGGGGTAGTGGTAAAGGAAAAGGAAAAGAAAAAGGTAAAGGCGGTTCTGGCAAGCACACTGGTGATGATGATACCACCAAAGCCTCTTCAAAGAAGGGATCCAAGGATGACTCAACCAAACCCGCCTCCAAAAAAACCAGTGACTCACCTCGTCACCCACGAGCTGTCAAAACCCACCAATCTGGCTCAACCTTTGATCCCAACAGCGCCAAGGGAGGCGGCAAGAATGGCCCTGGATACTACAAACCCTTCGACCCTCCCAAGATGAACAAAGGTTATATCCAAGCTGTTCCTCCTCAGGCTAGGCAAAAGAATAATAACTCCAACCCCAAGGTCAAGCCCAGGCCCCAGCTCAACAAAAGAGTCAGTGGTCCCCTTTCTTCCCTTTGCAAGCGAGAGCAGTTACTGAGTCTGAGAGCAGCAGCGCCCCTGGAGAGCGTAACCATCGATCGCTCCAAGTGGAAGGTGACGTGCGATAGCATGAATCAGGGGGATGAGTGTCAGAATGCTATCGATGGGAAGGAGAACACCATTTGGCATACGCAGTGGGAGGGGGGTGAGCCTGCGCCGCCTCATATGATTACCGTGGATATGAAAAAGGTTTATAATGTGAATGGAATTTCTATGCTTCCGAGACAAGACGGTTCGCAAAATGGGTACATTGCCCAGCATCAGGTTTTCTTGAGCAAGGATAACAAGAATTGGGGTTCTCCAGTGGCGTATGGAACGTGGTATACCGACTATACAACCAAATATGCCAACTTTGACACACAGCCTGCACGATATGTTAGGCTCGTTGCCATCACCGAGGCAAATGGCAACCCTTGGACGAGTATCGCTGAACTGAACGTATTTCAAGGGAATGATTACGTTCCTCCCCAACCATCGTCATTAGGGGCTTGGGGACCGACGGTCAACGTTCCAATCATCCCTGTCGCTAGTACTGTTGATCCAAAGACTGGCAAAGTTCTCATCTGGTCATCTTGGGCTCGCGATACCATGGACGGAGGTCCGGGTGGGTTGACCCTCACTTCGATGTGGGACCCAGCTACTGGCCTCGTTTCAGAGCGTCAAGTCACCGAGACAAACCACGACATGTTCTGTCCAGGTATTTCTCTTGACGGTAATGGCCAGCTTGTAGTAACAGGCGGGAACAACGCCGAACGCACAAGTCTCTTCGATCCAATCAAACAAGCTTGGATCCCTGGTCCAGACATGAAAGTCTCTCGAGGATACCAATCTTCCGCAACGACTTCCACAGGTAAAGTCTTTACCATCGGAGGATCTTGGAGCGGTGGCGAGGCTTTCAAGAACGGCGAGGTGTATGATCCCAAGAAGAAGACGTGGACATTACTCAATAAGGCCGATGTACAGAAGATGCTCACTGCCGATGCTCAAGGGCTGTTTCGATCTGATAACCACGCTTGGTTATTCGGTTGGAAGAAGGGGACCGTATTTCAGGCCGGGCCTAGTAAGGCTATGAACTGGTACTACACTGACGAGAAAGACGGAAACGTCAAGACCGCTGGACAGCGAAAGTCGGATCGTGGTGTTGCTCCCGATGCGATGTGTGGTAACGCCATCATGTTTGATGCTGTCAAAGGCAAGATCCTCACCAACGGTGGAACTCCCAATTACCAGGACTCTGATGCGACAGCTGATGCGCACATCATCACCATCAACAATCCTGGTAACAAGGCCGCCGTTTCGTACGCGAGTGAAGGTCTCTTCCACGCCCGTGTGTTCCACAGCTCGGTTGTTCTTCCCAACGGCAACGTCTTCATCACAGGCGGTCAACAGTATGCGATTCCCTTTGCCGACGCGACACCCGTTCTAGAGCCAGAGATGTATCTCCCGGATGAAGATCACTTTGTTCTGATGAAGCCCAACAACATCGTGCGGACGTACCATAGCATCGCGCTTCTCCTCCCCGACGGCCGAGTCTTCAATGGCGGTGGCGGTCTCTGCGGTGGCTGCGACACGAACCACTTCGACGCTCAACTGTACACTCCCCCGTATCTGTACGACTCCAAAGGCAGGCTGGCGGCGCGACCAAAGATAGCATCCGTGTCTGCTTCCACGATCAAGGTTGGCGGAACGGTGACTGTTCAGACGAGCGGAGTTGTAGTACAAGCTTCCCTTGTCCGATACGGATCGGCGACGCATACTGTTAATAGTGATCAGCGTCGTGTTCCTCTGATTTTGAGTGATGCTGGGAAGAACACGTACACGTTCCAGGTGCCAAGTGATCCTGGTGTTGTGTTGCCTGGGTATTGGATGTTGTTTGTCATGGATAAGAATGGGGTACCGAGTGTTGCTTCGACTATCAAGGTGACAGGTTAGTGACGGCTTGTCTTTGGAGTAAGCAAGGTAGAATTCTTTATGTTTGGGAAAATACCACGGTTCTTTGTTTTATTTGATGATTGTAATGATTGTTGGATTGAATAGCCAGCTACCCGAAAAACAAATATTAACAACAAGGCTCAGTTATTTAATGCAAGTTGAGATTGTTTAATTCGATTGACTTGTAGGTAGGTACTGCCAACACCAGGTCAATAGCCTTATTCCGTCATCTGGGCATGTCGAAAACCTCCCAACTCGCGATGGTAGTCCTCGCGTTGCCTTCCAGTTTATGCTACTTGGACTATAGTTGTTCGACTACTTTAGTGTTCGTATACCCTAAGATTTAGGATGAGCTTCAATACATGATACTTGATTGCTAGACATGTTGACTTTCTAGTTGCTTAGATTATTTACAATTCCATGAGCCAAAGCCATATTGATCTCATCATAGGCCTTCCCAGTGTCAAAATGGGCCACAGAGCTATGACCATATCTGCAGTGCCACTCAAGACGCCCTGTCAGGGGCACTTCGAGGTACGCACAGCTCTCCCGAAGGCCTGGCTTGTCCACACAAACGCAGTCGATATGCATATTGGTGGGAAACCACTCATACGGCTTCAATGGCGTCATATACGATTCGATAGAGCCAAGCCAAATCTTTGAGCGAACATCGACCGCGTCTTCAAGACTATCTGGACGGACCTGCCCAACGCACCTTTGAGTGCTGTCAGTGTAAGTTAGCAAGAGGCCAACCACATCATCCCCCCACCGAGCTCTTCCCATAGAGGGCCTTCCCCAAAGAGGTTGCCAGGACCGGCACACTCTAAGACTTTTGACACCTTCGAGGGGAGCCCATGTCAGTATGCCGTAATCTAGGCGTTCCGGGTTATAGGGGTCAGGGCCAGGGACCGAGACTGTGAATTCCCTTGTGGGAGGCGTGGTCGATTTAATACCGAGCCACGAATCAAGGAGACTGGGCTTTTCAAAAGTCAGCCAAAGACCCAGATGCCAATTCGAGTTGTAAAACATTCGTGCTTGGCCCTTCGGCAAGTTCGCAATAGGTATGTAGGTAAACTTCTTCGATTCGGTTCTGTCATCATCGCCCCAAGCAGTGCCTATTTCGCGGCCAAGAACATGACTACGGCCTTTGCTTGTGCGGAACTATGTAGAGGGTCAGTCAAAGTATTTAGAAGTGGTTCTCACAACATACTATAAGCGTCCAAACGTCTGGGCCATCTTCCGGGGTATATCTACGCATCCATAGCGCGGAAACTCGCTCGTCCGGGTCGATAGGGACATAAATCCCGCATTGGTAGTGTTGATCAAACTCATCGATGTGGGCAGTGGGCGAATCCTGTAGCTTAAGGGTGACTATGCCGCGAAGATGTCCGTCGGGTAGGTAAAAGTAATAGCCGCAGACGCCAGGGGAGTTCTAGTCCACTGCTTGAACGGCGTCGTAGTAGGCGAGGTCCTCGGGGATTCCAGTTCTAGGGGGTTGCGGAAACGCATCTAAGCGCATGGGAAAAGTAGCCCAGCGTTTACGTTTCCAGTCGGGCGGGTTGTTTTTGGTCTTGGTTACATCGAAACCACGGAGTTTGACGCCCTAACTGCGTTAACAAGAAGAAAGGACAATGCAACGTTTTACTTACGTCGTTTTTCCATCGAACGTAGAAGGGCGTCCTTTGCTGGCGGCAGCAGATGACCCAGTGAAGTCCTGCCTCACGATCGATCGACGGAGCCTCATCAGACTGCGTGGCAAGGATTTGACGTATGCCTCGATAGTCCTCGGCAAAATAAACATTGAACGACGCAGTCGCTTCGTAACCAGCAGGCAAGAGTAGCGTATCGTCTGGGAATAGCTGAGAATAGGATAGAGATCGGACGTATCGAACCCCTTCAATCTCAACAAAATGAACCCATAAAGGATCTTCACAGTCAAAAAGAAGTCTTTGCAGGTACTTGACGGATTTGGCGTCCTTGGGTCGTATGTCTCGGATGATCTGTGCCGCCCGTTGTCGTGTGCAATATTCTGCAATAGCTTCGCATATCTCCAGGGGGAGACGGCCCCTCACAGAAAGTTGCAAGTCTTGGGCGATTGATCGCTTGATCCAGCGATGGCGACGAATTGTCATAGATATCGGGGGTTCAACAAAGTCTGGGACACCGCCGGCGATCTTGCACAGGTCCTCAGGAGCAGCAGCATCGCTGCCGCCGATCCGACAGGCTTCAAGGCACTCCTCGTGAATCGCCCGATCTCCAAAGTCCTCGCCAACACGCGGTACATCGTATATGCATCGAAGAGGAACGGGCTCCTTGGAGTTGTCTAGGAATAAGTTAGCTAGCGTTGTGGTTGTGATAGACATGATAACTTGCAATGCAGCATGACTTCACCGGGCTCAAAATAGAATCTGCATAGTCCGCAGGTGGGAATCAACGGGAGGTATGGCGGATAGACGTATCCATCATCGTCACCGTCGTCCTCGTCTTCCTCATGCTCTACGACCTCCTCGGCCTCACCCCCACCTCCTTCCTCTTCTCCGAACTCGTCATCGGTGGATGCGTCACCAGGTTCGAAATCTTCAGGCAAAAGGTCGCCGTCGTGAGCCATCTTATTTGCAGCGGTACCTGCAGCGGCAGAGGATGAAGGAGAAGGAAAAAAGAAAACAGGCCGAAGATACAGATCGTTGAAGGAAAGAAACAGGGTGGGCCCGCCTCACCGGCCTGTTGTCAGCTGCTCGTCACTGCAACTACCTCAGGATACAAAAATGAACAACCTAAACTCCTGAAATACATAAAATGACCTAATCATTTCGTCTCTTATGCCTCAAGGAGCCAACTCTTTTGACCGGCACCCTGAGTGTCCTGTCGACATGATACTTGGAGAAATTCTGGTAGACGGTAAGAACTTATGCTTGAAGTGCGAAAATGCTCATCCTCGACATCAACACTGATATTGCCAAGTAGTGACAGACCTGATGTTGTATGAACTGCCCTGGAACGTACGGATTTGGATATCATTCGCAAGCTCATTGTGTCATTGGAGAATGGTCGTTTATGGTCCCATTCGGAGTTTATTCCAACCCAAACCGCGATTGGTCTTGGGCGTGCATTCTTAAACAACTAAAAAAACAGGCCTGGTCTGATCTGATGCGTGACGCGACAGCAATCCATTGATGTTTAACTATTGTGTCGTCTAAAGAGAGGAATTGAAGAGTGTCGTTCCTCGCATGGGCCTGGCGCAGTGTAAGCTTAGAGAACCATCACCAACCCCAACGACATCAGGGCAGTGGAAGTGTTAACCTCCAAGTGTTAGGAAACAAAAATAAATATGCCAAGACATGTGATCTAAGTAGCCTAAACTGGCCTATTTATTTCGTCTCTTATGGATCTCACGGCCAACCTTTCTGATGCCCCGATGGGCGATGAGACAGCACACTACTAGCCACTTCAAGCACCAGGATAATAAACTGCAAATTCTGACAAAACATTCATTATCAAATACATGCAATAGTCGAAGAGTACTGCTCACAGCAGCATCAGACAGACGTCTCGTTTCAAACACACCACACCGATACAGGATTACAAAAACACAAAAACTCAAAAACTCAAAAAAGAAAGCCTCGCATACGCTCGCAATCGAATTTATATAGGAACAGCCCGATGCGGGGGTCGAACCCGCAACCTTGAGATCGCGTACTCGTAAGAGTCTCACGCTCTACCGATTGAGCTAACCGGGCGTGGCTCTTAATTTGTTGAAAGGCGGGGTAGCACGAACGGTTTGTGAGGAGGGCAGCACATCACGACATTGTCTCTTGGTGTTGAGGGGTATTTGAAGCAGATGGAAGCCTGAACTCTCTATTCAAGGTGCTAAGGTAGGCGTTGGGAAATAAAGTTAGTCTTCGCGGCCTGTACACCGTGTAATCTCAACGGCATCCTAAAACTATTAGCAAAGGTTGCTCATGGAAGTAGATGTAAGACTTACAGGAACACCAGTTGGTTCAAAGCTGTGAACCAATTGACTCTCATACACCAAATTCGGATCCCCCTCTTCCTCATTCAATTTCTCTTCCCCTTCCCTCTTGAGATACTGTTTCGCCGTTCTATCCGCAAACCCATCCTTATCACCATTCTGTCCCTTTGCAGCTCTCTTCTCAGCAACACTGCTCCTCACATACGCCAAATACGGCGGGTTTCCTGGCTTGATGACGTTATCCGCTGCAAGCACACTACCAGGTCCGACGAGACCAAGACGCTCGCAGAGTTTGAGATCGCTTGTGTAGGCGGGCTTGTAGTGGTCGAGGAACATGAGGTCGATCTTTTTAATGGTGCCGTTCTTGTGTAGACGAGCGAGGCCGGCGTCGCTGGGACCAACGATGACGCGGGCGATTGATGATAGACCTGATAAATCGAGGAGGGAAGTTATCACTGCTGCGAATTCGGGGTTGCGTTCGAGGGAGTAATAGTTTGTGCCTCCTGCTTTGCGAACGGCGTTGGCGAAGAGGAGAGTTGAGTAGCCTACATAACCACCAAGTTCGACCTGTACCCATTAGCAATTACTCCTTATTAAACAAGAAATCGAATATACCATGACTTTGGGCTTCACTTCAGCGATGAGATCTGTTACAATCTTGCCCTTGTCCTCACCAACGTTCATGAGATACTTCTTGGTGCGACCAAACTCATCAATAGCCTGGAGCACGCGCTCCGGCGAATCACGCAACTCATCAATATCAGAACGACCGTATATATAATGCAAAAGCTCAATTTCTCTTCCGTCGTCAAAGAAGGTTTCTTCTTGCTCAACGTAAGCTTTGTTCTCGTCAAAAGAAGGCATATTGAAAGACTGTATGTATGAATGAACTACATCTGTCCAAAAATAGAGGGGTAAACATTAAGTTATAGGTACGCTGTAGGTAAACACAATGAGTCGCGTCACGTAGTGTACCCGTCATTCATTCCCCCTCAATTGCTGCAAGTAGATGAATCTGCATATGAGACTTGTGTTGAGCTCTCTCGAGTGCCCCACGTAGGACCCCGAAATGGGGGACATGGCTTTGAGGTGGGGGTTTTTGGTGAGGGAAGAGAGATTCCCATGACGCGCACATGCAATTCTATGCTCCCTTGTCATTTGTGCGTAACACCAACTGCTCGAGTGCGAGATATACACCAGATAAGGTTACGGGTTGAGAGATCTATCAGGCCGAGAACATTCTTAACCTCTTCGCTAAACCCCTACCTGATACATAGAAGCTTCACGGTAGTTGTGAATGTCTTGAACAACGCATGCGTACAATGTCTCACTTCAATACACATCATTCACCCTGCAATAAACTTGTATTACCAGCATCACCACTCGTCAATTACTACTGTCCCTGCACCCCCTCCCAAAGTCTCGCATTAAAATCAGAAAACAATTTCCCCATTCCCTTGCGAAAACAACCTTGAAAGAAACCCTTCCCATATAAACAGACCGAACCGAACCCTTCCCCGAAAACCGGTACAAATGAGAGACGTGAAAGATAACCTAACCTTGAACCATCCTAAACCCCAATATGCCCCTTTTGTGCTTTTTTTTGTATCATTTTTGTGTTTTCGCCGTATATAGACACACTCCTCGTCAATTGCTAAACCGTGGGTTGTAACCAATCCCTCGTAAGTGCCCTTCCTTTCATTTCCATAGCCATGGAATGCACGCCGACAAATCGAATGCCTCCATCGTTGAATACTCCGAACGCGCCGCTCAGATGATGCTAACACATGCCGTAGTCGATTTCGCAGGCTGACCGGTCGTCGTAAACTGAGTGAACGCCGTAAGAACCGCCCTGTTGGGTATATAGTTGTCGCTCCCAGATTCGTCAAGCTCCGAAGCTTGTCGCACCAGCGACCGCGACAAATTCCATCCTGTCCATCATTTTTATCCCGACAAATCTTTTCCCGCCCTCAAAGCACAAATGAGACGAAAGTGGACGCCTCTGTGATGTTGAAATGCAATCCCCATACCAGGTCGTATCCTCCAGCCGGAAAAACAAAAAAACAATGTCAACTCCAAAGTTGATGCCATCCCTTCAAACACCTTTGCCCTGGATTGCATCAACCGAGTCTGTCCAGACCCAGTATCCTTTAGTATTCGCGCCGTCTTTAACTAACGAAAGAGAGTTGTCAAAGGCCAGTCCCCGCCGAATTCCTTGCCGCAATGCACGTTTACCGCTGCGCCTTTCCCAATGCAACGTTCAATTCCAAATCATGTTGCTCCTCATCATCATCAAGTTGTTGTTTAACCCCAAACGCTAGCGGGGGCACCGAGACCAGAGGACTGGCCCCAAACGCCGTTTCCACGTCCCCAACCACCAGGGGAGGCGAGGGGGGTGGTCGATCGCTTAGATGAAGCAGCGTTTGTGGGTGTACCAGAGGGGCGGGTTCCGATGGGAGCCACCGAGGCACCAGCCTGGTTAGACTTGGAGCCAGGTGTCATATCCCGGGAAGGGGAACCACCGGTTGGACTGGATGTGCTAGTGCGGCTCTGAGCGTTATCGAAGACCTTGTTGGCGGGTCCAGCAGCCTGAGGGCTGACAGTGCTGTGAGGACGGGAGTTTGGCTCGGTTGGAGGTCCGTGGGCATCACCAGAAGAGACAGGAGTACCGGCATCAGCAGGAGGACCACGACCAGCATTGTCATAGGCAAGAGGAGAGTGGCCACGGAGGCTTGGGGGTCCGCTGGGAATGGGAGCACCAGTGCGAACGTTTCCCGTCTCGTCGACATATCCTGCCTTCTCAGCAAAAGGACCCTCACCATAAAGGGCACTTCGCTGACGGGCAATCAAGTCTCGCGTCTCCTCCTCGGACATGTGCTTGCTGGGCGGGAGAGGCACTTCAGAAAGGACGGCTACGTAGAAAGCTGTTAGCCCATGCTCAACAAACTCGACAATATTACATGATGATGCGAAAGGTTTGAAAGGAAAGAAACACGAGCGGCCATAACCACATTATTTTTCTCTATATGCCATCTTGTTTCTTTGCGATAGTTGAATGTGCTACACAGTAGAGGGAGGCCTACTTCGCTGATATTGCTGCTCTGTGTGCAGGTTTCGAAGCTCACGCTCCCGCTGAGCTGCCATCCGTCTCTTAGCCTGCATGACCTGCTCTGCCTCGCTGGAGCCTCGTGAGGGTTGGTGACGCTGGTTGGCGTAGAAGTTTTGAAGGTTGGGACCCTGAGAGCCGCCGCGGGCGTCATCAAAGTTGTTCACCGAATGAGGGCGGGAGCCGGGGGTATGATGGGAACCACGGGAGTCTGTCGATGACCGTTAGTATTTTTGGTTCCAACGTCTTGCTGCACCGGGTCGTCCGACATTGTCGGGGCCTCGGGCAGCATTTGAAGAACGCTGGATCAAAGACTCACGGCGGCCACCCATTCCATAACCCTTTCCAGACTTTTGCAGGTTCTCATAAGCCCGGTCGACCTCTATAATTGCGAATCAGCTTCCGTATACACTATCGGTCGGGGTCAAGTCTTTTTGTTGAGGATGCCACCCAGTCACTAGACAAATGGATTGAAGTCGTGATTGAATGTAGCAAAGTCGTTCCAAGACAGTTTCACATACCATCGAATTGATAAGAGAAGGCGTAATCGTCCTGGGCCTGAGGACCGCTGGCGCCTGAACAAGACAGTTAATAATAATTATGGATTGACTGGTATTTGGGTGCTAGCATACCTGCGCGAACAGGAGTAGTCGAGCCCTGATGTTCCCAGTTGTTCTGGCTCTGCTGCTGGGTCGAAGATGACCACTGAGACTGAGGGTTGTCGTAGTAGGACATATTGTATGATGTTCGGGTTCGGATGGAGAAAACCGGGATGGGGTCGATTCGGCTCGGGGTATCTCAAATCTGGCACTAGGAAGATCTATCGAGAAAAAAAAATGCGTGGTTAGCCTGGTGTAATTGTGATACCAGATAACGACGGTTCGCGACGGGAGAATGCAGCGCAAGACGACGTCGATGTCAACAAGGGCGACAATAGGAGGAGGTAGTGGAGGAAATTTGCCGCCGTGCGTGGCCGACGTCAAGATGCGCAGCATCGGCCACCTAAGACAGGGATCCATCAAAAAGCACCACCAAAATCTCGCAAACGCCCCTCGTCGCAACACATTGACATTTCCCCCATGATGCTGTGCGTCGGCAGATCGACTCACCGAAGACAAGAAATTGATTTAAGCTTCGTAAATGACGGTTGTCGCTTCTTTGATTGAAGAAAGCGCAAGGTTTACTCGCCACGGGCCGTTTGGTAGTCGGGAATAAACGACGTGAGGGTCTCGGAGGGACGGAAAAAGTGCGAGGAATAAAATCGCAAGAAGTCGGTGACGAGACTGGGATGATACGACGGACCGGGGAGACGCTGTCGAGACCAAAGCCGCTGCAGGGGCAGACGGGATTATCGAGAGGAGGAATAAATGAAAAGAGATACCGTAAAAAGGTAAGAAGGGGAAAAGGAAAGGGAAGAGGTGGTGGTGGTTAAGATGATGAACGAGTCGTCGACTTGGTCAGGGCGTGACGGGATAGGTTGGGCTAGGTCGTCAAGATGGGGGGAGAAAAAACCAGGGCCGACTGAGCGAGCGAGAAAGGAGAAGGAGCGAAAGCAAACTCAAATGAGGAAGTCACCTAGTTCCGTGGGGAGTGGTAGTGGAAAGAACAGTGGGTATAGGTCATTGTGTTAGGGGAGTTTTGGGGCATTTAGTTGGCAGATGGCATGGCAGGTGGCAGGCGCTATTAGGGTCTACGGGTAAAATTAAGTACTTGACTAAAAGTACTGCTTTCTCTACGGCATAGGATCACGATCAATTACAGGGAGATTTTAGGTGACAGCCTGGCCAGGCTAAAGAGAGGAGTACTTGCTATCAAAGTACCCCCATTCGACAAAACAGGCAATCTACCTGCCGGTTTTGAGGTTGATTGATCCTAGAACTTTCTTGCGATCTCGGGATGTTAATCAGAGACATACATGCACTGTACATGCTGCACTCTGTGATGGGGTTGGTTGTCTTGATTAGAAGCAAACCTGGACTTGGTTTTTATTTGTTTCACATATTCAAGTTCTTGGTTATCATGATCAAAGCCCAGCACAATGCAATACTGTCGAAGGAGTACAGATACAGTGAATCAGTGACTACCCCTGGCCTTGCCCTGGTTAGGTGCTAACTGTTGACCCGTTGTCCGTTGAACGCCCAGACGCCCCATTTAATACTCTTTTGATTCGGTAACGGGGCTAATAACGGAGTGCGAAATGACGACGTGTGGGGGGTGCCCGTTTCCTCGTTTCTTGGCCTTTTCGCCAACAAGCAACGCTCACTCTCACGCTCCACGCTGCCAGCCAAACATGGTCTCACCATTGTGGGTTGCCAGTGTAGTTGAGAAACGAAGACACTGTGGAAACTCGCTGATCAAGATGAAGTTATCATCAACTGTTTGGTATGCCCGGGCATACGCCTCAAGCTACATCAAGAACAGAAACTGACTTTGGACATTGCCCAACCAAAACTACAGCGCCTGGACCCCTAAACATTGCGCCAGTGCCCTTCCCCGGGCATATTTATCCCAGCGTCTCACTAATTCTCGGCTGAAGAGCATCGCGCCATTTGCGGCCTTGCAAGTCCCCCAAGCTTCGCGATCTCCCAGGATTTCCAGGGTCTTGGCCTGCTCCATGCTTCTGTTAAAGGACGCAATCCCCTATCATCAAGCACGGTTCAGGTGCCACAGATTATACGAAGCTAAAAGGATCGGTTACGGATGCACCTCATCTTGCAAATCTGGCGTACGAGAGGTTGTTAGAGGACTGCAAGGAATATACGATCATACAACAACACAAATACAAAGACAAACCGCATAAATTACAATATCGCCAACGATAGTCTCACTGGAGCAATTCGATTACACCGTCTGCAATCAAAGCTAGCGTTTCCACCTCTTGGCTGTTTCCATCCCTCATTTCCTTGATTTGATCCAAGCCTTATCGGAGGTATTGTCTTTTACATCTCTGGTCGAGCCATCATCTTGATATGGTGGATACGCAAATTACTTCGATTAGAGGCTTGCCCCTTTTCCCAGGATATTGACCTGACTTGACCCGTGCTTAGTCTGGGGCACTTTTAGCGGGGACGGCTCTACACGCCGCTATCATGTTCTACAATGTTCCGCGTCAACCAAATTCACCTGCAACACATCTCCGACATTGACACCTGCAACATGAAAAAGCAAGCATGTTTTGGAGACTCCTCTCAGTGCCCGTCGTGGGTTGCAGTTGACGTCTGCAAGTCTACCCGACTTCCACGGCCGTCATCTCGATGACGGTTAAGCGTTAAATAGCTTGCATAATGCCGATGGCACGTTGTGACCACTCGCAGTACAGCCAGTCAGGTAGTACCTTTTACAAGAGGCTGTTGTGAGGTACACTCTGGTGGACCGTATCCCTGCGACATCACCACCCTGAGCGGTCATCAAGTTGTCGTTCATCAAGCTCACCACAGAGCAAAACAAATGATATCTACAATGCCTGAGCACTGTGTTGTAAGCCGAATTAGACGCTTTCTCACAAGATATTTGCGGCGTTCGGGCCGTTGTTCAAATCTCTCACTGTCGGATAATCAGTGTCAGCCTAAGACGGGCCACTCAAATTACCCTCCACCACTTTGACCACCCAGTCACGGCGCATGTCAACATGGTTCGATTCTGATGATACCCTGGCGGTCATTGGCATTACTGGACACATCTGACGTCCATTTCCACCTCGGTTCATCGCACTGCACCTTTGCTTTACGTCCTCCCTTTGGGCACGATTGTGGTGTTTTTACAAGACGGGCGTCAGTTCTCGGTCCGGTAACCCAACGGCACTTGACCACGGAATTACTTCCGGCTATTACGATGGTCCCCAAGATTCCATTGAAGATTCTTGGGCTCGCGCTATCTTGGACCTGAGATGAGACATTGTTTTAGATGTGGTTTCTTCATACGCCTGGTATGTGACTTCTCCTGACATTGGCTGTCTTGAGTCAACCCCGGATGTCACTCAATCATGAACACGGCTCTACGAAATGTCTGTTCGCTGTTCAGCTGCTGACGACATTCAAGTCAGTAGTCCGAACAGCAGGGATCTAAATGGATGGCCCCAGATGGATGGGCGGAGTTGTCCAAAAGGTCCACCATCGAGGCAAGCCCACCTGTCATTGTCATTGTCTGCCGCTTGGCTGTGCCTTCAATGCATGCTCACGTTGACTGGTGCATTGCTTTACAAGCCTTTCAAGGTGCAGAGCCAAGTGTCTTTCTTATTCGGACCCCCGCATTGCGAGCCTTGTTTCTAGACATGGGCTGCACGGAACAAACTGCGTTGACGAAACACACGGACGTGAGTTCGAGTGCGATGTGATTGCAACCTGATCACACTGACCGGACAATCACATTTCCCTTTTTGTTTCTACAGCAAACATTGAGCCAGTTGAGTGATTTTTCGAGCCAATACACGACTGAGGCATGGGTCTCAGCTCCCAACTCGGGCACACAATTCTCTTTTGGGTCGTCGGCTAAAGGCCTCCAATCTTGAACTTCCCCAAACTATTCGTGTCTCGGCTATTGGCTGGGGTTCCGCATGCTAGACTCGTCAGCACCTCTCATGCAGTCTTCAATGCTCTGTGACTCGTGGTTTTGAAGATGTTTGGTGCCTGACGCCTTGTCGAGATGCATCTTGTTGCAGTGTTCTATGCTACAGAATGGTAACAAGTGACCCAAGAGCTGGAGTATGCGTGACTCGGTAATGGAAACCGCGAGCGGCAACCAACTCGGTTGATATAGTTTGCCCCACGCGATAGAAAACCGACGACTCGTGGAGAGGTTGATACAGGATCAAACTGTATACCTCACAAATGGGAGGCATCTGCGCGATTGGTAGAATGTACAGAGATCCCGCACAGTCATTGAGACGCTCCATCTGCCTCACAACATCTCCAACTACGCCTTTGCCCTTCTCAAATGGCCGGCTATCCATGCTTGTGATTAAAGGTCCGTTTCCGTCATTCTCGTCGAAGTATAGATCTTCAAATCTCTCCCCATTGCATTCATCCACGAGATAGATGGCACCGTCTTGCGCCTCAAAGCTCACCGGCCCTATGATATTGCCGTGAACTACAATGGCACTGTCTGTGATTGAAGCGGAATTGATGTAGCTGTCAGACAATGCAACTGGTGCAGACTCCAAAGTGACCAAGGGACCAGGCTTGCCTAACATAAACGATTCCAGATGCCCTATATGTCCGAGTTGATAGGGGCCAAGGAGGGAAGCGGTTGGCAACTTTAAGCCAGTCAAATTGCTTAAATTCCGGACTACCGTGTTGATTCTCCTCGTTGGCCAAAAACTCACGACAATGCCACCATAGCTGGTTCTGTGAAAGGATGAGGGACCGAGGCGAGAGATACCATTCTTGGTAAACCCAACCTCGGTGCCTCAATGGACTTTCCGCAATATCTTCATGGAGCATGGAATCGTAGTGCAGAAAGAAACTATCCTTTGAACTGTTTTCCCATGTCGTACTAACCTCGGGCATTTCCAAAATACCTTTGCTTCTACCAATGAAGCTTTCCTCCGTGCTATCAGCGGCCGCCGCGGCACAGATGTTGAGGTACGAATTCCCATACACATGTTGCATGGTTATGGCCTCTCGTTCCCAGTCGTCTCCAGAATCCTGAAATATGCAAAGCGAGTCAATCCATATAAAACCGATGCCAAGTTTCAGGCATATGAGGATTGCTTCTTGGTAACTTTTTGGAAGAGACATTACGTCCGTTCCATGTTGAAGTTGATCTTTGGTATCTGACTCCAACTTGATAGTTTGTGTTTTGCCCCAGCAATGAGACAGAGCGGCGTAATTACCTGTCTCTTCACTTGCAGTGTGTATAAGTTTGACTGTCTGGTTGTTCAAGATTTTCAACAGCCGTGTCGGGCGGTAGAGAGAATCTTGTGGTCTGCAGCCGGGATGGTTGATGTCACAAGACGCTACCCATTTGAGTGCTGCTTGGCTAACGCCTATCCATCTGTGGCGCTTAAGTGAGAATACAGGTTCATTGTAGTCGGAGGCAACATCTGGCGAATGTAGATCTGAAAAGAAGTTAGATATAGGACGTGATAAAACCAGAAGTAACGAACATCCTGACTTTGCCCTCTCGAACGTCCATTGGTTAGTCCCTCCAGGGATCTCAGCACATACTCCTCCTCTAATATCGAGAGCCTGGAACTCGATATCTCCTTTGACGTTTCTTTTATTTGTCCGTTAGCTCTGTTGGTATAGAATCGTTGCAACATTACTTGCATATCGGATTTACAGATGACACTGTACTTGAGGCCTTCTATAAAGGCCTCTGGGGCTGATTCTCTCCATCGTTTGGTGTGGCTGATTGTCCAGCATATGTAACAGCCCAGATCTCCGGCATCTAAAACTTCACGAAATGTCTTGAAATGTTTTGATTCTCCGTATTGTGGGCGAGTCTCAATGATGTGATTGCATCTTGAGCATAGACCGGAGGGTTGGAGGCTCGACATTAGCGGAGATAACAGGTTGGAAACCTTTTTGTAGCTCTCATTAATGAGAGAAAGAAATTATGGTAAGTATATTCGCAACTAAATGAAGAGGAACAATGTTGGAATGCTACTGGAACAAGTTATTTTATTTGCTTGTGCCAATGAGGCTGAGCATGGTATCAGCCTAATCACCAGGGGAAATCGTGGGGCCTGCAATGATACCCTAAACGACAAATGTATTGGCTATATCCTTGGCATTCACCAAGGCATACTGATGGGAGATACATGCAGTTCTTGCTATCTTCTCACCTGCTCTTAAACTGTGATATAAACCGGTTGCAAGTAGATAAAGTTCAAACATATTGAATTGCACGAAATCAGTGGCTAGATAAATAAATAGGTATATACAAATGATAATGGTAGTTACTTTGAGTCCCTGAACATAGGGAAATACCTCCTCAGACCTCCTCGCTTTTGCGCCTGATCTCTCTCCATCATCTCAGCCTCAAACTCCCTCCTTGCCGTCTCCTTTGCAGCAGCTATAGCATCTTGATGTGCCTTTTGCCTTTCCTGTTCTGCTATTTGCTCTGCTTTTATCCTCTTCATCGCCGCTTCCTCAGCATCACGTTTCGCCTTTTCAATCTCACGTTTTGCTTCTTCCTGTGCCAAACGCATATCCTCCATTCTTCTGTGAAAAGCTTCTTCCGTCTCTGTTCTGATACGACGTTCCTCCTCATTTCGTCTTTGCTCCTCCTGTTGCCGTCTTTCTCTTTCCTCGTTGGCACGGGCTTCAAGTTCATATCTTGCAATCTGTCTTTCTAACAGTGATATACGTTCCAAAGATTGGTTGAGATGTTGCTTTTTGTTTTCCAATTCCTCTTCCAATCGGTCTCTTGAAGGCGGGAAGGTGTATGTGCCGCGACTAGCATCGTCATCTTGCCAGTTGCGAGCTGTATCATCGGACGATGCAGCTTGAGCTCCTTGTCTTTGTGTAGGATGGACGATCTTGACAGCCAATTCTCTGACTACCTTCTGTAACCGTAGGTGCTCCGAAATCTCGATGAAGTCGTCGTCAGACATTGTTTCCAGAAAGACGGCAGAATCTGTTTGGGACTGACGGCGAGTGAGTTGCATTTGATCCTGATCATGCATAGATGATCGCGATACCAAAGCAGAGTCTTCTGATTTATATTCCCCATTTCCTATCTGCGAAGAAGGCGTCAGGGAGTTTTCGTATTCGGACCTGAAAGTAGTGTCGAGTCGTTCTGCATCCAGTAGTGCCGTTTTTGTATACTGAGTTTCGACAATCAAGTTGCACACCTCTTCCTTGATATGTTCCCTATAAGAGTGTTAGAATGGTGCACATAGCATCATAATACGGAAGGTAACTGACGCGACATCTTTACTTCCTTCATCTCCATTCTCAATAAAGTCCAGTGTATGAAGAAAAAGGCCCAGTGTAAGCTTCAACGAATCCAGTGATGCTCTTCGAGAAGATACTTTGGCTTTCTCAAACAGCCACTTGACTTTGTCTTTCAACTTCAAGGTTTGTCCGAACGGGGATGTCAAAGGGACGAGAAATCTTTCGACGCCTTCAATATCAGTCTTGCAAAGGGCGGTAATCTCGTAGGCAACGTCAACTACCTCCACGCTTAAGTTATCTGCTTTGCTGAGACGCTTCTTGAGCTCATTGAGGATCAGTGATACGGCCTTGAGATCTGTCGCGATTCCAGATATCTCGGCCCCTGCAGCGCCTAGCTCACTAGTGAGAGTTGAAATGGCCTTGGCGGCTTTGAATCCAGCAGCAGTGATGGTGCCAATACTGGCGACAAGGCCGATGATTTCTGCCATGTTACTGTAGTACCAAATAACTTTGCGTTTGATGGAGGATTGAATGCGGTGAAGTCGGAAAATTGACCACGAATTTAGTGTGCGAACGATAAGATAGTTGCAGCACCCCTGGTCCAGCCTCAAGGCGGTGGAGCAAGGTTGCATGACAGTCATGCAACATGCGTTGGCGATTATCACATGCTTATGAACAACCATGTATCAGGCTCCCAGTAGAAATGACATGGGGCATCTTTTGGACCATGACCAAATCAATGGTCTGATCACAGAATCTTGACTCAATGCATAGCCACTGTGAAAATATAACAAGGCGGTTTATACACCTTAGGGTAACAAGCTTGTAGGAAACCAGTTTCTGCCTGTATGGAATAACCGTCACAGTTGCAAAATTGTTACTTCCTCTGATTATTCGATATATACCTAATAACAGTTAGTTTTATATCTATATGTCTTGTTCGGTCTAATATGTCAGAACTAGCTAAGAGACTGCCCACCTCCTGGAATAGCCTAATGTTCTTCCCAATAAAACACGGACTTCCTCCAAGCATATCTATCAACCGCGTCCCCCAATTCAGCAATAGGACCACTGCGGACTTTTAGATCGCATATATTGCTTTCAGCATGTTTAAGCAGAAAACTAAGTGACCTGAATATGTCTTGCTGTGCGCCCCGGCAATTCGGGCAGTAATGGGGGTTTGTCCCATGATCATAGAGCTTGCGACCTTCTTTGCAGTCCGTGATGCTGTTGAAGAGCTCGTCTGGGGACTTCCATAGGAAGTCGTCCTGGTGGCGGGTTTCGATATGTTAAAGCATTCCTGAGGCCTTGTGGATTATTTGGGAACAGCCGAGATAATCAGCGAGGCACGACATGCCACTCAATCTTTCGCCATACTCAGGCTATACGTCGCCTTCTTCGTCTTCATCTCTTTCTATATCATCAATTGACTGGTTGATTTTGTCTTCACCGTTCATCGAGTCTCAGTTCTGGTCTGAGTCCGAGTCTCAAGGATGTTGATAATCGCTGTCGTGATCATTATAATGATCATTAGAATAAGCCAATGGTGTGCTCATCGGTCGATCATCAAGATCGACCGGGTGATGGGTTTGCTCAGTGGTTCAGGCGCATCGTACTCCATATAGTAATTATTGGAATAAGCACACGGCGGGGTCATGGGCCGGTAATTACGACCAACTGCGTGCTGGTTCGCGGCAGATGTGGTGATATGTTCAATTGGTGGTTTGAACTCATTGAAATTGGTTGGGTATTGGCACTCGGGAGGCTGGGTATGAACGATGGGCTCACTCAGTTGGTCAGGTTCTTGCTTGATCTGTCGAGGAGGAGAAATCCGGGGAGGTGGATGCTTGTCCTTTTGATGATGATCAAGCGCTCTTTGCAAGCGGAAAGACCTCTTGCAATGGGAGCACTTGATCGTCTTGTGCTTAGCACCATTGTGGTTGTCGAGTGCACGTCGGGAGTTGAAATTCTTGTCACAAAGAGTACAAGAAAGAGAGTTCTGGGCAACAGCTTGATGTGCTGATGAAGATTCACCCATATGCTGAACAGGAGCTTCCAGATTGACTTGTGGCTGGCTTTCCTGCTTGGTGTGGCTCGCCTGGTTGCTTTGACTGTTGTTCAGTGCATTCGTATTTGTCTGGTTGATTGCATCCGGGGCAGATTGTCCCAAGTTTCGTAGCTTAGTGAAAAGTGAAATGTGCCATCGCGAATAGCAACTTGAATGTCGCTAAAAGGCCCTGACTGAGACACGACTTGTGAGAGTGCCCGTTCAAGCGTGGTCTGGGCAGTTGAAGTAGCTGGCTGTTGCTTTCGGCGCCTCAATCGGCGATGTCGTTGGACGCTTCTCTTATTAGTGAATTCCTTGGGGTATTCAACACATCTAAAAGTCTCGTTTGGACCAGAAACTTGGGGTTCGATATTTGCCATCTTTCAGATGAGTGTATTTTGGTTGTGTTTTGGAAGCCGTGAAAATCTTGGGAGTGGACTTGTGAGACCAGGGTTTTAATTAGTTTTAATTAGTACCTATTTAAAGCAAGTCCGCGTTGCTGAGGTTTCAGTAATAGCGCGGCCCGTGATGTGAGGGTCGGCCAGTCGATGACATGACTGAAGGAATTATTCGAGCAAGCCGATGATAAATAGGTACATATTCTTGTGGCAGCCTCTCCAGAGCATTTGAAACAATTCAGGTTTTCATGTCCATATGTATTGTTAATGAGCTGTTGCTCTAGTCAAAGGATTCCTCAATTCGAGCCAACTCTCTGAAGAAGCTGCAATGATATAGGGTGTAACTTATGGATGAACATTGAGCCGATATATGACCAATTGACCATAGTTTTTCTGAGACTGAATTCTTAGCTCCATGGGCTTCAGTCGGTGGCCCTGCCTGCAAGCTTCTCCTGGTGTCAGTATCTTTTGCCGTAGCTAGAAGATACATTATAGGATTGTTCAATGACCATAACCATCACTACTGCAACACCTGGGTTTCCCGCAAATATTTGATATAACACTTATTATTACCTAATCCTAAAATATCAGACCAAAGAGCGACAAATATTAAACCAGCTAACAATCAATCCCTTAAACACTACCCATATCTCCCACATCAGTACACACTTACCTAGATGTACTTATAGTTATCCAGCCCTTCCTCAGAACCAGCTTAGTTGCCCTTCTAAAAGAATTCCTGATTCTGACTACAGACGCTCAGTGATCACTCCCACTCATCCGCAAATTCCAGAAGCTTGGAACGAATTTCTTTGATAGGACCGGTGCAAACTCTCAAGTTGCACTGATTGCTCTCAGCATGATCAACAAGCTGAAACAGGTAATCGAATCTGCCTCCACCTTTGTTCTTACAGTTCGGGCACTTATAGTTCACTTTGATATCATCATAGACCTTTCGACTCCATGCATTGTAGTCGAAAATGTCGAAATCTGACCATAGCATATCGGCCGGGCAATAGTGAAGTTCAACATGCTGTAACATCATCGAAGCTGTAGAGAAGACTTGAGCGCAGCTGACGTGACTGAAAAGGCATGGGATGCGGCCTGCTTGACCGTATTCAGGCCATTTTGGACCTTGATCGTCTTCGTCAGACTCCAAGGCGTCAACCTTCAAGTGTTGCTTCATGTTAACCTCTGACTCGTCCGCTGACTCACACTCGGAGTCATCCTCCAAATCACTTTCTGAGTCGCCCTCCGACTCACCCTCTGAATCGTCCTCTGAGTCGTCGCCCAAGTCAGAATCTGACCCATCTAGTCTTTCACTTAACGGCTCGGAATACAATTCGACATTGGAATTGTAGACTGACTCTTGCTTGATCTCTTTGAGAGTGACTGTCTGATTCGGGAGGCATACTTTCTTATGTTCTCTGAAAGACTTCCAGCCAGGGAACCTCGCATTGCAATGGCAAGTTTGGGGGTAATGGCTATCGTTTTCATGTGCCCAAAGTGCCTTCTGAGTGCCGAAAATCCTATCGCAAGGATAACAAGTCAAGTTGTCAATAGCAACAGCTTCAAGCAGGTTTTGTGGTGCATGCGCATTCATGTTGTGACGTATGGCTGCATCTTTGGTCTCGAACACCTTGTCACAGATGCTACAAGTAAATGCGGTCATAGCAGAAGCTTGAACGAAGACAGGAACTCTGGGTGGAGCTGATGACGCTTTGTGCTTGTCTATGTTATGATCTTCAATTGCATTTCGAGAGTTGAAGGTCCTGTTGCAAAGTGCACAAAAAAAGGGGGGCTTGGAGGCGTCTTCGGGCGCCATAGCCGATTCAGGATCCTGGTCGATAGAAGTTGTAGGCATGACGCGCGGTCTGTATTCCTGTCTAAAAGCATCACTCAAGACGTTCGGTCGCTCTCTATCGTCATTCAAGATGCCTACGCCAATCTGGACCACATGTCGGAAGAGCATGCTGCCAACTTTAACGAGATCCTAGCTACCTGCCAGACTGTACTCCACAAACTGGAAAGCATGATGAACAAGTGGAGCGGCATATCGGATACAAGCAAAAGCAAGACAGCACAGAGATTGTGGAAAAGACTGAGGTGGGAACCAGATGAGGTTAGCGATCTACGGATGCAAATTACATCCAAGGTTGCACTTTTAAACGCCTTCACTGATCAAGCAACAAGCCAAAACGTGGCAAAGCTCGTTCATCGAAATGACAATGATGAAGAGCAAGCCATGCTGGATTGGTTAAGCTCTATCGACTACATCCCCCAGCAAAACCATCTGGTCAGCAGACTCCAAGCCAACTCGAGAAGGTGGCTTTTCGATTCAGCTGAGTACCAGAATTGGGAAAAGCAGAGAGGCCAGGTTTTGTTTTGTCCAGGTGACCCTGGTACTGGCAAAACCTTTGCCACGGTCATTGTGCTTGAAACGTTGCAGGAACAGGCACAGGATAACCCTCATGTGCTGAACACGTTCACGTACTGTACATATCAAGCGCCCGACCAGGACGTCCAGGGTCTGATATCCAGCTTATTTCGCAATTCTCTACAGCAAGCTGCAAATATTCCCGAGGCTATCCTTTCTAAATGACATCGGAAACGAAGCGCAAAGCAAACCCTGTTGAGAGATGAGACAATTAAGCATCTAGAGACGCTATACAATTCCTTTCAGAAAGTTACCTTGCTAATGGACGCTTTGGATGAAGTCCCAACAGAAGTGAGTCGGCCTTTCATTGCGGAGATCATCAAGCTACAGAAAATCTGTCAGATCAACCTGTTTGTGACGTCTCGTCACATTCCCGAGATACAAAACCAGTTTACCAACAATGGAGCAGCTGTTCTAGAGATTCGAGGAAGCGACAAAGACATTCGCCAGTTTTTGAACAATTCAATCTTCCAGTTGCCCCGGTTTGTTGCCAGAGATCCAACATTTCAGATCGTGATCATCGAAAAGATCACCGAAGCTAGTTCCGGAATGTAAGTAGCTTATTCTTACTCCCAGATCTGATCTATCACACCCCTACAAACGATATCTCTCTAGAGATAAGCTCAGGTAACCGGTTTTCTGACTAACCTTGACCCAGGTTCCTTCTCGCAGAACTCCATTTGCGATCTTTGAAAAACAAAAAGTCTCCAAAGGCCCTACGATCCTCGCTTGCCAAGTTGTCCGTTGGGTCGGATGCCTACGACAGCGCGTACCAAGATGCTATGACAAGAATTGCTGGGCTGGGTTCGGAATCTGAAGAACTTGCCAAGCAAGCTTTGCTTATAATAACATTCGCCCGGGAGCCTCTACGCACAGAGGATCTATCATATGCATTATCTGTTGAACCCGACAGTGAAAATATCGACGACGAGAACGTCCCAGATATCGAGGACATCGTGGGTGTGTGCGCCGGTCTAATCATCATCGACAAGGAGAGTAACATAGTCAGACTCGTACATAAATCAGCAAAGGAATACTTTGAGCGCCACCAGACCCAATTGTTTCCAGGAGCTAGCAAAACAATGGCAAGACTTTGCCTCAAATTCATCGGTTTATCCACCTCAATAGCAGGCTTCGACAAGAGGGTCGAAGCGTCATGGCCGCCCTTTTGGAGATATGCCGACATAAATTGGGCCTACCATTCTCGCCGCGCCGAAAGAGATGACGGGATTATCAAAATGACAGATGTTGATGTTGTTCCTAGTAAAGTGGTCTCTGACCTGCATTCCGTAGCGACGTTGGCGGTCGATCTGCTTGCCAGAGACATAGCAGGGGGCCTACCTACAGCGCTTGAAAAGGCTTTTCAAGAAAGACGTCATGCCTTAGTAGAGTTGCTTCTCACTGTTCACGACTAAGACCTAAATCACCAGCCACAAAGCAGATATACTAAAAAAAAACCCGGCTGTTTTCTGCTCATGCTGGTGATGGCGATGATGCGATGGTTAGGCTCTTCCTTCGTCATGGGGCGGACCCGAGCCTAGTTTACTCATCTGTCTGCTCAAAATTGGCACCTATTTATACCGCGGCAGAGATGGGACACGAGGACATTGTGTCTCTTCTTTTGGAGCAACCGACGGTTGCCCCGGATTGCAAATGTATGGAGTATCGATGATGGAAAGGCGCGGCCTACGCGTTCGTACTCTGGACTCCACTACTAGCTGCCGCTTATTATGGCCACACAAAATGTGTAAGGCTCCTGCTCGATCATGCACAAAGGAGCTATAGGGATGAAAAGGGCGGAAACGTCGCATGCATTGCTGCCTTGGCTGGAGCAACCGAAGTTCTCGAAGAGCTGATAAAATGGTCAGACATCGAGTTCGATCCTACAACAGGTGTTGAGGGTGTTTCGACTTTGGAGGCGGCACTCAAAGCTCAAAGTGAGGAGGCTGCTCTGATTCTGATACCTTATTCCGACGCCAATCCCGTGTACTCATGTGGTGACAGACCATTGAACCTCGCTGCTAAAGTCAAGTCCATCGAATCCGTCCGGCTACTCTTTTCTCAGAATATATCTGTCAATGCAAGAGGAATACACGGCCACACAGCTCTTCACAACGCTGCTGTCATGAGAAATGAGGACATGATAGATCTGATCCTTAGCCATCCTGATATCGATATAAGCATTTGCGACAACGATGGCAACACGCCTCTTATGGCGTTTCTACAATGTCCATTAGGTATGAAGAGAGTGACGTTGAGGTCATCAAAGATGTTTTTATCAAGTTCCGAGCTGGATATCAATGCACAGAATCCGTCAGGCGACACAGCTCTTCTCATAGCTGCGTCTATGGAAGGCCGATACTATCCAGAAGAGGATGAAGACATATTCATGGCTTTTTTAAAATCATGCCGGTGTACACAAAGAGCACAAAAACAAGCGTGGTCAAACAACCCTAACCATTGCTATTCTGGCAGGCTCACAGAGGGTTCAAACCATTGTGGAGGAAACGCATCTGTCATATCAATTCAGCGAGGTCGACGATGACGGAGAAACACTACTTTCTCTTGCGTCCAGACACTACAGAATGTCGCAGAGCACGTGGGAGTACATAATAAACATGTCGCCTTCAGAGTTCTTGCATGGCAAGAATAGCCGGGGCACTACTCCTGAACGAGTAAGGAGGCTTTTTTACGGCAATGAACGTTGAGCATAATGAACTCTATCTGTTTTGAAGAAAGTGATAGAGAGCTGCCAGAAACGATAAGTTCTGGACTTCAAGGTGATTACTTACAAGACAGTGCAAGTAGCTTAACTGTTGGGATATTGTAAGAGAAATTAAATATTTTATTCAATGGTTCACAATAAGCGAGTCAGCATTGAAAGCTCATCATCGAACTCTGTCTCGGAAAACTTCACGTGTAATGCGGCTTTCAACAGATAATTATCATTGATCAGAAGCTTACCCAAGAAATCCCGGTTCTAAAAGCACGTTTCTCTGTTAATATGCAAATGTAGTAAGCCAAGATGCGTTCGGGTCCAAGGGCCCAAACTCCAAAGATGTCTCAACCAGTCACGTCTCCACGTGCTCCAATTAAACCGCGTAATTTCCAAGACTTTCCAACTTCAGACCTCAATCCTAGTCATTCACTATTTCTCCCTCCCATCAACGCTCGTATAAAATGTCGCTCTCCTGGTTCCGCTGTAGAGCGAGGCTGCTCGCTTTAGTAGCAGTCTTTCTTTTCGGGACATTCTTCTGCCTCACACAATACGCAGACATGGGCTCGTTGCGTCAGGGTTCCTTTTTAGCCCTTCTCTCATCAACACCAGCTGTCATAGGGTCTGATCCTAAATTAAAATGGTATCCTCCTAGTGAGAATAAGGTCAATTCTCTAAATGGTGCGATTAATGGGGAGGGGACTTATGGGTTTATCTTTGACTCGTCGGTTACACCTGATGAGAAGTATGGCACGTATAATTGGTGTAACATGCCTCATGCTAGGAAGAGAGAGTATGAGAAGCCTTCCAAGGAGTATGAGCTTCAATATGTTGAAGTGGTAAGTTTTCTTCAAATCATTCATTCGTGGGATCGTATGACTTACCCAAGACCAGATTCAAAGGCACCACAAGCGCACTCCATATGCAAGCAACGCGTTTCCAGTAGAACCATACCAATGGAACTGCGATAATCAGGGTCTGTACTACTTCGGTAGACAATTCACCGATGAACCCAAATCCAACGCTCAAGGCTACTGGAAAGGCTTCATTTCCGACATCAACCCCTTCATCCCGTCCGGATGGATCGGATCGTGTCAGTTTCCCCAAATCACAGCTGAAGGTCTCGATGATTCATGGGTTCATGGAAAAGATCTCTATGAGGTGTATCACGACCTTCTCAACTTTATTCCCGGCCGTGATGAGGACTGGCGAAGCAAGGTCAACTTCAGAGTCACCAACAACCAAATCACGAGCCAAGTCGCAGGCATGTTTATCAACGGTATGTATCAGGCCACCGATTCAGTCCCGTTACGTATCCAACAAGCGGGCGTGGATAGTCTTGAGCCGCAGTACAAGTGTAGCGTTGGAAGCAAGCTCAGCAGCGCTATTAAGTCGTCCTCCAACGCAGAGTGGAAGAAGCATCTCGACAAGACGAGAGATCTGTACAAGACTCTGGATGACATCTCGGGTGTGCCAGCTGATGACGAGGGCTTTCATGAGAGCTTTGATCATTACTACGATAATTTGTCTGCGAGACAATGTCACGCCAAGCCGTTCCCTTGCAAGCTTGTCGATGGGAAGAATTCTACTACATGCGTTGATCAAAAGCTTGCCAACACGGTCTACAGATTGGGTCAATGGGAATACTCCCAGATCTACCGCGATGCGCCTGCTTCGTTGGCTGCGTCAGCCACATCGTGGGGTGTATGGGTCGCCGAGCTGGCCAGCCATTTTAGACAAGTCATGGCTGGCAAGCAAGACATTCTGTATCTCCACAATTTTGCCCACGATGGTTCGGTCAGTCGTCTTTTGAGTATTCTTCAGATTGATGTCATGGTTTGGCCTGGTATGGGAAGTGAGGTTGTGTTTGAGCTTTACAAGAAGGGCGGCGAGTATTTTGTGAGGATTTTGTTCAGTGGCAAGACATTGAAATCATCGCATCCAGATTTGGGGGTCATGGAGATGGTTCCTGTTGAGAGATTGTTGGAATATTTTGATGGATTGACTGGTAAGGATGCCAGTCTTGTCAAGGGTAGATGTTCAGGTGAGATTCCACTGTAGATGGTGGACATTAGGTGTAAATACTACCCTACAGTTTGTGAGTTTTTGGTTTGTTGTGGTACGATGCTTACTCGTGGGTCATTGGCCATGAATTGAGTTTTGTTTAATTACGTGCATAATAACCCATTAAAGTTGCATGAAACAAGTTTATATTCACCTTCTTGAGTATTGTTTGCCTTGTCGGTGGTGAGTTTGCCAAGGCACTGTAACCGAAGAACAAAGAGAAAAGAAGCGACTTTTTCTCTTTTGGCTCTATTGACATTAATTTGAGCGTGACCCCTAAAGTGGGCTACAGGTGACCAATCAGAAGAGTCTAGTCCTGTTCTCCCCTAACAACGGTGATAAATTAAATAAACTTCCGTATCGAAAGGTTTTGCCCATTGAATGAATTCATGATCCCTTCGTCGTCGCCCTCAACATCAATTGACTGCACTGCGATACTCCGCCCTTACCGCGGGAGCATTCAATACACTGGCCTTCTTAAGGGGGGCGCATTGTCTCACCAATTAAGCCCCAGGCCGCACCACCACCAGCAGCGGGCGCGTACATACGCACTGTAACCCGCCAAAACAATGCGTCATCATTCCAGAGGTTACTATTCAACCTCTTCTGGCAGTTCAGGCCCGAGATCAGATTACAGCACCAGCCCTGGAGATACAGCATCAAGCTACAGTTCAAATTCTAGCTATTGTCCGCCATGCAAGCGGTATTTCCGCTGTGAGACATCTCTGGACCAGCACATCCTCGCCAAGCATCACGACACGTATTGCTGGCGATGCGACAGGCATTTTAATCATGTCGCTGCTCTTGAACAGCACGTCGCCAATTCGTACAAGCATCATGTCTGTACCCACTGCGATCATCAGCCCGACTACGAGACTGCACACGATTTAAATCAGCATCTTGAAGAATCTCACAATGCTTGTCTGGAGTGCAACGAATTATTCTACGACGAAGAGGATTTAATTCAGCATGATGTAGAAGTCCACAATCGATGTCCCACATGTCAAAGATTCTTTGATTCACCATCCAACCTCATCAACGTAAGTTCATACTATACCCCTTGCATTTATTCTGTCTCACAAATATCTGACAACCACTCCGTAGCACGAAAAAGTCCACTTGGAGAAAAAAATGAAATGTCTGGCATGTCCAAGAATGTTTATTTCTAATTCAGCCATGATGCTTCATCTAGAGCATGGCACTTGCGAATCAGGCGCCAACCTCCGCGTTATCAAGAACGTCGTGGCAGATTGGTATGAAGAGTACGGACCAGCCGGACATCACCACGAAGACGACTTTCGATGCGAAAACTGCGGTTCTCATTTTAATCGACTTAGTGCATTGCTTCAGCATGCAGAAAGTGAGACTTGCGATGCTGCTGTGTGGGATTTTTATCGGATCTTTGTTCATATTGAGTACAACCAGGACGCGTTTCAACTTTTTGACTACTGAAGGAATTTTTATTGGGATTTTTGTTTAGTATATAATGAGTTTTGGATTCTTCTTGTATTCAGCCAGGCGTATTTTTGGGAATATAGTATAGGTGTTTATAGATTTAAATCAGGATTGGACATTGTGAGGTTGGTATCAACTGCTGAGCGAGACATACCTGGGTTGTCAGTAAGACAAGACACGCCAGTCAATCGTATGCATCATATGTCATGGTTTTATTTCCATTTTGGAACTTTTTTTTTCTGCCATCGTTAAACTTTCCTAGCCATCCAGTAACTTTCATCTATTCCTAGATGTATTATTATCGCTTCAGCCATCGACGAGGGACGGGCCTCATGGCTGAAACCTAAGCAACAAGAAACTTTTCATTTTTACACTACCTAATCAAACAATAAACATCCTAGCCCCAATTTCCCCTTTTCACCGTCTCCTAAACACAATGCCGCACCCACTCATCTTTAGACACAGTTTGCGTAAATGCATTTCTTGTGGAGCAATGGACTTCGAGCCTTTGACTCCAAACCCGGTCACGCCAGAACAGCCAGATAACGTCAACCAACAACATGGGTCATTTGCCATGCTCAAGAACCGTCGTTATTGCGATGACTGTTCCAAGCCTATAGACAAGGTCTTGGTAACCTTGAAGCATTGGCATAAAGAGCACGGCACTCCGGAACAAGAGAAACCACCAGCCTAGCACAATCATCTTACCCGAGGCTTTGACTATTGTTATGAATGTTTAAAGGCCCTCGACGAAACTCTCGGATCAGATACATGCAAAGACATGCATCCCCACAACCGGGGAAATGAAACAGCACTCTACATTGAAGCTCTTGCCATGCAGAACCCTGACTTTCTATTCAATCTTATACATCTTGCTTTGGCCAAATTGTTTTGCATTATCTGCGACAGGAAGTTTCAAAACAAACACGAAGTTGAGAAGCACATCAAGCGTAGGCACGGGAGCGGAATAAAGAGATATGTTGGATCAACCGCATTTCCTTGTACCATCTGTAACAAGATCTTTCAGAGCAAAGAGGCAGTTAGCAGCCACAAAAAGTTTCAGCATCCCTCCGGTGATCCCATCTGGTACTGTAGCGTCTGCGACAAGTCCTTCATAAACCACGACCAAATTGAAGATCACAACTGGGATTTCCACTATGGATGTGTGCGCTACAATATTCGTCGTACCAGAGCCACCTTTACTTGCACCACCTGCAACAAGACGTTGAACGCCCAAAAGGAACTCGACAATCATGTCGAACAGGGACATACAGCTCCACCAGTCGGGTGTAGTCTCTCCGAAGAGGGCGCCTGGTATTGCAGCGCCTGTAACCTGATGTTTTGTAGCCAATGTGCAGTCAACCACCACAACGAGGATACACATTGGGGACGTAGAATCTTCTGTTTACCTCGCGCCTGGGCTGCCTCCACTTGTGTCGCCTGTAACAGAAGATTCAACAACCACGATGGACTCGCTAATCATCTCGCCAAAACGCAACACAAGCTACCAGCGCTATCCAAACTCGACGCACAACTCATGCCTGCAGCTCCCAGCAAGGACGCCTTTTCTTACATCATGTCTCATCGGAGCATCAATACCTAATCACCAGACAAGGCCGGATTTTCTTGTATGAGTTGCGACCAGACCTTTGACACCCCACTTAAATTCGAGCATGTACTAGACACCAGATGTTTCATGATCCGAGAGAAGGCTTCACAGATACCTCTATGGCATTTTTTGTTTGCGAACCCTGCGAGGTGTTCTTCCTTAAAGAGCGTGCACTCGACATCCATGATGAGGTTGTGCATGGCGAAACACCAGTGAAGCGTGGACCTTGATGTGACTGCTGTGACGAGATCTTCAACAGCCTGCCCGTATTGGACGATCATCTCAAGGCTGAACATTACCACGTTTGTGTACCCTGGAACATGATATACCGTTACTCAAATGAGTATGATGAGCATGATGAGCACGAAGAAGTACAAAAGTTTGAGGATGCCTATGATGAAGCTCAAAGACTACGTGAGATTCGGGCAGCGCAAAAGCAACAACTTGAACGAACAAACACTCCCATCCCTGATTCCTCAGCTAATGATCGATCCAAAAAGTCTAAGGATGCTCGCACCGGTAACTTTCGTTGTGCTCCCTGTGACAAGACCTTCGAAACCCAGCAAAGACTCGAACAACATGCTCGTGATAAGCATGATATTATCCTGAGAAATAAGTGCACTCCTTGCAACAAAAAGCCCTTTGGCTCCCAGAGCTCTCTAGAGCAGCATGAAAGAGAAAATCACGGCGTCTGAAGAACTGTTCCCGGAGCAAATACAGGTAGCGATGACTCCGACGATGGTGGCGATGACTCTGGCGACGGTGTGCCTGTTGATTCCAATGCTCATGAAGGATGCGATGGTTCTCATGACGATGGTGAATCTAATAGTTCTCTTGAAGATGCCGCTCCCACCCGCCGTCGTTGCGACGCCTGCGACAAGACTTTCTTGGGCCAAGATTGACTCGACTATCACAATAGTGCTATACATGGCCCCTCACAGCCCGATAAACTGATTCCTCCCTTCTCCTGCGTCGTCTGCCGCAGAATCTATGGAAACGAGGCCAAGGTAAAAAAGTACAATAGTAGGAATCATGAAAATGAACCGTATGCACTCGAGTACAATTCGTTTGAGGGATATGATGACCTTTATCTCACAGACGACTACGACTGTGAGGAAACTCTGTGACCCAAGCGCGGGGAAATAGGATACCTATGATGTTCTGGTAGAGGTCGAGGCTGCCATGAAAAATTCAACAAGGGCTCTGAAGTGGGGAGACACGTTGAACAAGGCGATTGCGAAACCGCATGGAGTTATGAGGACATATCCTCCCTATTCAACAAAAAAATGTCGACAGAAGATAGCTATCTTTTAGACCGCAAGGCGGATAGGTAATCTCTACAAGCATCCCAGGTGCAAGGGAACAGGTAGAGGCAAGTATACAGAGCTCAGCGACCTTTTTAGACACGAAGAGAGCGGTGTCTGCGGTCTGAGGGTCCGCAACGGTCCTCTCCATGACGTCTTTGATGCGCTTCTGGGGCGCACTCTTCAACTCGCCATGGAGGAGGACATGAGCATGGACTCGGATGACTACTGGATGTACGGAGGTGCTGAGTCAGACGAAGAATATATGGACTACATGATGGGTAATGGCATTAGTGTATGCTATCTTGCGTGATATGGATATTAATCAAGGGTGGTTCGTATATCCAGTTTGGCCATTTATATAAGATATCACCACACATATTCGTTACTTCTTAGCTTGCTGATACCTAAATTTCAGTCCTCGTTAACAAGAACATATCGAAACCTGGGCTTTCCTGCTTGAAGATCCTTCAATGCCTCATTAGCCTCTCTCATTGGACGTTCCTCAACCCATGGCTTAAGATTCTTATCAGCTGCCAATTGAAGCATATCCCGCATCTCATAGGGACTCGCAGTTTGTGTAGAAGTAAATCTGCCACGGATTGGTAGTAGCGAGAAGATGTTTATCGGAATTGGTTTCTCGGGTGCGCCAACTTGAACCATTGTGCCATCTACTCTGAGAAGACCCAAGTATTCGTTCCATGGCATCTGATATGTATTAATAAATAATAACGTAGTGGCTGAGATGGTAAGACTCACGTTAATTCCATCGGCTGTGCTGATGATAAGGTCAAACCTCCTCTTATTTTTCTCAGCCCAGCCTTCTTCGCTCGTAGCAATGTGCTCATCGGCCCTAAGAGCCAAAGTATCACCCTTCTTATCGGAACTTCTTGATATCGCCACAACTTCGGCAGCATCCAGAGCTTTGGCAAACATGATTCCAAAATGCCCCAATCCACCGATGCCAATAATAGCAACCTTCCGGCCTGTTGCTCCGAAGTACTTCAAGGGTGCATACATAGTCGCTCCAGCACATAGCATCGGAGCTGCATGTTGAGGAGCTAAACCCTGAGGGATCTTGACGACGAATCTGGATGGACAGCGATGATATCGTGCGTAACCACCTGTCGATGCAGTTCCACACCTGTGGACGCCGCCGTACGTAGCGGTATTCTTGGGACAGTAATTGTAAAGGCCATTGGCGCACTCTTCGCATGGGCCGTCGCGTTGGAAACAGGCATCACTTTGAGCGCCTACACCGACTATGTCGCCTTCTTTGATGTTACCTTCGGCTTTGGAACCGACACGGGTTGCTACACCGACAATCTCATGTCCAACAACGATGGGATATGAAGTAGTTCCCTAAGCTGTCAGTATTTGGGTTATAAATGATGGTAGGAAGACTTACCCATCCGTTCTTGGAGGTGTGGTCGTCAGTTCCGCAAACACCACAATGAGTGATACGAATCTCAATATCCGCTTCTTCAAAAGGCTTCATCTCGTATTCCTTCCATATCAAGTCCTGCTCTTTTGTGGACTTTTCAGCGACCCAACCTTCGAATTTCTGTCGTGTAGCCATTTTGGAGTATAATTGATACTTTGATTTGAGCTGCTGTTTAATTGTTTAGTTTTCTGATATCTTCTTCTTGTTCTACTGCTGTTTTACATGTATCTCCTATGTACTTGCCAAGACCTTTATGCATACCAATGACGTACAGTGGTGGCTGGAATTTCCGATAAGATTTATGAAGATTTCGGAATTAAGCATTTTACATCCCACAAGTCCGATCCCTGTAAGCTTGATTTCTAATCTTATTAACAACTGTAAGTAAACTTCCTTTTTGCTCACGAGTGATGAGCTTCATGCACTCGGGTCGAGGCAATTGAGACGGAGATATAAGGTAAATAATACCGGCAATAAGCTCAAAATTTGTTGGAATAGTTCAATGTTAGGGTCATGACAAGGTAGATGAGGGGTCAAGCATGGCCAATTGACCAACTTGCGTCATAGAAATGGGACAAATGGGTAGAATAACTTTGAGGGTCTGTTTTCACAATAAGACAGTTTCTTCTTCGACATCATTCGTCTGTACACAGTTTGGTCAGACATCTGACCATGGCCGACATCACCTCATTGGAGGTCATTACCGCCCTGAGATACACAAGTCTGACAGGGCTAACATTAACAGATTCATGTTCCGGATAGCTTACTGGAAGAAGTCAAAATCAAGCTCAAATACACTCGGCTGGATAATGGAATGGCCGATGTGGAATGGAACGACCTAGAGATCGGACATTCCTCTTTCAAAGAGCTGGTAGAGTACTGGCGCGATGAGTACAACCGGAGAAAGTACGAGAAATTCCTGAATACTTTCAGTCATTTCAAAATACCGATCCAGGTTGATGGTTTTGAGTCATTGGATATCCATTTCATTCATCATCGCGCTTCGAGAGAGGATGCAATCACACTCCTTTTTCTCCATGGCTGGTTCGTTACCTGATACATCATCTTATCAAACCTGACTGACAAAACCTAGGCCTGGGTCCTTTCTGGAAGCTACAAAGATCCTCCCATTGTTGACTGAACCAGCTAAAGACTAGCAAGCCTTTCATGTGGTTACACCATCGCTTCCAGGTTTTGGCTTCAGCCAGTACTTCAAAAATTCTGGTTTTGGAGTTGAGCAGCATGCCGCTTGATTTGCAAAGCTGATGAAGATACTTGGGTACGAGAAATATATTTGCTAGGTACAATATCTGCACTGCAAGTTTGGTTGGAATCAAGCTGACAAAAGCAAGGTAGGTGATTGGGGCTCAACGATTGTGAGATACATGGCACTCACCCTGATGCAGTGCAAGCCATTCATATCAACATTTTTTTTTGGCTTTATCTCCTAACAAGACAAAGTCTTCTGAGAAGTTTGTTCGGTACTAGGAAAATAATTATAGTGAGTAAGAGCTGAAGAATCTTGAGAGGACTAACTGGTTCGCGAGCAACGACATGAGTCTGAGTCTGTTTCCTTCCGCCTGAGAGGGGTGTTTGACGCTGGATAGCGTGGCTACCAACGCATCCAAGAGACAAAACCAGTGACGCTTGGCTACGCCTTGCACGATTCCCCTGCCGGAATGATAGCATGGTTCGTCGGCAAACTCAAAGCATGGACAGATGACTACCCCTGGACAAAAGACGAGCTTATCCATTGGGCATTCATCCATTACCAGGGCAGTCCAACTGCTGCTATGCAGATCTATAAAGAAGCCGAAGCTGTTCTGAATAACAATCCGGATAGCATGTTGGGCAAGTATATCTCACAGCCAGTGGGAGGATTTGTGTTTCCAAAAGAGGTCAGTCTATTATATCCGATTTTGACAAGCGCTTGTCTGACATACACTCAAGCTTTGGATTAGTCCTCGTGAATGGATGGAAGAGACTTGTAATATTCAGTTTTGGGGGCAACATGAGAAGGGTGGTCATTTCATTGCTTGGGAACGACCTGAGGTGTTGGCTGACGATGTAGCAGAGTTCTACTGTAAGTCTAGGCCTATTTTCGGTTGAGAGACAACTCAATCTACTGGATCTTAGGCTAGGCATTTTTAAGTCTCTCGATGTGGTTTGGTAAAGATGGGAAGCCTGCTATGGTTGCAAAATCAGCGGTTCTCTCACAAAAAGTGTAGAGAAAAAGCGCATCAAATTGCTATGGTCAGCTATAGTAAACAGCTAAGGACAAACTATTTATTTCTTTTTCTCATCCCACTTCTTCTGAGAAGATGCCCGTTTAACTACGTTTTTCCTGTCTTTACATCGTTTACAAAAGTTTCCGACCATATCCAACTTCTCTTTACAGCTTGCACATTTCCCTTGCTGTTTCAGATTGGCAGCGATCCCCCGTGCGCTGCGGAGGCTGGGCGCCGAATAGGATTCGTATTTCTTTCTACCTTCGGCTGCTGGACGTTTACAACTGGAACATTGAACCGGCTGTTCCTTTGGATTTGACGGCCCTGGCTGCTCTGGCTTATCCGGCTGATCAGGATCCTCGATGGGATTCAAGATGTCGTCTATATTCATTTTGAGGGCAATTAGAATGACGTATCTAGATGTTAGTTAGGGGTCGATCTCGTTTGATCTATTGCGTTATTGTTCTGCATTTGATGCTGTATGGGTTTAGGTTGATTGTTTGTTGTATTTGTAGCTGAAATAATTGTTCCATTACTATCCACAACTTTATCCTGTCTCTGGCTTGTTATGTTAATCACTCTTGAATTTGATGCTGGTAAAAGTGATAGCCAAGATACACTTAGGTGAACAAATGTTTACAAAAAAAGTCTATCATAGTGCACACATTGCGTTTATTCAGTCACCACCATTACTCATTGTCAACTCCCTGATGCTGGTCCAGTCTATAATCAGTGCGATACTGATGTGGGTGGCAAAATGCCATACTTATCCCACTTCTCAAAAGCACAATCTTATGTCATATATAACCCATATATTCCCCAAACCTAGATAGCATATAACAAGCCTCCTCATTGACTTGTTGGCGCATGGCTGGTCCTGTTTATTACTGGTACCGATATTACTTTGGCATAGTTCTACCACCCGTAATTAGAACCATTCAGCCCACATAGCACTCTAGCCCCCCACAAAGGTCCAAGTCAGATCTATCAAGCCGTCCGGAGTCCGCAGTATAAGTCTTCGTTTCTTGATAACACTGGCTAGTTGTGGTGAAAGATTCATGGCTACAGCTTCGAATCTTTTTCTGTCTGTTCTTTCGCACTTGGCTTAACTTCCGATACACCATTTTGAAGTTGAACAAGACGATCAGACCAGTTGTTGCAGTCGTATAGGAAAAATGCAAGCATCGGAGCGGTGCTTGTTCTTTGTGCGAGTTCTGCAAGAAATTTTCTTTGACATCTATCAGATGCGTCCTACTAAGCGAACTGTGATTTCTAACTTACTCTTTGCTTGGAGCAGAAGTGTTGTTCTCTGATGATTTGTCCATGATGGCATCGGCCGAGAGAAAGATTATTGGCGTGGTGCGAGTGTGTCTTGAGAAAGCGTTTCATCTTGAAGCTATTAGAAGGACTTCTTATATGCTATTTGTGTCCAGTCGTCAATTTCGATGTGGTGTTCTACGGCCCATCAGCATTTCACCCCATCTATCACCCCCTTGATCACCCCAAGTACTATTCAAACAAAACACGAAAATTCAACGACTGTTCTGTTCTAGTGCGGCTTCAAATTTCAAGCCACATTATAAAATGAGGCTGTATTGGGTAGACAGCCTTGATTGGCTCCGATTTGTACGCACACAAGGCAACTGGTTCGCACATTATGCCACCTCGCACCCCAAAATTCACCCCGCTGCACCCCAAAGCTGCCCATCCTCAATCTCACCTCAGACTCCCACTGAATTCACTTTAACTTTAATCTACCTAAATCATGGTCGGATAGCTTGCAAGTTTAAATCTTGTTACGTCCGTGGCCAAATCCTTCGTTTCCGATACCTCAATGGTGATAGCAGGCTACCGAGACATGGCTTTGTCTTCGGGTCATGGTCAAAAGACCATGACCAATAATGAGCCGGTTTTGAAGCCAGAAGCCGTCGATATGGAGGAATTTGAGGTTGAAAATAATCCCTTCAAATTCACGCCTGGCCAACTTGGTAAATTGTTCAACCCCAAAAGTCTTGCCGACTTTTATAAGTTGGGTGGCCTTGCTGGAATCGAGAAAGGACTACGATTAGACCGAACGACCGGACTTAGCATTGATGAGGAAAGTGCGACTAATGCTGTCACGTTTGAGGAAGAAACAAATAATACAACACGCCCTCGGTGCCCAACAGTGTGCGAGATGTATGAGAAGCTGCGCGAGAAACGGGTTTCGCCAAAGATTGACAATTCCCATTCTCTCGCTGTTGAAGTAAAGAATGTTCACTCCCGCCTAGTAGCGGTACAAGCCAAATGCACAGAAATCGAACAGGGTCGCTACAGAAACAACGAAAAGAACTCGGATCTCAGTCCCGAGCAATGGGATACCCTCGAGGCCATAAGTCGGACGCTCTTGGACGAAGGTCCTGACCTTTCCATTGCCTCGCCATCTCTCAGCCCACGACTACAACAGTTTAGAAAAATTGCGTACAATCATTCTCTACGATCTCGAAACCTACATCGTTTCAACGACTGTTTGCTTCCTCTTCTGAGGCGCGAGCAGGACCTGGAATCTGCACAGCAGTGGTTGGAAATGATGAGGTTGTCTTCTTCGCTTCTACACATACTTGGAAAGAACGAATTAATCTTCAATCATGAGGAAAACGAACTCCTGGACACGATCGACCAGACTGAGGACATATTGATGGAATTGATGTTATGGTTCAGGCACAAGTACAAGAGCCTAACCTGCAAGAAAGAGGTAACTGAAGAGCAAAGTCTGGTTGAGGTCATATTTGAGTTCCCCAATAACATCAGGCACACTTGCACAACGATGCCATGGACTATAAGTCCAGCACTGTTGGTACTCTGGGGTGTCTGTTGGATGTTCATCATCGGTACTGGTCAACCTGGGCATGAAGAACTCAAAGCGGCCAATTCACTATTTTCACCTCTGCCAGCCGTTTATGACTTCTATGGCGATTTACCAGATTTCGACATTGGAGGTAAGGTCCTTATATCCTGCTTAAAAGATTATCTAACATGTAACAGATGGACCCCCAGACTCAATTCTTGATGATACAGATGGCACAGGATACGACAGCAAGGGTAGTCTGGGCGACTTTATGTTCGAAAATATTGAGATGGTGAATGATCCAATCAATGCTTTAACCTTTTCCCAATCCACCCCGCAAGATCCCAACTTTCTATTCCAGGACTTGATGTCTCGTAACGACACCGAAAGCTTGGGTTTGCTAGCGCGAGATTCCACAGGGACATCGTCAGCTGCAGCTATTCAGACCTCAATTTTGGAAGCGTCCCCCAGTACCGGTAAAACATGCGCCAGTGGTACAGATGGTGCCGATGGAAATGACTCTGATCATCGAAAGACCGGCTCCGAGAAGTGAGTAATAGCGCCCGCTTGGTATCAAAACATATACTAAACAGATACGACAGGGTTACAAAACGAAAAACTTGCTTTGTGTGTCCGAGTTGCAAACAGACGTTTGCAACGTCATTTACCTTGACGCGACATCAAACAGAGGTACACCAACAAAAACCACCAAGCTCGGAAAAGTTGTTTCCATGCCCCAATCCTGGCTGTAAAAAGTCTACTGGAAAGTCGCCTTTCAAGCGTGGTTCCCATCTGAAGCGACATCTCAATACCTGTAAGCATCATCAGGAATTTCTTCACCAACCGGATGATCAAACATTCTCAAGGCTAGCATCATCATCAACCCTGGCATCACAACTGTCAGAAGTAGAGACAGAACAAGCGGTCAGGGCTACTAGGATGAGCAAGAGACTGAGGGTTGAAGATGATGAAGGGTCGGACGAATTACTCCTGGCAAGGATTTGGAAGAAGTACAATAATATGAAAGAAGAGGTTAAGCAGAAGAGGGATGCGTATCTGCATGCTGAGGAGAAGTTGAAGGCGTTTGGAAAGAACATTCAAGACTTGACAGGCTCTCTGAGTGATTCGTAGTCAACTACTTACATAGTAACCATATTGCGGAGAAGCCCTCAAGAGGAATTTGAAGAAGGACAAGTTAGTGGGGGAAGGCTGTCAGACTGAACAACGACATATCATTTTTATCTAACCAAGCGCCCAGAGGGGAAGCTCATCACAATGTACATGGACTAGTGAATCGACAAATTTTTTTGGTTCGAACATGAAGGCCATAAACCTATTCAAATCGTTCGGAAGTGACTGTCAAATCTATTCGAATTTGATCAAAACGGTATTAGACCAAGAGCACATTTATCAGTGAGCGAGGATTCGTTGATAATGTTTCTTTCGAGCTTTCTTACATCGTGCTGAGCATAACAGCGCATGTATAGAGGACTGTTCTGATAGAGAATAAACTCATGAATCTGATCCGCGGCCAGATTCTTTACGTGCAACAAAGATGGATCCTGTCGCCTTGATACCAACTCCAGAGCTTGAGGGTCTGGTAAGTGGAACAGCCCTCTCCCGAACAATCTTCTTCATCATCTCAGCGCCCTTCTCCTTCTCCTCCTCGCTCCAAGACCCAAACACCTTCGCGCCGAACCCGTGGGTTAGAAGATCAGCGACTTCATCGGCCGTCTTGCCGCCTAGATGTACATCGACTGTAGTGCTGGTAAGCACGTCGAGCCCGGCACCTGAAAGTACGGCCTTGGTGTGCTCGGCGTCAAGCCAGATATCGGAGACAGGCGGCCTAAACGGTGTATCGTCCGGTCGGATCTGGGCCTGGACCTCCTGAATGATCTTAATATGCCCCATCATCGTCCAACCGGTCACAACGGCCACTCCATCAGGGTGAAGTGTGTGCGCTATCTCTCGGGCGCCTTTTTCAGGGTTGGCGAAGTACATAATGCCCAGGCTCGTAATGGAGTGTGTGAAGGTGTCATCAGGAAAAGAGAGTTCCTCGCCGCCCATGACAGCCGCGTGGACGTTGGGTTGAGAAGAGAACCGACCTCTAGCAATGCTGACCATGTTCTCTGCAATGTCTACAGCGTGAATCTCAGGCTGGATCCCGGATTGAAGAATAATATCAGTGACGATGCCAGTACCGCATGCGTTGTCGAGGATCTTGGACTCAGACGTCAGAGGCTTTACGTCCGACATGAAGTTGATGGCATGTTGGGCAAGCTCACGGGTAGCTCCGCCAGTGTTGGCTTCATACTTGTCTGCAGTTTTGTTGAAGTGCTTAGTAGCTGACAACTCAGTAGTGGACGACATGGTAAAGAAGTAAATGGGTAAAGCTGGACCTGGAGATAATACTATCGGTAAATTGTGATGGGTTGGTAAACTTATATGTAATATCGAACTATTATGAACGCATCAGGTTTACGGATGCGGGTATACCAATCTCAACATGCTTGGACGTTCAGAGGAATGCTCGTTGGTCCGACGGGAGGGTAGTGGCACCTACAGTCGGCATCATCCCGGGGCTTGCGGTTGCGCCTAACCAGAGAAGGCTAAGTGTTATTTTACAAGGCTTTGCCGCTCTTGGGCATTTGGCCACAATAGGTATAGTCTCTGCTGAGTTCCTCCGTCCCATTCTGAAACCCTCCGCGGACGCTTACGAAAGCTCCCCCGAGTGGATCAACTTCTTTTCGTGCTCAAGGATATTTTCTTTACTGGTTTCTCCTTCAATTGTTTCTTACTTTTAATGAAGCAATATGGGCGTGGCCATTCATGATCCATAACGGCGTGTCTTCAGCGAAGCTTGCCGGAGGGCGAAAGCAAAATGCCAACGAGTCCGAACGACTGATTTTCAATCCACGCGATGTTTTCTTCTGAAGGTGGAATGCATTATTGGACAATAGATGACGGCCAACCAAATGAGCGAGTTATGGCTGACCGGCGCATCGGGAGCAGAACAACAATTTTGCAAACGAGGCAAAACCATGGACAAAAACACTGGCGTTGTCGACAATTCAGCATCTATCAGTCACACTTACGGCACCATATTACAACACTCAGGCTAGCTTGCTGAGTCTCAAATCTTGACTTGCCGACTCTCTTAGCGTTTTCATCTTGAAAGCAAGGAGCTGTCAAGAAATCGTTCTTGACGCAGACGCTTCATGTCGTGAGATGCGCCGTGGAAGCTAGACCTGGCAACGCTTACTTCGGCTGCTAATAGCAGTTCAAAAAGAAGCGGGTTTCTGTCTTATCCTACATCTATGACGGTTTAATCGCCTTATAGTTTTGAGGAAGATTCACAGAAATATACAAGCATATAGCATCCGAACCACACACACAGCTCTTTCCAATTACAACCCATCACTCTTGATCCTCATCTGGAGGACCCTCGGTCTATCTCTCAAAGACTCATGTCTTTGTTGTGGTTAATTGAATCATGGAGAAACACATCTATAATTGGATTGTGCAGCATGAACCAGATTCCTCTTCACTCAGCTCATCGGAGAGATGTCTATTTTTGTGCGTTTCTAGTAGTGGTTTGCAAACTACTGCTTAGCAAACAACTCATGTTGCATCAAATCTGTCAGGCCTAGAACAATTTTGCATTAGCAAAACTCCCAAGAGCAACGGAATACGAGCCCCACGTCTTCTAGCGGGGAGATTGTCGCTGGAGCTATCTTATGGGCTACAAACTCACACAGTGAGTGAGATGACTAGGCTGAGTGAGATTGACATGAAGGTCTCCTCTTTTATCAGAACATCATAGATATGGAGGGGCAATGTACTAAAAACGGCGATTCTAGCCCCCCGTCAACACCATCTACTCCAGGTCGACTGTTCTTCGCGTCTTGATACGGACTGTGGGAGCCATCAATGACTTTTCGTTGAATGAACTCAGGACTCTGCTTTTGCACAGCCCCTGAATGCTTCCAACATTAGAAATCTGAATAATTCTAATAAAAGATCTCCGTTGCTATGAGGACGTTTCCTCACTCCTTCGGAAATAGGAAGGGCGATTCAGGACGGACTTTGATGACTTGGATGTGTTGTTGGCAATACCCAGCCCTCCGAGCTGAAACTTAGCTTCAGTTATACGAATTGTGAAGAATGCGTACATATTGAGAGGAATGGTAAGAAATCAGTATAAATAGGAGTAGTCCCCGAGAGATGGAATAAGAATGCTCACCACAAACATCAGATCAAAATCACTTGAACAAATCAGTCCCAATAGCTCAAGAGAAAATATCCAAAAATCCTTCACTTTCTTCATCAAAATGCACTTCTCCTCCATCCTCCCTATCTTCGCTGTCATCGCTGGCCTCACTAATGCCAACCCCACCCCAGATGATGAGCCTGTCCTTGAGACCCGCAGTGAAGGAGGCATTGCCTTGATTGAGCTCGATCTCGGCAAGGGAAAGTCCTACACGGGCGTTGGAAGCCCTGGAAAATGTTACAACCTTCCCTGGAACATCAAGTACTTCAATGTTTACTCTGACGATACCAAATCTGTCATCGGCTGCTTTGACTGCAGAGTGTACACTAAATCCAACTGTGGAGGGAGCTATGTCACTCTTGGAGGTCAGGAGAAGGCCTTCATGGCTAAGGGGGGAAAGAAGACTCATTACAAGAGCTGGGAGTGCAAGTGTAAGGAGGAATGGTAGATTCATGTAGGAGGGGGAACAATTGGTAGACACGTGCGGGAAGTGGTTGATAGTCACACCACACTCTTTCAAGAAGCATCTTTCGAGGGAAACTTCGCCTAGGGAACGGTCATTTCACTTCAACTTTGTTATGCTTATGGTTCTTTTTTATTCTTTTTTTATATTTATTCATTCACTTTACTGTATATATTCATTCTTCCATGCAGGACATTTTTATCTTTTCTTCCAGTCGTTACTACCATAGACGTTGAATTTATCTTTCTGATCACTTTGGAAGTGTCTGAAATAACTGATCCAATAACATGCTTGTAACTGGTGACATATTTGCCTTCATCCAAGAGCGCATCATCCGATGACAGCATGGAGGGGCGGGATGTGGAGAGCCGAATCGCGAGAACGATGATACTCCGAAGTTCACACTGCCTTCCGCTAGTAGACTTCAGCCCGTGATTTTAGAACTTCGGGTACCCTTTCCGTTGGTAAGCTTCCACACGCGGCTCCATCTTTCTCCGTCGGCGGACAGGTGTTTGTGTCACCTTGACCGGTATCAAAACGTTGGATGGTATACTACTATCTTCCGACGCCCCGAAACTCATACTATTTCCAATAAGTAGCACTTTCGCCTGTAGTCTGGGTGCTCGTTTGGCCATCTCTGAGAACAAACTTTGGAATGCTGTGAACCATGAGAACCCTTCTGCTGGTAGAAGGCTATGGTCTATAACGGCCAGATCAATGACCAAGTAGATCTGAGTTCGTGCCCGAAGTAGTGCCGAGGCGAGAAGTTGTAACCAATCTTGCTCGACATTGGCTCTATGGAATTGTGCACATTGAAGAGACATCGCAATCTCAGTTGTATAGTCCTGAGATAACTTGAATGCTTGGAGGATGAGATGTTTGAACAAATCTGTGCTTGAAGCTCTGCCATCTTGAGAGTCATTTTGTGGTCCGCGCAAAGCCCATACGACGGGTATGAGCTTGGATTGCAGTTGCTGGATGATGTTGACACAAAACTTCCTCGAGGCGTGGCGCGCACGAAGACCGCCTTTGACGATGGCCACTCTTGACTCTGGTGCGGTAGACCATGCATGTAACTTGGGTGACTGCCAGAACTCATTCGTGGTCTCATATACTCTCACACGGTCGTGGCGTATCTGCACCGACACATTATATCGGAAAGCTTCTAACGGATCGCCAAGCTTTCCATCTTGAATATGTGACATGATCTGGGAAAACTGAAGATCCGACAGCCGTTGATTTGTGTCCAGTAGTGCACTCGAGTGCAGAGCTTGGAATGAGTCCAGCCTGGCGATTATACTCTCATTCGTCTGAATGACGGCTCTTGACGAGGAGGATTGAAAATTGTCCAGTTTCGCAACAATGGAGTTGAGTTTGAGACTAATGTCGCGGATCTCCACCCGGGCACTTGCAGCAGCCAGCTGGTCGATTTCTCTTGAGTTGGCTGCGATATCTTCAAGAAGGTCTTGGTATCTGAGTTCAGGAGGACGAGTGATGCTATGAAGAAGATGACGAAAGGTGCCTTCCTGGCACCATTCGTGAGCTCGAATGAAGAATCTTACAAGATTGGCGTAAAGATTGCTGACTGCTTGCCGTATACGGTCTGTGGGATAGAGAACAGTGATAAGCTCGACGCGGGGTAACGAGTCTGCGATTTGGGACAGGGCTTTTGAGATTAGACATATCGTCGCCTCGTGATTCTGAGCAGACTTTGATACGTCAATTACTTGTAGAGTGTTGGACATTGCCGGGACTTACCACTAGTACCATCTTCATAGCTCCCCAAGCAAGGGAAACATACTCAGGATGATGTTGAACTAAAACATCCATAATGTTTCCATAGTGATGTATCTTAGATGTGACCCTTTGAAGCCATTTCTTAGCTTTCGGGAAGCGCTTCTCATCCGAGTATTTAGCGAATGAGTCCTGTGCCAACAATTGTATGTCTTGTATGCTGGAGAACCCCTGCGAAAACCCAACTTTCTCAGAGTCTTTGGTAAGAACCGAACCAAATCGGTTTAGTCCCTCCTGGAATGCATACTGAGCAGCTGGAAATGCAAAGTTGCTACGAACAGTGAGTGAAGTGATTGCGGGGTTCTTGTCAGGTCGACTTACGAGTATGTACCTTGTTTCGTATGAGCATTTGGAGAGTACCAGGTACTCAGATATTCTGCCATAGGGTGATCTATGTTGAGTATATTGATGAGAAGAACTCAAAGGATGTTCACGTCGAGAGTGATCCATCAGCCTTTGAGTTTTCGGTTGCATCAACGCGCTGTGGAGTGGAGTGCGGCTGAGCTATCAAGTACAAGGATCATGGTGACTCTCTTCAAAGGTATTGGCTCATTTTTGTGTGCGACAAGGATTATGCTACAGCTTCCTAGGATTATTAGCGACAGGGTTTCTGGTTTTGTCTGGACGGCCGAAGCCCCCTCCTTCTCTTCACGGAGGACAATCTCACGCTTGCCACCGGTTGCCTCCCAGCCTTTTCCGTTCATTAATCAATCTCCAACGAGTATTGTCACGAGTTTGATAACATCCTTTTTTTTCCCAGAGCTCTTCTCGTCTCCTTTTCCGGCCTTATCCCAGCAATTTTTCGCTTACCGCTGAGTAGCTTCGGCGGAAGCATCGCCTTCTGTCAAGATTCCTCATCCAGCGAAAGATAAGTCCCCCCAGCGACTGATTGAGCTGGGTTCATGGACCCCAAGCATACCTATCGAGGAAAAGAACGACTTTCAAGAATCGGTTCGATCTGAGTGGATTAGCTCACAAATTCTACCGAGCAACGGATTTCAAGGTCGCACACCCAATGCTTGGACGAAAGTCCTAAGGGAAGAAGAAGATACAGAACAGCAATTAGGGTCGGAACAAGGCTCTGACAAAGAAGAAAGTGAACACACTCTTGCGAATGATAGCGACATAGATGGCGATGATATAGATAACAGCGACGACAACGACGATTCTGATAACGAGAGCAACAACTCGGACCTTGACGACGATAGTAAAGATCAATCTATATCCAATGCTTTGAACTGGGGCAGAGTACTCGAAGACGTTGCAAATATCCAGAGCGGCTCGTCAGATTCCGGTAGTGCTGAACAGAAGGACACCCTCGATACCGAGACCACCTGGAGATTTGTTCGTCATATCACCATCTCGCGAGATCAGACACACGCGAGTGGTTACGATAAGGAGCAACTTGCGGCGCTTCTTGAGCAAAGTTGGGGAGATATAGATCAGTCCACCGACCAAAATCAGCAACAGGAACCAATAGTACCGTCGATTGAATTCTCTGGTTCCCCTTCAACTCACGCTCTTCAGGATTATCAGATGCAGCTTATGCTTCTTGAACAGCAAAACAAGAGACGACTCATGATTGCCAGAATGGAACAAGACGCAATTTCGGGAGGCGAAAGTTCTGCCAAAGATAACACAATGCTATCTCTACCTACCACCGACATGGAACAGGTCGACGACAATAGCAAAGAATCGGTTCCCGCAAACCTCGTTCAGATAATCAAGATTCAACAAGAGATTGATAAGCTCCGCAGAATACAAAACACCTTGAAATCGACTACCTGGCTTGTGCTCCATAAGATACAAGGCGACGAGACCACATATCTGGCAGATCCCTCATGGGCCCCAAAGCAAGGACAAGCGCCGTACTTTAGAGGAAACTCACCTCTTGGCAACGAAAGCGAATATCTCAAGCATAGGCCAGATGCTGCCTTCGCGGTGTACAGACACTACGACCCCACCTTCCAAGCAAAGGATGTTCGCAAGGCAAGGGAGGAGGGTCTCACAATGCCGTATCCTAAGCCTGTCCGAGAGGTTATTCAGCCACTATCAGAGCAAATGATTGCTGCCCTGTACGCATTTGTTGACTTACATCCGACCTTCAGGGATAGGTTTCCTGGTTGGGTGTCCAGCGATCCTATCAATTCGCCGTTTCTATTCTGGTACTGCTATCGAACTGCGACCGATCTCCAAGTCATGGACGAACCGCACAGGACGCAGATGACATTGCTCACGGAATGGATTGATAATAACTACAGCAAAATACACGCTGATGTCGAAGATAAATTCTCCCAGGGATATGTGTCCGAGTCAACGATGCCGTTTTTCATACAGCCTGGTGAGGTCTTGGTATCAATGACTGAAAAAGGTATCAGTGGTTATATCGCTGAGTCGTGGCCTGCGCAAGGTGCAACCAATTATACATCACCTATTCGTCCAAACGGTCCTCGAAAGGTGACACAACGCTGGACAGTTAATGCCTGGTCTTATGGATACGACGGAAGCTTCTACAAGGATTCTACAGTTCTCACGCTCAACCTTGAATTTGACGAGGATAAACCGGATGTTAGCATTGCGAAGCTAAATGTCTTACCCATACGGTTCGGCAACCGGGATTTCCAAACAAAACTCGAACGTCGAGGACGAACTATGTGGGCTTGCAGAGGAAGAAACTTGATCGCCTACCATGATACCAACGACAATAACTTGTCAAATGTAAGTTCTCAAACGTTATACTTTGATGTGACCCCTGCTAACACTTATCAGGAAGGAGAGCGATACATGATCGACTTTAACACGTATAAGCAACTTCATTCAGATTCATACAAGTTCAAGATGGCTTATGCATCACTGACAAACCCTCACCGCAAAGAAATGGACTCAGCTCTTATGGAGTGCGACGAGCCACCTGAGGCACCTGAGTTGTTTGTCTTTCCCAGTACTGTTGTCGGATACAATCTTCGGCACAAGAAGTGGCGTAAGTGATGCTATTGATTCGGCTGTATGTAGAATTGATGTTCGATACTAACTGATACCAGAGGACCTCCAGATCGATTCGATTCAGGAATTGCAATGGAACAAACAAGCCTTCAGACACCTTGTAATCGACGAAGAAACCAAGGACATCATACAAGCCCTTGTTACAAGCAAGCTGGAAACAGACCAGACGACGGATTTAATCCAAGGTAAAGGCAATGGACTGATTATCTTGCTGCATGGAGGGCCAGGCACTGGCAAAACGTTTACAGCAGAAAGTGTTGCCGAGTTAGCCGAGAAGCCTCTGTTCCGAGTAACCTGTGGTGATATCGGAACGAAGCCGGAAGACGTTGAGAAGTATCTCGAGTCAGTCCTGCACCTGGGTAAGATCTGGGGTTGTGTGGTCTTACTCGACGAAGCCGATGTCTTCCTGGAGCAGCGAACTCTTACCGACCTTGAGCGTAATGCTCTCGTGTCTGTGTTCCTCCGAGTTCTCGAGTACTACGAAGGCATCCTGATTCTGACTTCCAATCGCGTCGGCACTTTCGATGAAGCTTTCAAGTCTCGTATTCAACTTTCTCTCCACTACGAGACATTGACCAAATCTCAACGTCGCACCATCTGGTCGAATTTCCTCCAACGATTGAGCGCGCTTGAGAAGACTGCAGTAGTCCAACCAATCACAGACAGAAAGCGAAAGTATGAGACTGAGCGAGGTATCAACTTTGATGATATTGAACGGCACTTGGCAGATTTAGCGGAGGAGCAGATGAACGGAAGACAAATTCGCAATGCCATCACTACGGCAAGACAGCTGGCAAAGTTCAAGGATGAGAGTATGACGTACAAGCACTTGGAGCATGTTATCAAGATTTCGAGAAAGTTTGACAAGTATATTGAGAAGGTTAGGGATAGCTATTCGGATGATCAGGTTGCCAGAGAAGAGGGTATTCGATAGGTTCAATTACAGAGTGAATTTAACATCTTCATTGCTTTCATTCCCAATCAGGGGCCACTTTGTGGCTTTTACAACGTAATTTGGTGGCTGTGCTAGTGCGATAGTCCGAGGTACAAGCATATCTTCATGCATAGGTATTCAAGCTAAATGGGTCCAGACCATGTTGCCAACTACAGTAGCAAGAAACTATTGGCGGTTTATAAAACTATTGACTTTTGTAAAATTATCAAGAAACAGACGGATCAGCTGAAAAGATGGCTTTATTTAAATAGCTTCTTCCACCATTTTCCTTATTTGTTTCCTGCTGGGTTCTCCTACAGCTCCGGTATTCTCTTGTCTCTTTTGCGAGACTGTCGCTCATTTAACCATTGTCTCTCGTTAGACCCTTCCACTCATTTGAAAACCATGCATTCAAACAAGCTTTTGTCTTTGGCCTTGAGCCTCTATGTAGTGGACTCAGTAGTCGCGAGTCCATGCAAGCCTTTTTCCTCAGCTGACAGTATGTCTTGCAAATTCTGAGCAGCATATTCGACGCTTACTGAAACGATTAGGTTCTGTCGCTTTGACTACGCTTTCTGGATCAACGACTACGATTCTTCCTATGCCTTCTTCTACCGAGACCTTCTTCTTGGATACTACCCTGATCACTCAGGCAACCGAAACCAGCGGAACTAAGACTACTACTCAAGCGACTGAAACCATCGAGACTGAGGCTAAGACTGAGTCTGCCACTACGCTTACAACTAGCGCCACTTCTGTCGACGTTACTACTGTCGATGGCGGAACATCAACTCTCGTACTCGACACCACGATCACCACCGAGGCTACCACTACTACAGCAGCCGAGGTTACCACAACGGCAGCAGAGACCACAACCACCGCGGCGGCTGGCTGCCCTCAAGTTACTATTCTCGCCAATCCTACTTCCATCTTTACTTCCTCGGAAGGTATTGATTTTGACGACCAGTATAGAGCCGTCGTGGTGCCTTTTGACGTCGGGGTCTTTGGTGCTTCTGCATCCACTGTCTATGTCAGTGTGAATGGATTAATAACACTAGGACGAGGCCCCAATGATGCCCATATCAACGCAGCACTACCAGCCCAGAATATTCCAGAGGTTGCTATTTTGCCCTACTGGGATGATTTGTATGTCGCTGGGGGCTACTGTGGAATCGGCATCAGCTATGAAGTCATTGATACTCCCCGTGGTCGGGCTTTCACTGTCGAATACTACGTTGGTGGTAACGGCAATCTGGTCGGTGACCACTTCACTGTCAGCATGTTTGAGGATTATCCTGGACTTGTCAGATACGCGTACTACAAGACGTCTATGCATGGAAGTACTGCTACTGTTGGTGTCCAGAACGGCATGCTCAAAGCGCAGTACTCTTTCAATGCTGTTGATTCTATCCCTAATAATTTTTATGTTGAGATCGATACGAGCAGTGGGCAGGGCATTTTCACAAGTGGTCGATTGTAAAGACGGATCGGGATATTGTTGAACGATACATACATTGTACAAACCACATTTTCTTTCGGACATACTTAGGTGGAGGATTTTACTAGATGTCTGACACTATTCAAAGGAGCTTTTACAAGAACTGAGACGTGAATGCCAGAGCTCGATGTCCAATATCTCAGAATGTGCACTGTAATTTTACACAAGTAATTCGAAGTTAGCTTGTCAGCATTTCCATAAGAAACATTTATAAGATCCCCACGTTCACGCCGGGCTCGGGACATGTTGAAATTATTGTACCTAATCTATGGAAAGACAAAAATCGGATTGATATTTCACAGACAGCATCATACTTTATTTTTGGAACCGCCTCCAGCGTCTGGATATTCAAGGTTGTTGTTGAACTTACCCGAGACCGTCAGTGAGGATCAGGTTGCGATAAGAGAAGAGAAGATAAGAGAGTCTATCGTCGCTAGACCGGAACTAGTACAACGCCTCGCTTACTGAATCCAGATACTCCACAGTCAAGATACCGAAGTCGCCGACTTAAACCTTGCACGAACACATGCTGAGAAATACGGTAATCCATCACAACGCCAATGACCGAAACAGCGAACCCCAACGACTCAAGACCGTCAAGCATTACGCCAGGTCGTACACGTGTAGCGCGTGTTGCGTGTAAAGCATGCCACGCCCGGCGAGTAAAATGCGACGCCGCGGATAGCCAACCTTGTTGGCATTGTCGCACGCGTGGCTCAGAATGCGAATTGATAGAGTCAAAACGTGGAAAGTATGTAGCAGATATATCACGATGTAGCAAGTTCGAAGACTTACAGTGTTGTAGATATGTAAGACAGAGTAATGTCCAGTCGCAACAGAGACGCTCTTCCAGGCGCTTACAACAAACGCAAAGTCCTGCTCCTGATGGAGACGGAACTACGAGCACTGAGAGTATTGCTGTCGCCACGCCTGAGAATTACGCAACTGGAAGATTTACTCAGAATCATCAAGCGACAGAGCCGAGCGTCACACCCAACGCTCAGCAACAACCTCAATCAAATTTAACTCAAGCCAAAGATAGATCTTTCTTCCTCGGCGACTCAAGTAGTCTATCATATATCATCGAATTGATATGTACTCCGAGAAGCGGTGTCAGTGAACCAGTCAAGGTCCATTATCCCATCCCAGCATCAATAGTGGAGAGAGCAGTTGCTCCAAGTCGACCTCAAATCGAACCGCTACGCTTACAAGACGCATTAACACTTCCGTCGAGGCAAATATCCGACCGTCTGGTCTATATATTCTTCGATATCGTGCACCCTCCATGGCCTGTTGTGGATAGAAAGTCATTCTTACAGCTCTACCGTGATGGGAAAGCATCGCCACTGCTCTTACATGCTATGTTTCTTGTGACTTTCATTTTTTGTGATGAAAGTCTTATTCAAGAGGCTGGATTCAGCGACCGTGTTACGGCACGCAAGTACCACTATCTCCGTGCCAAGACGCTGTATGATGTTGATCACGAGACTGATCGTGATATCCTGGCTGCTTCGCTTCATCTACTAGGGTTCTGGTGGAATGGACCGGATGATCAGAAAGATGCATGGTTTTGGTCAGGTTGTGCAACATCATATGCCCAGTCACTAGGTCTTCATCGCTCGTATGTCGTTTCATCTTTCGCTCGTAGTTCTTGCTGACCTTTCGGTAGGACAGTTGCTTCTAGGCTCAGTCCTGAGAAAAGGGCACTGCGAAAACGTATCTGGTGGTCTATATATGTAAGCTCAGTCTTAACTTTCTGTTCCGGAACTTAATAGTAGTAGACTCGTGATAGACATACTGCTGCATGTCTCGGAAAGCCATGTAGAGTCCGTGACGAGGATTGTGATATCGAACCAGTCACGGAGGCTGACCTCTACTTTGACGATGTCATGGACGACCCTCTTATACCACCTCAGAAAGAATACCATACAGCCTTCTTCATCGAGATGAGCAAAGCTGCTGAGATCCGTAGGCTATCCATTAACCCAATTCTTGATATTGGCTAACAACTCATAAATAGTTGGGGATATAGTTATTGGAGAGTTTAGTCCTCGCCGTCTTGCACTGGAGCGCTATGAAGTGCCTAATCTGAAAACAAGACTTGAGCAATGGGAGTCTAAGTTACCAGAGTGCATGAAAAAGGCACCACTTGATGAGACGTTGGGAGAAGCATTTTGGGCTACACAGTTGCACATGGCGTACCAGTAAGATCATACGAGTAACCTATTGCATATCACTGACCAGAGATAGGAATTACTTCATCCTTCTATTCCGACCGAAAGCAATCGACGACATGTCGTCAGTGGAAGCTGAAAGAGATAAGACAGCGCGAGCGGCTGCTGACTACATCACCCGAATGACTGAAGACCTCATTGCTGTCGGAACATTACGCTACACCCAAATGCACATGTAAGTAAAGATACTACCTCTTATTTCCAATTTCTGACAGCCTGCAGGATCCCAGCTGTTTTCGGAGCCCTCTCGATTCACACACTTGTCATCTGTCGGAAAGACCCCATTCGTCGACAACTAGCTGGCAACAAATCCCGACAATGCATTCTCGCACTCAGTGAACTTGCTAAATCTTGGCCTATTGGTCTATGGATAACCAAGTTGTTTGTGAACCTCTTGAGGCGGCTTACAGGTCAAGGGTCAGCCTTGTCAGCGGGATCAATAGTCGATGTGAGGTCTCGCATTGCCAATGCCAGTGGTGTCAACGATGGCCCTGCTCTAGAGCCTCTAAGAGGAGGGAGTGGACTAAGAAATCCTGATGAAGTGATGAACGGGTTCAATCAACAGGGGAACCCGGCAAGTGGTTTCATTGACGGTACCAACGGTGCCGCCATGGCAGATCAACAAGGCAGTGACATCTTTCAACAGCCTGCTGATCAGTTTGGGCTTGATTCCTTCTGGGCAGAGGACACTATTGATGTTGATTTACTTCTTCAGCATGGATTGTGTCCACTACTTCCAGCTGACTTTGGGCTCATGCCACCTGGCACATTTGGACTCTGAAAATAAGGCTCCTTAGTCGAAGACTCAAAGTCTATGTCTATTCTCTATGGTGTAAATCTATAACAAAACAATGCGATTTCTAAAAGCCACAACAGGTTTTCTATCCATGTCATTATCTTTCTATGAAGTCAACCAACGCATTGCAACTATGTATAAGAAGCAAATCTGCTCTTGGCTCTCAATCGCTTTCCATATTTGAAGAACAGCCAAGGGAACGGCGCCATAGCAACCGTCAAAAATGCAAGCAGACTAGATGCCCACTGGTAACCAAGCTTTTCGTACATTTGGATACCGAAAAGAGGAAATGCCGCTGAATAAAATGTTAGAAGCAGTGGTGATGGCTGCAAGTGAGGGAGGACTTACCAGCAAATGAGCAACGGGCAAAACTGTTAGCAGCCATTGCTGAGGCAGCATATTGGGGATAGGCGTCGACCAAAAAGGTGAAGATACCTGTGAAAACGAGGAGCATGCTAAATTGGATGTCAGTATACGCTTCGATAATGATTGATCAGGATTGACATACCCGCATCCAAAAACCCCAGAACCAATAATAGGTACAATCCAATGCACGCTGGCATATGTTGTCCAAGAAAACCAGAATAGACCGATGGGAATAAGCACGGCACCAAGAATAGTCGGAGGCAACCTATACTCTGGCTCACTGATAGCCTTGCCTGTCGCCTTCTCCTGCTCTTCCAACCATTTCATTCGAAGTCTAGCCCAAATCGGCGTAGTAGCCGTCGCAACGAGGGGTCCAACAAAGATACCCAAAAACGTCATACCGACCTGCCAGAGGTTCATACCGTGGTTGGTGCGGAAGACGAGAGGGAAAGCGCCGAAGAAAAGGTAGAGAATACCGAGGAGAATAGCTGAGTAGAGATCGAGACATAGACACATGGGCTCGAGAAAGAGGAGCTGAAATGGCCGAAGGATGGAGAGCTTGAGCGTTTCGAGGATGGGCTTTTGATCGTCTTCCATTGGAGCTCGGTATTCGTCGTTGCCGGTTTCTTTTCGAAGCTTTCTTGCTTTCTCGCGAAGTAGAATAGGATGAAACGTTTCTGGCGCAAAGAAGACAATGGCAACCATGAGAAAAACAGCCCAGATAAGCATGACGTAGTATGTCCAGCGCCAGTTGACGTTGTAGTTGATGAAGCCTCCAACCAATGGTCCAAGAGCTGGCCCGATGAAGGGCGCAAGAGATACCAAGCTCATGGGCTTCTGAATCTCATGTCTTTCAAAGACATCACCTGCTGTTCCACCAGCGACGCTGAGGAAACTACTGCCTGCGAAACCAGTGAAGAAGCGCGCGATGATCATGGTCTGGATGTTTTGCGCGACAGCTGATGGAATGGTCCAGATAATAAACATGGTCCATGATACCAGATAGATGGGTCGTCGGCCATAGTACTCGCTCAGAGGACTAGTCAGAACGGGACCAAGAGCGATTCCCAAGACAAAAGTTGAGAGGCCGAGAGTGGCGACGATTTGGGAGCAATTAAACTCCTTGTTCATTTGGGTATATGTAGCTGTATAAATTGAACTGGCGCATGTTCTATCGCCACTGTGTCAGCAAATGATGACATTCTAGTTCATGATCGACCTACACGCAAAGACTACCGACGCAGGCGATAGAAACAATAAGCCATTTTCGCATTCTCGACATACTTCTCGGACACATGGGATCCTTGTCGCCATCCCAACCGACCTGCATTGATTTGGACGAGACATGCTGATTAACAATTTCTGTAGGTTGATCGCTTAGCTCCTGAGAAGAGCGACGAGTCTCACTCTCTGCCATGGCTGCTATTGTTGATAATGGTGATGAGGCTGAATGAACATGACAGGACTGACGTAGATATTATATATGAGAGTAAGAAAAAAAGGGACTAGGAAGAAAACAAATTTAACCGGCTCCACGGCATTGGAAAAAAAAGAGGATTTGTAATGACGATATCGTTTTTTAGGCGGAGATAAGGAGGTGTGGGGAATAAGAGTCGAGTTCAAGATGCCGAGGTGACTTGGAGTTGTGACGTATCCATTGTTTAGAGCAGGGGGCAACTCGGATGTCAGGGATTGATCACACTCTGTTGTCAAGATATGATAATGAATAGATTGGAAACGGAATCGATATACTATCTTAAAGGACAGGCTCTACCTCTGATCGGAGTGCTATGATATGGTGATGTAGTAGCAGTCATGTTGCCAAGACTGAGGCTCTGTAGTGTGGATTTCGTTGTCGCTATGGCCAATTGGCTAGTCACCATTACATCTTGGTGATTTCTCACCTTTCACTATCAATTTGATGAGAAGACACTCACCAAGATGAACGGCGATTCAGAGAAACCAGTTTTATTCTTGTGAGAAAACATAACTACTCATATTTCACTACTAATGCTTTTGTCTAGTGACATTGATAATTGCTTGTATTCACGCAGTAAGCAGCTCTTCTCTCATGCCATTCCCACCCTCATTCACTTCCTTACTCACCATCATTAGATTACAAAGTCCTTGAGCTCATGTCAAATCTCATCGACTCTTACTTCAAAACTCATCTCGGCCTCTCGCCAGAAGAAGCTGAACGTCTTCACAAAGACTACTATCAGCAATATGGTCAAGCCATTGAAGGTCTCGTGCGCGATTATCAGATTGATGCCCTTGACTACAATGCCAAAGTCGATGACGCGCTTCCACTCGACGATCTCATCAAACCCAACCCTCAATTGCGAAAGTTCCTTGAAGACATTGATACATCAAAAGTCAGACTTTGGCTTTTGACTAATGCTTATGTCAATCATGGGAAAAGAGTCGTTAAGTTGTTGGGCGTCAATGATTTGTTCGAGGGTTTGACGTACTGCGATTATACACAGGTGCCATTTGTTTGTAAACCACAAAAGGAAATGTTTATGAAGGCCATGAGAGAAGCAGGAGTTTCTGAAATTTCCAAGTGTTATTTCGTCGGTGAGTTGAAGTTTGTAAATGAGACCTCGAATCACGCTGACTTTAGCAGATGATTCGCATAAGAACTGTGTTGGAGCACAAAAAGCTGGCTGGACAGCTGTTCATTATGTCGAAGACGGATTTCCTTTGCCTGATACACCAGCGTCGCAGCATCAGATCCGCAGTCTTGAAGAGCTGCGATCGCTTTATCCTGAGTTTTTTAAGATTGGGTAGTAGTAGCCACATCCACATTATGGGATGCATGTGTTTGTCGCGAAGGAGCACTGGGCCAAAATACCCTATAACCAAGGTCCCCGTGAGAAGAGACAAAGGTACTCCGACAAGGGTTCATCTCTGCTACTTCGGAGCATGTCTGGGAATAGCCAAGCCATGTCTGCTTTGAGATAACTACGCATTCTCAATTGAAACCTTTCAGTCAGCCGCAATCATTTTGGCAAAGCTGAAAGTTTCTGTCTCACCAGTCAGCGATAATAGAGACTCTTAACTGGAATGTGACTCTGCCTCAACTCCCCTGCATATTCACCGGTGGCATGTTCAAAGTCTAGACCCCGCCAACGGACCAGGGTCTGAAGAAGTCCGGTATTTCAGCTGCATGGGAATCTCACTAAAGTGGCTTGCTGAAATTCCCTAGTCCACTCACTAGCTCACTGAACTACTTGCTTGGGGAGGCCTTATGCGGCACGGCACGAACTGAACGGGTGAAGCTATGACTTTTGTGGCTTTGTGGAGCTGAGACATAGAGTTCTCGACTTTGAGCTATTTGACGCCTTTACGTGAGATTCGATTTGGTGTTGCAACTTTGACTTTCGTCTTTTTGTTCAGCTGAGGGCATGTGATAAAGATAAATGCTTATAATTCCCTAGGCTGACAATGCTTTCAATCCTCACTTCATTGTCCATCTGCATCTTTACTCATTGACTTAATACTCGTCACTACTCAAAATGCCGTCAGCTATGAGCGCTCACATCGAGCAGGCGATTGTTCCAGATGAACACGTCAAACTCATTCTCTGCTTCGATGGTACTGGTAATACCTTCAGTGGTACTAATGCCGACACCAACGTTGTCAAGATTCTTCGCAAGCTTGATCGCAATAACAACAAGCAGTACCATTACTACCAGAGTACGTACTCTTTCCAGATGTAACTCTTTTACCATGGGACTGACATTCATTGCAGCCGGTATTGGTACCTACGATGTAAATGAGAGTTCTATCCACAAGTCAACTTTCGGGGAGGTCAAGAGCAAGATCTCCAAGGTAATTGACCAAGGTTTCGGCACAACATTCGACGCTCATATCATGGCTGGTTACCGTTTCCTCATGCGATACTATGAGCCCCAGGCCAAGATTTACATCTTTGGCTTCAGTCGTGGTGCTTACACTGCAAAGTATCTGTCACGCATGGTCAACAAGGTCGGTCTCCTTTGCAAGGGTAACGAGGAGATGGTACCTTTTGCCTATCGCCTTTATGCCCGCGCTCTAGAATGCGAAAGCGCGGATCGTCTCGCTACGCAAAAGGGTAGTGTCTGGGGCATGGGCGGTCCTGACGAACTACCACCCCAAACAAACTCTGAGACATCGCTCAATGGTAACAATCAGCCAAACGATGTACCCAATGGGGTTAGCAACGGCGCATCCAATAGCGTCAATGATTCTTCATCGTCTTCGTCTGATTCATCCGATGACGAACATGCCCCTGCTGGCGCGGAAGAGCCTACCGAGACTGACGACGAGGAAGACAAGACAACTTTCATGGCTGGCAATGTCAACATCAAGAGAGGGAATGATACCAAGAAGGCTAGAAGGGAAGTAAAGGCCTTCAGTCAAACCTTCTGTCGAAATGAAGGCTCAGATCCTAAGAACCACAAGAACATCAAGGTGTTTTTCCTCGGCATGTGGGACTGTGTTAACTCTGTTGCTGTTGTCGAGAAGAATGCCCCAGCACCTGTCGAGATTACTGGCACTGCGAAGCATGTTCGCCACGCTGTGGCTGTCGATGAGCGTCGCGTCAAGTTCAAGCCTGCTCTTCTAGCACAGGACATTCGAACAGTCGTCAAGGAGGCCCAGGATAAGGCGGAAGCGAGGCGCAGAAAGGGGAAGAACCCCAAGAAGAGCAAAAAGACCGTGGAGCAGATGAAGAAGGAAGAAGAGGAGAACAAGGAGGATATCAGAGAAGTCTGGTTCCCTGGAAACCATGGCGACATCGGAGGAGGTTGGCCTGCTATGCCTGAACTTGTGTCCCCCGACAAGCTACCATGGTATACGCGTCTCGGCAACGTCCTCACAAGTATGAAGCCCAAGAAAAACGAAGATGAGCCTCTTCTCAGGAACAATGATCTTCAGATGAGCGACATGGCTCTCGATTGGATGATTCGAGAGGTCACTCTCGTCGGAGATCAAGAACCCAAGTCTGCTGTTCACTGGTGCCACACTCTTGACAAGTTCAGAAACAATATGGACGACACAAAGACACTCGTTGAGGGAAAGACAAAGCTGCAGAGATATGTCATTGAGGGCTTCAAGCACGACACTCTTTCCTTTGGTTACGGATCTTCTGTCTTCAAGGTGATTTTGTGGAAGTTTATGGGTAAGTCTATATACATATCACAACTCTGTTCACCAATATAACTAACTCTATCTAGAATGTCTCCCAGGAATTCCCCGATGGGAACTCAACGACAAGGCCGCGAAGGAGGAGGACAAGGGCTGGGAATCACGACGCTGGACTCCCAACTTTGGCAGCTTCCGTGATATTCCACGTAGAGCTGTCCTGCACAATTCTCTCATTGAGCGATTGAAAGCTCAGGACATCAACTATCGCCCCGGAAACAACCATGGTCGTGGCGCGCCTTGTTTGTTGGGTGCTGGTAAGAAGGAAGTTGCCAAGATGAAGAAGGCAGAGCTACAGAACCAGAAGGATCTCAGCACTTACGATGACGAGAGGGAGAGGACATGGGCTGCGAGACATCAGCTTTGGCAACTTGAGCCGAAGGCTTAGGGCATCACTGTTTTTGGAATATGTAATTGGATGTTTAGGCGTTTGGAAGGGTAATCACATTACTTTAGTTCCGGAAACATGGTCAATTTCGGTTTATCAGGGTAGCTTGCTTTTCAGCCAATCTATTAATTGCTGACATCTGATTGTCCGACGGGATTCGTGAAATGACCAATGACGGCAATGGGATGTTCAGAAGGATTTACCTGTCAGCTTACAGACCATCTAGACTCCGTACTGACTACGTAAAGAATTTATATAACCTTGTTGCTGACAGCTCACGTCAACCTCTTTTCTGAGCTTACTCAGAGGATAAGCCCAAGTAGCGCAAAAGACTTCCACCCTAAAAGAAAAGAAATTCAGCTGAACATGGAATCTCCATCACGCGTACTTGTGACAGGTGGAAGTGGCTTCTTGGGAGGCCACGTTGTTCGGCAACTCCTCCATGATTCTGCGACTACAGTTGCCATCACTAGTCGCCATCCAAAGGTTCCCGTCGATGTGTTGGATGAATCTCGTATCTCTCTCTTTCCACTTGATCTTACATCTCGAGACCAAACCGACGAAGTCTTTCAGAACTTCAAGCCCCATGCAGTCATACATACCGCATCCCCATCTTATCTCGATACCAGCAGAGCATTGATCAAAACCAATGTCGACGGGACAAATATTTTGCTAGAAGCCGCAAAGGCTTGTAGTCATACAAAAGCCTTTGTCTTGACCTCGTCCAATCAGGCTGTTGTACCAACACAAGAACCCTTGTCCGAAGAGAATGCTCAACAATATGTCAAGACCAATGCGCCTAACGCCTATGCCTTGTCAAAAGGTCTAGCCGAAAGACTCGTCACCGCTGCAAACTCGGAGGAGCTGTACACTTCAATCATCAGAATCCCCGGCATCTATGGCGAATACGATACCAACTTCATTCCTCAACTGGTGTCGAGCATTCGACGAAATGAGCATAAAATGCAAGTTGGAAACGATGCCAAACTCTTCGAAGTCGTCTATGTAAAGAAGGCGGCCGAGGCCCATATCCTGGCCATGAAGACTCTGCTCGATTCTACAACTCGCGGTCAAACTGGCGGTGAAGCATTCTTCATCTCCGATGGCAAACCACAGAAGTTCTTTGATTTCTGCAGAAGGTTTTACGCGGCTGCTGGTAATCCTGTCAGGCCGGAAGAGGTGACACGCATTCCACTATCGGTTATGCAGGCTGTGGCGTCAAGTACTGAATGGCTGTATTGGGTTTTGACGTTGGGGATGATGCAACCTGGTCTACGAAGAATTAGTATGGATCATCTGGATACTGGTTGTTGTTGGTCGTTGGATAAAGCGAGGAAGATATTGGGATATGAGCCTATTGATGATCAGGATGAAGTTATCAAGAGTACGATGGAGTGGGCTATGGAAGCCCTCTGAAGCCATGAACCCTTTCATGTGGACTGATACTCACAAAAAATTCAACAAGATTGCAATATAGGCTTCGAATTGAGACTTCGTTCATATACATGCTACCCCCAACTGTGACCCAAGCCTTCTCAAGTTTCTTAATGTCATTGAGCTTTCATATGAACTTACAAATATTGATGATGGAGAAACCAGATCATATTTAAACTGGGTATCATTGTGTAGGTCGGGTCACAGTATAATTGTATTAGTCCCTCCAGCTACTCAATCTCTCTGGGCCTGCTACCGAGATCCCGACGTGAATACATGCCAGCCTCGATGTGCTGCACCAAGATGAGAATGTTTGTTACATTGGGTTCTTCCGCCTTCTTTTTCTTTCCATCCTTGCGTGCCTTGTTCCCAAGATCTATCTCATCGCCGATAACAGTGAGAAAGCCTTTAAAATTGGCCTCTTGATGCATTTTCTCCTCGTTGAAAGCGTCGCCCAAACTGATCGCTACTTGAACGACGTCTGCGACACTGACACTGAGAACACCTTTGAGGATCTGTACGGTACTGCCAAACACCTCCAAGAGTAATTCCCACCCTTTATTGGTGACTTCGTCTTTGAGAATCACTCCCGAAACATAGTCGAACCATGCGGGATGGTGATCACCCAAAAACATTTTGCGGCTGATACGAACATAGGTCGTCCCCTCCGCACCCCACATGTAGCGCTTCGGCCATGGCGATTGTCCTTTGTTCTTGGCAGGGGCATGCTCAAAGTCCTTGATTCCGACCTTTTTGTATGGATCCTGGGTGACAAACTAACTATAAAGTTTAGGGGAGTTTGTAGTTGCCCCGAAAAGTTGCTTAAGGAACATCCTCAGGGCGCAGTCCAGGATGTTGACGGGACCATCCTCAGTGTACCAGTTTCTGTAATCAGGGTACTTCTTAGTCCGTTCAGCATAGTCAGGGAGTAGACGATTCGAGGTTCGTATAGCGATGAAGTGGTTCATATTGTTGACACCCGTTTTGGTGAAGAGTCGAACCCAATGAACAGCTCAATATTGACCATGGGTACGCAGCGAGATAGCTGGGTTATCCATCTTGGGTGCGCGAATAGCCACAAAACAATCATACGAATCACCATGTTTTCAAGATAACTCAAATTCCTTCTTGGCCCAGTTCGTCACCTCGTGTATATCCTCGTCCTTTCTGTGATAGTGTTCCAGTTGGCTTTTGAGGTTACATAGATAGGTTCGTCCCCTCCAATGGCGATCTCAAGTTCTGCATAATGGAAGTGAACGTAAAAGAGCCAGTAGTCCTCTTTCTCAGAATCAAACACGTCTGATCTGTCACCCTCGTAACGCTTGATTTCTGGATATTTATCTGGAAAAAGGTAATCCAAATCGGGTATACCTGGGTCTTTCTTTTCAACTTCCAAAGTCTTGCTGTATAGCGGTATATCTGTACCAGTTGATGTTTGCAGTACGAAATTTATGATAAAATCGACTGGGTGGGACGGGCCAAGATGTGAAGATGTGGCCTCCATATTGGAGATGACGAGATGGAGTCTTTGTGTTGGATGAAAAGTACTGTAGGACAAGGGATAGAGAGAGATATTGTAGCTTTTGCGACAATCATACGGTAGTAGAGGCCTGTTTTATAGCTAACGACCGGTGACAATTATTGACCTACGCTCGATCTGACAGTGACGTTATTAAGGAACAAAATGACAGTTATCCTATTTTTCTCAGATACTCATGGCGGTCAACGAGGTGAAAGCGGCAAAGCATAATTTTGTAACCAATGATTAGTGGAATGCTAATAAATATGCAGCTAGAAACGTAGATTATTTCTTGTTGTATATGTGATCCTGAGACATTCATGTCGGGACGACAGCTGAAGGCTGCAGACTTATTTCTTGCCAGAAATGACTGCAGCGATTTTTATTGAGATGGGGTACTATCCTGCAAGACTACGCAATGCCCGCAGGGCTAATTAACACATGACGACTCTTCCAGTTTCTGAAGACTAGGAAGAGGGTGAACTAGGTACGCCAGGGGCATTTTTCTACCTTGCATTTGCAACAGTTGAGAGTGTTACTTGTCGGCCAGTATTAAAAGATGATGCATGGCGTCCCGCATATTAAATAGTTTATGAGTAATATTGTTCCATATTTCAATGGGACGTGTTGCATGTTGGCCTCGTCTAGCCTTCTTAGAGCCTGCGTCACTCAGATAAAATCTCATAACTTCAGAACAATGTTTCTTATTATGAACGATGTAATTGGCTTGCTCTCAAAAAATGTCATATGATATGGCAAGGATCATATGCAGTATGTAAGTAACGAGGTATGGGAATTGCAGCCTAAACCGAGGCTGAGCAATTACAGAAACATGATCAGCAACGCTTCCTGCGAAATTCTCATCATCTCACTAACAGCGACTAAAGATGTCCTTCGGATATGGGGTCGGCGATTTCATCGCTGTGCTAGGTCTCTTTGAGCGCATCGCTCTAGAGCTACGCAATTATAAGGACGCTCCTATGCACTTCCAGCAGCTCCGTGCGGAACTAGACCTTGTTCACAGCACCCTCAAACACGTTTTGAGTCTGGAGCCCGACTGTAAGGAAGAGTTCCAGACCCTGGAGCAGATCAGAGCTATTGTAATGCACTGTTCTCAACCTCTGCAGACCATGGTAAACAAAATGCGATCCAAGGAAAGCAGTTTAGGTCATTTCAGATCAACGAGAAGTCTTAGCGGCATCGGTGAAAGGCTTCACTGGTCTATGATCGCTCAAGGCGACGTTGATGCAGTACGAAAGACGATTTTGTCTCAAATGGCCGCTGTTAATATCCTCTTAAGTGTCCAGCAACTGTTCGCAAGCCTATGACGTTCAAAAGCTAAGCAACTGATCCGTTGATAGAACCCGTGTCAAACAATTGTCATTACAGTCCAAAAGTATTGGGGACAGCCAATTGACAATCATCGAGAAGCATGCAAACGCAATAGCTGGACATACTTCTAATATTCTTAACATTGTATCGAGAACGCAAGCGGCAGTAAAGACCCTGACGGTCAATGCAGCTATCCAGGCCGACATACAGTCACGGGATTCTAACTCTATCAGCCAAAGTGTGACTGCCATCGAAAAGAACATCCTTCACTTGAAAAGAAAGACCGAAAAGGCGTCAGCAATAGTCCGTTGCCATGCTGCGTTTGTAACCCGCCACGCGAAGATGCTATATTCTCTCATGAAAGATATTAAGAAGTTGTTCACTTTGTAACGACCCGTCCTATAGTTTTTTTTTATCTCAGCAGGCTAATACCCTCTCAGTCTAACAAAATGTACGAAGGACATGCTTGAAGCCATAGGCAGAAATACGTAAGTATGCCGAGAAGGACTTAGCTTGCCAGATTATTAACTGCACACTAGGCGTATGTTACTCGATATAAGTGGCCAGCTTAAACAAATCATCAGAGCTATTGAGGCGATACCACTCCATCTGACTCTGGACATCGTTCGGCTTGATGATGCCCACGGTGAAAGTTGGGCTCTTCCATTTCAGGCTTGCAGGACCTGGGATGTAAGTAGTAACTAAGCTCGCGTGTATCAGAGGATAATAGCAACTGACAGTGACAGTCTTTTTGTGATTTGCTTCGATGTGTTGTATACGCAAACGAGAGGCCTGGTTTAAATCACATTATGCATAACCTGTTCACCATTACCCATTCAAAAACCGGTTTACAAATCAATCCAGATGTGTGGGAAAACGCGGTAAAATCGGGCTGTCATGTTGAGCAGGCCATGCTCATCAAAAGGGCTCATCCTCAAGGGACTTGCATGGATCCAAAATGCACCGGGAGACTCTTGAAACCAAAGTCGCGATACGATATCCGTAATTCTTGGTAAGCATTACTAGAACGAGACGTGAGATAATCTGATACTAACTTCTTCGCCAGTACTACTTGTGGTCGATGGGTTATGGCGAGCCCTGATATACCTCCCTTGGTAATCTTATACCAAAAATACTCTTCCACGACTGCCTCTGGCAACGATTCAAAGTTTCCCAATGCCAACAAAACAAATTCAGGTCTGCAGCACCTGCCGATCAATGCCAAAAACCCATCGGAGAGTTTTCGCAGAGTCAAAGTGGTTTACCCTACAGCGCCCATTCTAGATATAGAAGATGCTCACAAGCGATTGCGTGACAACCCAAAGAACCCGGGGCAAATGCATTTATAGGCCTCTCATTGCTACATGATGCACAAAGACTAATAGAAGATGATGGAAACGGTATCGAAATTGCTATGAAAGCAGTATGTCACTTAGGGGCTGCTGTCACATCCGGTAAGTGGGTGAATACTTTCAGCCAATATGTACACTTAAACCCATACTAACCTCTTTTCCAGACTCTTGTAACGCTGAGTACTGGTATCTTTTGGGAAGAGCATACATGCTTCTAGAGGAAGACGAGAAGGTCTTCAAATGCCTTCGACAAGCAGTCTTCATTCAACCTAACTGTGCTTCTTTTTGGCACTCATTTGGGATTCTATTTTTTGCTACAGGGCGATATAAGGAGTCTGACCAAGTATTAACTCATGCTCTGCGTCTAAATCCACGTATTTACACAACTTGGTATAACCTTGGCGTTTTGGTAATGCATTATGTGGCCCATAACTGGATTTTATTTGTTTTGTATCTTTGCTAACGGCGAAAATAGTTTGACAGCATTGGCCGATACGGCATTGGCACAGATGTTTTTCAAGCATTTGACAATCATGTACCATGGTGGCCTGGAGTTCGCGAAAGACTCGAAGCTTACCAGGCATACGTTCAAGATTCAAACGAGAAGCTGTTTCGTAATCACTTATTGCACTACATGATGGATACTGGGCTACCTTATCAGCCGCAAGGCGAAGTGGATAACTACAGTACTGGACATGGTACTGGGGTGTAGACGTCTGGGAATAGTAACGAGAGTGCTGATGCTCTGTAGAGTTATTTAACAGGGCCAGAGAGCTAAGATCTTGTTAGTGAGGGTAGAGTCAACTAAGCAATTTTTAGATTTTACTGGAATCGTCCGTGGAGTCTTTAGAATCTTAATTATAACCTGACCTTAAGAACAAATGTAAGGCCAAGGAAATTTAGAAATCCTTGCATGACTTTCAATTATTAGTCTCTTTGCTAGAGACAATGACCACGATGGCTTTCAGTACTAATAGAAGGAAAAATAGATCCATTATAATCTTGACAACTATGGGACTATGTATTTACACTAGCATACAAGTCATTGATCTTGAAAAGTAATACAAACTACCAATCGAAGCGTTACTGTGCAGGACGAGCCATATCGGGACTAGTTCTGGTAGTATCATCCCTAAAAGTAGCCTTGTCACCATCAAAACTACCCTCGCCATTGCTGTGCTGCGGCATATCAGCATGACCCTCCTCAATGCCACCATTGTTAACAATAGGTGCGTTGTCGATGGTCATCTGGGGTGCAACATCATACTTGCCATCACCACGCTCCAGTCGGTGCGAAGGGATGAGAATGTTGAAGAAGCGAGGTACAACAAAAGCACCGACAATAAAGAGAACAACCATGTGCATGAGAACGAAGCTGTAGATGTAGGGAGGGTTGTTGCGATAACTGTTGAGGAACTTGGGATACGCAAAAGAGAAAACCAGAGCGACGGCAGGACCAGTGATATATTTGAGGCAGATAGGCCAGACCCAGTGGATCTTCCAGTTCTTGCCGCCATTGGAGATGACGTTGTTCAGATCATTGCGGAGTTGTTGGCCCTGAATACAGTCAGTTTTGGCTATGTGGATGTGAGTGGTTATACATACCGAGTAAAACGCCGCGTACCAAAAGCGGCTGAGAACGGCGTTCTTACCCCAGAATCTAGGAGCAGGAACAGTAGGAGCCTTACCAACAAAGGCAGAGATGAGAGAGCAAGCGATGAAGATACCAAAACCAGCACCTGCACCAGCAGCAGGAGTGACAAGGTGACCGAGGAGAATACCAATGAAAAGAGAAAAGACGTAGCCACCGTTGTATACAAGGTAGCTGACGAGACCAATTTGGTCAACTGGATCTCTCCAGCGGTACAGAGTACAGGCCATGTAAGTCTCAGACCAGACAGTGACAAAGAGGGCAATGTCATTGACCCACATATCAATAGCATCGAGAGTGGCGAAGCCAAATTCACTGCTGTAGATAAGGGCAGTGAGGGCACCCAAGAGGATGACAGAGGTAGAGATGACCCAGCGAGGGATTCGCTTACCAAGGTCACTATCGCAAAGCATGGTGACGAGAACCTCGGCTAGAGCAAACACACATGTAAGACCGAGAAGGACCAGAGTAAGGAAGAACAGAGCAGAGAAGAAATTGGCTCCAGGCATCTGAGCAAGAGCCTCAGGGTAGTAGTAAAAGCCGGAGCTAAATGTGGACAGGGGCGGAACCTCGCCAGGGTTAATAGCCAAGAAACCGACAACACCCATGACGGCCAAAGCAGAGATGATTTCGATGGCCGAATTACTCAGTGCAATGATGAAGGCATCCTGAACAGCGTTGGCGTACTTGTTGTTGTAAGAGGCGTAAGATGTGAAGTAACCGAAACCAACACCAATAGAGAAAAACATCTGACCGAAAGCGTCCTGCCACACACCAGGGCCCTGTAGGGACTCGCTTCGCCACTCGCCGACATAGAGTTTGAAACCATCGGATGCGTTTGGGAGAGAAAGGGAGCGGATAGCGAGGATGCCGATGAGGAAGAGAGGTAAAGCCATGGTGACATAGATGACTCGACCTGTGAGACCGACTCCCTTGAAAGTACACATCCATACGACAGCCCAGATCATCATACACCAGCCAAATGTCTCGCCCACAATACCACGGCCAGGATAGGATAGCATTCCACCATCCTCTCCGCCGATGGGATCGACATTACGAACAACTTCCTCATTGAAGAATTTGATAGTGTCCTTACCGTCCCAAGGCAGAGGGCTCTGGAACGACATGCGGAAATAGGCCATCGCGAAAGCCAAGATCGGTACATAGTATCCTACGACACTGAAGCCGTTGAAGACCATGGAGAAACCAATACCCTTTGCACGATGGTTGACGTTGTTCCATGCAATGACACAACCGCCGCGATAAGCTTGACCAAGAGTGATCTCGAGGATGAGAATGGGAATACCGACGAGGAAGAGGGCGAAGAAGTAGGGGATGAAGAATTGGAGACCATAGTTGTTGAAGACGACGGAGGGGAAACGAAGAAGGTTGCCCAAACCGACGGCACCACCCATGGCGCAGAGAACAAATTGAGATCGTGAGTTGAAGTTGTCACGACCGTCTTCATCTTTTGCTGAGTCTGGCGCCAGCATCAAGAAGATGCGTTTGGCCATGCCAGGCTTCTTGCCTTCAGCGGCGACAGCCATACTGAATTTGTTTGAAGAAAGATAAAAGGAAGGTAAAGTCAATGAATGATGATATCTCGACTTGGGGAAATGGAATGCAAGTGAGACCTCTCCTCCTCAGGAGTAAGAAAAACGGTGGAGAAGATGGCATGATATATACCAAACAGAAACACACAAATAAGCATAATCCCAATCACAACAGATAACAAAAGGTCAGCAACCAACACTTTCGAGGGGCAAAACCAAGGAACATCCAAAGAGCCAAGACAATAGCCAAGATGGCACAGTAGACCAATAGTCCCTATTCTTGGCGGCTAAGAACCACTTAATACTGACGCCAAGTAAATCTCACAGCACAATCTCCCCTCTCGTGATTGAACCGCCAAGCGACAGGATAGGAAGGTAGAGAGGCTCGTTCCAGTTGCTGGTCTTCTATTGCACAAGTGGCTGACTCAAGTAAAATGGACCATCGATATGGAATAACCGCCAAGTGAATGCCAATGCTATTATCTGGGGTAGCGCTTATCTAGTACCTCCCGTTTTCAGCAGGCGTCAAGAACAAGCAAGACTCTCTAGAGTTCCATTATTCCGAGGCCGCGGGTATCCGATGCTGGTTGGTATCAGCTCTTTGTTAGTTCAGCTTTGGAGATGAAAGCCAAGGCCTTGGCTTTTTCTTGGCTTTGATAACTCTAACCAAGACTGCGGAGACAGGAAGCTTAGAGAGAACTGACACATAATCCGTATCTGTCTTTATGTCGCGCGTAGCCGCCACTGCTGCGCCGACTCTGTATTGCCACGCGATGATGTGAACCAAAAGGCCAAGGCTAGAGATGAGCCTCACCGTAATTAATAAGGTTTTAGTGGGTTAAGGGATGAACTGAACTGGTCGCACCCAACGATAGCCGTATGTAACCATCTGTATCTTGGCATTCTCAGTGATCCTTGAGCATCGGATGTTCCCCTGCTGATTAAGACTCTATCACCTTTTTTTACGTAATAAACACGCACTGAAAACTGTAATTTCTTGACTGTTTGTCTTTCATGTGAATGAGACAACAATGAATCCATAGTTTAGACGTTCTCAATCATCTCCACGTCAAAAAGGTCCACCTCCACACTTTAAGGTACAGGGAATATCTGGGGATTTCCTAGCAGGGAAGCTGATGACATTGAACAACGGCCCATCATGGGTCTTTTACCTAATAATATCCATATTACTTAACTCTAGTATACGTATTGAAAATGCTTATTCTCAAGATCCGTCTTGTCCAACAATCCCATTTCCCATCCTCTCCTCTGGTTTTCATCTCCCTCTGTATGATATTCCCTTCGAGATCTATTTCTCATCCAAAACAATACCCAAAGTCCGACAAGACTTGCCACCTGGATGGCGATGCACGTAAACATCATTGCCACGCCAAGCTCATACGTCGGCGCTTGATCAGTCTTGAAGAAAAACGGACCGACGAAATTACCGAGACAGTAACCAATAAGTAGTATCGCATTGGTCGTGATTTTCTTTGTGTATCCTGCGGTATTGGCCACTGAAACGGCCATACTCAAAGTCCATGTTGCAGTGTAGGAGAAGGACATCCAAAGACATGCGAGGCGAGCGTAGGCGTCGCTGTGGGGGATAAAGTGAAGACCGAGGACGCCGGCGAGGAAAGGAGTCAGAGCGAGTAGCATGATTGGGATTCGGGAGTTTTTGATAGTTGAAGCTCCCCAGCTGCTGCTGTTAGTGATGGGATCATCAAGAAGATCTATAATGACTTACCAGGCTAAAACACAAACAACCAACTGGACTGCACCCGAAGGCATCTGATATAGTGTCGTAGTAAGTGTACTGAAGCCAGCACCTTTGATAATGAGACCTTGGAACTGGATAATGATTAGTCGTCGCCAAAACCACGTTGACAAGAAACTTACAGCAGATAGACCACCGTTGGGCGAATTACTCGTAACAGCGAACAAAAACAACAACCAAGTCTTGAGGTCAAACATAGCCTCCCAAAACTGCGGCATCTTGAAATGCTTATTCTCAATACCCGTTCCATTCTCCTTCACTCTCGCGATAGCACGGGCTCTCTCATCTGGTGTAAGGAACTTTGCTCGCATCGGGGCGCCGGGTAGACAAAAGAGAAGAATAATACCCCAGGCAACGGTGATAGAACCCCAGATGATGAAGAGCAGTCGCCACGATGTCAACGATGAACTAGTATGGCCGATACCAAAACTGGCGATTCCAGCGATGATATAGCCAAGGCCAGCTGATCCAAGCCATATACCCATTCGTAGAGGTTGCTCGCTTCGTTTGTAGTACATGCTGAAGAGAAGCATAGTTCCTGGGTTGATAGCTGATTCTAACGCGCCTAGGAGGGTTCGGACTGCTGCTAGGGCTGGGAAAGAGTGGACTGCCCCGTGAGCCATGAGAACAGCACCCCAAGCAATCACCTGCAACTGTTCAGTACTTGATTGCCTCATCACGTTCAAATGGACTTACTGTTCCCGACATAAAGTAATTAATCGGAAATCTTTGCAAAAACATACTCGTAGGAAACTCCCACACCAGATATCCCAGATAGAAAATCGCTCCAGTCCAAGAGAATTCATTCCCTTTTAGACCGATATCCTCTCTAAGACCAAACACAGCTGCATAACTGATGGTGTTCTTATCAATAGACTGCAAAGCATAAGTGAAGCACAAAAGCGGCATAAGTCGAAGATCCAGCTTCCATCTCAAAGCGCGCGCGAGTTCGGGACTTGTCTCAATATCCTCTGCATTATGACACAAAGTCAGGGCTTCGGCGGTCGATACATCGTTTATAGTACCGTCTTGAATAGACGATGTATGTTTGAGGTCTTCGGGGTATTTTTCGGTCGACATTTTGACCACTGGTTGAACAGATCGGAGGGAACCATGCGGATTGGGATATTGTTATGCGCTTTATACATATGTTTATCTTTGGCATATCCGACTGTAGATCATTTGACGTTGCATTCGTTTCGCCCGCGGCGAAGTTGACCCCTCCTTATCATGGTTCGACGGTTATCTGCATCCTTGGATGTTGGTATCAATAGAGGGTCTTGATGTAACTGCGTAGATAGCAGAACCCATTCTTTAGCTCTTGTTTCAAAGTGCCGCAAGACATCCAATTTTATCCTAAGGAATTGATTGCCTAATCTCGAATTTATCTTCCATCTGGCATTGTCGTAAACAATCTCGGGAACTTTTGTAGTTCCGGTATTTATCTCAACATCTCCACTTGTCTATCGTCATTTAAACAGGGTCTTGTACGAAATGATCCTTGATAAACGCGGGGTAAGAGTGTTTCGTATCCACATCTATCTTTGCTATCATTGTATCCTATCCCGCGGTCAACATAGTTGGCCGCGGGGAACTTGATGAACGGTGTACAGAAGATCTTCCGAAAGAGGACATCGTGATCGCATAAATCAACATGATAAGACACTTGGTAAACATAGACGTTAAGTGAAGTGATCTGAAACGTGATTGTGTTATACCATCACCATGACTTCTCTTCACCCATATCAGTCTTTACCCATTGACGAACGAGTCAAAAGAGTACTAGCAAAAACGCCTCTTATAGACGGCCACAATGACTTACCTCAACAACCACGAGCATGCTTCCATGGCAAAATCCATAACAATGATAAATTTGATCTGAAAAAAGGCTTTGAGAGAGGAATGACGGATATTCCTCGTCTCAAACAAGGTACCTATCTTTCTTCACTCCATGAACTTCTACTAATTCTACCAGGCGCCGTTGGGGGCCAGTTTTGGTCTGTATGCGTACCATGTCTTCGTTCCGCAGAAGACTTTACAACGCCCGAGTACTCCGACATGGCCCGTGATGCCATTGAACAGATTGATTTGACGTTACGACTGGTAGAGTCATACCCCGAGACCTTTCAGTTAGTTAGTGGTCCTTCTGAAGTCAAGGATGTATATGCCAGTGGAAGAATTGCTTGTTCTATTGGAATTGAGGGACTCCATATGGCTGGGAATAGCATTGGTATCATCAGAGCCTTTTACAGATTAGGTGTGAGATATGTAAGTAAAAACGCTAGTAATCTCGTTGAGGGGCAAGACTAATGCTTGCAGTGTACTCTCACACATGTCTGCAACAATGCCTTTGCAGACAGTTCAACATCCAAAGTTGGCCCTGTCCACGGAGGTCTATCCGATCTTGGAAAAGCAGCAGTAGTTGAAATGAACAGACTCGGTACATCAACCCTCCCATTGCCAAGTCCATGCTAACCTCGTAGGTATGATCGTTGATATCTCCCACGTATCTGAAGACTGCGCCGAACAAGTCCTCGCTCTCTCCCGCGCCCCAATAATGTTTTCCCACTCTAATGTCAAAGGTGTCTTCGACTGTCCTCGCAATGTCCCAGATCACATCCTTGACAAAGTCCCCTCCAATGGCGGTATCGTCATGGTGACTTTTGTCCCAGAGCACTGCACGGCACGACGTTCAGATGCCAATATGGAAATGGTCATCGACCACTTATTCTACATAGCAAACCGTATAGGTTGGGACCATGTCGGTCTTGGATCAGACTTCGATGGGATTGCTAGTGTTATTCCTGGCCTTGAAGATGTCAAGTGTTATCCACATCTTCTCAAGGCGATTCTTGATAGGGGTGCTACTGAGGAACAGTTGGCCAAGGTTGTGGGGGAGAATATTCTTAGGGTCTGGGAGGGGGTTGAGAAGGTGAGGGATGAGATGAAGAAGGGGGGTGTTCTCCCAGTGGAGGATGTCTTCAAGGATCGAAAGTGGTGGCGCTATGATGGGTTTTATCAGATGGAGGATCCGGATCCTGAGGACAAGTTGGGACTTGATTGGTATGGGAAGCCTCCACCAGATGAGGGTTTGTATCTTGAGGAATAGATAATGAATGCCAACCATGATAGTTCAATTACGAGATAGAGATGCGATTTTCTACGGAGACTGTCAATAGTAATGACATATGGCTTGCTTTATCATCGACTTTACTAATTCCCATCAACGGCTGGTCCCCAACCCATCGATCCCCAGTTCAGCTGAGATATATCTACAGTAAGCGATGCCGGATCTGCCATATAAGACCCTGGCATGTCTCCGAAATTCTGCCCGCCCATGTTAAATATCGTACCAGGGTCCCCAAATCCCATTGGCATCTGCATAGACATATCATCCATGTCCATCGCACCCTGGCATTGATCCTTATTCTGCTCGTTGTTATTCAATGACATATCCGCAATCTTTTCGTTGATAAAGTCCACAATTTCTGGCGTGGTCGTTCCCTTGCCAGCTTTCTCATGAGCCTTTTTGACTGTTTCCCACGCGTAGAGCACAATATTGGTGAAGGGCCTGAATACTGGAGCTGGGATATTTGCGTCTGGCGCAGCTCTGGCAGAGTAATTCTCGTGCATGACCTTCCACGCCCTTTCGGTCTGATCAGAGAACGGCTGACCTTTTAGATGCTGGATGACACGGATATACGCTGGGAACGGGAAATGGAGCTGCAGAAACCATCGGAAGTTTTTGGTAAGTGGTGAGCTGGATAATTTCGTGTCGCATTCTAGCCAGTGAAGGGCACACAAGACGGCGGCTTCTTGTCGCTCCGGCGTATATCCTGTAGATGTATCAAGGTAGGTCAAGTAATCGTTCATCAATCGGCAATTCATGATGTTTGATCGCGCGGTCCACATAGCCATGTAATGGACACGGTTATCCGGGTCGCAAAACCGAAGATATTTGTCTTCAATCATCTTCTCCAGCGTAACATCACCACCGGGCGGCAACTTCTTAGCCAGAGGCTTCATGACAGGGTTAGTGAATGCAAGGTAGAAAGGACTGTTGCGGTAAAATTCGCCAATCTCGCCTCTGACAATTGCGAAAATGGCTTCTGTCGCTTGATCCTGAACTTTTGGTGGAGTTTTTGTCTCTTCTCGAAGTTCCGAGTCGCTAACGTTTATAGGCAATGCACAATCCCAGCTTGGGACTAGGGTCGTTGGCTTGTGATCGCCTAAAGCACTAAAGCGAGAGTCGAAGAGTACAAGAGACCACCAAAGTCTCCTTCGGAGTTCTGCTTCGAGAATGCTGCACCGGGTGTTCTTTGCTTCGCTTTGAATACCCATTCGCTCGGCGATGCGGATAGCTACAGCTAGCATGGAGGAGACGGATTTCGGATGGCTGGCTGAGCGGACGGAAACCTAAAAGTTGTCAGTCAAGCCGTAGAAGCAGAAGACGTGAAGCCCACAAGGTAGAGGAACAATGCTGTCAAACAATCTCGGTTATCAGTTCGTAAGAAGTTGCAGTTCGACAATGCTTGTTGACATCCGAAATAATATCGCGTTGAGAGCTGCTCCTTTGATTGCTTGAACATAGTCCCACACTCTTCTTGTGATAAACTAAGGACGGCCATGCAATAAATACTGAACATCAAAGCTTCAAGGGTGGGTGATATCTCCTTCAGGTTGGACGCAGCTTCAACGATACGAGCTTGAAGAGTCGGGGTATGAGTAACTTTCATAAGTGGATTGACGTTGTCGAGATAGACCTGCCACAGCCTGAAGAGGTGCGCGGGCTCTGGATGTAGAGTGTGTAGCTCAACGGCCGAATTTCGTGAGCCGAATAACATGTCTTGGTCATTGGGTGACATTTGATCTTGAGCGTGGCTGAAGACATTTTCGTAGAACGCGTCGTTGGGATCCCGGTACTAAAAATATTTAGCTGATTCACTAGACTAAGTTTGTCAGGTAGTCTACCCCTTGGCGCATTGCTTGCCAGATACTTCTACAGCATTGTTAGAAATACAGTTGTGGTGGTGTGACGGAGACTTACTTGACTTCGGATACATCCTCAGACCGATCATGGGGACTTTCACCCTCTCTTCTCTCATCATCGGAATAGTAATCATTTGGCGAGCTCTTTGCTGTACTGTTGTTGTCGTCATGAAGAGGTTCAAATTTGACGTTGTTCTGCTTCATCAAGGCTTCATATCTCCTCAGCCTATCCAGAAGTTCTCGTTCTGGAAATCGTCGCCTTCGTGGTCTAGGCTGAGTAGCCGGCACACATTGCACACCATGCTTGACGCAAGTCGAACAAGGAAAGGTGCGGTCGCATTTGACCTTTCGCTGTTGGCAGAGAATACATGCCAGTACTCGATGCGGTTTGGGCTTGGGGGCGTTCTGCATGGATGTAGACATGGCGGGATCGGTCGGGGACTTTCCAAGCCCGAGAGATACGTCCGAGGGTTGGTGTTCCTGTAAGTGTATATGAAAGACGGCGATGGGATATCTTTGTTGGGCTGACAGGGAGAGTGAAGTGTTGGTCTCGGTCTTTTCTATCTTCCGAGATGACCCCACTTTTCACATTCTCGATGTTTTCGGACTTTAGAAATGTCCATGACCGACTACCAATTATTCCAGCACGATATCATCACTTATGGTCCAACTCATTATGTGTTTTCTCTCTCTGATAGCTTCCAAATGCGATTGATTCAATTGATTTGATGGTCGCCACGATCCAGAGCGTTGTCATCATAGGCTTAGACCGACTAGAATCGCAGCCAGCAATGGGGTGGATCACGAAGAAGTTGGATTGATAGACTGGTAGAAACAAATAGTTTCGGGGATGAATATGATCGAAATAATATTTATACGCAATATGAATGCAGAATGAACCAGAAAAGTAAAACAGATGCATATCAGCGTCATACCTCCTCTGACGTCAGGACTATGTCGATGTTCCATGACATGTTCTTCACGAAACCAACACTTTTGTTTCACCAACCACTTTCTTCCAACACTCTGATAGTCTTACCCATCTGTTGATAGTTTGCTCTTCAATCTTCCGTCTTTTGTTCGCCGATCAAGCTCACACCACGAGACCATCACAATGCCCAGCTACACAGGAAAATGCGTCTGCGGCAACGTCAAGTACAGTGTATCTCTAGACTCGCCTGATGATGCACGAACATCCCTATGCCACTGTGGAAGCTGTAAAAGAGCATTCGGTACTAACTTTGGCCTGACTACAAAGGTAAGCTACCTTCCCATGTCCATGATATCAGCTAATACATGCATCAGGTTGCGCTCGAGGGATTCAGGTATGACGAAGGAAAGCCAAAGTCTTTCAAACAAGAAAACGGCGTCATTCGTGAATTTTGCGATAACTGTGGTGCTTTCATTTGCGAATATGGTGTAAGTGCTGGCTAGACCACGTTACTTCTGTGCTGAGAGTATCCCAGGAACAAGCTGCGGACAAGTTTCGGTACATCATGTGGGGAACATTCGACGACCCAGACAAATTCCCTCCAAAGGGAGAGTTCTTTTGTAAATATCGTGCTGGATGGATGCCAGAAGTACCAGGTAAAACAACAACCATTTTCCCTTTATCAAGACATACTAACAAGATTATAGATCTCTTCCACAAGAACGAAATCAAGGAGTAATTCCACGATTATGACAGGTTCATAGCAATATATGCCTCGTATCTGTCTATCAGTGATTCGATCTTATCTTCTAGACAGGCCAGTTTTGTAGAAACTGTCGAAACGTTTCCAGCTTTGTCGGCTTCTTCAACACAGTATTCATTCCAAACTCATTGATCAATCTTTCCTCCTGACTCACCACGCCACAAGCAACAAGTCCAACAATGATTGTTGGCTGGAGGTTATTCTCTTTTTCGTACTCCCTAATTTGGAGAGAAGCTTCCAGACCACCCATGATAGGCATGGCGAGATCCATGAACACAATCCTGCATTGTTCAGGGTACGCTTTGTAAATGTCGACTGTCTCTTGCCCGTTCCATGCGTGTCGATATGCAGATTGGAGGCCAAGCTTGTTGAAATGATGGCAGAATAAACGCACATTCGTTTTGTTGTCTTCTGCTAAGAGATACTTGGCGTGTTCTTCTGCGACCTCTGTTGCCTCAGGCACAATCTTGGAGGCCGCGTCAGAGGTTGGGATGATGGTGGTTTGCTGCTTCTCGGACTCGCTCATATCGAAATTTCCTCCTGTACGTCATTATCAGTCAAGGATTCTGATATGGAAGTAGCGAAGTGGAGGATCACCAACCTTGGTACACTGTCGCCTGATGTTTGTTTGTGAAGAGTAGCTGGTAGATAACAGAAACAGAACAGTTCGGTTGGCTTCTAAGCTTTAGAGTACAAGAATAAATAGCCTCAGAGTTTAATCTAAATATCGCAAGATGGCTGACTATTGTTTTTTTTTCTCTTATGGCTCCGTATGACACCTGGAGGAGAAGGAAGGAGCCGATGAGCTTTGGTCTTAAAAACAGCAGTTGTGACTTAGTAAGCAAGCAAAGGACTGTTCCATTTATTCCGCCGCAAGGGTGCAAAACCAAAACGTCACTTGCATCTCAACACGCATTATACTAATCCCGGCGACCTTGCTTCGGTTCCTCCAAGGGCTTTCTCATTAACCACTTATGATGATGACAGACAGTGGTGATTACAAACCCTGGCTCTCCAGCTGTTCCTCAGTCCAAGCCCAAAGTTTCTTCGCCATCTCATCATCTAGCCCAGCACCATCCAGACCTCCAGTTTTTCCAACGGGCTCATAGAACTCCCCATTCTTAATTTCTGTCGATGTAGTTGCCCAAAGGTGATTCTTTACACCCTCCGAAATTGGACCAGCCATCTTGGGCGCGACATTGTCCTGCAGATGTTTCATCATCTCATCCCCCGCCTCCCGGGAGAACAGCTCAGTCTGGACTTCGCCAGGATTAATGGCAATGTTGGTGAAACTGTAGCGTTTCGCGGCTTCTCGTGCGTAAAGAAGACAGGCAAGTTTGCTCTGTGCGTATCGAAGAGGAAGTGGTGTCGGACTGGTCGCAGATTTGAGAGTGTCGAATTCGATACCACTAGGTCCGACGTGACGGAAGCCAGCAGATGACAAGTGTACCACCCTCGCATCCGGTGTCTTGTCAAGGACTGGTGCGAGAAGCTTCAAGAGCAGAGCGTGGCCAAGATGATTGGTACCCATGTGCATCTCGTAGCCATCTTTGGTGAGAACGGGAGGTGCCCCCATGACGCCAGCGTTAAGCAAGAGAACATCAAGTCTGTCCTCGCGGCCTAGGAAGTCCTTGGCTGCTGCCTTGATGCTGTCGAAGCTGGAAAGGTCCAACTCCAGAAGCGAAACTTTGGTACCCTCAGATGCGACGCCTTTGACTTCTTCTAGAGCAGAGTTACCCTTGGTAGAGTTTCGAGTGGTGATGTACACATGAGCTGCGTTGTGTTTGACGAGCTCAAGGGCCGTGGCTTTTCCAAGACCGGTGTTGGCGCCAGTGATAAGGATGACTTTGCCATTGAGAGAAGGGATTTCCTGTGCTGGATTGAAATAATAGGTCTTTTGGTTTGACATTATGACTACAGATGATTCCAGATATTAAAAGGGTTGCTGTTTACTTGATAAGTGGCTTGTGGGGTAAGGAAAAGACCCCTACGATCTGGAATCAAGTCGACCTTTAAATACATCTCCAGATCTTGGCAACAAAGAAACAATATTGAATCAATATGCAATCCAGTCCGGACTTAAGCAAATACGAGCCCGAAGGATTCAATTCACGGTATTTCGGGGTCATTTGGACCAACCTTCAATGGGTCTGAACTGACATCTTGATGAATGACCAATGAGAAGCCTGATAATCCGAGCACGCCAATCATAAAGCTTCATCATCCACAGCCAAGAGTTTCAATGCCATGTTCAAAGCTACTCAATACTGAAGTAATTGATCGAGTCTATTAACATATCTCTACTAACATCCTCCGGGGATACTCCAACCAAAAGTGCCATTTCGGTGGAAGATAGTCCACGATCAGATTCATGAGATACGTCCCCGTGTCTCCAACCTGCCATAATTCTCGTGCGTGATGCAGAAGCAAGGCATAGTAACTCAACAGGATCAGAGCTTCGGGTTTTCTTGCCGATAGTAGGATAGTGAAATCTGGCGATGCCAGCATTGTCCATTGGAAGATCATGCGAGACCGAGTCCTTTCCACTTGGGAAGTCATTGCATCGAAGCCGAGTTGGAGGTAATCAATGGCGACCCGACAAACTTGTTTTTCTTCCTTTGTAAGCGAGGGGGAGTCCGTTATCAGTTTGACGATCGGTAGGCATTCTGTGCCTCTTGGCTTTTTCGCTGATTCATTTTTGCTCCAAGACAAAATGGGTTCAAGCTCGGAACTAGCAAGTAAAGGCCAGGCAGAGACGACAACATTGTATATACCGCGATTCAGGTCCACGCACTGTATATAGTGAGCCAGAAATCCATCCAGTCCATCTGGACCACGATAAGCCAAAGCATCAGCTAGCAAATGATGGCCAAGCGTTACAGAGAACAAAAGGATTGCGACACAATTCGAAGAATCGACTTCCCTTCTCGTCTCATTGAACAAAGAAATAGCTTTCGTCTGCAGACTAACAGCTTGGTCAAGGTAATGCGATGTACGATCTGTGTGTATCGCTGCTAAATGACGAGCAGAAAACGCGAGCAATTGATGCAAAAGGTACGGTGCCTTGACACTCTCTTTGATACATACGTCAAAGTTAGACTGATAATCGTCGACGTTATCTCCTAGACTGAACAGATCCTTGTTTGTGACGAGATGCACAAAGAGTGTCATGTGCTCCATGTTAACTGCTTTGTCGAAGGGAGTACCATGGTTGTTTGGTGGGGTCGCTGATGTTGTGCTTGTGGCCGGATGGCTTTGAGATGGGAAAAGACTTTCTCGGGAGGATAGATCCGAAGCTGATGATGTTGCTTCTTCTGATGTGAAGCTGCAGTCTCGACTTGTCATGGTACACAGGAGGCAGGCTGGCCGACCTTCGTCACACTAAGAGACACGCGTGTTAGTAATGTCACAACACGACATCTTCCCCACGTACCTTGACATGACGTCTCTTGCTAAAAATTCTTGATTAGTACAACATACTTTGCTGTGTTTCGATGTGTTGACTCACCATTGGAGACATCCTTTCTTGGACTTTTTATGACTCCTTCGAAGCATGCTATATATCGACCAAGAATTAAATGGTAGATTTCTCAAGCCATACAGTCTTTGGATTCTCTATTGGATTTCATCTGCTGGTTTTCTCGTATATTGAGTAAAATTGTTGGGAATCGGGAGATTCGAGATTCGAGACATCAACATTGCTGAAGGATCCTAGGATGTCAGCAAGTATCAACACTAATCTCTAAACTGAAGTGATCAGCAACTAGCCCCGTCAGCCTGAAAACTGACTAGCATATTTGAGGTAAGGTCAGCTTGGATGCCCCTGTAGTCTGCTTAGCTAACACGCGTGTTCAGCTTCAAGATCCACCCATTGGTCTTATCACTAGAAGCATTGCTAACCTGGAGTTGTCCCTGTTTCAACAATTTCGCATACACAACACGCGTGTCAGCAGAGTCGACCTGTATGTAAGAATAGTATAAGAAGTAGATCTTGAAGGATAAATATTAATGGACTTCCAAACACTTCGTTCATCAAGTTTTTCTCTAATTGAGGCCATTTCAACTCTTTTGGTTCCAGTCTTTCGACTTACGTCTTGTGTGTCTTGGCACATCTTCGTCACGGATATCCCGCTACTACGATGGCAGTACTCAAACCATTCAAAGGTGATTACTACCTCTGGGAGTATCTACCAAGCCTCACAGGCGCCATATCATTCACAATCGCATTTCTTCTCATTACTTCAGCTCAAGGATGGTGCATGTTCAAAGGGAAGCATTGGTTTTGCATACCGTTTTTCATCGGCGGTGTTTGTAAGTTCCCTAGCATGCCATTTGTTTCCCACTGTCTTAACCTATAAATAGGCGAAGTACTTGGATATCTCTTTCGAGCCCTCGCCTGGAACGCCACCAATTCCCTTGCAATATACATCATGCAATCACTCTTCCTCCTACTTCCACCTGTCTTCTTCGCCGCGACATTATACATGGTCTACTCTCGCATCGTCAGGGCTGTAGGCGGAGAAAATTGCTCTCTTATCTCAGTCCGGAAAACAACCCGTCTTTTTGTCATTGGAGATTTCATCACTTTCAATATCCAAGGCAATGGAGGTGGATTACTAGCCAATGAGAAACTCGCCAACGCCGGCAAGATCATCGTCATCATTGGTCTGATCGCACAGATTATCCTCTTCCTCGCATTCGCAGTCTGCTGTGTGGTATTCCACAGACGATTTCGAGTCCATTTGAGACAGTCTCATACTCCTGTCGAGATTCGCTGGGAAGCATACATCAACATGCTCTACGTCACTTCAGCTCTTATTCTTGTCCGGAATATCTTTAGAGTCGTCGAGTTCGTCATGGATAAGGAAGGCTATCTTCAACAAAAAGAGTGGCCGACTTTTCTCTTTGACTCTGTCTTGATGTTTCTGGTGATGGTTGCTTTTTATATATGGTATCCTGGAGACATCACATCACGGCTGAGGGACTCTACCATTGAGCTTGTACCGAAACGAAAGATTAACATGAGAGAAGCTGGTGGTTCAGATTGATCGGAGACATGACTAGACAATTGTTGGATCTGACATGGATATTGTCTTCTATTTTTGGCAGAGATGATTGAACTCTATTTATATTCTTTTCTTTCTCTCACCTTGCTAATATGCTTAAGACTTGTAATTATACGATGCACCTACCTTACATATTATAAATCATAAACTCAATTGGTGGTCACAACAAACTTCCTCAACAAAATACCTTTGTACACCATAGAGAGCTTCCAATACAGCAACGACTAAACTCTAACGTAGTTCTAGCTGATTCTATGGGTTGTGATCAAAGTGTAATGAATCTTCCAGCGTGCAGCTTTGTCACGAGAGGCAGGGCTCATAAAGCAACCTTATTCTACAATGAGTTCAAAACGCGTCCATTGAGTTTCATGCAACTTCTTCCTTTTTCACTCCTCAATCCAACAAAAAAAGCTCTTCAACGTCCTTCGCAACCATCGCTCAACCGATCAGAAACTACTCCGAAGAAGACTCATCCCAAGCCAAATCGAAAGGTAATAACAATCACGGTCAATCGACGTATGTCCTGTTGCGCACATTAACAACTCCCTTGGTAGGCCTTGTACGACACAATGTCGGCTCAATCTGGTAGCGCAGCTAGTGCAGCTAAGACAAACAACAACGAAATCCGCACCGGAGAGGAAACAAATGGGTGTCGTGAAGAGGAAACCCGTGGAGAGATGACAAACGAGGAGAAGGAGGAGGAGAGATATAAACAACTACAATTGGATCTGCAACGGCGATTGAAACAGAAGGTGGCCGAATTCAAGGCAAAGCCTAAAGACATGGACAAGAAGGCCAAATCTGAACGAGATGTCAAAAGACGACTCGAAGCTAAGCAGATGTGGATGGCTCAGACCAAAACCTATCTATTGTCTGTGGACGAGATGAGGAATCAACTGCAACAAGAATGCGGAATGGCCTTCATCAACGCTATGAACTACAGCCTTGAACCAATGGCCAGAGAACGATTCGAAGATGGAGAGATGACTCAATCCGGAAGCACAGCTACGACGGCTGAGAAGAACAACATCGACAGCTGCACCAGAAAAGAAACAGGCATACATCATGGAAAGAAAAATCGTGCAAAGGTGTCGGAGGAGATGAGAAAGAGTGTGGTGGAAATGCTGGAGCGGAAAGATTGGAAACGGGTATTGGACAAACTTGATGATATGTGTAAGAAGGAAAGCTATGGAGGAATGACAGCAATTAGCCCAGTTCGAAGTTGGAAGCAACGCCTCAGCCTGAATCAGAAAGAATGATGGTAGAAGAGGATGAGGATGCTGCGGGCGGGTGAGCAAGCTTCAGCACCAGACTAGCTCCAGGATAACACAGGACTCATGCTGGGAGATTCGGTCAATTGCCATTTAATGTTACAAGATTGTTCTAAAAAGATTGATCAAAAGGGACTGTCTCTCTACTGATGTTGACCAATCAAGAACGAGATATCTGCCACTATCACTTACTTGGTGGTTCTACGCGAACTGACGTTTCCCCTTCCATCAGAAGAATCGAGTTACAAAAGGTAGGGCTTAAGAAGAAACCTTATTCTCGCACAAAACATAAGCAATACCCTGCTCAGCAGCCCGCTTCTTCTTTTCCCTTCAGCATTCATTAGCCCAACCATCAAACGTCTCGAATCAGCCTTCTGAGGCTAAATGTGACAACGTCCCCTACGCGCCCAACCTCTCAGTCTAACGAAAGCCTCATACTCGAAAGCCACCACAAAAAATGCATTATTTCAGGGGTATCTCAAGCCACAATTGCTTCTTTCAGTGTCAAAAACTGTCACTAGAGTGATTTAGTGGAAAGCGCCCTTCTTTATTGTTCAGCTGGTGGCGCTACCCCTGGCATATTCTGCGGTCTAGAACATGCGGGACTGTCAGGGAGACGTTGATATGTCACAGCGGCTGAACAACTCGTGATTGATATTTCAAGGGGTCGACGAATGGAAAGACTTGTATAGCGAAAGATGAATTGTTTGAGCCTGTTCAGCTGAAAGCCACTGGATTCATTGTTGTGTTATAAGAAGCCATGTTCTGCATTCACTCAAACTCATTGCCAAGCACTTTACATACCTCCATCTGCCTAGTACGAACCATCACTATACTGATTAAATCCAACATGGCTCGATCAATTATCTTGGCTCTTCTTCTCTCCTCAACCGTCCTTGCATCCAATCCCCTCTTCGGCGCCTACCCCACTGATCAATGCGACACATGTTTCGACCAAACCTATGAGAGCTGCCCAGGCGACTACCAAACACGTTCTTACGCAACATGCATGTGCGCAGGCGATGGTAGCGCTAATTTTGTCTCCTGCGTATCATCTTGCGACCCAAGCCTAAATGAACCCGCCATTGCAAGCGCTGCATACTATAGGTACTGTCTCTTGTTCTTCAAGCAGCTGTGTGATGGTGCACAGCAGTTTGTGGATGATGAGACTTATGCAGAACAGTGCTCCAAGGAGGCTATCGAAGCTGGGGGTATTGGAGAGAAGGAAAATGGTGGCGGCTCTGGAGATGATGATGACTCTGAGAAGGAGAGTGACTCTAATGGTGACGATGATTCTGATGACAGGTAAGTCATTGATCTTGGATTGAACAGTGGAAGTGCTTGGTCTAACACGATAGTAGTACTGCCATCGTGGTGCCAACAAAGACAAACGAGTCAACCAGCGAAAAGACCAACGAGACAGATGCAGCGACCACGACAGGCGACGCCAGCAAGACATCCGAGACAGCTCAGACAACATCCGGTGCAAAGGCAACAGCTATTCCAGCGATGGCTCTCTTTGCTGGTCTCGGACTGCAGTTGATCAATGTCTAAGTCACAGCATTTGTACTAATTCTTGAGTTATTGGAGTACAAACGGGTGGCATTTCTTGACTGCGATGTATGAGAAGTCGGGTGTTTAGAACAAATTCATTAAAACTTTATATATACTGAACTATTGAAGGTGCTTTGCCATTTACTCCGACGCTAAGAATTCCAAGGACTATCGTGTGTGGTCTCCAGGCATCTCGTAAACGACTGAAGGGTTATCCAACTCGGCGGGTTGACCGTGGCCGTTCAACTCCGACGGTGACGTTGCGTCACCCACCCTGTAAGTGTCCTTCTCATACATTGGAGGAGGCGACGTGATAGGAGTACCGGCTGCTTCAGGGACAGTGTTCTCCTCCTTTTGGGGAACAGCAGTATGCTTGTTGCGACGCTTCATAAAGAACCAGACCAGAGCACCGACAGCAATCACACCAGCAGCGACTCCAACACCGAGACCAGCCTTGGCACCCGTGGTCAGACCTGTAGACTCGGTAGCGGTATCATCCTCCTTTGCTGCGTCGTCCTTGTTGCCCGATTCAGTCTCGTTCTTGGGGACCGTCTGCGGCAGCACCGTGAAGTCTTCCCATTCATTGGTGATGTTCTTGTGTGCCTGGATAATTGTTCCATTGGACCAGTAGTAGATCCACGTCATGCCTCTGCTTTGTTGGTATGTTACTGCCAGACCAGCACTGGGGTCATCTGAAAGAGGCCAGATGCTCTCGGATCGGTTGGGCGCCATCTGCCAGTTGTTTTGTATAGCGATGGCTTCGCGGAGTACGTTGTCTTCGCCGAGGTAGAAGAGACTTCGGGTCTTTGATCGATCGGTGGCCATGCCAATTGCTTCAATTGAGGCGTTCCATCCTGGAAGAGAAAAATCGGCGGTCTCGGAACTCATGCGGATCTTGGTCGGGACCGTGGCGTTTGTGTAATTGCTTGCTAGCTCTTGTGGGAAAGCAGCTGAGACGGGTCAGTAATTGTTTAGCAGGTAGAACGTGGAACGTGAAGATGCATACCTAGTTTCCACTTTCCAGTACTGTGCAAGCGACTTGTCTCGATGTTGTCTGAGCCCTTGGGGAAAGCGACCGTCATGTTCTTCGAGTTCTTCTCATCATACCAGACAGTGCCGATAGCGATCCCCTCTGCGGTATCCTGCGACACGATGCCTCCATCAATCCAATTGGTGTTGTCGGTATACGACATCATCATAATTTGCTTGTCGGCGTTGTGGTAGAACACGCGATATCCGTCATCTTCGCCACCTCCGAGCAGGTCAACAGCAAGACCCGATTCGGCGTGGACAGAGTCCACCTCGGCAGTCAACGAGATGGTGTACTCGCCGACCTTATTCAGCTTTCCCGTATCCATATCACACTCGTAGTATCCGTTGACGATAACACTGTCCTCTGCCTGCCAGAAAATAGATGCCTATGATCCAAGTCAGTGACTTCTTCCGTTTGTAGAAACGTCCCCGCGTACAATAATCTTTTGCGTATCCCACCAGCCGACTGCCGCCAGCGCAGTACCATTTCGTGGTTTATTTTCGGTATCGAGAACATTCGGCTTGTCGAGAGGGAAAATAGGTGTATCTTCGCTATTGCAGTTGCTGTAGTAGATCTTGCCAGTAGAAACATCCTGAATTCCGACTTGGGTGGTTCGGTCGGTAGCGTAGGCGTAGAGAGCGGAGCTATGACAGGGCTGAGTCCAGGCTGCTAGCAGCAGCCATGGCAGCGTGAGCCAGTGTCTTTGATGTGGAGACATTTTGAACGGTAGAGGATCGAGTCGGGCGGGACGATAGGAAAAAGTCGAGGTCTGGAGAAACAAAGGATTTAATACAGAATCCTACAACGGCTTTGACCGTCCTACGCTCGGTCCCGCATGGTCTGTTCTTCATTGTTTTTGCTAGAAGGATTGTATACCCTGCAAAGATGATACCTACTAGCCCAACTAATGAACCCTTGATATTGCCGCTTACTCCTAATCTTGTTATATCCACAAAGTGCGCTGGGGCGGTGGATATGTTTCTCAATTTTCACCCATTCAGAACTGTTATATTTTCTCATCTAACTGTCAGTAGAAAGGTACGCGAAATGAATGCTCAGTAAGCAATTGGACAGCCCTATGCCTTGTAGTCGGCAGCCAATCTGCAGCCAAGCATTCGGGCAATACAACGGTACTTGGAGATCCATGCCAAGTCTGTTACCGTCTAATGCATGTCAGATGTAACTATCGATCAGCTTCCAATGCCATTCGCCCACCAATGTGATTGAAGGAGTGCTGTGCAACGCCACTGTACACCGAGTTGCTAGCTTCCGTGCCAGTGTGCCTGGCTCGAGTTTTACTTGCTTTATCGATAGGATGACGACCTAAGCATACATACAAGGGTTGGTTGTCGACAGTCGGCAAAATTTGCCCGTTATGCCTATCAAATCGTGCTCCTTGCCGCATGAGTATGTCACCAGCCAGGATCAAGTGGTGGGACCACAATGTGGACGGAGTAAGCCTTGAAGATCCAATCGGCAGATTGAGCAACAGTGAGAGTCCCATGAATAATAAGATTCACTATTGGAACAGATCCTGGATTGTCTTGTCATATAACTAACATTCGTCGAAGAAGCTCTACTTTCTCGATACCCGAACTCAGGCGAGAAATAGTTATCATCGGTCGCGTCGTCGGCGACATTCGGGCAATGAGGATGCACTATGGCGGCGGAAGCCATCTCCACCACGGCGCTTACGCCCTACCATTACCCTAGAGAGACGTCGCCAATAAAACCAGACGGGGGATGGGATATTCCCGGTGGCCGGGACATTAATCTTTGCTGATAGCTTGTTTGAACTGGACTAAATAGTGTTTTTAATACTTATCTGTCTCCTTGTCGGTCATCTCGACCGCTTGAGAAGGCCGAAGACATTGTTGTCTAGTTCCAAGGACACACGGGAAGTCCAAATGGTGTTTGGCGAGTGAAACAGGACGATTTATAAATATAACGACTACAGCTTTCTAGATAACAGGGAGAACAGGCAATCGAAAGGCGGTTGACACATCGCGAATTGAATATGATATCAATACTGAGACACTCAATCTGGTTCAGGCGAGTCTTGTATAATATGTTTAGGAACGCTGGTTAGTTTGTGCATTAGCGCGGGCTTCTAGACGGAGGGTCTGGTATGTTCATGATCACAGTCAAGATCGATGGCCCCCTGGGCCCCGGGTTTCACTTAAGCCTGGGCTTGATTGCCCGGATCTTCTTCGGCAGGGCTGCGCAAGCCGCAGTTGGCGTTCTTTCTAACTTCGCTACTGGGATAGTTGTTCCCTAATCAGGTTATCGAAAACATTGTCACAAGGAACTTGGAACAAGAACGCGTCTTTGCCCGCCGTGCTGGGAGCGTTGTAGCAGTGTCCAGGTCTGCCCTCCACCGAAGGGCCCGACGTAAGTGAGCGTGATAAATCGAAATGCATGATACTGCCCATCCAGAGAAAGCCCAAATCACCATCCCAAGCTCGGCATACTGAGAACCTGAGGCGATCGTGAAATATAGGAATACGGGTCTATTGTTTCGATGTTTTTGTAGTTTGTTGTCGGGATGTCTTCGCCCACTGTGTCTTATCCAATCAAGCCAGACAATATTCACTGGTATGAATGATCGGTGAATTATCCGTCTCATCCTCTCAATGACGATGACGGTATGAGGCGTGGCCAAACATTTTCTTTCTGGCTCGTGTTTGGTGTCAACCTCTCAGGAGCCTCAAAGACAACTGATAATCTTTCCGATTTTGGGGAGTCCAGTACCTGCTGTGGGGAGGTCGGTGACTTTAGGGAGACCCTTCGTCTCGATATCCGTGTCCTGGCTGCCAATTTCAGGGTCTTGGTACTCCCCGTGCGACGTCGATGGGTGGAAGAACCCGACACGGGGCGTGACAGCAACTCGGGAATGGAAGAGGATGCTCCCTTATTATTTAACGTAATTGTTTATTCCTGGTACTGGGGACCAAGTTCTTCAGCCTCATTATATCTGGCCATGGCATCCGCATTGGAATGTATATTCCTTTTCCATGACATGGAAGGCTATGCTGGAGTCTTGGCAGAGGTTCCATGTTATCTCCATCCCAGCACAAATGCGATTACGACGATCTAGGTGCTGAGTGTTGCCGTCATCATGAGTGGTGCGGCTACGATGAGAGCTAGTAAAACTGTGGCCATCGCACTCTTGGTAAATGAACTGACTGCCATTGCGCTTGAATACGTGGGATGGGTTTTGAAATGTGTGGGGTGGAATTTTGAATGTTTGAATGGTAGAAGTGTTGGAGGAATGCCATAAGTTTCGGGCCGGACTCTCCCCCCGAATCACCATGATTAGAATAGACTTACACAGGAGGACGAAGTTTTGGGATTTCATATTGATTACCCGTACATTTCTATAGTCTCGTCCGGCGAAGAGCAGCGGCTGCTTGAGCCCATACGTAGCCTGAAGATGCTTGCCAAGTGCTTCCAGTGCTTTATCTGCCATGTGTTCCAGGATAGTGCTGATTGACTTTCCACAGCCGATGTCTGCTAGAATGACTCGGAATGGCCTTGTTGTTGACTGTCAAATGCGATCGAGATCATTGAGACTCAAATAGCTTCATTAGAGTCGCTTCTGACCTAAGCACATAGGCTTCTGATCATTTGTGATAAAGGCACAATTGAACACACCTGGACTAAGAATAGGCCTCTTCCCCGAGATTTCGAATAAAGTTCTTATGACCACTAAAAGTAATATTTGTAATAGTAATAAGACGGGGCTTAGTTGCCAGCTCGCTCTAACCATCATCTCGCTTTGACCTCGCCCCAAAGTCGCGACCATACCATGTTAACCGCCAGCACAGAGTCAGACCAAGATCTGATGTAAGTCCAGGTGGCAGTGATGTCCATTTTAATCCTCGCGCCTTGTAGACTAAAAATCGAAGACCCAAATAAGCATCAGATCGGCCAATGTTTAATGTCAGCCAGTCCCATTATCATGGCTAACGTGCTTACCTACGCTTACTGTCAGATTTGTCGCCGCATCTGACTTGAATAGGATGACAATTTCGAACAAATCAGCAGCAATAATGACTGGATTTCTGTCTTATTTCTCACTTCTTTCCGTTTTTAGGTGAGGACATTAGCTTATTCCCGTCCTTATTCGACGTTATCCGCTGTTTTCTTGGTGTTCTTTTCTACCGTCACGCCTGCCCATTTTGCACATTCGTTTCACGTTTCACTTGATCCTGGTTTACTTTTCTATGCCTGAAGAAAATACTCAAGTCATAGTAGCCTGTATACTTTACTGCCTTTGATCTATTATATCCTTTCCACGAAGAGAAGATCACCGTGTACATATGGACAATTTACGGAACTTCGACTCTGACCTTTTCAGTCTCGTCCGCTCGTACGAAGGTACACGGTTCGTCGAGAACCTGGCCATAGAGCGACTTGTAAAGAATGCCGATCACTTCGAGATCAGTAAAAGTAATATACCCACAACTGCTTCAGACCGACGACAGTAACTAACCGTCAACGATGTACAGACACAAAATTCGACCCATGGAGCAACCCAACGCCAGCTCTGATCTTCATCCTCGACGGCCAAGTCAACGTTACCATTTCCGATAGTATACCCACGATACCCAACCACTCATCTTTACAATCAGAATGTCAAGCTGTTTCCAAGTCCCTCAAAAGAGGCGCCTGTCTCAACTCCACCTCCCAAATCCTCGATATGCTCTCGAAACAGGACATCAGTGCACAGATCAACCCGAGATTTGGAGAAGCACGAGTTCTTTACGAAGCAGCGACGGACTTGAAGCTTGGGAGAATACATCTGCGACAGTCGCGAACCATTCCCGAAGATCTGCGATCTCCCATGGTCCAAGCATTACTACAGAAGCTATTCCTTGTCACTTTCCCCGTCACTGAAACCCATTTCGGCTTGTCGAGTCAGGTGTTACAATGCGAGATGAAGATGACCTCCCTAACCAGTGATTCAACCCTCCAAAATCCGTTCGGCGACACACCCTCACTTTTTAATTACGACGACATTCCTGAATCTCCTTATAGCCCGCTGAATGATGGCTTCGCAGCCATATACGATGCAAAGACAACACGACGTCGTGCACCGTCGAATTTATCTGCATCGTCTACTTCAAGACCACAATCGATGTTGGGAGCCGATCTATATAAAGAAGCAGGGCTTCCTCTTCCTAAGAGCCGCAGCAATCCGAACCTAAAATTGACGATCAATACTGAAAAGCATCTAAGCACTTCTAGTGACGATGGCACTCTCGGTGTATTTAAATCGCAGTCCATCCTTTCCAAGACAGAACGAAAGCGCCAAAGTATCCCACAATTTAAGGAACGAACACCTGATACCAGACGGATAAGGGCGCATGCTGCACAAAGGGTTATCAGTATGCTCATGCATCCCAAAGGTCTCAATGTTCGGAGTAGTGATGCGATAGATCCGGCGATCATGGACGAGATTGAAGCCAACATTGAGATACTTTCTTTTGGCCAAGGAGAATATGTCGCGCATCATGGAGAGCGATATCCTGGTGTTTGTCTGGTGATAGACGGTGCTTTGGAGGCATGCAATGGAGAGAAGAAAAGTGAAAATTTTGCAAAGGTAACTGGGTTTCTCGATTTTCAATGAGGTATGCTAATGAGGGGTAGGTACCGATGTTAAAGATTAACCCAGGAGACATAATCGGACACAGCAGCTTGGTCCAAAATAATAAGTCCCAATTTGACTTCAGAGTCATAACAAAGTCAACAATTGGCCTATTGCCAAGAACCTTCCTCCGACGGCTAACCGACCTATGCCCCCAAATGCTGGTGGTGCTAGCCGCCAAGATGCATGATCTTCTGCCCCCTCTGATCTCACTAATAGACTTTGCACTCGACTGGTTGACCATCAAAGCTGGAGGAGAAATTTACAAAAAGGGAGACGTCAGGTAAGTACTTCCCACTTGTTTGGAGCATTCAGTCACTGTGATTGACACCCATTAGTGATTGCATCTCTCTCGTTGTTAAAGGACGTATTCGTATTAGTGAAGAGAGCACAACTGCTGGAGAGACTCACATCAAGGAGTACGGACCAGGGAATGCTTTTGGCGTCCTTGAGTTCCACACAAGCTGTCCAAGGCCATCCGCAGCTTACGCAATCCGAAAATCCGAGATAGCACAGTTGCAAAAGTCAGCTTACCAGAAACTCATCAACTATGCACCCGATCTAGGAACCAAATTATGGAGCAGTGTCGCTCAAACACAGCGCACTGGCCAGACTCAACCAAGTACGATGGCATCAGACCCTAATCGCCTTCGGACTATCGCTGTATTCCCACTCTCTGCTGAAGTCCCAGCTGCAAAGTGCGCAACACTTCTATCTTCCGCTTTAGTGACGCTCGGTATTTATGAAAAGGAAAGCGTGTCGTTTGTGGAGTCTCATAGTGTGATCAGCGCCATAGGAGATTCTGTCTTCACTGATGCTGGAAATAAGTATCTGGAAGATTACATCGCCCATGTAGAGCAAAATTCCAATTTGTCAATACTTGTTGGAGAGACTTCGGTTGACTCAACATGGAACGACATTTGTATTTCGACAGTGAGTAGTACCGCACTTAGCCGACTTGCCTTGAGATGATTGCTTACTATGTTCTTCATTAGGCCGATATGATTATTCTCATGGCCATGGACGATGCGGATCCAAGAATCACAAGGGTTGAACTGAAGCTGGAAAGACATGGGACACTGGCCCAGAAGGTTCTTGTTCTTGTGGATGATGGAGAAGATGAGTTTTGCCCTCAGGCTATCACAAGACCGTACATACAAGTAAGTCGCTGTTCTACTCAAAATTGTAGAAAGCACGTTGACAAAGTATAGGAGCGGCCGTGGCTTTCAGCTCCCACCTCCCATATTGAAAGAGTCCGTCTCGCCAATGTTGACTCGTCTCGTGATTTCGAGCGTCTGGCACGTCGCATAACTGGACGCTCAATCGCGGTCGTATTCGGCGGTGGTGGCGCTCGCGGATTCGCCCATCTGGGTACTCTACAAGCTCTCGAAGAAGAAGGCATACCCTTTGACATTGTAGGCGGGACGTCTATGGGCGCTTTCATCGGTGCTCTATACGCAAGCCACATGTCTATTGATCGCACAGTAGAAGCTGCCAGGAACTTCAGCAAGGTGTCGCGTTGGTATAGATATCTCTTGGATTTCACAATGCCCGTTTTGGCATGGACATCTGGTACTATGTTTACCAGCCACGTATCTTCGGCCATGGACCAAGACCTAGATTCCAGTGATCTAAGGTTGGCGTTTTATTGTAATGCGACAAACATGAGTCAAGGTGGTCGAGGTCAAACAATGTATCCTCAAGCACATTCTCTTTGGCAGATGGTTCGAGCCTCTATGAGTATTCCGCCCATCTTTCCTCCATTCGCTGTGGAAGGAGAAGGCGATATCCTGGTCGACGGGTGCTTTTCGGCCAACGTTCCTGTCTTCCCGGCTCTTTCGCTGGGTGCGGAGATTGTTCTGGCTTTTGATGTCTCCAACACAGCTGGCGCGCCGCCACCACAAACACTAGGCCAATCAGTGTCAGGATGGTGGAATTTTGCGCAAATGATCTTCCCTTGCACGAGTTCACGGAAGCCACACAGAAACTCGCCTCATGGGGCGGTAGGGTCTGATGGGGACGTCTGGGGTTCGCTGCAGCTGCTCGAACTTATAACGTTTTCCACCAACACGAATGAGATCAAGGCCATACAAAACACGCCAGAGTGTTTGTATATGCTTCATGATTTGGACAAGACTGGGACATTTGATATGGAAAAGTTTGACGATATACGTGAGATGGGATATGAAGGTGCGAAGAATTGGTTGCGGGATCTCAAGACATCTGGCAAACTGGATCATCTCGCTTTACCGAGAGGTATCAAAAATGAAGGAGGGTAGCATTGACTGCCGGTCGATATTAACTTAATATAATAGAGTCTTGACATAACCTGGAGCTTGGTCCACAGCTTATCTCGGCATTAAACTTTCCCCACACGGCAGAGACAAATGAGACTAATTATAGAACTGTCAAAGCGAAGGTTTAGAGACTTTGATTGGTCTAGAAAGTCGAGTTCTCCCTTTTCCCAGCCCATTATGGGGCATCGAGTGACCAATTGCTGTGCCTCACTATGCTTTTTTCATTCCAAGGCCCGAGCGGAAAATCAACAGCCTCACTTTTTATCTTCAGCATTTCCCTCCCTTGGGGAGTCAACAAATGTCCCCTGAGATAATCTCGTATGCTGTCTCCCTTCCAATGCCTCATAACCAGCCCTTGATGCTTGCTAGAGCTGACCTAAAAAGGGTTGGAACACTATCGATTCAACCTCACAAAAGTCTACTGCGGGGAAGCGAAGGATTCCCATGCCAACTTTGATTCATTGGCCACAAACAAAGGTGAGAAGAGCTCGAGCCAAGAAGCTATGCCATGCTGTGGACGGATACACACGTGGCTAGGTTTCAAATCCCATGCCGTGCCATGCATGACAAAGCCATGACTAACCTCTTATATAAGATACATAATTCCCCCAACACCCAAATGAAAAAGAAAGCGATGCGCTCAAAGCATCAAGTTCTCGTCACAGCACCCATCCCAAGCCACGTGCCCCCAGAAGCTGTCCTGGCACATATCCAAACCTTTACGCCTCTTCTAAAGCACAATGCAGTATTCACAAGCTTCTCCGAGATTCCGCCCGACACGGCGCGCGTCCACAGCGAGCCTTTCTTCGGCCCGCCCAATAGTAGCGTTAGAAGCTTCCTCTGCTTTCAACGGCTAGAGCTTGTTGCGGGTCTCACGCAGGATGAGTACTGGCCCATCACATTTCTCAAAGTTCATAACGGGATTCGAGCGCGCGTTGACGCGAGAGCTAGCGTTACGGTATGGATAGAGTGTCTTGTTAGACAAGCCCCAGATCCTGGAACGCCGAGTAGTAATGGGACACTGGTAGAAGAGTGGGAGTTATTTGAGGAGGTTGTTGTTGAGTCGCATGGGTTACTTATGCCATTTGTTTCAAGATATACTGAGTTGGCGCATCAGGGAATTTGTCAGAGGATTATGGACGATATCATTGAGATGCGACTAACTGGGAAGGCGGATTAGGGAGTGAAAGAAATATTAATACGGTATTTGTAGTTTATTTAATGAGATGTGTCGCATGGTCGACGACGTTATGTTCACTTTGGCTATGGTAAATCGAACATGAATGGCAAGATCAAAGGTTGGACTTTTGGAAATCGTTAATGAAAGCTTTCTTGCTGTCTGGTTTATCTTCTCAATTCTAAACATCCCTTGTTATTTCAATATCCTAGATAAGTTATAACAGCAACAGGAACAATCGCATCATCCCGATATACAACCGCCTCGGGAAAATTGACCATTCCACCCTCACTCGCCAAAACGGCCGGGACCTTGAATGAACACTTAGTAACCTTGTATCTCAGAATCTAAAGGATCATGTTGCTTCTTACACTGTCGTAGCCTCTGCAGGGGGCAGTTCGGTTCAGGTTCCCATGCCGAAGATACTGAACACGTCCGGGGACGTATCTACACAAGAACATGGCTTTCAGATGACACGATGTTCTGTGGCTTTCTGAAAACATATCTGCTTCTGTCTCTCATTAGATTGTACAGTGATGGATAAGGCGAGAGAGGCTTACTGTAAGATGAGGATGTCGTATATATTCCCCTTCCAAAAAACCCATGAGCTCACCTACCAGTCAGCAAAACCTGCAAGAACAAACGTAATAACTTACCTGAACGGCTGACTTTAAACGAATTGTTGGTGATTCCATAAATACCATATGCATCGTTCCGACAGACCAACAGACGTCCTTGTCCCTCTGTCTCGCTTCCCCAGCCAATATGGCAATAGCGTCTTGTGCCATGAAAGCCATATCGCCAGGAGCCATGACGTCTATTTCTGTACGCGTTGAAACGTTGAACGCGACGGCTGGCTTCAAGTTTCTCGTCGGCGACGTGGGATATGTTTTCTATACGTGGTGGTGGACCTTGGGAGGGTTCCCATTTGCGGACAAAGCGATCCCTAACTATTATCTTCTTAGCTAGGTTTGGGTTTGGAGTGGTAGTGAATTACTGTATTTGTACATTGGGTGTGATGATCTGAGACGGTAGAATTGCTTCGAAATATTAGATTAGGACAAAACAGTTTAATTTGGATGGAATCACTTACCGGTGGCCTTGTCGATTGCCTGGGCATTCTCATATAATACAGACTGTCAAAGTAAAGATATGAAGATATATTAATTTGGGGAAAGGTTGATCATACGATGTTTCCGTTGGATGTTGGTTTACTGTTGAAGCAAAAGAGCCGTGGGAGAATATATTGTTGACTATAGTTATCGGAGAAGAATAGGCCTTTACTTATAGTAATCAAACGGTTATGAAACAGAGACAAAAAAGAGGCTCTTTGCCATAAGGTGTCTGAATAAGTGACATTTGTTGGCAGGTGAGCAGTCAGTACGACCTTGACATTTGCATCACGGGCACACAAACACGTGATTTTATCACTACAAAGAATCACCACGCCATCAACATACCCGCGCCTGCCAAGAGACCAAGAGTCACTCCAAGAACACTGACAATACCTCCCCTTCCAACACTTGAAGCAGCGTTCTCATCTTTATCATCATCACTCCCGCCCTTATCCGCGCTTCCCGTGGCTGTCTCAACATGAATCAAAGTCACAGCAGGTACCCAAGTCGCACGTGCAAAGTTTTCCATGCCTTCATCGCCCCAGTGGCCAAAGTTCGTCCTTGTCGTGACAAGATCTTGAGTCATGGGCACTATAGACCTCAAGCCGTTGCCATTCGTCAGGGTTACACCGTCCAGGCTTGTAACCGTAACGAGGAAGTCATTGTCGGTAACATAGACCCTACAGAGCTCTGGATCTGGTTCATTGATCTTGGTTCGCGTTAGTGGGCCGAGCGTGGATTTGCAGAACCCGTGAATATCGCCTGCGTAGCCGCTGTGTATGCCAGTCAGTTTTTGCTGCAGAGTGGTTGACATTGAACGTACCGTGGACAGCAAAGCGCAAGAGTCTCAGACTTGTCAAGAATATTCCTCCAAAAATCGGTAGGATGAAGCGGCAACGGTTGGGAGTAAGATTTAATCCTCTCCGTCACCTCCGTCGCCGAGTTGGTCAGGGCGCCTGAAACGTCTATTTCGCCACTCTTGGATCCATGTTTCAACGTCGCGGCAGTCTCCCATCCATCAGGGCAAGCAGATCCTGGTGAGAAATAGTGATAAACTCCTTGGCCGACACTCGTTGTTTGCGCGGCAACCGCGTCACGTTCTTTTCCGCTGGGATAGCAATCGCCAAAGGGTTTGGCTTTGCAGGAAGAGGACAGCATATAATCCAGGTAAGGAGACGTCGCGTTTGCGAATAGTATGTGGTCGGTGTTGCTGGTTCCTGTACATGATGAGGGCGCTGTATAGGTTGTTGTTAGAGGACCCAAGTTGTTGGCGCTGATGCCGAAGAATTCCGTCGCTGTAGGCATTTTGATGGATATCAGGTGGTGTCGCAAATAATCTAGTAAGACTACAATGAATCCTTCGTTGAGGTGCAGACCTTGTTCTTATACAGACAACGGCTAAAGTGTTCTATTCAGCCCTGTAAATCGGTTAGATAGAGTCGATAAGAGGCACAGCACACATCTCGCCAAGGTCATCAAGATGGTGTGATCAGCGCTCTTGGCGCCTATTTGCTTTAAGCATATAGCCAAGTGTGACAGAAATCTCTGAGGGTGACAGTAAGTAACGAGCTAGCTAAGGGGTTGAAGATGACTTAAAGTGACTAAGTTATTTAGTTCTTCAAGCAAGCTGTACTCCAAAATTTATTAGCTGAATAACAGGGATTTGATAGTCTTGCAAAAGATCCTGGATGTAACCGTGATACAGTCCTGCAGGGGGTTGCACATCCATTTCTGCGGTTGAGTAATTGTACGTACTTGGCAGCAGTATTATACAAGAGATTAATTTAATGCCAATAGGAAAATATAGACATACGATATTGGGCCACACTGCGAGAATACCAGAGGATATTAACCGCTTTTTCACCTCCACTAGAGTATGAATCTTCACCAAGGTTCGGAGGTTTCTTCATAGGGACAAGTCTACTTGGGCTCCAAGGCCTAGAACAGTTAGGCCGTCCGACCAAAGTCGCATGTTTGAATCCTTCCGCTACCTCTGAATTATCAACTTATGCAACCCATGTTTTGAGGCAATACAAAGACCAACGAAATGTCTATATATTGGCCAGGCAAGTGATGGAAATGGTCTAAAATTGTGTACCTGTCTCTAGGTTGATCTCGCAATTGCTATAGTACGCACTTTCTTCATTGGACCGAACCGCACGCTGAAACCAACATAATATGAACCATTTCTTGTCATCGCTGAGGCCATAGCCCTGGAGTGTGGGCATTTGTTCCATCTCCCCCGCAACTCCCGAGATCCTCGCATCTTTGGTGTCTGTTGCGTGTGGTTGTGAGTTCCCTGTTTTTGGTTTGTATAGATCTAACTCTCTGGTCATGTCGAGCGATCCATGTTCGGTGTGTAGTAGTCTTCCAGTCTTGCTGTCAAAACACGCATGAGTTGCACGCATCTCAGAGTTCCACAACGGGGACAATACTGGAGCGATCACGGCCTAGATAGATAGATGAGATGCTAGAGAGGTCTTAGGGTAGAAGATAACTTGACCGCTTGAGGTAGAAGAGATGATATTTGAGAGGCTCATCCTTGCATTTGCTAGTAGAGTACAAGAAAATAAATAAATAATTAAGAGATGATATCAGTATTTCATTTTATGAAGTTTGGATTACAATTTTGGTTTGTTTATTTTCATGCCTTAAAAGCGTAATGATGACTGACGACGACAACGAGTGATCGATATCTCTATTGTTTCTAATGTCGTAATCTCAAGTCTTCCAATCTACTTTGAATCCTTTTAGTCTTATCGTTATTCGCCCCTAAAACTATCATACGTCCGCTACATGCTTGCAGATAGCATTTCTCAGCTAGGTCTAGCTTATGCATACGTCGGTAGACATCACCCAGGGTTTCTAGAGTTTTTAGCGCAGGCAAGTACGTTTTGAAAGAGGTTGACCCCACAGTCCTCTCATCTCCTTCCAACGCTCGCTTACACATTGTTTCTGCTTCATCAAGACGACCTTGCTGCATGTAGATAAGCCCAAGATTGTAGAGTGTGTTAACCATTGATTGATGGTAGGGTCCGAATGCCTTCTCTTTCCCTTGTAATGCTCGCTGACACATGATTTCTGCTTCATTGAGGCGACCTTGTCGAATGTAGAGACCTCCAAGCTGGTTAACTGTACTGAGCGTTGATGTATCCTAGGGTCCTAATATCTTCCCTTTCCCTCTCAATACTCGATTAAAGGTTCTTTCTGCCTCATCAAGCCGACCTTGGTCGACATAGATATTACCCAGACCTTCTATTGCTGTAACGGTATATATATGCTCTGGCCCTAGTGTCTCGTCGAATCCTTGCAATGCCTGCTTATGCATCGTTTCTGCTTGTTGAAATCGACCTTGTTTCAGATAGAGAAGTCCTAGATTGTGAACTGTTCCTAGCGTCCATTTATGGTTGGGACCCAATGTCTTTTCATACTCTTGCAGCAATCGCTTGTATATCACCTCCCCCCCCTTTAGTCGATCTTGGTGGCGGAAGAGAGACCCAAATTCCGAATAAATCCATGTGTCAAGATGGGGCATTCCTGTGCCTTCCGTCGTCCTCTCAAAAACTCGGTCAGCGTGTCGCAATAGTCGTCGTTCTGTAAGCCAATATTCCTTATCACTTTCGGTTGGTACGAGCGATGCCACACATGTAGCGGCTATCCGCACCATGTCTGTATCAGTGTTTTTATGCAACGCATGAACCATCCATGCATGCACGCATTCATGCACGCTATAACCCGGTGATCCCGCTTGAGACTCACCAATAATTGTATTCGCCTCCACTAGTCCGTGGTCACACAATAGGCGCATGCTTTCCACAAATGCCAGCTTGTCTGTAAGCACTTCCAACCATGGTGGTGCCGATTCCCCCGCACCACACAGTAGGTCATACCACAAGTCATCATGGTCGAAGTAAGCCCAAAGCTTGAGCAGCATAGCAGAAGACTTGTTCCGTTTCTCTACATTCTCATATGATATGTTCCATGTTGAGTACATAGCACGATCTTCGTATGATAAGAGCTGGGGACTAGATTCTTGAAGTCTGCCCCATGATTCGTTGTAGAGTTCAAGGTACTCGGTAAATGATATAGTAACTTGATCTAAGTAAGCACCAGCAGTGGCAAGGGCAAGTGGAAGACCATCGAGCTTCTCAGCAAGGCGGATAGCTGTGGGATCTATGAAACGTCAGTATGACGATATATAATCTGATTATTGATGTACATTACCTTTCTCGAGTCGTTTGCGTCTGGATGTAGACTCGAGAATCTTGAGACCATCCCCGATGCATTGGAGTTTCTTCAGTCGTATACTCTCGCCGAGCTTTACTGTGGATGATCGCGTCGTGATGATGATCGCACCATGATGAGTTTCAGGGAAGAATGGACGAAGATCGTAATCTTTTGAGACGATGTTATTATCATCCTGAGAGTTCCTGCTGCCGATATTATTGCCTAAAGAAGGGTGGTCATAGTTGTCGAAGATGATAAGCCACTCATTGTTGCCACGCTCGCTCAGCCATCGTCCGACAGCTTTGGTTACCTCTTCCATATCGTTGTTGACAACGGCACGTTCAACATAGGGCAGAGGGGAACGCTCGCGGAGGATTCGGTTCGCTGCTCTCATGAAGCTCTGTTTCAGCGTTTCCTTATCGGTTGCGTTCATCCAGAATACCGCGGAGAATGATTTGTGATTTTGCTTTGCAAAGGCAACTGCAAGTTGTGTTTTGCCCATACCCCCGAGGGCATGGATGGCAACGATACGACGATCTTGGGAGTTTGTCAAGATCTTCTGCAATTGTGCAAGTTCCTCATTTCTTGCAACAAAATGATTGACATCATTGACCTCTGATAGACTGAACTCGAGAGAAAAATTCTTTTCATTAACTCGAGCTATTGTATCCGTCCACAAATTAGCTGCGTAGCTCAAACCGATTCATGAGAGTCACCCACCATTCTCTGCCCGGCGCTCTGCTTCCCATCGTGCTCGAATCACGGCCTCAGCATCCTTCATCATGATTTGCAAATTCTCCAGGATGGTATTATAGCCAACATCCTCTCTTGACTTGAACTTCACCATGTTTTTGTGGTTTGCATGAACGGCAATTGGCTCCGCATCCGCCTGCCCCGGGACAACCGCTGATGCCCTTGGCACGACCTTGACTGGGTTAGCAATCCAATTCTGAGATAGAAGGAATAAATATACTGTTATTAATAGCAACGACAAAGGCGAGAAACCTCAGGCTTCGATTGAGAGTTGAGAGATATATAGAGAATGTATACGAACCAGGATCTTTTTGCCCAAAGCTATCGGTGTCTCGTATTCTTCATAAGCAAATTTGGTCACAAATTCACCGCTTATCGGGCCGTACTGGCCTAGTTGTTGCAAGAGCCACTCAGAATCCCTCTCAAGATGTTTGAGGAGGCGATCATCGGCTTGTACGAAAACAGAGGCGGCATTGATGAGGATACGTCCCAGTTGCACACCATTCCCACCCTGGTGAGGGGTACCCATGAAAACAATGCCATAAGTCGAAAGCTTGATAGACCGCTGATCAAGCAGAGCACCTTTACGCGCTGCATCCGAATGGATAAGGGCCTGATAACATGAATTAGCCATGTACCTCGTATATGAGAAGGAAGATTAGCCGCCTAAGCTTTAGGGTACGGAACTAAATAGCCTAAACCAATAGTCCAAGTTGAATAACATGACCTAATAATTGCGTCTTTTATGATTCCAGTCGCCGATGTTTCCAATACTCCAAGGCCTGCTCGCATGGATGTGGGCTTATTTAGAACTTACACTCTTGACAACAATTCCGCCGAGGCTATGTGCGATAAATATGATCGGCCGTTCTGACGACTAAGTAATGCACGTCAGTAGGTATATCTTCGCACTATGTTAACAGGCCTCTCACGTCAGTCACCTTGCGTCTCCTGTTTAAATCGGACACCAGCGTCCGCGCATGATCATATAGAAACGAGTAAGACGTATTAGAAGAACTAGTGTGTGTATTTGCGTCGTATCCCCACGAGAGTATACGTGCTTCGGGGATATCGAAACGCAGCAGATCGCGAAGCCAGTGAATTCCGTTTTCAGCAGTCCAGGTCTTCTCGCGATGCCCGTTAAGACCGTGAATCACAACGATACTACAAGGAAGAGGATAATTAGAAATCTCATAATGAACGCATAGTCGGGATCGGAGGGGTCGCGGGGGGCAGCAAAACGTCGGGTATCTTAGCATATCACTGACTCTATGACGGGGTTGCTTCCTTCTGATACCACTTCTAGGCCTTGTGGATGAGTGGTTGGACCAGACGTTGTCGATGGGGATCCTTGGTTGACGGATCCTCCTTGAGCGGTGCGTGACGAGAACTTCTTCCAAAACCCCATTTTGAGGGTCCAGTGTGGATGAAAGACGAATTAGCCTCTTAAGTTAGGTCTTAGGGTACAAAAGTAAGTCGTCTAAGAAGCGCGTAGCCTAGGTATTATAAACTGACCTAATGTTTTCGTCTCATGCTCTTAGCTGCCAGTGTTTCTAATTCAAGGATGCAAGTTAGGGATAGTAGGCTTGGTTGTTTATCAAGTGATATGCGGAGGATGAAGTTCTGTAGGTATAGAAATGGAGTTATGCTGGGGGGTCACTACTTACCCATCCCAGTCTGCCTATCTGTCTGCCTTTTAGGCAGACGTTGCTTTCTAGGATGCCAATGCACGTAAGCGCCAAATCCTCCGTGTTCCAATCAGATGCCCTCAACACGAGTTTCCTTTTCAGCTCGTCAGCCCCATTATTGGATATTCGATCGAGGTCGATATTCCAACGAATCAAGTAGTCGAAACGACCCTCCAAGATGCAAATCGTCGGATAAACAAGGCTTTTCTTCAGTGAAGCTTTCGACACAAAGGTCTCATGGCCAATGCTTTTGATGTAAAGCTGCTTAGATCAGATAGCTGAGCACAATGTACAGGGAAAGCTATTCATAGCCTTCACGTTATGAAGAAAGGTTTGCAAAGTCTTTTTACGGCGACATCTTTTTTATTTTTGTTAAATCTCAACTGCACCATGGAATTGCGTTTCGCAAGATAACAGATAGTGCCCGATATCATCGTCAATAAACTTTCATCCATGTTCCATCTAGTTCTGAATGATCAACCGCCCATCTGGTGTTTGAGTAACTGAAATGTTGTTGCCTCGAGCATTTCCAAAATCCACCCTCAGACGATTATACCCCATGCTCTCCTCCTCGACGAGAGCACCTTCTCGATACTGACCCGTTACAAGATAGAAGACGTTCTTAGGCTCGATTTGATACTGCTGGTTAGGTCCGGGGACGAATGCAGCTAAGGGAACGGGGCGACCATTGAGTGAAGCTCCAGCGCCAATGAGGAAGTTCTCTAGAGTTAAATAGAATTAGCATACCGGGTCTGGTAACATCGGTCAAGGTAGAGACTTACTGCTTTGAGCGTCATCGTGGGTGAAATCCGTCTTAGTCTTAAGCTCAAAAGCCCGAGATTGCCCAGAAGGATTGGAGTGATCATAAGAGAATTGCAGCATGTCATTGCTAGCTACGACGCCGATTGTTGTTCCGGGCTCCTTGGTTCCGTCGGACCTAGTAGATCCAAGTTCAACGGGCTGAGTACCTGAGACAGATACATTGGTTCCATCCTGAGGCCGGCACTGAGAAGTTCCCAAGATGGCGAAATATTGATTTTCAATGGTAAAGAAAGCGGTATCGCCCTCGCCAGCCTGTGCAGTAGCAAATACACTGGACCAGATGGGGGAGGAGACATTGCCACCACGAACCTCTGGCTTCTCAGCGACTAAAGCATACTGCTGAGCTGCTCCAGATTGGTTTTGAACGGTGATGTTGAACTTTTTGACCATTGTTGCGGGTGAGAAGAAAGGTGAAAGATGTAGATGATTGCGTAATTCAAAGAAACTTGTAGAGTATGGCTAAGATGAACGGGTTTGTAGGTGCGGGGGGCTGTTATTTATAACCGAGAGAGTCTGCCATTTCCATTAGAAGCTACATTGAGGTGATCAAGTAAGATATGAGATTCCCAACGAAGACGTGTTGTCTCTAAGACATTTGGGTATTGACGCAGCAAAGATTCAGGCGTGGCTTACGTTGTGGTCTAGTTCAAACGTGTGATAGGTGTAGATGATAGAGAGAAATCTGTAACTGTGAATAGCGGTGAATTAAGTTGTTTTATCAGCTAAATCAAACGTCCGATCATTTCTTCAGTAGTTGTAAGATGAGACATCTGCGCTCTCTGTGTACTCAAAGTACTCGGAATTTGGCTTGCTGTGGTGAAACCTGCATATGTAGGTTAGACTAGCGGTGTTGGTCAACAGTTTCGACCTTTCAATCACTCAATAACTCCTCATACTCTGGGTTATTATGAAAAACGATTAGCTGTTGAACGAAAGAAGAACTCGCCTACTCTCTGGTTGACCATGGGCGCAGCTATCATCGTAAAGCCTAGTGTACTGACCCCTCGTTGTTAAGAATGGATATGGCTGTATCTCGAATTCATCTAGTAGTAATGCCAAACATAACAAGGTGCTAAGACAGTTTGTGTTCCGTGTCATTCACAAATTCGTCAAGATTGGCATACTTATAGCCAGCTACGACCTTGATTAGATGCAATCCAGATAGTCGTCCATTTTTAGCGTCGTCTTTGTCGGAACTCGGGATCGAGAACCGAGTTCCGAGTACCGGCGCCATAATCTGTCGGGCTACCAATTTTTTCTGGATCTGATTTCAAAGCCGACCATATATCCTTTCCCGTCCGGATAGCAAATATGCGATCCAGTCTATCGTGCGAACATTGCAGGTAACGAAATTTGCCAATCGATGTTCACCAGAGGAAAGCTAACTCGGACTACGAAGAAAAGCCAAAGTCAAATGCGTCCACAATGGAACTGCACCTTGCTCAAGATGTGACAGATTGAGAACCTCTGGCTGCGAACTCACGAGACCCCAGGTCAGATCTGCGAAGAAAGTCGTAAGAAGACTTCAGACTGCTTCAGTCGCTTCGACTCCACGTGGCGATGATGTCTCAGTAATTTCGGCCTCGTCTGTCTTGAGTCCCGTGACGCCTATCCCATCAAGACAAACGACTTCCCACAATGAACTTGATACAATGGACGAGCACCTGACAAGTTTACCAATGGGCGTTATCTTGAAGGCTCTAAACATATTCACTTCCAAGTTTCCTGAGTTGAGAATTCTCCAGGCCTCATCTTTCATGAAGGAGTATCAGACTGTCCGAACCAAAGAGGGCAAAGCACTTCTCGCTACAACTCTTGCAATTACTAGGAAACAATGTTCGATAGTCACAGGAGATTGGTTAAAAGGCTTGAGGAGCAGCGAGTCATACGCGACGTATGCTTGGAGTACATTATCTGATGCTATACTCCAACCACCAAAGGTACAAGTGGTGCAGGCTTTACTCATCTTGACCTTATATGAATGGGGTGTGCGTGAATATCACAAAGCTTGGATGCACTGCGGTAAGTTGATGAGGACCCAAAAGGTCATTCTTCTGACAGGTATAGGTATGGCAATACGTATCATGCAATCTCTACACAGCTCCCGCATCAGTCCCCATCCGCTCGACGTCTCACAGAACAGCGACATAGATGCCATGGCCATCGCTGTTGAATCACGAACATACTGGGCCTGTTTCATAATGGATTGTACCATCAACTCAGGAACGTACAACCCACGTATGCTTCCCATGTCGGAAATGCAGAAACTGAAAGTGCCTCGACCACTCAACTACACCGACTTCGCATTTGGCTTCGATGCTACTTCGCTCAACTATAGCGCGGGGGACTTGACCGGTCTCGCTCAGGGATTTGAGTCAATAGCTCTCGGTTTTGACATCTACGCTCAAGCCATGTCTTTCGTTTTCAACAATGGACGGTGTGCACCAGGCATGTGTGCGGCTGAGAATTGTCCCTGGGTTCCTAGCTCGTCCTGGTATCAGTGTCGAAGTCGACTAGAAGAATGGAGGAAAAGTCAGCATGAGAGACTTTGGTATCCGCAACATAGTGTTGTTGTGCACATGACGCTCGGTCATGGTGAATCCTTCATCTATCTCAACATGCTCTACTACCTGACGTAAAAGCCCACCGTCACTTCGCGAGACGTGCGCTAACAATATCTAAGTACCATTATGCTACACCGAGAATACTTCCCTTTCTTGCCCATCGGAGATATGACACCTCGAGGTCCTGTAGACCCGCCATTGCTCGAAGCAGAAGCTCCACCAGGTTGGTGGGATGAAAGTGCCAGAGAGTTGTTCCTTGCAGCAGAACAAATCGCCTGCTTGCTACAAGAAGCATCAGAATGTGGCATCCCCCTAATGACACCTTTTTCTGGATTTTGTGCTTTTACAGCATGTTTCCTGAATCTCTACGTATTCCGATATCCCAGGATGAATCTGGGTCGGAGTAAGAGGGCTGAGCAACTGATGAATTGGGGATTGGAGTACCTTGAAGAGTTCCAAAACGCCTGGGAATTGGCAGGTGGTTGGGTGAGTTCAGTTTTCAGAAGAGATATCTCGAGCTAACAAGAGCAGATCAAAACTATTCAAAACTCATCCCTGCTGTACAAGAGAGCTACAGAAGACGAAGGCCGATACAGAGGTCGATCTAGAGCTGATTTTGAGACTTTACATCAGTCGATTCACGAATATCGTATTGTGGATAGATCGGATCAGCATCTACAGCAGATAAGCCATGCAGATCGAAACTCAACGCGAAGGGAAGATGGAAATGATGCACCGGTACAATCACAGGGCCAATCCATGAACACAGCTATCAATGTCTCTGTACCTGACCCGTTTCCAAATTGGTGGTCAATGTTGCAGGAAGTCGAGTTTACTGATATTGGGAATCTATGGAATGGACCACGTGAAATGTAGATAGATTGTTACAGGAGCAATTAGATGTGATTAAATGCGCAATTCGTATGAAATATAGTATTTGTATCAATAACGGACGTTATCGAATGAGCAGATAACTAACAAATACGCTATTATGCAAAATAATCAGATAGTAGTATAGTAGATAGGAACCGAGTCTTACGCGCGGGTTAAAATTGCAGTGAATAAAGGCGCCTAGCAATAGCGTACATTTCCATAATACACATTGGGCCTGGCCCGCCGCCATTTAACCGCTTAGCAGATAGGAATATTAGTTACTTGGAAAGGGTTAAAATTGCAGTGAAGACACAACTCAAGTTTATACCTTGTCACTTTACCACTTTACATGCAAAACGTATATTTTAGAAGTAACAAACTTCAAATCCATTGCAAAAAAAAGAACGAAAGAATAGGACACAATGCAGAGAACCCTCGGTATCCAGTTCAAGCCGTATGTGTAAGTCAATTATCACTACTCTACCTATTATACATCCAGTTGAGACTGGTCTATTTTTTCTTCTTCGCGGTTTAGGAAAAGCAACAGCATAACCAGTGTCTTTCCTGCACCTGCTACATACAGGGCATTAGATGAGCCAACACCTGTTCGCATAAAGGCTCCGGCAAAACTCCCCAACACTAGCGATATCAGAAATCCAACACGTCGATCTCGTGAACGGTTTCGTATCTTCAATAAGCTTGGATCAATAACAAGATCAACCCATGCTGCTGTTGCCATAGCTGTTGTAATCTCTTGGATTCGAAAAGGTCTCATGGAGGCTACTTGGGCCCCCGACGCAAAGGCGAGTAATGATAACGAGCCCATTGACGAAGGGCTGTTGCCAGACTGAGAGTATTTAGGGTGTATGATAGCGGCCACAAAAGTGAGAAGTGTTTGTAGGAAATGGCTGACTATCAGCCACATTCGACCACGCGGCCCGGCAAAATTGGCTAACTGCCCTGTCATAATCGCTCCAGCTAGAAACATCCCTAGACTGAGGCCAACATTGGACAAGTTAAAGACTGAGTCGTCATGTCCAGCAAGACCTACAGCCAGCACGACAGAATTGCCGGTCTGATTTGAAGCAAAGCATTTGAAGTCTGGATAGCTCACGGCATCTTGGATACCGGTACTGAAGGTAAGAAGTAAAAGTTGAACTTCGAGGAGGAAATCGACTTTGAGGCTGGCCGAGAGATAGTGGCGGACATAACTTGGTAGTTTCCGATGCATGGTCTGATGGAGGTAAGATGAGCCTGGCATCGAGTTCGAGTAATAAGTGTGTATAATTCATGTGGGTAGTATTGCCCATTATACGTCTAACAAAATGTGATCATTATTCTTTTATACAAATGCCAACATGTAGGGTTGACTCTATCACTTGGTTTATCAATACCCGACCCGACAGGCAAACTTTAATTATAGCTTACTGATGTTGAAAATCCTTTGATTGGGCGGGGAATAAAATATTGATACATATTTGTAAGACCCGGGGACCAGAATCGGCGACTAGACTTAAAAATGGGACTCGGAGACTTGACTCGCAAAGGACTATGCTCAAAACAGTATAGATCACGAGTGTTATTATCAGTCAGTACAACGAGTGGATGAAAACGGAAGCCGACGCTTGCGGATACGTCATGTAACTATTGACCAAAGCAGCATATATAAAGGATTGCCCCCATACTTTCAGTTTGCAACTCAACAACTGATCTCATTGCCTTCAAACATTACCCCACAAACAAACTTCCCCCTCAATATGTGCAAAAAGGCTACTTGCAATAACTGTAGTAAGTTTTCCATACCCGGATCATCAACTGTAACTGACATGGCTCTAGAACAAGCAACCTGGTGGGGTTGCGGCAACCATGTTCCCTCGGTCATGTCTCAAATTCCCGAAAAAGAGTGGTGTACTTGTGAGCCCAAGGTAGAAAAGGAAGGGGGAAAGTATCCTCCCAAGGGAGATCAACCCGACAGCTGAGTCTAGGGTAACAGACCGACCAGTCATTAGAAACAACTTTTGGTCTTTGCTGGAGCACCTAATCTCGGCTCCCTGGGTTTCCATTCTTTTACGTGTACTTCGTAGTAACTTGATGTATATATTACAACAGGTCTTGGGCGGTAAAGGCAAAATATAATTCGATGTTGAAAACCGGAAAAGTGAAAAGTGAAAAGTGAAAAGTGAAAAGTGAAAAGTGAAAAGTGAAAAGTGAAAAAGAATGTGAACCTACATTTTCCAATTTTGTTTGCAACGCCTATCGTATCTGGCAGTCACTAAGTCTGGGAAAATGAATGGTATATTCTGACCTGGTGATCCACATTACCCTTGCAAATCTAGCAAGCTGAGGACAGGGATATCGCGTGGTTGAATAATGATAAGGGGCGACAAGATGTTCCCAAGATTGTTCTTCAAGCCGGTGCAATGCCATTCATCGTTCTAATGAGAAAGACACTTGTAAGACTAGAACGTTACAGTGGATACTAGAATAGGTCACGATAGGAAGGCTGTGGGTTCTTGTTAAAATTATAGGACAAAAGTCTGTGGACACCTAGTATCTCGTATTGCATTATTAATGGAACAAGTGCTCTCAATCAAGAGGAGATCCGCCTTGGTGATATTATACGACGTCGGACTGGGCTTGGAACTACTCAGCCTGTTCAGACGACAGAGACATACCCCCCTAGACAATGAGAAATTTCTTTAGTTGATAAATCTTAAGGCCAATTTATTACGAGAAACGGATATGTATGGGTAGCATTGCATATATAGACCGGATTCTCCATCATGGGTGGACTAGATCTTCACGAGATCCATGCGACATCTGTGAGCCTTCTGGTCTCTCTAGGGTATGCATTTCGAAATCGACCTTGACATGAATCTTCTGACTTGACGTGCCCTCAATATCATCGAGTTGCTCCCAATCGTCACCCACTTCGCCTCTGTAACTACGGCGTGCTGGCGCTGCCTGGGATGTGATGACAGCTCGGTTAATGCCAGAAAATGATGTGACGAAAGCTGGGGAGCTATCTGTGGACGAATTGAAATGGAAGCGGGAACTGGCAAGCTTGCGGAGTGCAGGTAATGAGCCAGCGACTATTCCAATCCCTGATTCAAGAGTGGACCAGAGGATAATATGTGCCATATTGTCTGTTTGTGTAAGTAAAGTAATGATGTCGCAGTTTATACAGGCTACTTACATAAGTAGTTGTGGGGTTGGGAAAAGGCTTTCAAGTATGGGAGTCGAACGATGGTACACAGTGATGCCCTGTAGGAATTGTTAGCTCCGTATTTATGTCACAGAATTCAACATACAATGCAGCCAACCCAAGTATGATAGTGACAGAAACCTTGGTGGCCTTTCTCATGTTGGACTTGTATAGCATAAATCCAGGCAGGATAGCACAGGTCCAATCAGATATGATAGCGCTGATAGATCCGACGTATGCTGCGGTCATCAACACGGGTACTGAACATTCTCCGCGATCATCCCAGTTGTTCTCGATATGTTTACATGCAGCTGAGACGGCAATGAAGCTGTATATCATTGTGGCTAGGGTGAAAATGAGAGTGATCCAGACAATAGTACGGTGGACCTTGGTTACGGCAATGCGTAGCAGGGTGACACAGATAGAGCACTTGAGAGGAATTAGGGAAAAATTGTAGAGCATTTCGCCAATCCACATCCACTGTGTACACTTTGGTTAGCATCAATGAGCAGAACATGGTAGTTGTTGGGAATTACCTTGCGTCCATCGACCTGTAGAAAGTCATTTAAATCCCTGTCCTTTGTCCCCACACCTGCATAAATAGCACGAAGGCCAACTCCAGTGAAAATGACGTGCAGTAACTTACTTCGTTAGTACTTCGTATCATTCACAATAATACAAACTCACCCATCCTATAAGCATAAGCCCATCATCAAGTCCAAACATAACATGTTTCAATCGAATAAAACAACGTAAAACAACAACGATGGCAGTTGGAATGAGAAAGAATATGGACACGCCAATCAGAAGACGCGCCAGACCTCGAGGGTCAACAGTCGTCGCGTTCTCATCAAGCATGTTGGCGATGGAAAGCTGAGGATACCATACCTACACTCAGAAAGCAAGCACAGGAAATGAATAACCATTAAAAAACAGCGCATGACTGGCATTTTGAAGTCTTGTGTCTCCTTTCCACAATGGCCTTATCATGCAAGTCGACGCCATTCCCCGCGTCTTGATCTCCCACCATATCAGATTTTAGTACCAAAGCTACTGAACCTTATCGGTCGTTGTAACCGATTATTGAACAACTAACGCCTTGAGAGCAGGGTGCCACCGCTTCCTATGACCGCATTGGGTTAAGGTATGTTATAATACCCTGAATGGGATCAGCGAGTGCTTACTGAGGCTTCACTAGCACGCGCAGCTAAATCCGCCATTATTACCTCTTATTGAATCTCACGCATAATGACAGATTCAGGGGTAAAAGTAGAAGTGGGTGTTCCATGCCTGGCGGAAATGTACGGTCGAGTCTGGTAAATTCCGCAATTAGTAGGGTATATGATACTGCTACAGATTTAAAGCTGGCTGCGATGATGACAATCCCGGTTTGTTGCATTGACTTTTCAATGGATCTTCCAGATTTATAATTGTCCATACCACTACTTCAATTACATACCGCATGCTCTGTGCTATTATTCACAACTAGAAGTTTCAATATGAGGTTTCGATAGAGTCTATTTCTCTACCCTCTGTTCCTTAAGTTATAATAGTCTTTATCATTATACTTCTTCATTTAACCTTTGCCGTTTAGACCAGATTTCCTGCCCAATCTGTGATTGATTATCTTCCACTTCTTGTTTCCCACTAGCCCAGTTGGTATTGTTAGCAGCTGTATGCTGTAACAATAACTTCGCATACGCAGCTGCCGTTGCGGCTGCGTAATGCTGCCAAATCTTGTTTTTATTAGAGTCCGCATAATCGCAGATACCACGAATAACTAGGCAGGGAAATGTATTCATGACTCCGGCTGCCTCCATCTCGAAACAAAGGATCCCATATTCCTTTGCCCAACGATCTCTTACACTTCCATCTTTGAGAACCCTGTTACCTGATGCAATAAGCCCATAGTGAATTTCAGGGCAATGCGTTGCTCGGTCTGGTCTGAAGTTCAGGTGTCTATCCTTACAAAGACATTCCCCATATTCCCGACAGGTAAGACAAACAGTCTTAAAAAAACAATCCTGATCCTTCCCTGGGTGTTGGTATCGCGATGCTAACGTCTCCGGGACCCGCCTGATGATTTCTTCAAGTGAAGATTGAAGCGCGTTGGAAGGAAGATCTGGATTTGATCGAAGAGAGCTAACGGCTGTCATCAAACACCGGGGAGGTGGGTGAAGACTGCCAGTGAGTTCGAAAGTGTTACCCTCAATCTCCTTGCCACGATCATACTGGATGACTCCTGGATACTTAGTCGTTGGTAAGCTCACAACCACGTCACCCAACCGTACATCATTCTCCTGCGTAGGAGCACCGCCTCCGATGCCAACGAGAAGGCAGAACTCGACATTGAAAAACGTTCGCTTCATATTCGAGGCCGACTCAGCAGCAGCATTTGTCCCATACTCACCCGATGGGAGACAAGCTGCCACTACCATGTGTCCACTTATTGTACCGAGCGCATATGTGTTACTGTCTCCTCTCACGTACTTAGGATTGCAATGCTTAGCATCGAACAACGCTCGCACCGCGAGGAGCTCAAGAGGTAGCGCGCAGAGAATGCCAACCGTATATGATGATCGGGTGTACGCCTGTGCATCTGCTAACAACGGTAGTTGTGATGACAGACTTTCAGTTTCGGCACCACTGGGAGAGCGACTGAATCGTCGCTTATTTGGCGGGGAGTTCTGCTGAGCCATTCCGGCTCGAGTCTCGGTATCTCTGGTTTCAAGGTGCAACCGTAACCCCTGTGACTTTCGGTGATAGCTGTCAATGGGGCCAGATACTTGATCAGTTGACTGTAAAACCTCAGCGTGACTTTGTCGTTCCCACGCTTGTGAAAGTTGCCCCCAACTGCCGAAATCCACATTCTGTGCAAATCGGTCGAGATCTTGGATATGGATATCGCCATAAGCTTGACTGAGTTCCGTTTCCAAAGGCAGAACCACTTCGCTGTAGATTTTGGATCTCAACGTCAGGTCGTCAAGGATATTGCCATCTTCATCTTGCCACACATTTGGATCCAGGCAGTTCTCTACAGCCAGGTAGAATTGAGAGTTCTCTGGAATTTCCTTCCGACAGGCTTGGAATACACAGTTGACATCCATATATCGTGAGAAGGAGGTGGACTGCGACCCAGAATCCAGGACGACGTTATACCTTTGAGCTAGAATGTCAAAAGGAGCCACAAAGTATATCTCCAGAAGCATTGTTGCGAGAACAATGAGCGCCGGGCAGTTATGCCCCAAAACATCATCTGGGTCCATATCATCTGGGTCCATATCATCTTTGTCGATACTTCCCCCTTGGCACACCTCTTGAACTGAGCGGCAATCTTTCGCAGCGTGGTCAATGTTTGAGAGTGGCCGGTGTATAAACGGTTTCAGCGGTATGATTGATGACGCCGTACGGAAGAACCAAACATCGGATGAGTTCCAAGCGGGTTGTAACCAGGGTGTATTATGAAGGTGAAATACAGCAGAACTTAGAATGACAGCCAGTATCCTTTTCGTCTTCTCTGTAAATGAGCCAGACCTAGTTCTGAGGAACTCATCCAAAGATACGGCATTCTGTGACTTGTAGTCGTGGCCGCATCTCCTTTCTGATTGAAGTTTGTAAAGCTGATTTCGGATGATCTTAAACACGAGACGATACGACGTTTTCGAGCTAATCTTTGTAATCTGTTCGCATATGCTCTTTACCTTCATGGTCCTCGTAGCTGGCGAACATTTGACCTTGGCTGATAACGCAGGTTCCTCGTTGACTACCATCCTGACTTGCTTATCTTTGGTTGTATGGATGATAACCTCTTGCCAGTCCTCTCGCGAAGAAAGGAACATGTCGAAATCGACATCGTCTAGGTCCGTATCTGACTCAAATTCTGGCCTCCTATAGGTGCCAAGGCATAAGCGAGCACTTAAACCGTGGGCTGGTTTGCATGGGCAATCGTTACATGCCACTATAGCCTCGAAAATTGACTGTGCAGCATTTCGGACGGCATAGGTTGGTTCCGCGATACTCAGCTGGGGACCTAGATCTTCCGTAGCCCATTGAGATAAGTCTTCAGGATATCTGACACGTAGCTCTTCTTCGCATCGGTCAAGTGATGTTACAATCTTAGAACGTTCGCCCTGTGTCGTTCCAAAAATCAACTGCGTACCAATAATACTGATCTTTGTGCTGTTATCTCTGACAGTTCGTATCTTATTCTGAACCAGTTTCAGTTCGCGTAACCAAATATCAAGTGAGACATTAGACGATCCATCCAGACATGTCGTAGACATTCGCCTCAGGGGGTCTAGAATAACATGGGAAGAGTCACCCAATGATGAAACAGCGCTTTCTCCAACTGCGATCAGTCGGCTCTCTATTATGGTGCAGTAAACGATGATCTTGGCGTAAAAGGCTTTCGGATCTTCATCCTGCTCATCCAGGCGTAGAGCCTTGGCAATTTGCTGGACAGACTTATAGGCGTGTCGTATCGAGTTCACGGCAACTCTACCGGTAGGCAAAGAGGAACTGGATCTCATAGTCAAGAAGACGGGCCAGATGAGCACGAGTCTCACAGCTAGTGAGGGCTGTTGTATTGAAGATCACAATGGCGTTGTTGAACGGAGTAAGACAGGGTAGTATTGTTTGTCGCACATCAACCCCTCTTTAATCCTTGACCTTTGCCTGACAATTGAGGCTCCCACGCATTCCGCTCCTCCGATACAGATGTCTTCGGAACTTTTGAATACCAGGGCCTGTAGGTAGACGTTTGCCCGGCAAATATTCAGAACATGTCAACAATAGCCGCCGGTGATAATAGTGACGAATTCTTAATGGCTCGGATAGTCGATAACGCTAAGTCATGTCTCATGTCTTTCCAAAAATGCCTTAATGATGCCAGCAGAGCTAAGAAGGCTGGCTCGGTCATGATGACAAAGTCATCCATTGTTCGGATCGAGGACCAGCTTGCGAGATTCTCACTTTGGACAGCCAACCTTCGCGTCTTTAGTATTAATCGAGATTCCCTTGACAGTCGTTTACGGGAAGCGCCTGAGGTTAGATATGCCATCAGTAGCCTTTTAGAAACGCTCAACCACCATCTGAAGACCTGTAAGTAGCAATATTTAACCAAGACGCTTCATTTTACGTGGACTTGCGGTTATTAACTGAGAAGTGTGCTGACAACAAACTAACTTTTAGCCACTAGCATCCTCCTCTCTATTACACCGGATTCAAGTCTAGAGTGCACTGAGAAGTTGATGGTTACTTTTGGTGATTCACTTGACGGACTACGGAATGATATCACCTTGCTTCATAAGATTTCTAACACTATTCGCCGAGCAAGCAAAGAAACTCAAAATATCAAAGCTTCGGAAGATTTCATAATCGAGGATGATGAAGGCAATGATACGGAGCCGTTTCTTCGACAGCTATTCATCAACTACATACACGATCGATTTCCCGGAATAAATGAAGCTATTCGTATCCGGCTTGCAGATTCGATGGTCCTTCGACGCAAGAGAATTCTTTATCGCAGAAAACGTTATGGAACAGCTTCAATACGTCTTCCCGAGCCAGTGGCCAAACCTGTGATATCGCATCCAAGGTTCGGTATGAGCAATGATGAAACCCATGTTGTTAAGCGAAGGGCTGTGGAAGCACCAGCTCGGAGCAATGCACAATCTGTAACAAAAACTGCAACAACGCTTTCCCCAGAGAAGTTTAAAAGGGCTGTTGCACCTTCTGTCATTTCAATCTCAAAGACTGTTGCACTCAGCGGGGCCGAGGAACTGTCCTTTCCACCTGCGCCTACAGCGAGCCTGATGCGGAAATACAATAGGATGAAGAGAGAAATCGAAAGACAAGGAGATGAACCCGGACTTCAGACCTCAGAGGAGAAGGGCGGAGAACAAGAAAATAAGAGGATCGAGCGTATGAAGCGAAAAACAGAATTATCTGAGGCCTGGAATAGTTGTGTCGAGGCAGTGGCGGAAGTCACTTGTCCATACTGTTTCCACATCCTTCCTATTCGCGATGTTATTGACGACAAAAAGTGGAAGTAAGTCCCGCTTCACTCGCCTTGGAATTTTCCAAACATGGCAATCCACCGATCATAGAAGTACTAAAGCATATAAAAGGATGCACGTCAAGGATGATCTTGATCCCTACGTCTGCCTTTTCGAGGAATGTGAATCTTCAGATCAACTGTACTCGCACAGCGGACAATGGATAAAACACATGAGAGATCATACGTTGCGATGGCGCTGTAAATCGAAAGCCCATGGAGAGTTTACCACCAAGACGAGGGCAGACTACATTCAACACATGAATACTTGTCATCCGGGCAAATTCAAAGATGCCCAGCTCGCCGTATTAGCCGACCGAGGGGCTGTAACGGGTGGGCCTCTTTTCACAGCTTGCCCTCTCTGCGGTATCGACAAGACAGAGACATCGATGGAAAGCCACGTTGTGAGTCACATGCGACTTCTGGCTCTCAAAAGCTTACCGGTTGCTCTTGATGACACAGATGAGTGGGAGGAGAACGACGATCAACATGACAGTGGAGATACCTCTCATTCACACAGCCGGAGCACAATCAAGGATGCGCTTGAAGACACTACACCCCTCAGTCCACCAGTCGCTACAGAGGCTTGGAATGATTCGCATGAGTACATACATCAAGTCCCTGGACAAAGCTCGCATGTTTCAGAACATGGAAAGATGTCATGGGTTCATGTTCCAGTCGAACACAGTTATAACCAAAGGGATGATCCTGTGCTTCCGCCTTTCATCCATCGTATGTCAGATACCGAATACCCGACAAGCGAAGGGAACACACTGCACAAGGATTTTCCGAGTTCACTCCAACTTGTGCCCACGACAATGGACTCAGACTGCGCTATTTGTGGTGCTCCAGCCGCTATTAGTTGTAAATGTGAGGCTATGGCCCAGGGGCACACAAATCAGGAGCAAACACCAAAACAAGGGCCTTGTATGGTTTATTCTGTGAAGTTAAAAGAGGGAGGCACAGTCACTTTTTGGAGGTGCAACAGTTGTCACGCTGAGAATACATTTAGCTGTGGCAAAGTCTGTCAGAACTTTCTTTGCCAAGCCGTGTTTTCTTCATGATCTGGTTATTAAGTATCTATAAAAAGGTAGAGCTAGTTTTAAACAATTTAAATTGTTACTATACACATAGCTGGACATCGCTGTTAGTCAAGCGGAGAATAGAATGATGAGGTCAATATATCAAGAGATCAGAGACTAAGTGACAGTGCACGCGCAAGACTATGTGAAGTAACGGGCTATGCTCAACGACCTTGACTCCCAGAATGGAAAGAATAGACAGCAAGATGTTTCAGGGCAAGGCTCTGGAGATGATGGCCAACCTGAGACGTCAATTCTTCATGTCGACCTCCCAAAAGTAATGGAATACTACTTTGGACTTGTTGAACTAACGCTTCCTGCTGAGGGTAAAGCTGCGGTAAAGGAGCCACGGCTAGGTAAGGTTCCTGATAGGCATGGGAAACTTTCTGAGGATCGACCTAACGTTGAAAATCAAGACAGCAGCGATGTTTACCTATCTATATATCCCTGCAAGACTCTCAGTCTTATTACAGCTTCAGGCCTAAAAGAGCTAGTACTACCCTGGAGAAGGCCAATCTTGACTGAAAGAGGACAATATCACGAGATTGGCTCCCCGCTGAGTGACAACTGACAAACAGCTCCAAATACAATCCATCATAAAGCTTGTTACCCGATATTCACCTCACTCCCGTATCAACTTCATAGTTACTGAAGATATATTCAAAGCTTGTCGTTGCGCTTACTGTAGTCCGTTTAAACTTTCAGGTAGACTTCTTTAAACCGTTTGATGTGGATATAGAATGTGGATCAATATTATCCTCTTATTTAGCGTATGGCTATGCTTCATGCCAGATTTATATCGTCTAAGTTTAAAATCGGTATTAAACTCATATCCTTCATCATGGATCTCGTTTACACCAGCTTCACCGTGAAAATAACCATTCGCAGCATAGTAGGTATAAGCTTGACTTTTCATCGGTGGTGTTACAAGCTCAACGCCCTTCTTCCTGTTCGTTACAGTGACTTGAGGGGCAATTGAGGCTGATAGATAATATGTATCACCTGTCCAAATCTCATCTTTCCTCAGTTGAATCACGAGGTACCCATCGACCACAATGCCAATGTTGAACACAGGGATCTGTTTGAAAGACGGAACGAATTTCCGGTAGGTGAGCGAAAACTCGCGTGATGGACAACTTCTGTAAGCCCTCGAAATCGCAATTCTCTGGAGTCTTGAAAACGCGGCAATTGATATCATGGCACTCCCAGGGAGTCAGTCTTCGAACCCCTCGGCAGACCACTGCCCGATAGTCCAAAATGACGACAAAAGTGCCAAGCTCCTGCACTCTTATGTGGATCATCGTCTGATGCTCTTTAGAATAAATCATAGACTGTGGAAAACTCTGGCGGCGTCCAGGTCTTAGTGGTGGGATATATTCTGTCGAGTCTGGTGAGTCCTGTGGTGAGCCAGCCATGAGAGAAACGAATATCAAATTATCTCCGGTCGGCTGAGGTGGGTAAATCCCTAGTATAGTGAAGCCTTGCGCAATTGGGACTGGGGGAACAGTGATTGAAATGGGTAAATGTTCAAACTTGTAAAATTGCCCCGATGGTCTTCGAATAATTATGCTGGTTGACTGCGCCTGACCTAAGAACTCTTCAGAGATAAGAATAGGCCTGCACCATCGAGGGCGTAGGTACTCTCCCTTCTGAGTCTCTGAGTCTGGCTCAAATACGCTGTAGGCACTTGTCGAGATCAATGGTATTGCCATAAAAGATTTATGACTTCTGTTTTCAAGGCAGAATTCTGTCTTTTCAAAGGAGTATTCTTTTTCTAAACGAGAGGAACAGCCCAATATCATGTATACGAGTAGTTGGTGCGTGAAGTCGACACGCACGGGAACTTCCATCTGTAACCCCCTCTGGTTCATCGAGAATGAAGCTGCATTGAATCCCTCCAGATAACTGTGTTCAAGGTCCCTGTAGCCTCTGAAAGAAGAGGGATTCGGTGCAAGAAGCGAGTCTTCTTCGAAATCCCACCTAGTGTATGGATCTTCATAATCCCAACTTAGCAAGGAGCTATCATCGCTTTTTTTCATGATCTCTTCTTGCAATCTTTGAAAGGCTTTGGGACCTTCTCCATAGAGCATAGACCATATTAATGTCAAATACGCCTAGCAAACAGTAGGCTAAATCCTCGGGCCTTGTTGTCTCTCGTTGATCCATCTAGGACATCCTTTCAGCAACAATTGCTGTCGATAGCGTTTTGCCTATCTTTCCACGCCAACGTGCATCGGACAGAAAGAGCTTTCTAATACCAGTGATATCTTCAATCACGTCTGCTATACTTTGTCTCATGTAGATTTCTTCCAAATCTTTATCGTAGAAAGAAAATTTAGTCGGCGCAATTAGCTCTTGCAACGTCCAGTCCCTCTTGAACCAACGGGAGCGACGAAAGGACGACCCTGTGATTTCCGGATCTTCAGACACAGAAACATCGGAAAAGTAAGCAAAGCATATTTCTGCTAGTTCGTACCATCTGAACATGGGATTTATTGCCTCTTGGAGCTCAGCGCTGCTGGACTTATCAATGCAACAAGTATCGATCCAGATATAGCGGAGTTCAAAAGACAATGCGAGACGACAGGCATTCTGCACTTTGGACCATCCAGTCCTGCCTAAAAAGTGCGTACCAGTACGTAAAGACATTATATCTTGGAAAGATAGTTCATCTTCAGGCCAGGTATGTGAAAGGATTGAGTAGGGCGGGGTCTGGTCTTCATTGGCGAAGAAAACGAGCCGTAGCAAATCTGCATCGAGAAGCCACATGTTGATAGGAATAGGCTAGTGTGTTTGAAGATATAACCGCCGTGATAAGATGACTCAATTATATGTATCGCTCTTGTGAAGAGTTTTGTTGTTTGCTCAAGGCGTGAATAATGCAGTGAAAATCGTGCTCCAACATAAGTGTGATCGCAGGTCACAATATCCAAAACCTCAGCCCGAGGCTCTGGCGAATCTATAAATCGATCATTTCTCCTCATAGCCTATACAATTGATTTACCTAATTCGGGCCCCAGGCAATGCCATGGTAGACCTCCAACCGATCGTCGCTCAAAGTAGGCTGTGGCTTGTCCTTCTTATCATGAAGGATGTTGGAACAAGGCTTCCATTGTGTGCGGTACCCATGTAACTAATGACGATGCTAACCTCAAGACTTTTTATCATAATTGGCGACTTCTAGTTGGTCATTCATAACAGCAGAAATGCCCGCATATGCGGTTGGTCGCACAGGGAACAAACATTGGCTGGCGATGGGCCACGTCAATATGCAATTGTGAGTTTTCTGTTTGGGCTGCCTCAGTGTGGCCCGCTGACTGCTTGTAAACGCCCGCTGAAATCTGTCTTCTGTGACTCTTTTTATTAAACTTGGTGGTTTAGCTAAGGCTATTGTTGAACGGAAATCGACTAATCATAGCTCCTCAATAGAGATCAATCCTGTCTGATTAGGAAAGATTACCGAAATCAGTATTGTGCAATGACATGCATACACTGTAGTTCGAGATTTGCACATTTGTATGAACGACCATGTTCCCAGTGATAACCCTTGAAAAATCTAAGTGATAATCGTCGTTTCTCATACTACTAAGAAGTCTAACCCATCTTTCGAGCACTGTGCGTAGCTCCATTAGCCTCTTCCTCCCAGTTTGCCTTCATTCTGTCGAACATCCAACTACCTAGGGTTTCATAATCATGTTCATGCCTGATTGGGATAAGTTGAGAATATACGGGATGTTGCATTGAATCATGCTTGAGAACTCCGCCTTCTTCAACTTCGAGAGGGATAGGATCAAATGTGACCAGAGAGATGGGGCGACTTTCAGCCTTTTCGCCTGAACAATCAGTATCTGCGTCGTGGTTTGTGAAAAAACTATCCGCTGGAAGATATAAAATCCCAATCCCAATCGCGCTTTGGCCAAACCAAGCCAGGAAGTTCAGTGTACTCTTGATCGGGGTCTGAGTCAAAGATCATCTAATAGCCGTTATGTCACTTATTATAACATCGATTATACGATTCTGTTTCGCTGTTTTGTTCTTCCTCTTTGCCACTCTCCTGCTTCTTCAACTTGACCGCTCTGTTAACTTTGCGAATCTGGCGCCATATTGTACCTCTAGCTTTCATCTCCCCAGAATAGTGTGCGTGGCATTCCTCAGCTGTGGCTTCGGGCAGGAAGAAGAACTCGTAGCGAAAGGGTCCGCCTCGCTCAATACTTCTGCTCGCCAAACTACCGTGAAGTGCACAGCCGTCAAATTCTTGCAGTACATCTGGGTGCACCGTGTAGTAGACCCAAGACGCTAGAGGGGGTATTGGTCCATCTGCTTTGCAACAATCACATGACATTAAGACTTGTTTTCCTGTATGATCGTTGAAGAAGTTGTTGTGGTACACGATTGGACCTATGTTTGTCCAACTCATGTCCTTTCGGAGTTTACCACCTGTTGACTTTCGAGCTTCCGTCTTTGTTCGAACCATGATGGCGAGTAATATTCTGGACGAGATAGTTGAAGAGGTGTAGACTTGATAATATAGTCGCATCCAAGTGCACAAATACCAATGATGGTATAAGAAGATAGAAGTTACATTACATAAAGACACTTCGTTTTAGTTGTGCCTAAAGTGGTGCCTAGAGTGGTTAGGTACGGCAGTTTTCAGACCAAGACCGTTAGTATAGATGTCACGTTCTAGTCACCCAGCTCCTATAACATAAAGCACGGTTGTTAATAGGAGATTTGATCTTCCTGGTAGACATCTTAATCACACTTAGAGATGCTAGGCTGTCACTTCATCACGGTTTCCAACATGGTGGACTGGAGCAGTTTGGTGTGTTGCGTAGCTGTCAACATTAAACATCGATCCAGTCATTTGCAACATGATTCACCTTCCTCTGAGACAGAAATGTCCGCAACTGCCTTTGAACAAAGAGGTATAATTATTACAAGTATATGCCATTTCGTCAAACAACCTCACTAACCAGTTGCAACCATACTGCCACCAATAGTACCAAATTATGATCCTGCTAACCTTTTTTATTCGCCACGACCATGTCACTCACCCCGATCTTGAAACATACAGAATGGCGCTGTAACGAAGAAATAGCGCTGACTACAGAAGAGTTCGGGGCAATTGCAAAGGAGCCAAAGTGCCCGTGGAGCCTTGATTCACCACAACCGAAAACGCATCGTGTCTGCGATACCATAAACCGCATGGAGGTCAAAATCTGTCGTAGCTGTGGATGGCCACGTGCTGCGGGTGCAGATGCCATAAGCAGAGGCTATATCAAGATTGGTGTACTTGAATGTAAATACGACGACAGCAGAGAATTTTGGGCGTATTCATGAGCACCTTGAACTCGTGTTCACAATTGAAAGTACGAGACGTATGGGATAGGTCGTAGCCAGGTAGAAAGAATATCAACATCATCATCGAAATTCTCAATATTCAATTTTGCAGATAACAAACTCCTGCATTACCTCCCAAAATTCAATTATTTTCCAGGTGACCCAGTAACGCCAACAATATCCTCCTGCTTCTTGCTCTCCCCCTTTGGTACTAACGGGTTACGGAATTGTCTTCCCTCCTCTTTACCAGCTTCCTTCTTAGTGTAGATACCCGTCATGTTGCTTACTGCACGAGTGTCCTTTGTCTCATAGTCGGTTGTTGTGCCAGCTGTTGAACCACCCGTTCCGAATGTCTCTTGTAGAGACGCGCTCACATTTCCTTTGCTTGCACCCCCGGCTCCAATCACGCCGTTGGCTCCGGTTGCGTTGAAGTCCTTTGATGATCTGTTTCCTATGCAGTAGACGCCGAAGCCGAGTAGTGAGAGCCCTGCGATGGCGGGGACCATGGCGCGGCGCTTTTGGGCTTCAATTGCTTTAGACATGTTGTAGATGGTAGATTGGGTAGTCTTTGAATAGTGGGTAGGTTATGGGATCTTGATACAAGAGACTGATATGAGGGCGTATCTGGAAGTTGGTCTTTGTTGATGAAATTAGTAAAATTCGAATTCAATGTTAATATGAGATTAATAGTGACATTAAATGTTGTTTATTTATGTGTATTCACTTCTCCACTTCCATGGTCTGGGGAAGCGTAGTTAATATGTAGGAGAGTCTATGACGAATGACTTTTGACCATGATGACGGGATGGCGCACACGACAGTGGAGAGGTTGGTATTAATTAGACATGCCGGATTCAATTGAAACATGGATTCATTTTGAATGTTTAGACCAATAAGAGGTACCTCTGTCTCGAGACTAGAGCGATGCTGTTCGTATCAACTCGTTCCACTTCACTCATGTTGATGACTTCATGACGCTACTTAGCTTAGTCATTTGAAACAACCAGTCAATGTACAAGGTATATTCAATCATTGTTTCTAGAACAAATACTGTCTCCAAACCCTACTTTGATGTGTTGCTGATCTCTCTGGTGACTCGTTGTCCCTCTGGTAAATCACGACCAAGATCATCGTGAGTAGCATCCCATTCAGCCACCTCATCATTGGGTACTTTCAGCAGGCGATGCGTGTTTGCACCATTATCATCAACCGAGATGACTTGAGATCGAATCTTGTAACCTCCCCAGCGTGGGAGAAGCTTCATCCACACGTAGTAGTAAAGACCGCAGACGATCATAATGCCGATACCAACGATCATATAAGTACACCATAGACTAAGACAGGGTTAGTCATTGTTCATGAGTTAATCAATACCAGGGGACTTACAAGCTGACTGTTCCACCGTAGATACCACCGACCGGAGGAATCCAAGGCATGATGAGAAGGTAGGCCTGAGACAGAAGATATAGAATGACAAGAGCGTACCATGCTCGGAAGTCGGATGGCGGAGTACCAGATCGAGCACGGCGGCGACGGATGAGTAAAAGACCAACACCCATGGCAGCGTAGAATATGGCGTCAGGGTATGTCTTGAGAGAGACCACAAACTGGAAGGCGTCTCCTGCAGGAGGAGCGACAATCATGAGAAAGGTAAAGGCCCATTTCAAGAGATACGGACCGACGGGAGTACCGAAAGGTTTGGTCGAGACCCAGAATTCGGTCCAAGGGAGCACACCTTGACGAGCGATCTCTCGAATCTGACGAGACTGACTGACAAGAACAGCAAGCAAGTTTCCGAAGGAACTGAGGAGAACACAGAAGTTAAGAGCCGACTCGGCAGTCTTGCCAAAGGCAGTTCGGAAGAAGACAGCTGCAGCCAGTTCACTCGACTCAAGAAAGGTGTCCTTGGGAACGGCAGCAAAATAGGCGATGTTGCACATAAAGTATAAGACAAACACAATAAGAAGAGAAGCACTTGCATTTTTCTTCAGGGTGGGTATAGGGTTCTTGATCTCGTTTGCCATGCTGAAAGCATTCTGCCAGCCTGAAAAAGCAAAACTGATATTGACCATTGCTTGGGATAGGTTGTAACCACTGTCAGTAGTTCCTTCGAAACCGTGGCGAAAGTTGAGGTTGGGGTCAGGAATGCTGCTAATATTTCCGCCGAGGATGACAAGGCCAGAGATGGCGATGAAGACAAGCAAAAGTAGCTTCAGAGCGCCAAAGACATTGATGGCCCACAGCGAGTATCTGTTATGAGCGATGACAGTGATAACGGCCAGGGTGTAGGCGGCAATAGCAACACCCTTGAGCTCCCAAGGATCCGGGGCGCGCCCGACGATGCGCCAGAGATAGTTGGACAAAACGATGGCATTGCTACTGCTGAAGGATAACAGCACAGACTGGACAGCAAAAGCGACGGGAAAGAAGTGTTTGGGGCGAGGAAAGCCTTGCTCAAGCCAGACGACCTCTGAACCACTGCGATTGGGAAAGTAGCTGGTGAATTCCATATGGACAGCAAGACCAGCGATGGCGAGTATAAATCCAATGACCCAGTAGACGAGAGCGAGACCAACAGAACCTGTAAGCCGCAGGATTGTAGCAGGCGTCGAAAAGATACCTGTGCCAACCATATGGTTCAGGTTGAGGAAGATGATGGTAAGCCAGTTGACGTGGTATCCCAAAGGCGAACGGGCCTCAACGGGTGCACCGACCGCCTCTTGGTAACCTGTAGTACCATTACCAGCTACTTGTCGAACAAAGGCGAGATCACCATCGCGAATGACCGACTCTGACTCTGAAGTTTCGCCCTGACTGACGGCCTGGCTTGTAGCCGGCTCCTTTGAATAGAAAGAGAAGCCCATAGTCTGTTGATAAACAGAAGGGGATTGAAGAGGGGATGAGCTAGATGAAACGAGTGAGAATTAGGAACAAGATCAGCACCTTATATTATTCGTATCAGCCCCCGTTGCCAAGATCCAGATTCTTGGATCTTTCTTGTGGACCTTCTCTATTCAGCTTCGTAAGCCTGTTTAAGGTTACGACCAACATCTTTGTGTAGTGGCATGGTGTTTTCAGGGGGCAAAGTTGTCAGATGCCAAGGGTGCGTGATAAGAAACAACGGTTGCACCATCGACAGTACCTACTCCAATCCACCTACGGATCCTCTACCTAGGGAGGGAAATAAAGTGTCGGATGTCTACCGCCCAAATCTGGTCTACTAGCTCCCGACATTTTATTCCCCCAAGGGCTATTTACATAGTACTATGGATACTCTATGCCGCTATTGATTCTTCAATTCACTCTCTATAGTGTTTTCCCCCTAGTCTTGGAAGTTAGGTGATACAATCTCTCTCATTGGTGGAGAGGATGGCGTGCTTACAACCTGGTGTTGTCGTGATATACGTCCAGTTGAGATATTCTGCAACCTTCACACTTTTCGGTTAAATGTCGCCATCCTCTTGGCGGGTACTCGTTTACCACTAATATGAGGTAGGATTTTCATATGTCAGCTTTTCTTTGACAATATGAGGGGTTTCAACATTGCGTTACAGTATCACCGATGGCGCAATCACGACTCTTCCCGCGGCTTCATACATCCGTTTGCGGGGAAATAAGACAACTGTTGTCTTATATACAAGATAAAACGATGTCATACCTCTTTTGTTAACAGGATTCATCAAGACATTCTATCAAAAAAAACAAGTATCATCAACCATGGCCACTGCAGCTATTCTCACTCCCGTTGCTCCCCCATCAGCGCCAACCTTTGGCACTACTCCTGCTGCCCAGCCACCACCAGGACAGCCAGACATTACTTACCATCCTGACTGGGATAAGTACCAAGCACGTGTCGCCCGCAGACTCCAGACTGAGACTCTCACCAAAGAGATTCCAGCGGGCTTCCCCAAAGAGCTCAAGGGTGACTTGGTCTGGGAGGGAGAGACTATTGCCCAAAGGTACAACTGGACCTATACCTTTACACCTGAACAGCTCCAAGATATTGACAACGCCCTTGCACATTTCAAGTGTAAGTTTTATTTAGTGCCGTTCTAGACTTAGACTCAAACTGACGTCTTAGCTCTCAACATTGCAAAGGGTTACATCTCTCAAGAGACTTTTCCTCTTCCCAAGACTCGCGATGAACTCCGTCGTCTTTCACGTGAACTTCACTACGGCCACGGTTTCTTCGTTCTTCGCGGTCTAGACGTCGATAAGTACACTCGTGAAGAGAACATCATCATCTACGCTGGCATCTCTTCCCACATTGGTTCCATTCGAGGCCGCCAGGATGCCTATTATGACGGCAAGCGTGCCGATGTAGTTGTTGGACACGTCAAGGATGTCCGAAGTACAACTCAAATCAAGATCGGATCTCCTGCCTATACTGCAGACAAGCAGGTCTTCCACACTGACTCGGGAGATATCGTCTCGCTCTTTGCTCTCGGTACTGCTGCTGAAGGAGGTGCAAGTCGCTTGGCCAGTGCTTGGCGTGTGTACAACTATATCGCTGAGACCCGACCGGATCTCATCCGCACTCTGGCTGAGGACTGGGAAGCAGAGCTGTATGTCCACACTAGTCTCAGAAGAAGCTTGTTACTAACCATGTTGCAGCTTCACAAAGACAGTCAATGACACCGACAAGGTCTCTCGACGCCCTCTGATCCACCACCAGCCCGCCAGTGCCGATGGAAAGACTCCAGAAAGAGTCGTCCTTCAGTACGCCCGCCGCTACTACGTCGGCTTCGGAGCTCTCCCTCGAGGCAACCATATTCCACCCATTACCGAAGCCCAAGCCGAGGCTCTCGACACGTTGCACTTCTTGGGTGAGAAATTCAGCGTATCAACGGATTTTCAGAAGGGTGATATTCAGTACGTCAACAACGTCGCCGTTTTCCATGCTCGCGATGGTTTCAGAGATACCGAGGATCAGCAGTAAGTTTAACCCCAGACTGGATAATTGGAAATGTCTGACATGATAAATAGGAGACATCTTCTGCGACTGTGGCTTCGAGACCCTGAGTATGCTTGGGAGACTCCCGCTGCTCTGAAGGAGAGATGGGAGCGCGTTTATGGTGGTGTTACGCCTGAACTTCAGACTTTTCCGCTTGAGCCTTACGTTCGCAGTGAATCTGCGGGAGTCACTCAGACATAGATCTAGCTACATATGGTACAGTCAGTCTATGATGACCCTGATATACTGTCAATAGATATGCGGCTTCATGAGATTATTCATATTTCTGTGATTTTATTTCGAGCTCCACACGTTCTAGAAATCACCTCGTGTAACTAATCACATTCAACTCCATCACAGCTCAACTTTTCTTCAGGCTGTTAATCACACCTGTGGTTATTAGCCTACGTGTTTTCTTGTACTGCAAAGCCTGTGAATATGTCTCTTCTGTAGTCAGGCGTGATTCTGTGCAGAAACACATTAACTAATCACATATGTCCACCAACCGTCTAATTATTTTTCCAGTTTCATTACCCAACACAACATCAGTGTCTACCACGGTCCCAGCTTGCCTCCCTCACACATTCTCTTCTATAAGATGCTTGCCATCGTCTTCGCTGGTCCATCTAACCAGACAATTCACATCGGAGACTTACACACAGACGCAAACGACATTTGATTTAAGATCAAAACAATCACCATGCCCGAACCTACAAGCACGCTTCGCCCAGATCACACTCACTGGGAATGTGAAAAAACCCTACAAAGTGGTATTTGCGGTGAGAGGATACCCATATCGGTAGATACTTGCACAAAGTGCCATCAGCAGCGAGGTAATAACTGCCTCACAGTGACTGAAGGGGCCATCACCTAGGAAGTCGGCTCAAGGTGGAGGATGGAAAGGAGATGTGGGTATACGATGTTAAGACGAATGGGTATCATTCAGGAGGTTAATGTACGGCGAGGTAGACTGCTATAGGCAATTGGAAAGTGATTCAAAGATTGAATATCTGATTGTCTGCCTAGCAATGGATCTGTTCAGTGCAACTTGTGAGTATGTTAAATAGGTGCCTCACTCGGATCCTCTGCAACTGATTAAGGATTGTTGTCGCCGAATATATAACTACCTTGCTGTATATACCAACTACTCCACGACATTAAGTATTCCCATTCTTACAACAACTATCTCGGCGCCAACCTTTTAAAGCTTCTCAACTCAACAAGCAACCTTACCTTCCTAACTAACTCAATTCATCATGCCTGGAAATACCTACAACTCCCCTACACCTATAATCAAGCCAGAGCACACACACTGGCTTTGCCGGACTGTTATTAAACAAGAGCCACTTCAAAAATGTAATACTCAGCATCCCATGTCCCGAGCCATGTGCAATATTTGTAACAAGCACCGCAGACCTGATACACAGGCTACAACTTTCCGTGGAACAGTGCTCGGAGTCCTTGTCGCTTTCAGTCAGGGCACGGAGTTGTGGGTGTATGACTAGAAGTAGCAACACTCTAGATATTCCTTAGAGTTTAAAAAGCTCCAAATCAAACTTTCAGATTGACAGAGAGCCTGATCCGCGACCCGTGACTACTATGTTGTCTCTTGTAGCCATGTAAGTTGTCCTGGAATCTACAAGGAGCCATAGACGACACCGCTTTTCGTAGAAGGTCTACATTCAAGCAAATTCGTTTATTCATTGGCACGGAAAACTATAGACATCTGATCAATGCATCTTAATTACGCCCGCTTGACCTCCAGTCTTCTAGGTTCTCCTTCTGTCCATACCAAGTAACTATTCAGATCTGGTTGATGCTTCGCAAACTTGACAAGGTCAGTACCAACCACTCCTCGATTTGTTGATTGAACCTGGCTTATAACCGTCTGAACATAGCTCTCGAGACCATTGCTTCTATCATTGCGTAATAATATTGCAGTACCTAACATGAGATCCAGGTACTGGACCAGTATATGTCGATTCAGGTACAGGTAAAGGGCCAAGATGGCAGTTGTTCCGAATGCCGTACCAACAATAGCGATTATAGCTGCAGCGGCTGATTTGACCACAAACAGCCGAAGCCGAAGCCGTGACAGTGTGCCATAAATCTCTCGTCGTGGTGCGCCAGAATACGCCTGTAGAGTCACGAAATTGGAAAATAATGCTTGAAAGACTATACCAAAGGACTTGAAGATTTTCTGTCTATCAGGTAACACGTCAAGAGTTGGCTCTCCCGAGGCATAACCAATAACAAGCCGTGAGAAGGTATCCATATCATTGAGCACAGTTGGGTCAAAGACAGAATACAGTGGAATATTACGAAACCAAGCTGTAGCGAAGAACGGCCAGAACTGTTCTTTGGTCCTTTCGGAAAACTTGAGTATTTTGGGCGTGACAGTGTTGTTTGTGATTGAGATACTCAATGTCACATTGGACATGTAGATCAAAGGTTTGCAAGTGATGACTGTCAGATTCGAAGTATGGTACTTCTCCGAGGCGTTGTATGTTCCCGAAAATATTCCAAATCTTACGTGGCCATTGTCTAGGTTACAGTCGGTAGACCACGTCCTAGCGTACTGTTTGGTCGTGTTGGTAATGGTGAACCACTTATTTATGCTACAATTCTCGTGGCGGAAGCCGAACTGAAGTTGAGCAGAATTCATTTCATCGTCACCTTGAAGGGTTAGACGGAGCCCACCGATTCGCACAAGATCATCTTCTGTAGCAACATTGCAGTCGACAGCTGCTGAGTATGCTTCGGTGTCAAAGGTGTAGTTTCCTGGACCATTTATAGAAGTCGGAAAGAATGGTAAGAAAGAATGCGTTTCTGTGGTCCACAGGTAGTTTTCCCCATTTCTCAGCACTGTGGCGCTTACGATGTCAAAAGCTGGTGTAAGGGAAGCGTTGGTGGTGGTTCCTCTTCCTGTACTCCAGCCCAGGTATTCGTCAAACTGCTGGTTACTGTAGAGTGTGGTATCAACTTCAGACGGTACTAAAACTGAAGCGAATATGGCGGCAGTGAGACCACCTGCCGTCCAAAGTGCTGCACGCAAGAGTAGGCAAATGCCCATAAGAACATGGCCGACTCGCATAGCCCTAAGGCCGTTAAGAACAGGCCACTCTCCGTAATCCAGTAATAGTGTCTTTTGGATTGTAGAACCTCTTGGCCTTGGATTCGATAGTGGTTGACCTTGTGAGGCAGTCGACGGCGAGAGCTTTTGTGAGAGCCATTTCCACAGCTTTCTACGAGCCTCAGTACCTGGTAACGGAACCTGGTTTGCTTTTTCCAATTCTAGTAGAGGTTGAACCTTCTTTAGAGCATCGAGCATTGCAGACCAGAGCGACGAGTACGCCGACATGATCCAAGCCGGGATGGTGGCCCAGACAATTGATGAGCCCAGGATCGGGGGTGCATGGAAGCCTCTTGAGTCAAAAGAAGGATCTGGGCTATCCCCGATGGTTGCGATTCCATTGTTGATGTTTGAATAGTGCCATAGACTGCATATAGCGATGATTATGGCGATTTGACAGAAAAGCTGGAGGGCCATGCCCCAGGTGGTCAGAAGTAGTGGCGGCCTTCTTGGGGGAACCCGTTGTCGATATGTTTGCCATTTTGATTTGATCTTCTTCAGTTGACCTAAGGCAAAACGTAAAACAGTCAAAATACTGTGAAAAAGGCCTGGTTTCTTGCAGTCAGAAACAGTGCTCAGAATGTTCTTGTGTTGCCCGCTGAGATGTTAATTGGGCATGTCAAGGTGACTTGCCTTGCAGACCCCGACATATAGCACTCCATAGAGATTTAAACCCATTTAATTTTGAGTTGGGTAAACTCATTTTGAGTAGAACTGCTGATGGCAGATCAATCTAAACAAAATCTTGAGATCAAGTTCGTTTAATCTGAGTTGCTCTGCAGTTAGGCCACGCGCAAGCTTCATTAAACTACCTGGCTCTCAGTGACTTACGGGACCCTTCTCAACAATAGATAGCCAGTCTGAGTGGGTTGCATAATGTCGCATTGGCTGCCGGTCCGAGACCTACGGCTGATGAGGGAGTCCAAATAGGCTAGATATATTGGTGAGGCTGAGTGATAATCCCATTGTCGGCCAATAGAATTGCCTTTTATCGTGATATCACGCCGGCAGATGCGATAGTAGCTTTTAGTTCCCAGCTCGTTGGTTTGGTGTATACTCTATCAAATGAGAGTCGCAGAAGTCAAACAGTGTGCCTCGTGGCCTGAATGTCCTGGCGGTATTGCTGGAGTTGGGGTGGTAGAGGATGATGCTCCAAGGCAGTATAACACAACATCTTTCCAGTTCAAAGCCTTGTTTGTCTTACGTACTTCTTAATTTCCCATTTTTCCATCTAACTAGGTCACTTGAAAACGGTTGTATCGCATCATCGAATCCAGCTGGAAGTAGTAAAGATGAAGCCCCATGTGCTGATATTATGCATTGCGCAGTTTGCAGCGTCTGAAACAATCTCAACAAGCTTCACTTGCAATGCTGGAGCACAAATAACCACCTTTCCAGCTTGTAACAGCTTTCTCAACTCTGGAAATTCCTGCGCGACCGTTTTAGATCGTCCTGGAAAGCAGAAATGTCTTTGCAACCAGAAATATCTAGATTCCCTATACAAGTGAGAAACTCACTACCGGATGCTTTATTTAGCAACCTTTTACTAACTGTTGCGATACACAGATGTGAAAATGAGCTACAGCTCTGCTTCCTAGGCAATGAACTTGACAGCACATTTGACAAGGGCATTAAATCATGGGAGAGCCTTTGCGACAGTGTTATTACCTTCTCTCCAACTACGCCGCCGTTCAGTGCCTACACCGAATATCCTGATGAACTCTGTGCTGAAGTAAAGAAGGTGTGCCAGACCGCAGAGAACATGATAAATGAGTGTCTAGAATACGTGTCTGATGTAGACACCTCGAGTTTCAGTTCTTGTACCTGTCGTCCGGAATTACTTCGCCTCGACTATTCATGTGAATACATTGGGAATGCGTCTTGCCTGGCCACCTATCTGGCTACGGAAGCTGAACTCTCTAATCTTTGGGGATATTCTGGGTGTGATAATTTTGAGTCTGTTATTGGTACTGGCCTGGTGAGTTTATTTTGTGCATTCTTTGTGAGGACATACATTCTGACCTTCCCTTTAGCCAGAGATGAGTGATGCTACCTTGTCGGATTTGCCGGATTTGCCCTCGTCAACTGCCGTGCCTGGTGTCACAACGAGGTCAGCACCAGCATCAACCTCGACAGAAACTTCAACTGCCACCCATCTCTCATCAAACATTGTCTTCCTAGTTTCTTTGGCTACATTTATTATTAGTTTATGTCTACTATAACCAAGTTGCTGTCAATTAGTAGGAGGAAGCTGTGGAACTATTCTGATAAAGCCGTTAGAGTTGGTGAATAGGGGGTGATGGACTCATAATCAAGGTCTTACAGACAGACTTGCATCCATTCAGTTACAAGATTGCATGTTAGACAGTTGCTGAATCACAACCTACAGCAGAGAAACTGGATTGTTGGATCTGGTGCAATGGGCTAGTGAATACGTGAAATCGATGGTATCGTTATAGACTGCGATTGAGGTCCGACTCTAAGTAAACCATCGTCCACGTATATAAACCAAAGCATCTCTACTATGTCTTACCATCCATCAGCAACGCAACAATTCAACATCCAACAATTAGAAGCCTCCTACTATATACCAACTACAACAACATTCTACAACTATATCTACCTACACTTCTTCTCCATACCATCAAGCTCAGTCGACAAGGTCACCGACAAGGTCCGCGACGACCATGTCCTCTTGGAGTGCGAAAGCTGCCAAACAATCAACAGCATGGAACACGATATCTGCATTAATACCGATTGCAGAGAATCATGACTAAAGAATTCCTTGGCTCTTAACCGCTTCGAAGAACTCATGGGGCGAAATGCTGGAACAAATACAGAAGGAAAGGAAGAATGATATTACACTCTTCAGGTAAATGGAAATTGTTAATTAGGCGCATACTGTCGGGATATGCAAAGGTGCGGAGGATACAGTTCTTTACTTTAAGGGAGAAAGGCTTGTGGCGTGTATATACTATATAATGCACTCTTTGTATCAACGTTCATCTACAAAGAAAGCGCCTCTGGGATTAAGCGCAGCGCTAAACTTACGGCATCACTTGGAGCCCAAGCCGAATCTTGCAAAACTTTCTGGTGTACCGGGAAAGAAGAAGCAGGCTATGAAGAGAGGCAAGAAGCCGCAGACTGGGTTTTCCTTCTAAAGTGCTTGCCTAAAACATTAATGATAGTCGAGGGTCTATCATCTTTAGTCTTTAGCCGTCCGTGTTTCACTACAGTTTGTCCCGGGATAGATAGACTTGCTTCCATTCAGTTGAAACATTTCATGCTAGATACTTGCTGAAAGGTTGCAACACGGTGATTTTATCTATATCATTCTATCTAATGCATTTACTGAGTAAGTGGATGAAATCGACAGTATTGACTGTGATTTATATATAACTTTAAGTAAACCACACTCCATACCTATGAACCATTAACTCTCTCGTCTCTCTCCCACTATCTGTAACTCAACATCCAACAATCTATCAGCTTCCTACTATATACCCATCTCCAACTCGACTCATTGCGTTTCACACAACACCCACACTCCAACACGATGCCTCACGCCATCACTCCAGACCCTCCGGACTGCATGGTTGTAGAAACCGTAGATGTCCACTCCGACCACGCTCAATGGAAGTGCAAGAACTGCGGAAACAAGGATGAACTAGAAACTGAGAAATTCGGTTTCTGTCTCATTGAAAAAGATGAAAACGCTTGGGTCGTGACAAGCCAGGGACAGATATTTAGACAAGTTTGTGGGAGGGACAGTCAGGGTCGACCAATCTAGCGTTATGTGGTGAAGCCAGACGGCCATGTACCTGAGGACGATGGTCACTTTTGTGGCGGATGTGATCCCTGCATTGACAGTCGCAAATGCCGTATCATATTGGGAAGAGAGAAGCCTTGAAATTAAAACCAGGTGCTACTGTGCCTGACATCATGAGGTCGAGTGACAACCGTAGTGAGATACGGCTTGACACTACGGCCTCTCCATCACAATGAACTAGTATTAGTCGTAGATTCTATACATAATTAGATATAACTAAAAGTTATTTGACCCCAGGGATGGCATTGAAGTAGACAGGATAGGCTGAACGTTGTAGTTGGAATGATTCGCCAGAGGAGGACTTGTTCCATGCATGCATGCATGCATCCCTGGATGTCTACACAATACATCATTCTCTCCCGGTGTCTTGGAAAGTTTACTTAGCATGCATACATGCCACCCTTAAATTATGACTGCCGAGACAATCCTCCGAGGTTGTATTTAAGATGCGGCGGCCTCAACACCGATCAGTTAGTGGGGGGTTGGAATAAAGTAGCCCATGCCCCCGTGGGGATCCACTGAAGATACGACGATAATGCGCTAACTCACTCACTGTCTTCAGTGCTATCATTTGACTCACTTGATGCCCGTCTTCATCTCAACATTCTCTCACGTTTGCTATATTCCTACTTGCATATCAAAATAGACATCAATCACAACACCCATGCAAAGCTCTTAATGATCATATGTACTCTTCATTCTTCATCATCTCCACCCCCATTCAATCTTCAACCCCCAGCTTCTGCCCCACCCCCACAGGTGTCAGAATGCGGAGAAGACACTACTTTACGAGAAGACGACAAGAGTGACACTCATAGGCTCGCAATTAACAGAAAAGACAGACACTCCTCAGTCTCGGTATACATCGGACCGAGCACCTCATGCCAAGCAAAGAACATCGGTAAAAGCTACCAAATCCCCGGTTATGAGGATCCATGAACAGCTAGGTTAAATAATAACCTCACTCTCTCAACCCCGCTGATCTCTCTTCCTCGCTCACTCATCTCTCAATTGACAAGTGTACACTCACTATACAGCCAAGATGCCTACTCACGTCCATTCTATCGCGTCGCAAGACGTCCACACCCAAATCCAACAACTCATCCACGAACTAGTCAACATCAAAGACACAACAGGCGAATTCCTCATGACCCTAGCCGACGGCCAAATTATCGACACAAAAGGCTGGAACGACTGGGAATGGACCCACGGTGTTGGTCTGTACGGCATCTGGAAGTACTACGAGATGACCGGCGAGGACAAGTACCTCCAAATCATCGAGGACTGGTTCAGCGCCCGCTTCAAAGAAGGCCACAAGGGAAAAAACATCAACACAATGGCTGTATTCCTCACTCTGGCATTTGTCTACGAAAAGACTAAAAACCCCACATATCTCCCTTGGTTGGATGCTTGGGCTGAGTGGGCAATGCATGATCTTCCTCGTACCAAGTACGGTGGTTTTCAGCATATTACGTACCTCGAAGTCAATGAGCAGCAGCTTTGGGACGATACTCTCATGATGACAGTCATGCCCCTCGCAAAGATTGGTCTTGTCCTCAACAGACCGCATTACGTCGCCGAAGCAAAGAAGCAGTTCCTGTTACACATCCAGTACCTCTTTGACACAAAGACAGGCCTCTTCTTCCACGGCTGGACTTTTAAGGAAGGCGGACACAACTTTGCTGATGCGCGCTGGGCAAGAGGAAACAGCTGGGTCACAATTGTAATCCCCGAATTCCTCGAACTCATCGGCCTAAACGATTCCGACCCCATCGGCTCCCACCTCATCTCCACACTCGACTCCCAATGCGCAGCTCTAGCCAAGACCCAATGCGCCAACGGTCTATGGCGCACCCTTCTCGACGTCCCCGAAGAAGAAGGCTCCTACGTGGAAGCCAGCGCAACAGCCGGTTTCGCATACGGTATTCTCAAAGCAGAGAGGAAGAGATACATCGGAAAGGAGTACTCCGACGTAGCTGTGAAAGCAATCAAGGCTGTGTTGGAGAATATTAGTCCCGAGGGAGAATTGCTGAATACTTCGTTTGGTACGGGTATGGGACATGATTTGCAGCACTACAAGGATATTCCCCGAACGAGTATGCCTTATGGACAAGCCATGGCTATGATGGCCTTGGTAGAGTTTTTGAGAGCGTATAATTAGAATGCAAAATAAAACACACGTCACGGCATCACAGCAAGTCAATTCAATCTACATAACTACAATGCTGTGCTAGCTTTAAACGTCCCCGTCAACTTCAAATCCCTCGAACTCTCTCCCACAGCAATCGTAAACTCGCCATCATCCGTAACCCTCCAATTCTGCTCCTCAACATCCCAGTAACTCAAGTCCCTCCTCGTCAATTCAAACTCGACAGTCTTGCTCTCGCCCTTCTTGAGAGAAACTTTCTCGAATCCGCGAAGTACCCGAACGGGATGGTCTACCTTGGACGTCTCGGGGTACGACAGGTACAATTGAGGCACAGCTTTGCCAGCTACAGAGCCACTATTGGTTACCACGACGGAGACAGTCACAACCGTCTTCCATAGGTCGGGATTGCCACCTTCTTCGCCTCCTGCTTGAGAAGGCGGTTGTTCGACATCGTAACCTTCGGGGTAGGGATAGTCGCCCTTCTTGATGTCGTCGGCGGAGTCGATGTAGGGATAAATCCACTTCTTCAGCTTCCGAATATTCTTAGGCCAAAGACCCTCCTTGACATCAGGAATCTTATCATCCAACTTTGGTGGTTTCGCACTCGACGGCGAAACACGCGAGGCTGGAAGTTGCGACACTGCTTTCTCGAGGGAGATCTTGAGATCTTTGTACTCAAAGGTAGTGTACGACAATCCATAGCCAAACTCATATCGTACATCGACATTATACTTGTCAAAGTGCCGGTAGTCAATGTACAAACCCTCATCAAAGTCTTGCTGGGGAATCACCCCGTTGGGAAGGTACAACACCTGTCCGCCTGGACCATAATCAGCGAGAGATCTGCCGATTGTGTATGGCAGTTTTCCACTTGGACTTTCGTCGCCGAATAGAATACTCGCGATCGCATTTCCACTTTCTTCACCAGGTAGATTAGCCGTCAAGACGGCCTTGATGCGCGGGTGGTCAATCCAGCTCTCCACGACAACAGGTCCAACAGCATGGATAACCACAATTGTCGTTCCAGTTCCATCACCACAATTATCCGCGACTTGTGTAATGAGCGCATTGCCTCCTTTCTGGAGAAAAAGATCGTTGCGATCGCCTCGAACACTGCTCCATCCAATGTACCCTTCTCCTGCATCAGAGTTGGCAAACACCAAACAGACATCCTGCTCTTTAATCTTCTTAAGATCTTTGATCTTGTTGGAGAGGAATTCGCTGACTTGGACCTTGTCTTTCTTAAAGTTCTTCTGCAGAGCTTCAACAGGAGTGATTAGGAAGGGAAAGTCGGCTGCACCACTGCCCCAACCTGACCCAAGAGTACCATCATTACATCCTTGATCGGGACAGTAGTTGATTCCATTCCCAGGACCAGCATCTTCGCCGAAAATGCCAATCTTTATCTTTCCATCTTTCTTCTTTGAGTCGGAATTAGCAAGGTGACCCTTTCGACTTAGAGGAAGTACCCCTTCGTTCTTGAGCAGAACTGTTCCTTCAATGGCAATCTGTCGAGCCAATTCGGCATGGTCTTCCTGGACATCCACATAGTGATTCACAACCTGCTTCTCTTGAGGCGTAGGACTTCCAGGTGCGAGAACTCCCTTTTCCTCATACGTCCAAGAAGAAAAGTTGGGGCCCTTATTCTCGTCCTTGTCTTGACCCAATTGGTAAAACGACGCAACGATTCGAAGCGCCATATCATTCAGTCGATCCACAGGTAAGGAACCGTTGAGAACAGCCTGTGTCAAGCGTGGTCCCCAAAGGGAATCGCCATCCTGCCATTTAAGTCCATCACCAGGCATACTCATGTCCAATCCCGCAAGGGCACTTGCAACACCAGATCTCTGCGCCAACCAATCCGACATAACGAAACCCTGAAAGCCCATCTCATCTTTGAGTATACCATTGAGAAGCTTTGAGTTCTGGCATGCGTAGGAATTGTTGACCATGTTGTACGAACACATTACACTCGCAACACCAGCCTTGACAGCGTTCTGGAAAGGCCATCCATAAATCTCATGCAATGTTCGGTCATCAATGTTGGATGAGATGGCATTGGGAAGGCCCCATTCCCACGCCTGTCGGAAATGCTCTTGCTCATTGCCAATGAAATGCTTGATAGTCGCCATCACACCAGCATCCTGGATACCTCGGATTGTCTCTGCGCCTGCAATACCCTGCAAATAAGGATCAGGACCAAAGCCCTCCCAATTGCGCCCGCCCGCAGGAGCTCTTCCAAGAGGCCCGATAGCAGGGCCAAGAATGACATTGACGCCTTTTCCTTTTGCTTCTTTTCCGTGGGCATTTCCACGCTCATACATCAATCTTTTATTGAAAGTAGCTCCCACTGTGATTCCAGCTGGCCAAGCAGTCGCATTGTCAGCGAAGCGTATTCCGAGCGGCCCGTCTTGCAGAGCTAGAGCTGGGAAACCAACGTTGGTAGCAGCGCCTGTGGTTCCAACAGCCAAACCCATACTCCAACCAGTTCCGGTGGTAATGTTGACTTTCTCTGCCAGTGTCATCTTGCCGACCATCTTGGCAGCCAATTCGTAGCTCTTTTCCCAGTTCTTTGCTGTACCGCCCTTGGGACTGGGATACCATGGTGGTGATTGTCCATCAGCAGGAGGTGTTTTAATCTTTTTCCAAGCAAAAGCTCCAATTGCTGATATAAGAAGCCAACCTACTACAATAGTACCGATGATGATCAGACAACATCTCTTCGTGCGCCATCGTCGAAAGACTCCTCCAGCCGGTCGCAGTCGGCGTTGGGAATTGACTGCAGCCTGAGATTGAGTAGTGGTGACATTCTTATTAAGATAATCAGTTGCGTCAATGTCTGATTCAGTGTCGCTGTCTCGATCTGCTCCATTGAGGAGATTCTCCCTGCTAGGATCCATGATGTCAATGATCAAGTGTTGTGATACATTGAAGAAAGAAGAAAATAAATGTTCAGGTTGATTGTGCGGGTTGGGTTATGCAGCCACTGGTGTTAGATAATCGTACAGCTAGCCAAGAAAGAGCTGCGTACATTCCAGGACGCATGAATCCCTGACGCTTTGGGATCATCCTTTGAGTGACCAACATGGTACCCTAGATCACAAGTTCAAGTTATGTATAATAGTGAAATGGCCGTTCAATATAACAATTTGAATACCTAAAACGACCTGAGTATTACAAATAATTCAAACCATTTATTTCATTATGAAGTAGCGAAATTGGAGGTGGTCCGACTATTCTCTTGTTGTTTGGTTGTATAGATCAGCCTACACTGTGATATTGATGCACTACGTCCAAGTAAACCTGTCAATCATAAAATCAACAATAACTACAAGAATTCTCTTACTCGGTCTCACATCAGGATGCATGAGATGAATTAATTGCCTGATTTCTAATTTCTTTTTATGAGTCAAATCATCAAGCCTCCAACATCTCCAGTCATACATAGCTCAATAGTTGAGTTGGTTCCCATCTCTGCACTGCCGGCAATTCCCCGGCTAAACATAATCCACCTCGAATTTGGCTCTCGACGAGCGCAACATCTCCCAACCAGCTTCATCATCGACAATCCCCGCCAAATCTGCCCATCATGTCGATGTTCCGCGCCAAGAAGCTCGATCTGGGCTGCTTCGTCAACGTCCGAACCCTGCGCGACCACACAAAGCGTAAGGTCTTTGAGGCCAACGAGACAGAGCGGTACGCAAAAACTCTTCCCACGACGACGACGACGAATTGAACAAGCACTAATCTTGACTCCTACAGACAAGCTCTCCGATACATCATCCGCAACACAACCCTCCCACCCCGAGTCCGTGCCGAAGCCCAAATCCAATTGACGCAGATGCACTGCTACACCCGACCTACACAGATCCGAAACAGATGTATCATGGGTGGACAGGGACGAGGTATTCTGAGCGACTTTAAGATGTCACGAGTAAGGCACCCAGAAAAAAACGAGATGGAATGGTTGGACTAACAATTTGCGCAGTACAACTTTCGAATGGAGGCCATGGCTGGAAACATTCCTGGTGTCAAGAGAGCCAGTTGGTAAAAAGAGCTTGGAACGAATGTACGAATACGTGGATACTTGGGATCGGGCGATTTCTCGAGATATCATAGACATGACTGTATAATACAATGTAAAATTCATTGGGACGCTACTTTCATGACACAATGTGTGGAAACTACGAATGGGCAACACCGGCATACGAACTACGAAAGTCTCCCAAGATTTGCAGGTCGAACAGTGAAGATCTTCCATAGAATGGCTAGGCAGAGGACGGGGCATCAACCATACGTGGATTTTGGTGATACGGTTCAGGCATTTGTCGATTGCTCACGAGCGTCGTTTCATGCTAAATCGGAGTTGTGTTCAAGCCCAGTCAAACAAGGTGGCCCACTTCTGGAAAGTTACTGAGGACAGCTGCCTATGCATGGCTCGTGTCTTCTGCACTGAGGTATCGAACTCTAATGATCTTGGTTCTCCAAAGAACAACCATCCTCATACACATCCACCCACTGTTGCTGGGAAAGCGGCGCATCTACAATTTCATCAAAGGCACGGAATACAAAAAGCTAGAGAAGGATGTACTGGGCAGTAGGCGAGCAGGCACCGAGAGTTCTATTTTATAGCCTTTGAGAACGTACCTAGCAGAAAGCTTGACCTGAGTTTAGGATAGAGGAAATAAATAGCCTAAGAGCAGGTCTAAGTTAGGTAACATAAAGTAACTAGGTTTTATTTCTTTAGGCAAGTAATATTGAGTTTGTTTGAACCTTGACGAGTCAGTTATAAGAAGTCACTGCCGTCCGTCAACTGTGAGCCTGTGAGTGATTGTAGTAAGTGGCCGATAAGAGATAAGTACCGATAAGCTCTGATAAGACTTTTTTGGTCAGTGAATCATTCGCCACTCAATTATCTACCATACATCATCACAAAATGGGTGGCGGCGATCTCAACTTGAAGAAGTCCTTCCATCCCGCGCTCCGGCGCAATCAACAGGCCGTTTGGGATGAGGAACAAAAGGCCCTCGCCGAGCGCAAACGCACACAACAACGCCTCGAAGAAATCAAGGAGGAACGCGCAAAGGAGGAAGTGCAACGGCAGCTCGAGGCCGCGGGCGGCAAGAAGAAAGTCGATCGGGTAGAATGGATGTACCAAGGCCCCAACGACGGGCAGACCGGTACTACAGAAGAAACCGAAGCATACCTCCTCGGAAAGCGACGTATCGACAACCTTATCAAAGGCACCGAACATAAAAAGCTAGAGAAAGATGCAGGCACCGAAAGCTTTATGGCGATGCAAAATGCCAATACCGCGCGCGACACAGCTTCCAAGATCCGCGAAGACCCCTTGCTCGCTATGAAACGGCAGGAACAAGCTGCTTTTGAAAGCATGATGAACGACCCGGCTAGACGCCGCCAGCTACTTGCATCGAGAGGTATAGAAGAGGAAAAGAAGGACAAGTCACGACGAAAGGAAGACCGACACAGGAGGAGGCATCGTCATCGCAGCCGAAGCGCCGATGGAGAGGATAGGCATCACAGAAGGAGACGGTCTTACTCGCGATCGCAAAGTCCGCGTCGACGTGACGGCTCAAGAGAGGATCGGCACAGGCGACGCAGGGATGATAGCAGGGACAGACATTCACGACGAAGACGCGACGATTCAGATGATGGGGATAGACGCGACAGGGATGGTCGTGGTAGCGGAGACAGACATCGACACGATAGCGATAGTCGCGATAGACGACATCGCGATGACCGCCGTGATGAGCGCCCACGAGACAACCGTCGCGATGAACCACGGGACAACCGCCAATACCAAAGAAGAAGCTACAGCGACCGACGCCCACAAGAGGATGACAAAGCCAAGGAAGAAGAGCGCCAGCGCAAACTAGCAGCGATGCAGTCCGCAGCAACCGAGTTAGATGTCGATCGTCAAGAACGCCTCGCTACGCTCGAAGCACGAGAGAAAGCAGCCAGAGAAGCAGACGATAAAGCTAGAGAGCGCGGCGGTGATCGTGGATTCGTGAATAAATTACATCAGCAAGCTGGAAATAAGGGACTGGCGGAGCGCATGGGTGGCGGAGCACGCCGTGGATATCAAAAGGACGATGATTAGGTGTTTGAGAGAGTTAGTTTGCAGTATTAATGAAGTATCGGACAGTTGCGACTATGAATATGGTCACGGATAATAAACATGATTCTCTAGTCTAAAGTGGCATTGGTTTTAGGTTATAAATCACTAAAGATGGCCAAAGTGGCATAAAGTGGCGTAGTCCATGTTTTCGTCTCTTATGCCCACAGAGCAGCCCCGGACCATATTCACTTGTGCTGGAGATTGTGATTGTCAGTGCATGCGTGGAATAGATGGATCAATAAGGAGATGGATTATGTCGGTGTGAAAGGGAGTTTTGATTTAATCATACAAGACATCCAATCAATATCCCCATATTAGATACTAAATCTGCCCTTGGTGTTAGCACTCACAACATAATCAAAGGACAATTAAAGCCACGACTCACCTTTCTTCAAGCCACCGAATGACCATCTACGTAAAATCTATATCATCAAGCTTGAGTCTATCGAATCTTGACTTTCCTTAGCCGCCGCAAGCCAAACCCATTACTTTAATTTGAGGTTTTCCCTGTGGAACCAATTAAATAGACGCTACTGCAAAGAAGAAGTTGGGAAAAAGGGGAGACTGTTTAATAGAGACAGAATAAGTGACGGCTAAATTGAGTGTGATTATTTATGACAGTGTCCTAGTCTACAGCAGTTCAAGCGCTATCGACTCCACCAACTCAAGGCCAAGTTCAGTGGGTTTGGTTTCCCCCCGGTCAGTTCAGCCCGCTGTCCACTGTCCCATTCCCTTTTCCACTTCTTTTTTCCCCTCTCATTTCCCTATCCCTGGGCCAATCCCTACCATTTTCAACTTCTCTCTCTCTCTCATTCGCATTGCATTCATTGCCTCACTTCTTTTTCGCATCAATTCGCCCTATCGATTCTCAAAAACAACGAACAAACGAACGAACCTCCCCCCAAAACAAACTTCACCCTCCTTTTTTTCTTCTCTTCTCTTCTCGCTCCGATATCGACACGCGCGCACGCCACTTTTTAACTCTTTTTCCGATCCGACGATAACAAAGGGACAGGGTGCATTTGGCATTTCCACGAACCGAGATTCAACTTATTTCTTTGCGACATTTTGCGCCCCCAACGCCTACTTTTCTCTCTTCTTTCGACCTTTTCTTCTCTCTTTTTTTTTTTTAATTAAACCACACACACATCACACGATTCGATACAATGCCTGCTCTTTGTGGAGGATCCAAGACCGTTCAGCGAAAGCTGGTTCTACTAGGTGATGGTGCTTGCGGAAAGACATCATTGCTCAACGTCTTTACTAGAGGGTGCGTTTGATATTGCGTCAAGGGGATATCGCAGAGAGACTAATGTGATTAATAGCTACTTCCCAACGGTTTACGAACCTACCGTTTTCGAGAATTACGTTCACGGTACGATGCCATGAGTCCTTTACATCGAGCGCATAATCTAATCATACGATGCAGACATCTTTGTTGACAATGTCCACATCGAACTCTCTCTCTGGGACACAGCCGGCCAAGAAGAATTCGACCGATTACGATCCCTTTCCTACGGTACTTACCCCTCTCTCCCTACGCGCCATCCTCCAACTAACCCCCCTTCTAGATGACACAGATCTCATCATGCTCTGCTACTCAGTCGACAGCAAAGACTCACTCGAAAACGTAGAGTCCAAATGGGTAGGCGAAATCGCCGACAACTGCCCAGGCACAAAACTCGTCCTCGTAGCCCTCAAGTGCGACCTCCGCGAGCAAGGCGAAGAAGACGAAAACGCAGCAGCCAACGAATCAGAACCCCGGGAGAAGAAGCCAATGATCAACTACGACCAGGGTCTCGAGGTGGCGCGTCGCATAGGCGCCCAGCGATACCTCGAGTGCTCCGCCATGAAGAACAGGGGCGTCAACGAGGCCTTTACCGAGGCTGCGCGTGTTGCTCTCAGCGTCAAGAAGGATCGCGAGGAGAGCAAGTGCACCGTCATGTAATTTGTGGAAGAAAAGAAGAAGAAACTTTTTTACGATACGATACGAGCATTTTAATCGAAAAATACGAGCCTGACATCCGACCAAACCCCCACTGATTGAACGACATACGGCTTCGTTTATTTTTACCTACTCGTCTTCTTTCTTCACGAGAGAGGACGTCTTTTTTCAACAACTGTATATATTGTGCTGCATATTTGCACATAGGGACTCTTATCATTTTCGGTGTTCTTTTTACGCGGGGTTTTTTTTTTAGCATGTTTGACTTTTGCCACAAACAAAGTCTACTGTGCAAAAAAAAGAGGAAGAGGAGTAGACTGCTGGGAAGGGGTGTTTATCGGTCGAAACAATTGACGAGATATTTTCCATGTTTGACTGCTTTTTTTTTTTAACTTTGTCACATCCTCTATACATACATTCTTAATGATTAAGACATTCTAAAAGAAACAATGACGATTGTGAGAGAGAGGGGAAGTTGCACAGCCACGCTTGGTCAAGAGTATTACGAAAAGATGAATTGTATTACCTCGGGAATTGGGGCCAACTGTTAGGCAGTCTAGTGTATACCCGTTTATGCTAACTAAAAAGTCAATTCTCGATTTGACAGTAGATCTTGATCCACTACGATCTTAGTCTTGTCAACTGTTGCGTAGTGTTACCGTCTAAACGTTTATTGCTTCATTCCTTATAATCTTGGCATAGAAATGATCTTCCAAACCATGATCTCACCCACACTTCTAATCACCAGTAATATATTCCTGAAACAAACATGCAGTATAAAAACCGCCACTGTCTGCGTCACAAAAGATGACATCTGTGTCATAACCCCTTCATGATTGGTCCAGCCAAGAGTTGGACCCTTGACACCCTTTTTCGCAGGGATCAATTGACGTCACATACTATCTGTAGAGATGAAGTTATTCTGAGAAAGAAAGCAGGTTTCCATCATCAACGTAAGTAGGATACTGGCATGGGGATGAATTTCTCTAAATAGAGGCCAAGAGTCGCCCAGATTAATGAAAAGCTTCTTTCTATTCTCCATCAAACAAGCATTCTATTTATCCACTTATACTCTCACAAAGACTCACTTACACCACCACTTATACACCACCACTACTTCTACAACAATCATGCCTCTCTTCGGTCGTCGTGAACCCTCCCCAGAGCCCATCAGGGAAGAACCCCCTCGCAAACACGGTCTCTTCTCCAGCTCCAAGCACACCGAACCAACACCCACCCGAGCCAGCACATCATCTCGTCACAACCGCCACTCCCGCGGTTCCGCCTCATCCTACGACCGTCACTCTTCTTCTTCATCTCGCTCACCCAGCCGTCGCAGCTCCGGCGGTGGTTTCTTGTCCAAGTTTGGCGGAAACCGCAATGAGCATGATCCCGCTGTTCTCGAAGCCAGAGAGCGTGTAAGAAGCGCCGAGATGGCTGAGCGTGAGGCCGATCGTGCTCTTGAAGAGGCTAGACTTAGTGTGCGTGATGCGAGGGAGCATGTTAAGAGGCTTGAGGTTGAGGCCAAGGAGGATTCGAGACGGGCTAAGATGAAGCAGACTCAGGCCAAGGAGATGTCTAAGATGGGACGAAGCCTTGGACGTAAGTGTTTTTGATCTTAACTTTGATGATTGACGACTAACGGTGATACAGGCCATGGATACTAAACACAATCCTATATAAACTAAGCTCAGTGTTGGCGTTTCGTTACTGTATGATATGAAAAGCACGAGTATACGATGGATAGCAAAGGAGTTGTCAAGAAGCGTTTCTAGTTTTAAGCAGTTTATTTTACAATACCAGTTTACTTTGAACCATCAACAGTGTTCACATTGCAAGTGATATCACCGAATGAGAGTATTGACGTCCAAGTACAAGAACTTCTACATATTATGCCACAACTCACCCATTGTGACGTGACGTTGACTAGTTTTATCTCAATCCAGCTGGACACTGTCTCAAATGAACACAAAGCCACGACCAACATGTTGGTTCAGTCATTGTGAAGTTCGGCATCCATACGTACGTCAAATCTCACTCACCTTCACCAATCATGGTAGGCTCAAGAAACTCTCAGCTTACGACACAACCTTCTCCCCTCTGGCCACCAAAAGGTCATTCAACAGATCCTTCCTCACATCGTCCTTCATCCACAGGAGTCTACATCTCAGCTCGATGCACTTCTTCAAGAGCTCGGATGGAAGGATTAGTGATGAAACCGCCGCACTCAGGAGATCGTGGCATTTCCATCAGCATACCACTTTCTCCGATCGCAAACTAAAATAATATGAAAAAAGACGTGGTAGGGAAGACTTGGTGAGAAGAAAACTTACAAGATGGCCACTAATGCAGTAGTGCCAATGACCAGAGTGTGTTACCATACCAGTGACTATGGAAGTGTAGACTCTTTCAAGAACGGGATGTACACAAAATGATAGTCAAGAAAAGGTGGTGATGTTAAGGTGTGAGGGAGGGTGTTAGAGAGAGAACTCGCGCTACAACGCCAATAATGTTTATGCCGAGTGACATTCTTGGTTGCCTGGGGCTCTGTCACTCTTTTAATATTGCTCTCAAGTAACTGGCGTCAAGCAGTGTTTGGCAGTGTTTGCTTCATTAGCTGTCGGTCGCTGGCACTGCCAGAACAGCCGTCAACTTCAAGCGCTTGGAAAACCGTAATTTTGCCCTACATTCGTCAACTTTCGTGAAGTGACCATACGTCCGCCAGCGACGAAAAAAAGCTGTCAAGTGACTCGGTGCTGCAGACATTCTAATGGTGCTTGCGCAGACATATCATCCCGATCAGGGCGTTAGCGATGGGTTTTGGTTCCGCTGATAATCGTGGCAGCGGTTTCGAACCAGATTCTTTAAACTAAGCGATGGATGTTGGTTTCGCTGCTTGCCTTTTCCCTATTTGTTTTTTCCTTGGAGTCTCTTTGGACCACCTTCTTGACATTTGCGTCGTGCCAAACTCTTCAATCGAGAGTAGTTCAATTGAAGGGTGGGTAAGAACCCGAAGCTCGACGCAAAGTATTTGGGTGTTGCCAGCACAAGTTGAGATTTCGGATGTGAAGATGATCCATTTGGGACCATAGTGCTTTTTGTTGCAGAGGTCTTCAGTGAGGTATTGGTGTCGTTCTTTGTTATCGCCATCGAGCATTGCGAGCGCACCTTTCCAGGGATTTTCTGCATATATCAATGCACCGAGGCTCTGGTAACTTTTGGGACTGTGGAAGAAGTGACGGGGTAGTCCTCGCTAGTCGACATTGTAGTGCTCAATCGAGTTGACTCGCAGAACCCAACTCCTAGAAAGTCCAAGCACCCAAAGTCAGTGACAAGCTCGTGATTAACAAGGAACTGAGGCTTGCTGCTCTTTCGAGCAACCTTTGTGTCAAAAGCCTTGTCCTGGAGTATCTCGGTGGCGCCAATGCTCAGGCGAGGCGAGGAGATGGCGTCGAGTTGCGGAGGAGATGTTGGTGACACTGATGCCTGTTGATGTCTGGATTGTGGTTTTTGTAGTGAGATGATGGTTCTGTGTTCACTTTTGTTTGTTGTTTGTTTGTATAGGTGGACAAAGACAAAAAGGCAGGCAACACAAGCTGTTGCGTTTCAAGCTTGGCAGATACGTCGTGTGTGCCTTCCCATCTCTTGACCAGCGGGACTACAGAACCCTGGACTTTATTTCTAGGCTTGAAGACTTGAATAATCCCCAACAATTAATTGATAGAATTGAACACCATCTCGATCCCTTTAGCAATAGATACAAGTCTGTAAAAACCATCATCAATGTCTTACAGTCATTCAATTCCACCCACCCTAGAGCACCATTAGCGCGGCTCAGTTCCCATTTCCCGTCTCACGTCAGAAGCTTAGCATAGACAATTTCCCAATTTGAAGACTACTCATTTCGGAAATAATATCAATATCTAAAAATAAGTATCATCAAGAGCCTCACTTAACATTACTATCTATCTAGATATTTTATTGATGATGTTTTCAGTAACACAATGGCGTTTAAAATGACGCAACCATTCTCGCGCCTCGGGGTCAATATAAAGCCGAGAGTGCTAACGGAATGTATGGATGATGCGATCAAAGACGTGCTCAGCGAATTAATAATGCTACGCAAGTGAATTAATAATGCTGTTATCTGCTGCAAAAGTATATAGGGTACTCAGTGAATGAAAATGGCTCTCTTTCTTATCCGCTCTAGATTTCTACCAAGTCGGGGTTCTCTTCACTTCAACACTTTTACCGCTGCCAAGATGGGCTCTCAACCACAATCAGACATTATTCTCTACACTAACCACAAATGCCCTTGTACGTATAATTACCTCTTCTATATATAAACCAGCCAATGTTGTATCAGCGGTGACTTGGCAATTTGTCCAGGTACCTTGTCGGTCTCTGTACGGCGTAGCTAATAGCATCTGTCACAGTCGCGCACAGGGCACACATCACCCTCACAGAACTAGGCCTCCCCTTCAAGGAACAAATCATCGACCTCAACACTCCACGTTCGCCAGAGTATCTCAAGATCAACCCTCGCGGCCTTGTCCCGACGATTATCCACAATGGCGAGACAATCACTGAATCAGCTATTGTCGCGCAGTTCCTCGTCGACGCCTATCCTGCCCAAAGCAAGACTCTACTCCCTGCGTCCTCGGACCGTGATGGGGCGTTGATCAGAGCCAGGATCAGTTTCTTTGCTGATACCTACTCTAGCAAGGTCCAGGGCCATCTCAGCAAGGCTATCTACCTTGGAAAGACGGACCAAGAAATTGAGAGTGCTGTTGATGATGCTATAGCTGGTATCGTCAAAGAGGTTGAACCTCTTCTCAAGAACGCCGCTCCGTTCTTTGGTGGTAGCGATAAGCTCACCTTTGCCGAGGTGCGTGCTTTTACTTTTACCCTTAAGTATTAATTAATAACTAACTTGTTGACAGGTCCTCACTGCCCCGTTCGTCATTCGAGCACTGTCCCTCTCCAAGCACGGCCTCCTACCGACCAATCTCTCATCGCGCCTCGAAAAAGAAACCCCAAACTTTTACAAGTGGGCGCAGGCCATTAGTAACCATGCCAGTGTGCTAGAGATCTACAATGAGGACGAGATTGTCCAGGGAACCAAGAACAAGAGGGCCCAGCTCCGAGCCCAAGGCTAGGCTAAGCGTGGCTGTGCTTGACTCTAGATATTATAGGACAGGGTTTTGTTTTTATGAATTGTCCCCATTTTCTTGCTTATCTCTCCTCATAAAGTGTTTCGACTAGCAGAACTTAATCGCAGAGAGGTCCGGAACAAGGATAAGCATTAGTGTATATGAAACTTATGGTATCCAGCTGAAAGAATGCCTACCCCAATGAATCAACACATGTTGGCCTTCGTCTCTATTCAATAATAATGCAGTCTGACAATCTACTGGATCTTGCATTTCACAAGCGCCCAATAGCTTCCTTTTCCCCCTGTCGATCTACTTGCCACTAGTGCCGACCGACTTATCTCCAGGGTTTCATTTCCATGAACAGAATTAGCAACAAACAATTTCAGCACTTGACTTTCGATAATACAGACAGATAACAGTTAGATTCATCAATCCCGCTGACCCAACCCCCGGTTCTAATTTCCATCGGATCAACTCTAAGCGAAATATCTTTTGTATGTTAAGCCCCTCCCGCGCCCAGCCTAAGCTTCCTTGGCGCGTCTCAAGAGAAGTTGACCATTGTTTACCCCTGGTATAGACTGACCCGCTGGGACTCTCAAGTTTCCTTTCCCTGGCAGTTAATTATTCCTGTCCAGGGACGGAGTAGAGAAGAGTATGTTTGGAATAGAAACAAAAAAAAGGAAAGGTAGTTCAACAACGTGATCAATTCACTGCATTATTAGTGGTCAAGATACACAATCTAAAGACGTCTCATAGACTTGGCGATGACCTCTCTCTCCCCTGAAATGCCTGGGTATTAATGCTTGGCCTTGGCTTGGAGTGGGTATGGGGGGTCTCTCGGCACTCTCCTTTTCCTAACTAATATCGTTTTGCCGTTTCATTTTATTCCTTCTCTTTCCTTTCCTTCTCTTTTCTTTCTCTGTTCATTCTCCTCATCTTTGATCAGCAAAGGAATAAAGTTTTGTCTTTTTCCCTTTTTTCTCTTTTTTCCTTTTTTGTCTACTCTCGATCCTTGGGTGTTTCATTCGTTTCATATCGCCCAGTCACTCCTTGATCGCGACAACTATCAATTCAATCGTCGCATTTCTGTTTTCCTGTTCATTTTCGAATCATCTATTTTCTCATATAAAATAGATACTAGAAAAAAGAAAGAAGAAAGGTACCACACAACAGCAAACATGCTTTCACGCTATATCCTCCCGGCTGCTGCCTTTTTTGGCCTCGCCGTCGCTCAAACAACCTCCGACTGCAACCCTCTCAACGAGACCGACTGTGCCCCCAACCCAGCCTGGGGAACGGAATACACCTGGAGCTTCAACGACACGCCCTCAAGCGATTTTTGGGATGGCCACGTCGGCCGCGTGACCTACGACAAGGAGCTCGGCGCCACCTTCACTGTCGCTAAGCAAGGCGACTCACCTACTCTGCGCACCAACTTTTACTTCTTCTTTGGCCGTACAGAGCTGCACATGAAGGCCGCTCCCGGCCAAGGCATCATCAGTTCCATGATGTGGCTGAGCGATGACCTCGATGAAGTAGACTGGGAGATTCTCGGCGCAAATGATACTCATGCTTCGACAAACTACTACGGAAAGGGTGTGGAGGATTTCACAAAGGCGGGTTGGCACTTTGTTGAAGGGGGTATGCAGGAGGAGTATGTCAACTACACGACGACGTGGACCAAGGAGGAGCTTAACTGGTACATTAACGGAGAGAATGTGCGAAAGGTTATTGCAAAGGATGATATCGATAGCTACCCCCAAACACCCATGAGACTTTCCATTGGTATCTGGGCTGCTGGTGATCCTCGAATGCCTGAGGGAACACGTCAATGGGCTGGTGGTGGTAAGTTGATCAACAACAGTTTAAACGAGGTGTACTAACAAAGCTACAGACACCGATTACGAAAAGGGTCCTTACTCTATGCACGTCAAGGACGTCACAGTTGAAGACTACAGCACCGGAAAGGAGTATGTCTACGGCGACAAGACCGGTAGCTGGGAATCCATCGAGATTGTCAAGTAAGCCAATCCTTCTCTCTCTCTTCTCAAACCATCACTAATAAATATCAGGGGCAACTCAACCGCCTACGAGAACCTCCACAAGGAACCCGAAAAGTCCACAGGCGAGAAATGGGAAGCTCTCCCCACAGGCGCAAAGACAGGCATCTACGCCGGTGGCATCGGCGCCGCAGCCATCGGTCTCGGAGCTTTGGGCTTCTACTTCTGGCGCCAGCGCGCCGCCGGTGCGACCGAAGCCAAGAAAGCAGCCGCCGAGAATGAAGATCTCATGTCGTACAAACAGGGTGAGGATACAGCAAACCAGGGCTTTGAGTACAGCGCAGCCAAGTACTCCAAGGTACCAGCCCAAGCTGCTCCTTAGAAGAGTGTGTCTAGGCAATAGCAAAGAATCTTTTTTCCTTTTTTTCTTTTAGAACTTTGTTGTGTGTGGTTCCTTTTTTCTTTTTTATATCTACATATATCAGTATTTCTTATACATTTTTGTACCCTCACCCTCGATTTAATTGCGCATTTTGAGTGAGTTGCTAGAAGAGGTGGATGGCATGACATGGCATGGCAGCAAGCAAATATACCAATACCATTATGGACCTTTGTTTTTTTATCTTTGCACGGGTCCAAGTTTATACACATACTGTTTGAGATACCTACCTAGACAAGAATATGGGGTTATTTTGTTTCATAGCAGGCCTGGCGTTGAATTGAGAAGTAAACCTGGACTTATGCGCGCCTTTGAGATGACAGCATTCTAGAAACTGCTTATTTTGACATCTCACGTCAATTGCTGTCTTAATGAGTTGACGCGACTTATAAATCAGAGAAGCTAAACAATTTTCCAGCATCATCGTTTAAAATTAACAAAACAGGAAATTCGTGGACCTACCAGACTAACCTATTTTGTTAAATCTATACGATGACACCTTTTTTCAATGGCAAATCTTGACTTGGCAGTTGAATTCTCCTACATCGGAGTTTCGAATACCTCAATAAGAACAAGTTGAACGAATCTGGCATGATCCTTTCTTCTTTTTCTTTTCTATAAATGCAAGGCTAGCTTCTCTTTCGTCTTCGGTTCTTCTTCACTCAAGTTACTCATCTCAAGAACGATCAATCGCATCAAAGAACAGAACTCAATTGAGACAAAGTCTCTCACTCACACCTCATAAACACCAAACCAAAACTCACTTACAAAACAACCATCTCAAAACAACCACCATGTCTCTCACTTTCCGTCCCGCAACAGCACTCGACATCCCCTCTCTCCTCACCCTCATCGTCTCCGCCTACCGCGGTCCTGAATCCCGTGCAGGCTGGACAACAGAAGCGGACCTTCTCGCCGACGAGCGCATATCCCCCTCAGCCCTAGAAGCAAAAATCACCGAACCCAACGGCCTAGTCCTTCTCGCATTTCGTTCCACACCCGAATCCACAGGAACATCAACGCCCGAATCAGGATCCGAAGGCGACGCTACTTCAGGACTTGTAGCGTGCTGTGAGATTGTGAGGAAGAGTGATGAGCGTGCGTATTTTGGACTCTTCGCTGTGTCGCCGAAATTGCAGGCTGGCGGAATTGGAAGACAAGTTCTCCAAAAAGCTGAGGAGCATGCTAAGAAGGAGTGGGGAACTAAGATTATGACCATGACTGTTATTTGGACGAGAGAAGAGCTGATTGCTTGGTATATCAGGAGAGGGTATGCTCGTACTGGCGAGAAGAGCCCGTTTCCCTATGCTGAGCTTTACAATGGAAAGGCTTTGAGGGATGATTTGTACTTTGATCATTTGGAGAAGGAGTTGTAGGGATGATCTAAGTTTATGACGAATTATGGAAGCAAAGCATAGAATAGACAGAAGCGTTAGATGTAAAAAGAAATCATTTTGATCAATGGATAAATTGTCTACTCAAAGCAAATCGTCAATCATGGCAGGCTATATCCTAATACTATATACTCCAAATAAACCTTGCTGATCGCTCGTCACAACTTTTGAACTGGGTATCTTGTGCTTTTATTGACCCTCAACCTGCTTAAGAATGCCCTCGAGGTTGATACTCTTGGGTCGCTCGATAGGCAGACCCAGAGCACGGTCCCAGATCAATTGGGCAAGAGGACCAAGACCACGCGACACACCAAAGGTGGCAGTGTAGTAAAGAGTCTCGTGGAAGCCGTAGTGGTGGAACAGAACACCAGAGCTGCTGTCGACGTTGGGGTAGGGGTTCTTGGTCTTGCCGTGCTTCTTGAGAACCTCGGGTGCGATTCTGCTGTTCTTCTGGACAAGCTGGAAGACAGGATCGTTGGCAATCTCGGGACGAGCTGCGGCGTAGTCCATGAGAGCTTCGAATCGAGGATCGGGCTTTCGAAGGACGGCGTGACCGTAGCCGGGGACAACACGACCCGAGTTGAGGGTAGACCAGAGGTAGTCATTAACATCCTGCTCAGTATAGTTGGCAGGAATGGACTCCTTCATCTGGATGATCCATCGAAGGACCTCCTGAGCGGCAAGACTAGAGATGCGTTAGTTCTGCTTGCTGAGTAGAGTAACAAGTACTTACCCGTGGAGAGGACCAGCGAGACCCTGAAGACCAGCACTGTAAGACAGGAAAGGATCGGACAGAGCACTGCCGACCAGATGAGTGGTGTGTGCAGAGACGTTGCCACCCTCGTGGTCACCGTGAAGAGCAAGGTAAAGACGGAGGAGGTCCTGGAAGTTCTCATTCTCCTTGCCACCCTTGCCCAACATGGCAGCAAAGTTGTAAGACCAATCCTGCTCAAGATCGACCTCAGCGGGTAGAGCACCACCACCGCGGTAAGAGTTCTGGTAAATCTTGGCAGCAATGGTAGGAAGCTTGGCCAGAAGGGAAATGCAGTCGTCAAAGGTAGGCTCCCAGTAGTCAGCCTTGTTAAGACCTTGCTCGTAGGCCTTGGCGAACTTGGACTCGTAGTTGAGAGCAGCAACAGCAATGGCGAATTGGGTCATGGGGTGAAGGTCCTTGGGGAAGTCATCGAGCATCTTGGAGACAAACTCGGGGATCTGAGCCTTCTCAGCGAGCTCGCGTGAGAAACCGCGGACCTGGTTGACTGAGGGAACCTGGCCAGTGAGAAGCAGCCAGAACATAGCCTCAGGAAGCATCTCTGTTCCAGTCTTTCCCTTGGGAAGCTCCTTTTGGCAGTCCTTGATAGTTCGGCCGTGGAATCGGATACCTTCGTTGGCATCTAGGACTGAACCCTCCCAGACCATGGCCTTGAGTCCTCGCATACCACCAAGAGTATTCTCGACCTTGACTTCTCCAATGACCTTGTTAGAATGAGCCTTGACCTTCTTAAGAAGCTCTCGCTTGGCGGGAATGGCCTCGCGGAGAGTGGCCTTGAGGTCAGGCTCAGCAGTAGCATAACCACGAGCTCCCACAAAAGCGGCACGAGTGAGGGGCTGTTTGGTAAAGTGTGAGTTTATTGTAGAGCATCACATGTAAGTCACATACCTTGAGCGAGCCCAAAGCCCGTCGAGAAGTCGTCAAGTTGAGAGCCATTGTGAATATGTGAGAAGAGTATAGAGAGGAATAGAGCAAGAAAGAGAATCACAAAAGACAAACAAATAAAGGAAAGTCGAGTAAGATAATGAACAGCTGGGCCGCGGCTTCCCTGCTGTAAACGAGTAGAAGCGGCAGGTGGGGGGCCCGAGTAATCTGGGGTAACAACCGGGGGAGCGGGGGTGACAACAAGAACTTCAGCTTCTAGTCTGCTTGATTTATTTTGTCAAGCGGGGTGAATGATGTAGATAGTGCGGAGAAGACACAGCCAGAGATGAGAGAATACTGCAAGACAGCAAAGAGTAACTATAATAATTATAATATTTCTGGATGAAGCTATCAATAAACAATATATTGATTAAATCTTAGATACCAACTATGTCCCTACCAATTACCAAAGACACACATCTCCTCTACGGTTATGTCGGTGACAACCGAGGAAACCCGCCATGAACCGACAACATTACCACGGCTCGAACAAGCAATCTCAACCAATCAGAGACACCAGTGTTTACCGTACAACCTCTATCATTGGCCAATTCCTTCGGCAATGCTTCTCTATAACCAAGGCTTTGCTGACATGAAGACGTCGAGTACACCCCCCAACTCGCAAGTTGTTTTTGTCAGCTATTGTAAAACACTATACTGTATGTGAAATGGAGAAACCAATATCTATTGCTCGGTTACCGAAGCCCAAGTCGGTCATCGAGTTAGTTAAGAGATGTCCTTTGTGGTGTTGACCAACTACCTACAAGATATCTAGATATATATCTGATCGAAAGAACTATCTAAGTTTTATTAGTACATCCCTACTGCTGTCAAACTGATAATAACTACTTGTTATCACTTTTTTGAGAGTGACCTAGTCTTGGCTGTTTGGAGCTATCACGGCTTGTAGATCAATATCCGGTGTTGGACTTAATTATTCATCCACCACTAATCCACTCCACCCTAGTTCTGTCTACTTCACCACCACCATCTTCTCTTCTCTTCATCCTCAGACAAACATCCTTCAAAATGATGCGCAGACTATCCACGAGAGCTCCTCAGCGCTTAATCTCAGCTGCTTCCAGGCCCCGGAGCTGCGCACCTCTTCTCGCCATCCGAGCTATATCTTCCACATCCGTCGCAAAGATGTCGTCCCTTAGCACCCACGCGACACAGCCTGCCGACGCTTTCCAGCTTCTACCAGAGTCGCAAAAGCCTGGCGAGGCTGAGGACAGACTTTACGAAGCTACTGTCCACGAAATCAAAGCTTGGTGGGCTTCGCCCAGGTTTGTCGGCATTAAGCGTCCGTATAGTGCTGAGGATGTTGCTTCCAAGCGTGGAACACAAAAAGTTCAGTATCCCAGCTCTGTCATGGCTCAGAAGCTCTTCAATCTGATCCGTGAGCGTGAAGCCAAGGGTGAACCCATCCATACGAGTACGTCTCACAATTTCTCTTCCGATATACCCGATACCCGGCTAACACTTTGCAGTGGGCGCAATTGACCCCGTTCAAATGACCCAGCAAGCTCCTCACCAAGAAGTCCTCTACATCTCAGGCTGGGCATGCTCCTCTCTCCTCACCTCTACCAACGAGGTCTCCCCCGATTTCGGCGACTACCCATACAACACTGTCCCCAACCAGGTTCAGCGCCTGGCCAAGGCGCAGAACATGCACGACCGAAAGCAATGGGATCTTCGTCGTAAGATGACTGCCGAGGAGCGCGTAAAGACACCATACACTGACTACCTCCGACCCATCATTGCCGACGGTGATACTGGTCACGGTGGTTTGTCGGCTGTTCTCAAGCTCGCTAAGCTGTTTGCTGAGAATGGCGCTGCTGCTGTTCACTTTGAGGATCAGCTCCACGGTGGAAAGAAGTGCGGTCATCTGGCCGGAAAGGTCCTCGTTCCTATCGGAGAGCACATCAACCGCCTTGTCGCCACACGCTTCCAATGGGATGTCATGGGCTGCGAGAATCTCGTCATTGCCCGAACAGACTCCGAGTCTGGCAAGCTTTTGTCATCTGCCATCGACGTGCGCGATCACGAGTTCATTCTCGGTGTCGCAGACCCCTCAATTGAGCCTTTGGCTGAAACCATTCAAGCTATGGAGGCCAAGGGTGCTGCAGGTGCTGAAATTGACGCTTTCGAGGCTCAATGGGTCAAGAACACCAAGCTCATCACTTTTGACGAAGCTGCTGTCGCACACATGAAGAAGGAGGGCGTTGAGCAATCCAAGATTGACGAGTACCTTGCCGAGACAGACAAGGACCACGATATGGGCATCTCACGCCGTCGCGGTCTCGCAAACAAGTATACCAAGGAGCCTGTCTACTTCAACTGGGACGTCCCCCGCACCCGCGAAGGATTCTACCACTACCGCGCCGGCATGCAAGCGGCTACCAAGCGCGCTCTCGCATTCGGTCCCTACGCGGATCTCCTTTGGGTCGAGACAGGCGACCCCAATGTCCAAGTAGCATCCAAGCTAGGCCGCGCCGTCCGCGAGGTTTATCCCGGCAAGGGTCTCGTGTACAACCTCTCCCCCTCATTCAACTGGATGGCCCACGGTTTCACGGATGAAACCCTCAAGTCATTCATCTGGGACATTGCGAAAGAGGGTTTCGTGCTGCAGCTCATTTCGCTAGCGGGTCTGCACTCCAACGCAACCATCACAACTGACCTGTCGCGCGAGTTCAAGAAGGACGGTATGAAGGCGTATGTTGATATTGTTCAGCGTCGCGAGAAGGACTTGAAGTGTGATGTTTTGACGCATCAGAAGTGGAGCGGCGCAAGTTATATTGATGGCATCCTGGGTGCTATCCAGAGTGGAAGTTCGAGCAGCAAGAGTATGGGCGAGGGTAATACCGAGGGACAGTTCCATTAAACCCGTTAAGAGAAGGAAAAGCATATACCGGAGTTTGGGTATCTTTTTGTATATTCACCAATACATTTGATATGATCAGCCGGGTGATTACCCTCGCACTTGTGACAAGATTTGTGATGTGACAATTTCTTTCATTATTGGTTCATACTAATCGTAACTACAGATGCCATCCCCCCCGCTAAATCCCTTTCTTGATATTTATTCCTTACAATGAGTCCTTGCTGGCGTTGTTCTGAGGAGGAGGCTGCGCAGGTCCCTCGGCAGTGACATAACCCTTGGTCATACCACCATCAACAGCAAAGTCATGACCATTGACAAAGCTAGACTCATCACTAGCGAGGAAAACAACAGCATGAGCCTGCTCAATAGCCTCACCGAATCGTCCCATGGGGAAGTGGACCTCACGTCGGTGACGCTTAGCCTGGTCATCGCCAAGCCAGTCCTGAAGAAGAGGAGTGTTGAGAGGTGCGGGACACAAGTTGTTAAAGCGGAAACCCTCTCTGGCGTGAACCATGGCGAGCTCACGGGTCAAAGCGAGAACAGCACCCTTGGAGGCAGTGTATGCAAGCTGAGGTGTAGCAGCACCGACGAGAGCGACGACGGAAGCAGTGTTGATGATGGAAGCCTTGGACTTTTTGTGACGGCGCAGAGATAGGACGGCGTGCTTGCAGCCGAACCATACACCCTTGACGTTGATGTTCTGGGTGAGATCCCAGATGTTCTCGGGGGTGTTGACGGCGTCGTCATCCTGAGCGTGCATGATACCGGCGTTGTTGAAGAGGACGTCGATACCGCCCCAAGAGTCGAGTGACTCGATCATGGCCTGGACTTCGGATTCCTTGGAGACGTCGACTTTCTATAAAGAGGTCAGTTGTTGTGATCGGATTGAAGGGAGAGAAAGTGTGCGTACCAGAATCTCAACGCGAGGAGCATCGGGGACGAGCTGCTTGACCTTGGCGGCGGCCTTTTCGAGAGCAGGCTGGGAAATGTCGGACATGAGGATTGAAGCACCCTCTTTGGCAAAAAGGATAGAGGTCTCAAGACCAATGCCACTGGGAATTGTCAGCATTGTGTGGTAGCTTGTGAGGGGAGTGATGGAACTTACCCACCGGCGCCGGTGATGACGGCGTTCTTGCCAGCGAGACGACCACGAGGAGCAGACATGTTGATTGAGATGTGTATGTGTGAAAAAGAAAAGAACAAGTTTTGGGTATCAAGAAGAGAGAAAGATGTTTGTTTGTTTGAAGATGGTAGTACAAAGAGGAGGGGAGACGCGGTGAGGGAGGGGGATCTTTAAGCTTTCTTATCTTGTGTTCGAGAAGCTCACTGATAAGATTAGACTAGTAGGTCTGACTCGTGAGACATTAGACATTGGCAAAAGAAAGCGGTAGAATGGATCGTGTGTCATGAATGGGTCTCATGGATGGAATTCCGACAACGGGCTTGTCTTGTAGTGGCGGTAGGCGGCTCTTTGGTTGGCGGCTAACTATTATTAAAGAGAATACAGTAGTTTGATGGGTCTAGAAACTGTATGGATTCGGTGGGTTGGGTTCATCATGTCATGGAAGAGGGGTGCTAATGGAGCTTATCATTATCTCGGAGTCTCGGTATTTATTATCAGTATGTCATTATTTACGACAGTTTGCAGTGCTCTCTGTCGTTTATGACAGTAGAGGGAAGTATTGAGATATCTCAATAAAGACATGATCGCTCCACAACTACCGGTAGATAAAACTACATATCAAGCTATCAGATCCAGGGTCCTTTTTCGGACGTCAGATCTCAAGCTTACATGCAGCACCCCTGTCAAAAGCGATGTCGGCAATGGTCACGAGGTAATCAGCATGAGACAACCGATTCGAGATGACATTTCGCGGTTACTTTGTCTGCGCGGTTGCCTACCTCTCATTAATTAAGTCAAGTACGATAAAGGGTGCTACTTGTCAATGGCGGCTCGCGCATTATCAACGGCAATCAATTAACCCCATGCTGGTCAGAGCTTCAAGATAACAACATCTTAGAATGCGGGGAAATTGAATTGACTTTGGTGTGTGTCTGACCGTTGAAGAAAGCGCGGTAATCGTAAGTGAAGCTATCAACAGAGTACGGATACAGTGAGTACTGTAGTGGATGCCTCGGCTGTACAGCTCAATTAGTGCTAGTTACAGCGGTACGCGCACCGAGTAGAGCTTCCCTGGAAATGTTCCCACTTTAGGTCACCTACGTCACTGAAGCTCATCTCTTATCGTGGGAACCTCTTATCGTAGCCGCGCTGAGAGAGAGGAGAGACATTAGATGACCAAACCTGATTAATTCCGTCTTGTCTATTTCCCCTCTTTCTTGTTTTTAGTACTTGAATAGATACAAAGATTATTCTCCATCTTTTTTTTATTATCCTCTGATCTACTCCCCGCATCCACCGCGCGCATCGCATCTCAGCCCCGCGAAACCTCACTCCATCATACCGCGAGGATTATCACGAGTCTTCCTTTTTGCCGCGCATTCTTGACGGGCTCTTTAACATCTTTCTTCCTCAATCTCACTTACTCATCATCATTCCTGGCGATATCTCCTCGTCATACTTCCTCCCTTCCTCCCACCTCTGTACCCAGCTTCAGTAACTCTCACATACTATCAAAATGGCTTCACAAGACTCCCAAGCCGTCACCCTCGACAACCTCGCTCAAGTCCTCGAGAATGACACCATGGTCAAGCTCGCAGGCGTCGACGTCGACGGCATCCTTCGCGGAAAACTCGTCTCCAAGAAGAAGTTTCTGTCCATCGCAGAAGCTGGCTTTGGTTTCTGCTCCGTCATTTTTGGCTGGGACATGCACGATCGCACATACGTCCGCGAGCTCAAGATCTCAAATGCAGAGAATGGTTACCATGATCTTCTAGCGATACCAGATCTCTCTACCTTTAGGCGCATTCCTTGGGAGGACAACGTGCCTTTGTTTTTGGTAGAGTTTCTTGATCCTGATACCCAAAAGCCCATCTGCGCTTGTCCTCGTGGATTGGTCAAGACACAACTTGCCAAACTCAAGGAACATGGCTACGGCGCTATGGCTGGTGGTATGTATCTCTCTCGATCACTTTACTTCTTCAACTAACACAGCACAGCCGAATATGAATTCTACCAATTCAAATCCCCCGATGCTTCATCATCCTCTCCCGCCGCCTACCTCCAAAACAACCCCCCTCACCAACTCCCCGCTCTAACAGAGGGCATGTTTGGCTACTCCCTCACCCGACCGGTTCACAACCAAGATTACTACTACGACGTCTTCAACACATGCGCCAAGTTCTCATGCAACATTGAGGGCTGGCACACCGAGTCAGGACCAGGTGTTTTCGAAGCCGCTTTGGAGTTTGGCGAGATCGCACAAATGGCCGATCGCGCTGCGCTGTTCAAGTACGTCGTCAAGAGCGTCAGCACAAAGTACGGCATCACACCTTGCTTCATGGCAAAGCCCAAACAAGGTCTTCCTGGAAACAGTGGGCACATGCACGTTTCCATCGTGGACAAGGAGGGAAAGAATCTCTTTGCGCGCGAGACAAAGGATGAGAACCCCAAGTGGAGAGATATTGCCAATCTTTCTGATATGGGTCGTCATTTCCTCGCTGGTATTCTTGTTGGTCTACCCGACATCATGCCCATTCTCGCACCAACGATCAACTCCTACAAGCGTCTGGTCGAGAACTTTTGGGCTCCTGTTACTGTCTCTTGGGGTCTTGAGCACCGCGCCGCTTCTATTCGTCTCATCTGCCCCAAGCCCTCAGCGACACGTTTCGAAGTCCGCGTTCCCGGCGCAGACACAAACCCCCATCTCGTCCTCGCCGCCATCCTAGGCTGCGGCTGGCGCGGTGTTGAGAAGAAGCTAGAGATTCCTACTCCCCCGCTCGCCATGGGTCAAGACGTCGGTGGTGATGCTGACCAAGGTGAGAGATTAGCCAAGAGTCTTAAGGAGGCTACAGTGCGATTCATGGCAAAGGATAGTATTGCGCGCGAGGTGTTTGGAGATGATTTCGTTGAGCACTTTGGTGGAACAAGAGAACATGAAGTGCGTCTGTTTGACGAGGCAGTAACTGATTGGTACGTACACACTTTTTTGACTGATGACACACGGCTGACAATGTTTAGGGAAATGAAGCGATACATTGAAACTGTTTAAGTTTAGGTTATTGGAGTTTGTTAGTTAATATTTTTGATGTACGGGTACACAGGGCGTACTTGTGGGCATTTGTATGCATGAAGTGAGCAAATGAAGTGGAATGAGATCTATGATAGAGTCATCTGGATGAATATACCTCGCAGCTTTGCTTTTGTAATTTGTGTCGATGCGGTAGTTATTTTGAGTCAACGTAGTAGTTGTGAGGTTTGCGTCGTGCTTCACCTTGTTCTTAGACATGATCGGGATGATTACGAATCATTTACTCATCGAATAAACCAATGATATGAAACAAACACGACATTATGGGAAATATTTACTATCATGATTGGACTACACCAAGCCGTTTGTAACGCTGGTTCATCCCATGATCAAGCCGGTACAAGTTTGTCGTGAACATGAAGCTATTGCCCCAGGGTAGCCCGTGACGTCTACTACTCTCCACCGACTTCGGCAGTAACAACAATCAACTTCTACTAAAAGACAAGAAACCCCCAAAGAAAGCTCACCAAAGCAAACCACGACCAATAAACCAAAATGTCTGTCTACGCTGCAGTAAATACTTCAACCGAGCCTCTAGTAAGCGATCGTCACTTATCATTCAAGAACATTGCTGACAAGCTTAGTCCAACGAAGATGCCCGCTGGGTCAGTCTCAAAAAGTACCATCACCCTCTATACGCTTTTCTACTTGACTAACAGTATAGAATCACATACAGTGATTCAAGAGGCGTCCAACGAACATGGGAATCCGCAGAACGTCTCACCCGTCCCAAAGACGCCCTCATAGACGGCGTCGGCATCGTCGCAATTCTCGACCACCGTCACGGCGCTGAAATCGTCTTACAGAAACAATACCGTCCCCCCGTAGACAAAGTCGTCATCGAAGTCCCCGCCGGATTAATCGACGAAGGCGAAACAGCAGAGGAATGCGCTGTGCGTGAACTACGAGAAGAAACAGGCTACGTTGGTGTGGTTACCGAGACATCACCCATCATGTTCAACGATCCTGGTTTTTGTAATACGAATTTAAAAATGGTGCATGTTAGTATTGATATGGACCTCAAAGAAAATCAGGATCCGAAGCCGAATCTTGAGGATGGGGAGTTTATTGAGACGTTTACGGTTAAGTTGAAGGATTTGTGGAAGGAGTGTGAGAGGTTGGAGATGGAGGGGCATGTTATTGATGCGAGGGTTGCTACTTTGGCAGAGGGCATTCTTCTTGCTCAGAGGTTCAAGCTCTAAGATGAAGATGTGTTGTCTGAAGACTCAGCTGGTAGAACCATGAGCTGCAATCGGCTCCAGGTTATTTATCTACGGATGGACTGAACACCATGAGAAAGAGAAACATGTAGGCCAAGTACAAGCCAATTGCCTTGTAATTACTGTATACAATACGTGGGTATCATCTGTACTATGTAGGTAGCACAATGAGAGAGATTTGATGAGCACCCCACTTAGTTGTTACTAAAGTAGCAAGGCCCTTTTCAGTGTCTCTACACCTCATCTTGTTTTTTGTTCCTCTCTTCCTTTTCTCTTTTCCTCCTCTATCTCTCTTAGCTGGATTTCTTTCCAACTCTTGTTGTTTCCCCCTCCAAATTCGTTGCGCGTGTTGCGAGAGAGCACCAGGACATTCGGATTCGAAAACGATACCATCAGCCACGAAGACAGCGATCGCCCGCCTCCGACCGATACTCTACGTTTACTTTACTCGAATGGAAACGGCCGGCCACTACCCCTTACAAATAGAAGAAGTTCAGTTACTCCAGGGATCATTGAGGGGATACACTCGCCGGATGAGTTGAGAGATTTCTGGTCGCATTCGCCGTTGAACATTGAGTTGGGCAACGGGAGCCCTTCGTCCAAACTGGCTTGGGTCGAGCTACCGCGATCGCCCACCCGATGACTCTTTGATATGGGGTCGAGGCTGTGTTGCTACAGATTGGGGTTGCACTGTTCAGCACTCATCCGTCTAATATTGCTGAACCTGTGGTCATATCATTGCAAGTGCATTGATATCGCATCGCCGCCCTGTGTTTTGAGATTACAGTTCTACCAAGGGTAGCTAACTGTAAAGTTCAGACAAGCCTTCCAACAAAACCTACCCCAAGTTGGTGTAGTAGTCAGCACATCCGAAAGTCACAGGTGGGACGAGTAGTCCATTTGCCCTTCGGGGGGCAGAAGACTCAGGTTCAAATCCCGAACTTAGGGATATTCTTTTTGAAGTTTATCTCTCTGTAGCTATAAGATAGCGATAACATAGTATATCTCCTGATAAACTCCGGACAAGAGCCTGAGTTGGTGTAGTGGTTAGCATATCCAGTGGTACGGGTGGGCAGAGCGTTATAGCAAACCTACTTGCCTTCGGGGGGGAAGACTCTGGTTCAAATCCCGAACTCAGGGAATATCTTTTTTAAATTCATTAATATGTCTTTCTTTGTATAACTGTGCAAAGTGTTGAATTAGTTGTTATTAAATAAATTATGCTTTTGAACTTGCTGTTTGACGACCCCTCGTGACGATACTGCATGTCCCAGGCCTTCCTTTACGTCATCAAACATTGTCTCACAAACATCCTCTCACTCACTCACTCACTCACCCTTTGAACCACCAACTCTAAACTACCTACCTACAAGCAAAAAAGAATGCGACTTATCGCCAACATTTGCAAAAACCCACGCTTTTTACTCACAGCAACTTGTCTTGTCCCATCATCCTTCACACGCACAATGACAACCTCCCTCAAAAGCCAAAACATCCAACTCAACCTCCCCGATGGGTTATCAGAAGATCAATTAAGCTCCTTTAGACCATTCAATGTAATCCACCAACCCTCATTCCATATAAACAACCACTTACGGTATTACTAGAACTGGGTCGACACGTTGTCAAACTCCCTCCGTCTCCAATCCACACCATCTCACCCATTCCACAAGGACCCCTACGCTCTACGCTCAGTAACAATCCAATCCTTCGACCTTTTTGGAAAACGCCTCGGTTTTGTTAAACTCACAGCTACCGTTTCCAACGAGGCAGGCGAAACTCTCCCTGCCGCCGCACTTCTTCGAGGGCCAAGCGTAGCTATGCTCTTCATGCTCATCCCCGACGACGCACCAGAAGAGCGCTACGTCGTACTAACAGTGCAGCCGCGCGTTCCAGCAGGAAGTTTAAGTTTCGTTGAGCTTCCAGCGGGTATGGTTGATGACGCTGGTAGTTTTAAAGGCGCAGCTGCGCAGGAGATACAGGAAGAATTAGGCGTCACGATTCATGAGGATGAACTTACAAATCTAAGTGAACTTACTGGTCCGGAAGAAAATGGTTCGGAGGGTCTTGCGCAGGCCATGTTTCCCAGCGCTGGAGGATGTGATGAGCATATTACTATCTTCAGCTACGAAAAGCGTCTGCCGAGAGACAAGATTCAAGAGTGGAGTGGTAGACTTACAGGGTTGAGGGAGCATGGGGAGAAGATCACGTTAAAGGTCGTGCCGATGAAGGAAGCGTGGAGGGAGGGGGCGAGAGATGCGAAATGTTTGGCTGCGTTGGCTCTTTGGAGGGGATTGAAGGATGATGGTAAGCTGTGATTCTGACTCTGAATGATGAGATCTCAAAAGACATCTTGTAACTGTAGATATCAAGAAACGAGGGTATCTAACTCTGTATCCGCTCAGCGGTTACTACCATGCCACATCTTCCATCCTTAATGATATGCGATCCCGACCCTTCCCTATGTCCCATATTATGTATAGTAATCCCATTCTCACGTATTTGTCCCAAGTCCTCCCTTTTAGCATGGGCGCCGTCAAATGATCCTGAAACTCCGGTATATGCACGCTCCCTTTCTTCCTCTCTCTCTGTGTTTCTGGTGTCTGTATTATATGTGCTTGCCATTGCCCATTCCTTTCCGAGCGGTGACAAATGTTCTGTAAAGCATGTTAGTCAAGCAACTGCCATCCAGGCTATCACGAAACTTACACTTTGGCCAAACTGCGTAGCATGGGATCTTGCATCTCGCCTTTGACACGATCAAGTAAAGTCCTTGTAGCTTTCTCTTCCCAACCTCCCATCCCAAATAATCTCAACGTCCAATTCTCTATTCCTAGTATTCCACATTAGTACACATTCTTTTTCACGTTTCTGACTGACTGTTGGACATACCGCACTCCACCATCTCGGCCAAAGCTTTGCGCTTCTGCTGTGTGACAGGATCACTTCCCCAATTCTGTATAGGAAGCCAATCGACCCGCTCACAAATAACCTCTGCGCCCAATCCCGACAATCTCCCTGGAACTCTCGGTATAGGATCACAATCTATACCAAGCATGTGGCTAATCTCCTCAAAGTTCCTCTCATATTCTATACACGCCGAGCCGATCTCAGGCTTTCTATCCTCTGTGCAAGGCAAGTCTGCTTGTTCGGGATCGACGTCGAAAAAATGCGGTCGAATCTCTGTAACCTCCAACTGACCCCCAGGCTTGAGATGTTCATACGCTTCAGCGAGTAGAGAATTCCAATCGCGAACGCCTCCGCCTGCAAGACTGCGCATGTGGATAAAATCGTAGGTGCGTGCGGGCCAGGGATCCGTAGCGTCGGCGATCTCAAACGTCACGTTTGGCGGGACATCCTCTGGGAGCAAGGCGCTGCTTAGATCGATGCCCAGAATGTTAACCTGCGGGTATCGCTTCGCCATATCGCAAGCCCAAACACCACTTCCAGCGCCAATGTCTAGAATCTCAAAGGGTTCTTGAGGTGTGTACTGCTCGAGAGGGAGCTTCGCATCGACAAGACCGCCGTCGAGACATAATTGGTAGAGCTCGTGCTGAATATTCAAACGATGGGCTTCAGAGGCGTCGTTAGGGGTGAGGAGTTGGCCGGTGCCGTGATATGTGTGTCCGTACTCGTAGATAAGGGGAAGAGCTTCTTCGGATATCGTCGAGTAATTCGAGGTTGTATCGCTAAAGTCTGAGTCTTGTTCGTCTTGGGAAGAAGAGGCATGTTCGACGGGAAGCCGTTTGATGGTATCGTCTTGTTTCGCCATATCGTCGTCCGCTAGGTTCGAGTTTGAGGATGGTGCAGACGTAGAAGAGTCGGTGATTGTATTTCGAGTATCTCGCTTGAATTGGGAGGAGAGATCGACAAGGGGGCACGGCGAACGGACGTAGAGAACAAGCGAGTCTCGTGGCAGTGGAGTCTTTATCGTGTAGTCGTATGTGTATCTGTATATATATACGTGAAGAAGCGAATTGTATCGATATCGAAGAGAGTAATTATTCGGAATCCATGAGGAATTGGGGAAGATGACGAAGAGGAGGGGCGATTAATTATTGACGACGACGACCAAGAGAAACATCCATAGCCAAAAAGAAACCAGAAAGAATAAATAAAAGAGGGAATAAAGAAAAAGAAAAAGGAGAAAAGAGACGACGGAATTAGAATTGGATAAAATGGTCAAGTTACAGTAAACAGCAAGAAAGTGGAGGAAGCTAAAGAACAATGGTAGTAGGGGAAGGAAAATAATAGGCCCCAAGGTTCAAGGTTCAGGGTCCATAGCTGTCGGTTGGTGATGATTAGCAACAAACTTACCTTTACTAGATTAATACCTTAGTAGTCATGTATTGTCAGTCAAAGAATGGAAAGTAAAGCTTCCAAATACTTTGTTCTCCGCCTTTATCTGTCAGCTTCCAACTTGACGTTCCTGTCAAACTAAACAAGCGTGATTCCATTTCATCTGATCTCTATTCTAATCTCTACACTAAAACTAGAGGGTCAGTGCTAAAGGGACCTAATTCCTTCAGCCTATCACTTCCGAATTAATGATAAGATCTACCAACTGTGAACATGATATGATCATGATCACAAGCACGTATACATCAAAGCTGAGACTCAGACTCTTATCAATTCTCTAAGCGAAGTCTCATTTGCAACTGTGATACTACTACTACCTCTACGGAGACTATCTCGAAAGAAACAAACCCTGATCCATGTCCGGCCTCTCTTTTCCGCCCTGTTCCTATGTCATTTTCTTCTTCTTTTCACTGGCTATCCATCTACAACCTCACTATCCATATCTATGTCAATATAATCCACAGTATCTCCTTAAATACCGCGTAATTTTACCTATTCCCCTCTGTTAGCGGATCTATGCTTCCATGTATGACCTCCACAGCTCACGTCACGTCACTAAAAAGGCCGTCTAGTGAGTAACCAAACCCTTGTTCCCCGGGTGGAAACTCTCGTTGTTTTTTTTTTCCTCGTGGCCCCCTTGTTATATTAACCAGCATATCTGTTCTAGACCCTTTTTCGCATTCGCCTCACGAAACATAACAATTCCAAATCTTGATATTCACACTTGAGCGTCATTATATACATACCTCTAACACAAGAGTATATTACTAATTAATCGTTGTCTCTTTAAATCTCCAGCAAAATAAAAACACCAAGACATACACATACTTCATTGTCCAAGGTACCTTGATCATGCACGTCACATCACAATCCTTCCATCACCAAAATACCCATGTCGACATTGCGGCGCAGCGCGCAGCGGAACGGCGCGCAAAACGACGAACCCAAAAAACACCTGGGAAAAAGTCTCGTTTTATGACATGATCTGTCATGTTTTTTCTTATAATTAAATGGCATGCATGAAGCTACACTCTCTCGAGACAAGTAAAATCCTTGGCTCAGACCAAAGTTGCATGCTGGCCACGTTCGAATGCCTGGTGAGAATATTGATTGACATGAGACCAAAAAAAAGTATTGATGCTATTCCACACACTAAAAAAAAAGTCCTACAAAAACAAGTAAAGGGACAGAAAATTTGGTAGAAAAAGCAAGCTGACAGGCTAACAACGCCGATGCTATGACACAACTGACAAGGCCAGACATAGCATAATAGCTCGCCTTGTAATGCTGCATTGTCTTTGAAACTGACTCTTTTTGAGCCCACAATCGCCGCCCGTCCCAAAATTTCCCCATGCAATACTGACTGACTTGATTTGGTCCCATCCATTATCAAAAAGTAATTCCCTTCTCATTTCCCTTGTAAAAGAAGAAAGAGAGAAAAAGAAGGCCCTGTAAAAAGAAGTAGAAGAGCCGCTTCGTGGTATCCCACCTCTCATTCATTTCACCGGGTACTCACTTCTCCCTACTATCCCAAAGTAAAATAAAATAAAAACGCGTACAAAACAGACTCGCCGCCATTTCATTATGCCTGATCCATTACCGATGCAGAAGAGAAAAGAAAAAGAGAAAAAAGAAAGAAAAAGACCATCATATGAATGACGCCCGGTTCTCCAAGCTCTGCAAGCAACATGTGCTCTGTACCGGCTGGCTTTTGTCGACTGAACTTCCAGTCTAAATGTTGTCACCTGAATGAAAAGAAAAAGAAGAAAAAAAGGCTATCGTCGAATCGTATCCAGGCTATCAGTTTCTAACAAAAACCGACGCCATCTCGTGAAAACATGTAGTGTAGTTAAAACGTCTCCTTCTTCGGTCTACGTTTACTTCCGACTCTACCATCCGTGTGCTCGTCGTCGGGATTCCATTCTTCGGGGTGAAAGTTGGGATTACAGTAATGCGCTCTGTTCCAAATACTGTTCTTAAACGTATTGGTCGTCACTTGGAATGTTGAATCAGGGAAGCTGTTTTTGCCTTCGTCGTACTCCAATTGAACAGGGCTGAATCGGATGTGATAGTTGGAAGCAGCGGTTCGCAAAGGAAGAGAGTTTTGAGGGCCAGTGGCAGAAACCATGGCTGGACTTGGTGCCATTGCGGAACTGCCGGATATCGAAGCGGGTGGTGTAGGAGGTTGAGGACTCGCCATGATGGGAGGTGGCGGAGGGGGTGCTGCTCGTGGTGTCGGCGTGGGCAAAGGTTCGGGGAAGGACGATATCCAGGGGCTTTGCTGTATAGGCGAAAAGGATTCTGCGGCGCTGGCAGGAGGAGGTGGTGCGAATTGTGCTAGTCCTCCCATAGCAGCAGAACTGCTGAAGCCTGGGATGATGGACAAGGCATCAAAGTTCATAGTGGTGTATTGACCAAGATCGGCTTGATCGGTCGTGATGTTGGTATTGTGCGTAAAGCCACTGACGCGAAGCACCTGGGTGGTCATGGACTTGTACAGAACGTCGTAGTGGCCGGGTCGGTAGAGTAAGTAGATGATGGGGCCCAAGTCGGCCTCGTTCTGCCCGTTAGCTTCTTCGGGCCAGCGATAGTGGTTTACTTCGCTGCCCATGCTGCGGTCGAGCATGGCAACCTCGAGAACAAAACCGGCAGGCTTAAGAAGGATCTGAACGAGTGCAGAGACACCGATCTCTTCAATCTCACGGTTGGGAATGTCGATCTGCTGGGCACAATAGCCCGCCACGCCGCTGCCGTCGGTAACAAAAGGTTCAAACGTAGTAGGATCGTTCTTGATAAAGGTTCCGACGAGAAGACGAAGGTAGTAAATCATGCTGTCCGAAGTTCCAGGCTCGTTCCACTTTTCGTGGTTCAACTGATGGGCGTACTGAGGGTTGGAAACATTCTGGGCGACTTCTCTCAAATGATCCAACATCTCCTCTGCCATTTCTTCCCAGTATGGGTAGTTCCCCACGGTGGTCAGCAAAGGATTCATACTCATGAGACGAGCGACCTCGCCCTCGATCTTGGCCTGGTCGCCCGACTCAATGAGCTTCTCGAAATAGCTGAAGCCAATTGCTATTGGAGAGAAATATTAGCGCAAGTTTTGACATGTCACAAGGGCTGCCGAGACATGGACCAGCGCTGCAATGCAAGCCAGGCAAAAACAAAAGCAAGGCAAGCATTGGGGGGTGGTAGAACATGTTTCAAAGCGGCAGAGCAATGTTGAACAAGAAGCGGGGAGTTTGGGCTGACTTACCTCTCCAACCACAGTTGCCGTCGCCCAGGATAGGACGATAGTGAGAGTAGGTCTGGGGGAGGGCCTGGGGGATCATGCGACGTTAGAATCTCAAAAAAGCAACGAGAGGCAAAACAACATACGATTGTCTTTTCAACGTAAACAGGGTCGGCCTTTGCGTACTCGTTGGTAATGACATCGCTGAGGATTTTGTTTCCAACTTTGAGGCCCTGAGAGACAAAAAAAAAAGGTCAGTGACGAAACATAAAATGACGCGCAAGGTACTGCACAGCTGTGATTTGAGGCTGGGAGTCGCGATTTACCTCTAAAACAGGCTGATAATGACGAGCAGCATCTTGCTGAGCTGCCATGCCGTGCTGGCCTTGATCCTCCATCTTGAGCACCACCTGTGTTGGATATTGCTGCTGCGGTTGGCGGTGTTGGTGTTGAAGGTGATGATTCTGGAGTTGCGCTAAACTTGGAGAGGAAGAAGGGTTTGAGTTTGAGCTTGAAGTTTGCGAAGAGACGGAGGTCGAAGTAGAGTTGGCGTAGGGCAATGAAGCAGAAGGTGCGGCTGAGGAGGAAGAAATTTGATGTTGCCGAGGAGAAATGTGTTGCTGGTGAACAAGATGCTGCTGCGGCTGCGGCTGGGGCGGCTGCTGCTGATGTTGGTTTGGGTGCGAATGTGATTGTTGTTGTGGTTGATGAGTGTGAGATAGCGATTGCGATTGGAGCTGAGAATGCGACGACTGTGATGGCGCTGAAGGGTTGTAATATCCAGTAGTGGCAGTAGCACTATTAGCAGCAGTACCTCCACCTCCAGCAGACACGGGAAAGGCAAAGTCCAAGTTGGAAGCTAGGCCATATGACGCGAAGCTGGAGGAGGTAAAAGGCGTTGGTTGAGGCTGAAACATGCCTCTTGAAAAAGAAAGATGACGAAGAAGAAGTGGAGGAGTAGAAAGTAACAAGGAATGAGTTGAGTAGAGTAGTGATCAAAATCAAGGCAATGGAGTGGTGGGATGGGATGGAACGAGAATGGCAAGAAAATGGTCCCTCTTCTTACTAGGATGGGCTGCCTATCACTGTCTGTCACTCTCTGTGCTATCCGTATATGTCTGTCTCTGTCTCTCTGTTACTGTAGGATGGAGAGAAAGTAGAAATGGGATTGGAAGATGAGACACACAACCCAATGACAAAAGAATGGGAGGATGGCGTTTTTAGGTGAGCTTCCAGGGCAGGCAACGGCGGACGAGCCACCCGTCTGATACTGCTATGCTATCTCACGCTGTAAATGCCCTGTCACGACGGTGGATCAACCAAACGGACACCGACTTCCCCCCTCTCTTGCTCTACTCCCCCTCCCCTTCGGGTGCTGGCCGTGACCATGACTGTGGCCGTTCAGGTCAAACTGTCTCTCCAATGGGGCCCCGGGGGGTCACTGCAGGGATTTATGACAAGGGTTTTCTATGGTCCAGCTGGCAGGGATAGATCAAACTGAATCTCTCTACTGGCACTGGAGACAGCGGGTGTGGCTCCCCGTGGGTAATTTCTAGTGTCGGGGATCATGAGTACACATCTTTTTGCGGGCGTGCTTTTGTTATGCGAGAAGATAATCAACAGCTAAACGGAAGCTGTACCCTACGCGAGAGATTCACAGTGAAAGCAGATAATAGAGGTAATCCTTGATACTGGGGCGGAGTGAGGGGAAGATACCCGCGGGTGAAAAAAGACGGGACGGCGGCGGGGCTTTGCGTGTCTTGTATTTAACTCAACTTGCGGCACGGTTTAATAAACCATACGAAAGACAACCCGAGACGAGATGAGACAAAAAGAAATGATACTACAAGTGTTTGATCGTCAAAAAGAAAGTATGGTTTAAACGCTAAAAAAAGAAAATCCCCGGCAAGTTAATATTGCCCAATGCAACCTGGCAAATGCAGGACGGGAGTAAAAACGACTATCTCGAAAGCTCCGTCTTTTTCAATCAACCACGGATTGGATGGCTAGTGACGGATAAGAATGTGTGGTGACACGAGATGGTTTCGTGCATGTAGTACAGAGTAGAGGAGTATACAAGAGGGGTGTTTTAATCAGTATACTCCTGAATGAATGAATGAATGAATGAAAGCCTGAGATAACAATACAGAAACCAACAATTAGCTCAAATGTCATCAATGTCAGCATTGCATCTTCTAGACCCGAGGCACAGAAAGAGAGGACATGTTCTCGACGCAGTCCATGTGCTAGACAGGGCAAGGTACCACATCCCCCCATCCCCCATCTCCATCCCACCTCGTGGCAGGCACGCTCTCATCTTGGCAAATCTTTTTAATCTTTTGGCTAACGTTAGGCGGAGGAGAACGGGCGTCAGTGATGTGATGATCGCTACAAAGTGGACCAGTTACTCCACAAGCAAAAACAGGGATTGGTCCAAAAGACGTTGGCTGATTGTGCCTTGAAGTTTGTTTAATAGAAAATGACGATCTCCCGTTGAACCATGGACCTGTCACGGATTTACTACTGTCTTTCGATCGATGATGATGAATTGATACCTGCGGCACAGAAAGGAGCTGAGCGGGGGAAAAACATCTACAACAGATACGACATAAGAAGCGGCTGTAGTGGAGGTAGAGCATCAAGATCGATTCGCCAGGGTCCGACGACTAATGGATTAATGGGTGTGGAATGTTTGACTAAGTAAGAAAAGAGGCTAAAATAAATAGACAGACAAAGCACACGGCAGGAAGCAATAGCCAATCGCTAGAGGTAATTACTACGGCAATAACTAATAACTAAAAGGGAATCAAGATCGCGTAAGATGGGTTGTCTGTAAGTTGATACGACCAGGAACGAGAAGCAGGCCATAGCGTCTAGATAGGAGGGTCACAAAGATTGCATAACTCTAGACATATTTCATAAAGCAGTTACTGTTTTATTTATTAATGCACAAGTTTAACTGTAACGTAACCCATCCGACGGTAAAGCATTGCACCGCTTTAGTTTGAGAATACAATTGGTACATCTCCTGTCATCACCTCTAGATTGACATGACTAGTCTAAATCACATCCACAGCGATCTCGTCGATGGAGTTTCCCGCCTACCAAGTGGGGAACTTCTAAAACACATCTAAAGATGCCAAGACGCTGGTCACTTAAACCCGTTGTTCCCCGGGAACCACATCGTGTAGTAGTCAAGGTAACATTTATTCCTCTAGCGAGTTTGTATTGATTGCCGTAGGCAAAGCGAATGATACGATTATTTGAGTCCTTCCTTCGTTTGCTTTAGTTACAGTGTCTGTCAGTACATGTATGTAGATGTTGTACATGTTGTATCTTGTCATTACAGTACCTATCGGAAGACGGCCCGTTGACGGGAACTTGTGGATAAATGCTCCGTAATATTTTAAACTCAAAAAAACAAACAACATACGAGGGATAAAAAAAAAACTCTAAAAAAAAAACCAACCGTTTGAATGCAAGGAACTTGAGTTGTTTTATTTTTACATACTGTACATACATCTTGTGGCAATGAATAAATGGGTAGTGTATGGACCCCTGCTTGTAAACTGTCTTGGCAAGTGAAGAACATGAAGCGGGTGGGTGACTGTCAACTAAACCAAGACAAGACAAGACTTGAGTTATGTTGCAGACAAGACTTTTAGATAGTCATGTCAGGGCCCTTTTATCAATTGATTAATTAATTACCACGCCTTGTCCGTCAAGCCATGTCTTTTACGAAGAAAAGACGCCATCTTAAAAACCGTTACCCCTCTATGAGGGTACAGCAAACAAAAAACGACAGCTTCTAAAGCCTGCTGTGTCACACACCAAAAAGCAATCGATCGATTATTGGGTAGTATGTTTTTCTTCTTGACAACGTGGGAATGTAAACAATTATTCCCTCCTCCCATTACTCCTTGGTATGTACCTACTCTGTATTGCTGCTGTGCTGTGCCGTTTATTCGGCTGACATGTTCCGTTCCCTGCGAGGATCTTTTTTCTTCTTCTTCGTACCTGAATAATATCCCCATCAATCAACCCACCTTGTTTAATGTAGGTATGAGCTGTACAGTAACAATGACGACCCCGGCAATTGCAAAAGCTGAAATGGATCTCGGTATCATATGATAAACGGAACGTTCTTCCGTCAGTCCATTTTATTTAGTCTCAGCTGTCACACACACACACACACAGAATGACAATAAGCCAGCCACGATCTAAGACTACGTACCACACATGCATACGCAGGTAGTCAGGTATTATTTTATATCATTGCGATAATAACAAGTCATAAAATACACGAACGAAGAAAAAGCAAATTCTCTCTTCTGCGCATCATGTCTCATCCAACACCGGGTTCACGGGAATTGTAACACCCTTTATATCTCAACCCTGCGAAAGCAATACTTGGAACACATGCTGTAGTCTTCAATTGCACCTTGGCACACTCTCTCAGCTGTAAATTTACATTCCATAATAAACTACCCGCACTTCTTCCCTTCTACAGCCACTACACAGAATCATTTCATTCATTCATTGTATGCAACACTAACCACCCCCTCGCATCACTTAATCTGCACCTCTCGCAAGGTCATCCCTTGGGGGAAAGAAAAAATATCCGCCACCAACAAACAGTCAAGTCAAAAATGACATGTCAAAGCTCCATCATTCAAAGCCTGGCTACTAATCTATCCGCATGTCAGCCTATTTACCTACAGTAGCATAGCATCAACCAACTAGTCTACCTCTCTGTACGAGTTCACAATACCCTCGTATATCACCTCATAACAGAATTTACACTCTATCTTTGATCGTACACCATATGACGACTTCATTTCCCAGTTTCCATCTAAATAGCTCCCCAATTCTACAACTTCCAACATCTTCGATGCAGCCTCCCGCCAAGATCCAGCATCATACGTTGCCTACCTACATTTGGATCAAGTAGTGCCATGACTATTTCCTCATAGCTGCCGACAGAAAGATCATCATCCCCTTGCTCTTCTCTGTTACACACACACACTCACTCTCAGTAATAATAAAAAAGAACAGGCCAAGGTGTCAGCCGCATTCTGCCCCTCCCCCATGTAATGCCGCTTTACCCCTCGCAGCTCCAAGTCCCGTCTTGTGTAACCCGACGACGTTGCATCAACCATGCCTCTAACCAACGATGATGGCGTCAAAAGGGGGGGGGGNGGGGGGGGGGGGGGGGGGGGGGCAATAGATCAGCGGGTTACAATTTCCAAGAAGTAAATGAATCGCCAGACAGTACAAAATCTGCATCAATGACAACCGGGGGGGAATGACAACGGGGGCAAATCTGCATCGCCAACCAAATACGCTTCTGTATTAGGCATTTCGTACTATATAGTATATCTAGATGGTAAAAATAAAAAAACACATTACTCGTCAGACAGCTAGCTACACGAAGAAAAAAAGCAGGGGACCAAATCCGAATACGGCGTCACTTCGGTCTTGAGTTCCCTCTTTCTCCTTTACTCTCTCATGCTTTTTTTCCTCTACTTAAAAAAAAAAACAACTGGTTGATGCTGTTACCCGCGATGAACCGTTGCAAAAAGCCTCGTACTATGCGAGATCCCGTCGACGCATGCCCAAACACGGAGGCGCCCGCAGGAGAGAACAGACAGAATCTGCTTCTTTTCTCGATCCAGCAAAAAAGGACAGATTCGACAAACACGGACGGGAAAACGATTTGCGGATACCACCCGGTTGTTGTTTCTGCTTCACTAGTGATACACCCTTCAAGCCCAAGCCGTTGCGGCAGCTGCCTTGCCCTTCTTCCCGCGGTGTTGACCTCCCAGCCTGCTGCCTCCCTTTCCAAGTGGCATACCTGAAACGTCTATGTTTTGTTCATCTACAACTGAATTCTCAATATTGCGGAACCCGTCGCCGTCTCTAAAAACAGCACCAAATAGTTCAGAAATAGAAGTCGTGAGTCCTTGGAGAGCAGCGATGCGCTCGGCATCTGCATCAGATGTAATCTCCAAGAGTCCCTCTTGCTGATTGATTCGACCGTTGATCTTGCCACAGATGATGAGGAAACCGAGAATGTCTTGGACCTCGGGTTCGGAAATCTTGAGCTGCTTGGCGATCCACGACAGCTTCATGCGGGTGTAGGGTGCAATAAGTTTGACCACGCCCTTGGTTCGCATGTTTCGCGTGACTTCATCAATGTTTTCGGCGATAAACGAGTCGTCTAAAATGTCCTGGTTACGCTGCAGGACTTTTTCGTACATGTGAACATCATCCCGTTGATAAGCGTCTACCAAGTCCGTCATGGCGGAAATTCGAGGGTCTGTCTTATAAGGTTTGGTCTCTTGGGAGTCGAATGGGTTGATGTCGGACTTCATGAGCATGGTGGTCAACAAGAGGTATTTCAGAACCTGAATTCGCTGTAGAGAACCGGCTTCGTCGTAGTTTCGGAATGATTCGAAAAAGTCGCTTTGGGCTTCTTTCCAGTTCTCTTCGCTCATGTGCATCTTTCCACCGCACTCTCGAATGATACCCATGATTCGAGGATGTGGCACGGCAGATTTGACCTTGAGGGCGCGCTGGTACAGAGCCTTCAGCTGTTTGTTATTCTTGGTCTCGGCGAACATCTGGATCTCGAGGGCGTAGATCTCGAGCGAGTATGTACCCTTGCTGGGATCGTCGGTACCGTCTTCTCGTTGGCAGGTCTTGTGTAGTTCTCGAAGTTTCTTGGAGACGGCCGTGTACTCCTTTCGGTCTAGGAGTAGCTTCGCTAGCTTAATGTTGGTCTTGAGCCATAGTCGCTCGTTGTTTGTGCTCTGAAAGCTCTGTAGTGTAAGGGAATAGAATTGTTCCATGCACTTGACAGCCTCGGGACCGTCTGCGCCCTTCTCGATGTAGTCGAGCATGTTGTTGATGGACTTTTCGGAATAGTTCCGCGTAACGGCCGACTTGACGTATGTGAGGAGTTCGGCGTAGTGTTCAGCAGCCTACTCTGTCAGCTTGATTCCCGCGCAAAGTGTTGGACGACCAACCTTGTCATATTGTCCCAGCTTAAACTCAAGTTTTATGGCCTGCTTTATACCTTTAAAGCCCCATTCTCCCTTCTCGTCTTCGAGTGGCGGAATGCCTAGGAATTCGGAGATCGCATCTTCTGGGTCGGACAGCTTGAGCTGCTTGGCGTTGTAGTACTTGTTCTCGATATCGACGTCGCCGGTATCTTCGTCGTCGTCTTCTTCGTACTCGAAATCGTACCTATCGCAATCAGTACGGGTGCTGTGCTTGGACTGGGGTTGCGTACTGCTCCTCATCGGATTCTTGCATAAAATCCTCGTCGTCCGACATGGTGAATAGAGTGTGATCAAGGTATTAAAAAGTGAGCGCTTGGTATTTCGCGATACAGTAGGGACGGCGAGACTAGAAGGAGGGCGGAACAAAGGAGGTGGACTGGATTGAATGTTTAATGAATGATGATTGTTGGTTAGAGGTTCCAGAAGCTGATGTGGAGCAGGCAGCCGCGGGGCTTATCGATAAGAGAGCTAACAGCGGAAGTCGAATCAGTGATAAAGCACAAAGATGCATCTACAACTCACTCATTGCTAAATTAATTAAACTTATTTATATAATATCAGAGTATAATGTCTAGAGATGGAAATTTCATATCTATAGGCGAAAAGGCTTAACTCAGCCAGCATGAGCTTGAGCAATGCCAGACGAAGGAAGCCTCACAGCAAAAAGCATAATAGTTGTCATCACAGCCAACATACCAGTAACAACAAATGGCAATCCCATCCAAGAATCACCCAATTCAATACCCTTGGCCAAGAGCCAGCTCATAGCCGGCGCAGTCATACCCATCAACACTTCAACAACTGAAACAGTAGTGTTTAGTGTGGCAATAGTATGCGGTTCAACTAGAGCGTTGAGCAGGGCTCTGCTGAGAGCGACAAACGAATTGCCGACACTGGTTGTTATGAGGGAAATGATGAAAAGCCATGGACTTCCAGCTACGCCCATCAAGAGTAACCCGACTGTCATGATTGCGATGGAAACACGGGCAAGTAGGAGATCTCGTGCAATAGGACGTGACTTGTAGCGATGAGACTTGTTGAGAGAATCGGATGTGACTGGTAAGATGATGAGGTAGCACACCACTGTAGCAATGATGCCGATCGTCGATATGTATGTAGCCTATCCCAGTTAGTGGTTTACATCAGAGAATTCGCAAGTGGCTTACCTTTGACCATGACCAGTCAAATCGCTTCGACATGTACTGCAGCATCACTCCCGTAAGTGTGATCCTCGTCGGAACAAACAAAGCAACAGAAAACATGAGCATCATGATACTCTTTGAAGCAAAGATGAACCTCCAGACATGCTGCATATCGTTCTTGATGCTGAACCAAGCCTGCTTTAGCACGCCATTCTTGCTCAGAGGGACACCGCCAGCCTGGTCGTTCTCATCATGTCTCTCATCATCATCCTTGCGTCTCAAGTGCATCGTCTCGGGGATGAGAAGAATGCACAGCGTTCCAAAGACCATGAAGCCAAAGCCAATCCACATGGATAGCCAAGGGTCGTACTCCATCAACCATGCGGATATGGGGTTGAAGATGACGTTAAAGACGAGGACTAGGGCGACCAGACGAAAGAACATGTCTGTTCGTTCAGCGACGGGGACAACGTCTGCTACGATGGTGTAAACCATTGCAACAGCCATTTGACCTCCGCCACCAATGAGAAAGAAGACGCTGTCGCCTAGAATAGCCCATATGGAAAAGATGTCTGGAAAGAGTACTAAAGTCCTGTCAGCGCATATCATAAGTCGCGATAAGTGTCTACTCACAAACCATCAAGAGCCAGCAGGTAGAAAGACAACATCCAAGCATGGCCAAGAACAAAACAAGTCGTCTTCCATACTTATCAGCAACAATACCATACGGAAACTGCGTCAAGATTGCTACAAATGTAAGCCGAGGTTCATCAGGAGGGATGTCTTAACTTACGAACTCCCATCTCAAATGCCTGAGCCCAACCCTGAACCATAGCCAGAGTCTTTTGCACGGGACTATCCTTGCAGCGTTGGTCCTCTATCCAATAAGATTTAATAGCATGGTCTGGATAATGCTGGCGACAAATAATATCCTCAATAATCTTTTTGGTAGGTGGATTCATGATGAATTGGCTGACTTCTACCATGAGCAATGCCAACATGCACATCCCCAAAGCGCGTCGTCTAAATGCTTTTGATGGTCCATCTTGCTGAGGAGAAGTATTCTGTAAAAGGGGTGATTCTTCTGATGCGACTTGAGTCTCGGGATCTATGTCGACATTGTCGTCTGGCTTAATTCGCGTCGCCATGGTAAAGTAAGTAGAAACGCGTAGGAAATGAATGTTGTCGCGATAATTAAAGATCGCGAGTTGAAACAACTATATTATATCATTATAATGACAGGAATTATGACGATGATGATGGATGAAAAGAACAGACGCAATCAAGCGTCGTCTTCTGGTTGTTGTCCTGGAACTTTTGCGACAAATCTTTGGAAGCGGATTGGTCGAGAACGCGGTGACGTCTCGAAATGCCTGTATTTCTTGCTTTTGCTTACGGGACGATTACTCCGCCTTATCTTTTAGTTTTGGTCATATTATGCCAGACACGCAAGCAACACCACGTACTGCTGACGAAGAATAGATCTCTATCGAATAGAACTTGACTTTTATGTTTAAGCTTCTTGACTTGTTGAGCCTGTCAAGTTGATGGCGACGTATGCTTATCCTCTTTTCCCCAGATCTCACCAACACTAGACACGCTACTCTAGTTAGTGTGTGGATATGACATTCAACTCTTCTACAAGATTGAAGCTTGAATCGGCGATCCATATAATAAACTAAAAAATTACCGTTATTCTCGGACCGGACCGGAGTCTTGGAGATACCGGATCGGGCCCGACTCGGCCGGTTCATTTACTTGGTAGGACTTGGACAGTTACACACACAATATTTGGAGTGATCCCATTTAGAGAATGACGTAGAGACAAGACATGCTGTTTAGGGATTGCGTCAAAACATCGACTACAGAGAAATGGAGGCTAACCTTTTCGGACAGTGTTATGGTATTGGAAGCAGGTTCAAAAATGATAGACAAGCTCATCAAGAGGACGATGCAATCATTTCATCCCGGACACCATTTAAGCAAAAAATATCGGGGATAACAGTAGTCGCAGAGACCAGAAGACTTGACACAAAGGTTCTTGGATAGTACAGACGTCCAGTCTTGATCTCCTTTCCTCTCAAGCATCGCAAAGTCCAGGCATTCAAGCCTACCGTCCCAGCAAGAGTGATTGTGAACACTGGCCCTTTCGAGCTATCACTACTCGACCGACTGGAAATCTTTACCCAGACCGTTCCTGCACATGTGATGTGGCTGTTCCTCTACAAATGCTTGGCGTTGCAGTATTCAATTGATCTCCAGTAATCTTCTCAACATAGAGTCATGAAAATATATTTGGCATCATGAATGGAGCCCTGGGCTAAAAGATCGAGTCTGGCATAGTGGCTCTTTACCGCTAGCACAGCCCCAAGGAGCAGCACCTTGGCAAGACATGGATTTAATTCCTACAGACCACCTAGATTCTTGAACAAAGTGCCTTGCAGGGCTGATGAGCCAAGCAGAACTGCTACAAAGAACAATGCCAAGCTCCGTCACCGTTACATTCAGGAGTAAATCGGCCGCCCAACTATAAGCTCGTGGGTCCGCCGCCATGAGTTTAATTTCCTGCCGCGACAAGGTATCGGATCCCTCGAGCCTGATCACACCTATGGCGTCGAGTTTTGCGCGGCAGGAATTCATTTTATTTTGTCTGTGTTATGGGACTTTGGTGCTGAACCTTGGAATTAACGTATATGGGTCAATCGGATCAGAGGACTCCATACTCTGGAGTCGTATTCTACAGGGGAGCAATGGCGAGGAAAGAAGATCATGGACATATATAAAGTTAACTGATGGTCCATTTGAGAATAACTTCACTCACCATCAACTCACGCATCAATCTTCATCATGCCTTCCAACAAGTCCATCCTCGCATCTCTCCTCGCGATCGCCCCTTTGGCAATCGCCCAAGACCCAGCATGTGATTGCTACATGACAGAGGGCCAATACTACAAAGACCACAGTTTCTTTGACTTTCGCTCTCTATCCCAACACGCCGGTGTTCCTCCCCTGATCGACAGCATCCAGGGCAACGCCGAAGCTGGTTTCACGTCAGACTTCTTCAACTGGGGATCCGACTTCTCCAAGACATGGGGTGCTCAGAAGTGGAACAATGGCAACAAAGACTTCCCCATGCAAAACACATACAACAACCTCTACATTGAGGAGAACAACGATCAATCTCCTGCTAGTGATACTTGGTTGACCATGCGAACGGCTCGTCACAATGGATTCCAGACTGCATCCGAGTTTGAGAGCATGGTTAAGCATCAGTATGTTTCTCTGCGCATGTACGCTCGTACAAAGGGTTCTCCTGGTGCTTGCACAGCCATGTTCACATACCTCGCCGGCGAAGACCTTGCGTCTGTACAAGAAGCCGATATCGAGGTCCTCACCAAAGATCCTCCCAATGTTATCCACTACACCAACCAGCCCTCCTACACCGAAGCAGGCGGCGAGGTTGAAGGCGCTCACCTCGGCGCTGCCCTCCCTGAGGGTATTACTTGGTCTACTTGGGCCAAGCACACTCTTGATTGGACCCCTGATACTACTATCTGGAGAGTCAACGACAAGGAGCTCTGGCGCAACTCTTTCCAGGTGCCTCGTGATCCTGCGACGCTTAGCTTCAATGCTTGGAGCAATGGCGATACCTGGACTGGTACTATTCCCGAGGGTGGTGCTGCTTACCAGCAGATCCAGTGGATTGAGCTTTTGAGTGGACGCACTGATGGTGCTACTTGCTCGAGTGTTTGCAGTGTTGACCAGGGTGAGCCTGGTAAGGCTGTGCAGGTTTAGAGAACTGCATGCTTACTTTACTGGTGATGCTCGGTCAACGTTTTACGTATATATTTAGACACACAATTATTAGACATGATATACTCATTATCCTCTCATTAATGAAGCAAGTAACTCAAGTAATAATGTAGTCCATCCTTCACATCCCTTAAACAGCCCAGTAGACGTCAATCTTGATCGACTCAACAAAATTCACCCACGCCGAGAATCTCGCCTTGGCCCATACAGTAATCACATCTCCCATCTTCAAGTCCCTTACAAACGATCCATCAGCCGTGTCTCGACCTCTACCCGTCTCCTTTCTCATCTCCTCCGCAGCGTCAGACTCGGGCTTGATGTCGTCTTGCCATGTCCACGTCACCACATGATCCTGCCACGTACGGTGAGCTGTCTTGTTGTGCTGGATGACCCATTTGTCTTGGGGTTGCAAGGGATGCGAGTAGCCCATTTTTTCCTTCGAAATTGGTTCAATTTCAGGGTAGATAGGACGGAGAGCGCAGACGGGGAGAGGTACGGCTTCTGAGGTGTTGGACTTGTACCGGACGTCGTATGTGCACAATGGATCACCTAGAGATATTAGCATGGGAGCGCAGATAGTAAACACGAGAGGCCTTCAAATCTGTTTGGCTTACATGTCTGCTCGGCATCAAACTTCTCCAAACCAGCTTCAAACCACGTCCAAGACCCATTATACGTCTTTCGATTCTCCGGCTCACTACACCATCCCTGATCATGACTGCGAATGGTAAACACCACCTTTCTCACAGGATACTGCAACTTTGGCGTAGGATAATTCGCCAATCCGACAAAATAGGGCTTCCCATGCTCCTTCTCCAACTTTTGAGGCTTCGCTTCAGTCATGTCATACGCCAGGATCTCAGCGAGCGCTTGTCTGCCTTGAAGACCAGTTAGACCCACAGGGTAAGACCGAAGCTAAAGATGGTGTTAGTCTGGACAGATGCTGATCCCTCAAGGCTGACAATACATACAACAAATTTGTTCTGAGTAGGACTTCCACCGTTGACAGTCAGAGGATTCTGATGTTGAAGTTTAAAGTCAACTTCATTGCTTGAATGAGCCCAGTACTCTGCGAAATCGAGGATAATATCGACAACATCTGGAGGTAGCTTCTTTCCCTTTGAGAGCATGATTCGTGCAATGACTATGTCGACGGGAGTAATCTCATCTTCTAGAACTTCTGGTTCTTTTCCCTTGTCGTCTGATCTGTCGGTTGATGGGAGCATACTTTGTAGTCCCTCGATCACATTCTGGGGGATACTTTGAGCCATGGTGATGTAGGCGATGATGAATCCGAGAATATATTCCAGCATGAATTCTTAGGAGTAAAGTAAAATAGAGTAAAGAAGAAAATATTTCTGCCAATGACTTAATAAAAAGAAAAAAGGTGACGCGTTTAAGCTTGATTCACAAAAAGGCAACAGCTTCACACCCATTCACAGCCACAGTTCGTCAAGCTACGTCAATGTACCACGTGCTATCTTATCTCCTGCCCAAGCTCGAGGGGCGACTTCTTATCTTATCGCACGTGCAATGGCATCATCCGGCGTACATCCCCGTTCTCCGTCCGGTCCCCCGCGCATCGGAGGGTCCCATTGCAACTAAAAACGTCCGATTACCTATCCTCGATTACAAACAAGATGCGGTTCAAGACATTCTTTCTTTTACATATTCAATTCCCACCATGATGAGGTCTTCGCGATCTCTCGCTGCGTCAACTCGCCAGCTAAGATCTGCCTTTAAAATCCAACCTCATACTCTCCCAAAACCATCATGTCTTGTTCTCGGAACTCGCAAGCTTCACTGCTCTACGATCCGGAAGTCGGGCGTGGCTTCTAACCCAGCCATGTCCTTCCCCTGCCTTGATGCCCTAGAATCACGCTCTGCGAAACTCACAGACGACGATACCGAACCCTCTTATACATCCGGCGCGACTCTAAATTACCACCACAAGGAACCCTTTCTTCTCGACTGGGGTGGTATTCTACCAGAGTTCAACATCGCTTACGAGACGTGGGGTGAGCTCAACGCCGACAAGTCCAACGCTATTCTATTACACACCGGCCTATCCGCCTCGTCGCATGCGCATTCTACAGAAACAAACCCCAAGCCAGGATGGTGGGAAAAGTTCATTGGACCTGGTGGTCCTCTTGATACGAACAAGTACCACGTTATCTGCACAAATGTCATCGGCGGTTGCAATGGTTCTACAGGACCCAGTAGCGTCGATCCTGGAAATGGTGAGCGCTACGCAACTAGGTTTCCCATCTTGACGATGGACGACATGGTTCGCGCGCAGTTCAAGCTTCTTGACCATCTCGGTATTGACAAGCTTTACGCCTCTGTCGGTTCCTCCATGGGCGGCATGCAATCCCTTGCCGCAGGAGTCCAATCCCCCTCTCGCGTCGGTCGCATCGTTTCCATTAGTGGATGCGCACGCTCCCATCCTTACAGTATCGCCATGCGCCATACCCAACGACAAGTCCTCATGATGGATCCCAACTGGAACCGTGGTTTCTACTACGGCAAGGTTCCTCCCCACGCAGGAATGAAGCTCGCCCGAGAAATCGCAACAGTCACATATCGCTCCGGACCAGAGTGGGAGCAGCGTTTTGGCCGTCGTCGTGCGGACTCTAGTAAACCACCCGCTCTATGTCCCGATTTTCTCATCGAGACGTACCTCGACCACGCTGGTGAAAAGTGGTGTCTAAACTACGATCCCAACAGTCTTTTGTACGTTAGCAAAGCGATGGATCTTTTTGATCTGGGTATTGAACATCAGCGCGCAACACACGCCCGTCGTCAAGACCGCGAGAAGAAACTTGCTTCAGGTGAAACTTCTCCGCTATCCTCCGACGCAGCCTGCAGTCTCACCCTTCCCAACAAGCCTTATGAGGAACAGCCTGGATCTCACCCTGATCCCTCAGACCCCAACGTTGTACCTGGCTCGCGACCACCTGAGGATCTAATCCATGGACTCACCCCACTACGTGACACTCCCACATTGGTGATGGGTGTCGCAAGTGATATCCTTTTTCCTGCATGGCAGCAGCGTGAGGTAGCTGAGGCCATTCGTTTGGCTGGTAATCGAAACGTGACACATGTTGAGTTGAGTGAGGAGATGAGTATGTTTGGACATGATACATTCTTGTTGGATCTCAAGTACATTGGCAACAACCTGCGCATGTTCCTTGGTTAGTCAACGTATCTAGAATGTTGTAAAAAATCGGCGATATCGGGTCTTCTGTACTATACAATCACATAATGAAATTCACTATACGCATCACTTTGTATATACTGTCAATAACAATCTTGTGAAACCAGGCTCAAGGCCCTGGATATCTATTCCTTAGACATTAACCACTAATCATGTCCCGATGATTATGAATATATATTTACATAAGAAGAGAAGAAAATAGGGGACGGGGTATGTGATGATCTATAAGCGAAAGACACGCCAATATGCAAAAGAGAGAAAAAAAATATAGTCAAAGAAATGGTGTGATAAGTGATTGACAGTACGCAAGAAAAAGTCATGAGGCGTCTAGCCTCTTTTTAAAAACCCAACAGACGCTCCAGTGTAATGAGATTCCAAGAAACAAATAACCCAATTAAATAAATCCAGGGTTGTTTGCATCAACCACAGGGTTCGGAGTTTTGACCTTTACAGGCTCTGCAGAGAGTGGCACCGGGACTGTGATGGGGTTTGGTCGAGGGGGAGCTCTCTTGGCCTCGACGCGAGTCCTGCTGCGATCTCTGTCTCTGGGCTGCACAAAGTCTGCCATGACGGGTGAGATCAGCGGCCTGCCTCCTTGACTAGGCTCGGGTCGATCGTATGGTCCTTCAATGTCAAACATCCGTGCGAAATTCTCACTCGAGTTGGAAATTGACTTTTGCAATGAAGGAAACGAAGGCGATGGTAGACTTGGTGAGGTATCAGAGATGGGTGAAGAGGCATATTGGGCGAGGCGTGGACTCAAGGAGGAGTCAGTAGCTTGTGTAGGAGAACGAGCGAACTGAGCTCGGAAGGGTGAGAGAGCAGCTGGAATGGCAGACTTGTGTGCTTCAGCTCGATCAAAATCGTTCCAGTTGGGGGTACTTGGCGCTTCGAAAGAGTCCGGAGCTACTGGTGATTCATTCCTGGGTGGAGGATACACGGGAGGCTGGCGACGCTGCTTCCTTGGCTCAAGACCGAAGCTCCCAGGGCTTTGAGGCTCAGGCTGTTGAGGTCTACGTCCTCGTGGCAGGCCTTTCTGGATAGGGAATTCACCTTCCATAGGACTCTGTTGCAGGAATGGGCTGGTTGCTCTGGGCGGCTGGGGAGTCTGCTGTAGGAACGGACTGGCCGTTCGTGGTGGCTGAGGGCTGTATGCACGGAAGGGACTCGCTGCTCGAGAAGGCTCAGAAGCCTGTTGGAGGAACGGGCTTGCTGTCCTGGGTGGCTCAGGAATACGTGCAGCGCGAACGAAACCACTATCATCAAAACCAGGTCCAACAGCACTCCTTGGCCCAGATCCAATAAGAGGAATGGTTGCCGAGCGCTCAGTAAGAGGAGCAGGAACTCGAACAGGTCGACCAAGTTTTGGCTCAGAGTCGGTTCGTGGACGGAGACCGCGAGGAGGAGGCTGGAGAGGTATATTCATAAAGCCTGGGTCGGGGCTCGCAAGTGTGTCGGGTGTTGCGCTCCTAGAGGCAATGTCGGGAGTGTTACTTCTGCTGTTACCTCTACTATTGCCAGGGTTCAATCGAGGTGGCGGCACAGGGGGAAGAGGAGAAGAAGGCGACCGGTATGGCGAAGGTAAAGGTTTCGTAGGCGGAGAAGAGTTCGGAGGCTGGTATGCCTTGTACTGCTTAGGTGGAAATTGAGGCGAAGGTAGGACCGACTGTTGGAATCCTCGTGGAGGAGACCGAGGGAACTCAAAATCATGTAGTGGCGGCGAAACTTCGCGACCTGGGAAGGAAGCCAGAATAGGAGACGGCCCAGGTGAGTTTTGTTGAGGTGGTTGCGAAAGCGGCGAAGGCATGGGAGAGCGCGAGGGCGAAACAGGTCGCATAGCTTGTAGGGGCTCTGACAGTTGACCAGGTTGAAGGATCTTGGGGGCTTGATGAATTGGCTTGGACTGCTGAGAAGGTTGGGGCGTCTGGATACGGGGAACCTCCTCTGCTGCTGCTGACGCCAGTGAAGATACCAAAGACAAAGGTGACATGGCATCGCTGGCTGTTCGGGTTCGGGTCAAAGCCGTATCAAGCATGCTTAGACTGGGACTCGACTGCATAGTTCTGAGAGGGCTCGCAGTTCTTGCGCTTCCAAGAGGACTGGCTGTCCGAGTATTTGCCAACAGGGGCTTGACATTCGTATCGATCGGGCTCACTCTGCCCTCGCTGGCTGTGTCGATGCTCTTGCCTCCAATGCTACCCTTCCTAACAGTATCACCAAAGTCGAACCCAGCAAAGTTTCCAGCGAGACCTTCAGCCATGGGCTTAGGACTATCACGAGGGTCCGTCTCCATGGTAAAGCTGGATTTTCTAGGCATGTGAAATGTGAATGTGTCGCGCTTAGCTGAGACATTACGTATCACAGGAGACTCCCAGGTATCCTCGCTACGAGCAACCGAGACAGCTGGGCTGGGAAGAGACATAGGACCTGCAGCGCTAGGCTTCTGGAGAGTGGGTGCGGCGGGAACGTTCTGACGGCTGCTCGAAGGTCGATTGTCGGGAGAAAAGGATCGCTCAGCGTTGACGATGGAAGGCGGAGGAGATGGACATCCATTGTTGGCAGTGGGAATGGGACTCCTAGCCCTAACTTCCTTGATTTCGGTTCCGAGATTAAATTCGAACTGTTCAGGGTGACTTCCGAGATCGTCGTGGGGCGTTGAGGGTATACTGCTGACAGAATCCTTTCCAAAGTGAATATTAAACGGGTTCGGTGGCTCTCTTGTTGATACAGCTGTTCCAGGACGTGTAGGTGTACCGGGTCTGTTACCATCTGCGTTTACAGAGCTAGGCGCAACAAGACTTGTCGAACTTCCATTGCCAAAGCGTGTGTTGAGCTGCATATCCGAGGAGTGGAATCTTGGGTTTCCCATTCCTGGTGCTCGCGGGGCACCGAGATCAACCATGGAAGAAGCGCCTCCTGCGCTGTTCATATAGGGCACGCGGGTCGGGGGTTCGAGTTGAGAGTGTGATGTACCAGGACGAGCGAGATTTGGACGGGAGAAGTTGCTCTGTCGTTTGATCTCCCTTGCGGTGATTGTGGTGATGGTTTCGTATCCACTATCATTGCTGTTGTATGTGACATTGTGATGTAAATGTTGTATTTGCTTTGTCGCTAACTTTTTGTCCCTGCGAGATTGATTGTAAGCATCTCCTTGTCACAGAGTGAGGGTCAGTCGCTTACTGTGACTTTTTCCTGTCGCCTCCCAGTCTGAGGCCAAAGAAGGACACCATCTCGAATATGAAGAGAGTGGAGAGAAAACGAGATGATGACCTGTTGAATGTATCATGAGCAAGTGACCATAGAGAAAGATGATGTAAGGTTGAGTCTAGGTTCTCTTTCTTTGCATATTTCTAGAAGACCAAAGGCCGTTGCCCAGAAGGACCGGAGTGGACTTACCGTAAAGTAGTACTAATGACCTAGGGGTCCCGCTCAACGGGGGGGGGTTAATAGGGAAGCGAAGGTATGGAAGAAGAATAGCCTAGGGATAGCGCACAGGCGTAAAAGTACCAAGTGGGTTAATTTAAAGGAATCTCAGTCCAATTTTAGACTGATCAAAATGACGAAAGACAAAAACGATTCAACTGATGTTCATCACAGTTTGAATTGAATCTCTCACTTTAGAAAAGAAAAAGAATTCGTTAGAAAGGGGCCGTATAAAGCGTTAGAGATCGTTGTTGATGTGGTGTGGCTTAGGATTGGACAGTTTGAATCCTTAGTTTGCTGCAAGCTTAAGAGCTAAGAAAACGCAATGCAGGTACAAAGAGACAAGCTCAGGGGCTCGACTTTTTCTTGTCCAATCTGTTGTCGCGGGGTGGTTTTTTTTTTGCGTTGTCTTCCTCTTTTTGATGGAGTTCGCCTTAAGGAAATAGGGGAAAGCCAAGAATAGACAAGACTTGCACTATTTTTTAGAAAGAGAGAAAAAAGAGGAGAATAAAAGAGACACGAAACTGTATGATCAACAAAAGGTAAGAGAAAGAGAGAGAGCTAAACTGATCGTCGAGGCTGAAAGGAGTGGAATTGAGGGGACTGCGCCTCAGATACTGAGCAACAAAAGGAGTGTAATGACGGACGAGAGGATATGATGCAGGTAAGGAAAGATACCCGAGACATACAAAGAAAGGAACGGCAGAAAGACAAAGACAAAAGACACGGCAAGGCGACACAGACAAGACGTGCCAATGTCGATCCCTAATGAAACAGCGTCACATTCCCCTTAGTCGCGCGCCAATTCAGTACATGCATTACGATGCAAAATACTAGACTAGACTTGGAACTGATGGGAATTATGGATCATCAACCATGGAATTCGGTTCCCAGCCCAAAAAGATCGAGATGTTGATTGCGCCAATCTATTAATTAGAGTAGATAGATAACCCACGTTGCCGTACATTATATTTAGAATTCCCTCATTAAATAAGATCTAATCATTTCATCTACTCTAGCGAATATTATCCAACTCAAACTCTCACCTGAGTATCTAGGTGGCGTTCCCTCTTGTCATCTCAGGGGTCCTTGTTCAAAGTCTACAAGGGTGTCTTTTCTCCTCTTAGGGGTACCCAATAACGATCGTCATACAGTCTTTCCGAAAAAGATCTTTTTTCTTTCTGATGCTTTTAGTTTATCTCGCTTGGCTAGTAAGGCATTGGATACTGGATAGGATACGCTATACTGTTGAAACAAAACATCATGCAACAATGCAAGTTTCTCCGTCCGCGTTATTTCCCCGGCACTTCAAGTTTCCGTTGACGGTGGAAGTTCAAAGTGGAGGTTTTGTAGTAAAAAGAGAGGAAAAGGGTATACTACTGCTTCGGTATATCCGTCCGGACTGTGAATGGATGGATACACTTCAACTTCAGAATCAGGCGTCTCAAGATGTGGCAAGCGAGATGGTATGCCCCAGTCGTCTCAAACTCGGTTCTGTTTGACGTCTTATGCCATTGACATGAAATCGTTCGTTGGTGTTGTATAAACGAGGGGCAAAAGATGAATCGAACCTAGGTACGCTTGGAGTCACAGGGGGTTCAACAACGAAACAGTGATGCAGGTTAGCTTCATCTATAAAAAGGATATAGCTCTAGGGTAAAAGAGATAGATGGAATAGCAGTTTGATCTATAATAGATCTTGTTAATAGTTATAGTGTTCTATTGCTTCATACCATGCACGAGTAATACCCTAAACAAGAACACGTCTAAGCGTTAATAACTCTCAAACTGACTGCACAAACCATTCATCTTTTATACCATCAGCAATCAACTTCTTTACTACCCTAACGACAGAAAGGTATCGCAACAAACCAATACGCCTGCAAAATACATGATGAACCCTTCCCAACGCCATGAATGCCAACTACCTCTTCTTTAAATCCCTGTGCCATGTCAAGTCCATCTATATGATTGTCCGTTGTAGCAAGACACACATCATAGCTGCTCAAGCAACTTTCTCCTCCGTCGTTCAATCAACTCCTCCTGCACCTCTTCCAACGTTGGCAAAACCCACGTATTCCCATCCCCTGTATCTCCAGGCAAAGCCTCCCATCCATCCGGCACATCCCTAGGTCCCGTCTTAAGCATATGCTCCACAGCTTGTCTCTCTTTCTCAGCTTCATACGCAAGTAATTCCTCATCTTCTTCACCAGGCGCATATCCATAATACGCCGCGTCCACATTCCTCCTCATATCATGTCTTTCCTCAAGCGGTTTCTCATCACCCTGATTCTTAGCCGCTTCAAAAAGTTCCTTCACGCCGGGAAGATCGCGCGCTCTTCCAAAGTACTTGTAACCTTTTCCACTACCGGGTATCTCACGCCCTTGATCGTCGTAGATTTTTCCTCCGCCGCGCATGTAGTTTGGACCGCCGAGATTACGTATCTGAATTTCCCACATGTGCTTTTCTCGCATGAGCTTGTTGATCTCGTCGTTGAGGTCGCGGATCTGGTAGTCGCTGAGGATGGGTTCCTGGATGCGTGACATTTTTCGGGATATCTCTTTGAGGACTTGACCGCGCCATTTTTCGCAGGCGGGGATGGTTTGGACTTCGGTGATGAGCTTGGGTCGGCGTGTGCGGCCGGCGTCGATGATGCCTAGGTCTGCTGCTTGGGCTTCGCGAAAGCGAAACAGCATAGACTGTGCCTTTTCCGAGTTACGAGCCTGACATTGTTAGTTTGGAAATCACGGAAGAGGTCATTTGGGAAGGGTTTACATACCATTTTGAAGGAGCTGCTGCGACAAGAGGATAATAGCGAAGAGCAATTGTGAGGTGTTGATTGCGACCCAGCTAACCCCAAGTCAAGGAAGTTTTCCCAGCCACCTAGCCTCGTTTAGAGCTCCCGCCTACGCCACAGCGCCACAACTATAGCTTCCCCCAACCTTCAGCCTGGTCCTTCGCGCGCCGCAACGCGACTTGGAATTTCAACCATCATGAGTTTTATCTGACAGCCGGCTGCCAGCTGTCAAACGACTGTCAACCACAACGAGAGAAGAAAATAATGAGCGCCGCGCTAGTAATCATTCCTCACTATGGAGAATTATAAATAACCGCCTTCTCTCCAATTTCCCTCTCTCTTTCTCTTCATTATTGCTTCGCATCCTCGACTGCGATCTTGCTATACTACGAATGCTTCGATATTCACATCATCGCTGACTGACAGCTTCTTTTCGTCTACTATTTCTTTCATCATGTGGTTTTCCGACGACGATGACGACTGGTATTTCCCAGATGACCCCGACTTTTACTCTTTCTTTACTCCCTCTCCCGACTCATCACCTCACGACACCTCCGACAGCGACATCAACACCAACACCAACACCATGCCTCCCCATCTATGCCTCATCTTCCACCCGCGGTCAAGCGGCCGTTCCCCATCTCCCCAGGTAAGGCAAGTATCACGCGCCACTCCCCTTCTTTTGCCTTCCCTTCCTCCTTTTCGTTTTGTTTCTTGTTTCTTGGGTTTGGTTTTTTTGGGACTTGGGACGGGGTCGGCGTTTATAGACAGGTTGCTTTCTCGTTTTGTTTTTTGTGCTTTTCTCAGACTTTTTTGGGGTATAGAGGCGGCGTCAGGAGTCTGGCGTTATTTGCTTTCCCTTCCCTCCCCGTTTGTCGTATTCACCTCCACTCTCTCTCTTCACACTCAAGGTCTGCTGTGATGACAACCGTTCACACCGAGCTTTAGGTGATTCCCCTCTCTGTGTACGCCCTCTTGGGAAACCCAGAGCAGTGGGAATGTGATCCTACACAAGAACAGAGATCTGAGCAGATCTTTACCCTTACCCTCAACCCCTTTCATTCATGTTTTTTCTTGCTTCTGCAGTTTTTGTCTATTGTAGCCGCTATGACGGACAATACCATTTCAAGTGAAGCAGGAACTTTTTCCTTTATCAGTAGACCTTGCGTTGGCTGTGGGAATTGAAGAATGCTTGTGATTTTTAACACATAGTTTTCAATCGGAGCAGGCTTGGCAATTCTGTGGAAAAAGAGGAACTGTTTGTTTGGAGGATGAGGTGGGGAGATACGAATTATGTTTTGCCCGGTGATGATCAATCGACCAAAAAGCCAAATTTGCAGGCAGCAGCGGTAGGCTTCATGTTACGGACGGTCGCAAGGGCTTTGCCCAACTACCACGAGTTGTCAGTGAGAACCCAAGAGAGCTAATCTGAGGGCCATAACATATTCGATCACTTGTACTTTAGACATATAGATAGTTGAAAGAGAGACAAAGATATTCTATAGTTTACTTTTGGTCCTGCTCTACACTATAATGTTGCACGATTTCTCTATCGTGGTGTCATTAAAAACAATAGCCGGTACTTCCGTCCTCCGCCTCTTCCTCTATTGTGTCCTCTTAGTGACCCAGTCCTTGGGGACTGGCTTGCTGTACAACCACACAATGCAAAAGACAATAAAGCCGAGAATGGTGGACCAGATGCCAGCGATGCCAGGCCAAGCGCCATTGATACTGTAACTTCGATCATACTCGTCATGAGCTAAGTGGCGGACGCTGACGGTGTTCTTCTGTTCGACGTTGGTGAGGAAAACCCGCTTGTAGTTGACCATGAAGTTAAAGATGCCGTGCTGATCAGGCAGGGTGAAGTTGGTAGAGTAGATGGTCTCATGGTCGTTGACGTGAATGGGCTTCAATGAGAGGCGGTAGAAGGGAGACAGCATGGAGAATTCCAGCTGGACAACGTCGCCTTCGGGGGCGTGATAGGGTTGCCAGTTGTTCCAGGCGTACTCGGACATGGAGATGTTGTAAGACTAAAGTGCGTTAGCGGAGATCAACTAGGAGTCTTTAGGAGTCCTTAGGAAAATCCTAAGGAAGGGCAGAAACCGGACGGGTTTAACTTACAACATCGTTCTTAACGCGGTACATCTCAGGGTTGGTCTCGTTGCTGCCGTCGAGGCGGTGCTCAATCGAGTTCACTCGCAAAACACCAAGCTCCTGGAAAGTCCAAGCACCCAAGTTGGTGACAAACTCACGGTTAGCAGGGAACTGAGGCTTGCCACCCTTTCGAGCAACCTTTGTGTCAAAAGCCTTATCCTGGAGCATCTCAGCGGCGCCAATGACAGTAACACGCGCAGAGTTGCGAGCCTGGAAGACAGTGACGAGGTTGAGTTGTCGGCCAGCAGCAAAGAGCTCATCAGTTTCGATGGTCTTGTTCTGCTCCTTGGGGTTGTAGATGTAGGCTGTAGGAGGGGAGCGAAGGACGGGTGTCAGGAGAGCACCATTGCCGAGTCTGTGGCCGACAGCATGGGGAACCGAAAGGAATGCGCCAGGAATCTCAAAGTAGTCCTTTCTGCCGGGGCGGAGGTTGCGAGGGGCCTCGAGAACGAGAACGTCGTGGTCCTCGGCGGCGGAAATGGTATCGTAAGTGAAGTGGTCGACGACCTTGCCGGTGCGCTCCTCGGGGAGGATAATGTCGAGCTCCATGAGGACGGCATCGATAGTGGAAGGCACGACGTGGGTGGAGGACATGGTAACGAGAATGTTACCGCCGGCATTGATGAATTCGACAATGAGCTGGGGAGTCAGATTGGGTCCAAGACCTGCGCAAGAGTTAGTATACTCCATCAACACCAAGAAACCAAAAATGACGAACCCTTAATCTTGGTGGGGAGGAAGACGAGATGATCATAAGTCCTCTCTCCGTGAAGGAACAAAGCTAGGCTTTCGGTCTTTGGTGATTCATACGTGATCTCGTATCCTCGCTCTATCAATTGTAAGCTTCAGACTCAAGGATCATCAATGGGGGATAAATACCAGACAAGTCGCGGAAAAAGGTTGTGTAGGCCTCCTTGTCTTTTGGGCTGTCCAGCACAACCAGCATACGGTTACCAGCTGTGCTCACGGCCGAAACCAGCGCGGCGAAGAGAAAGAGCACAAGGCTCAAAAGTGACCGCATTCTGGCAGAGATAACAATGGCGAAGAATGTGGTTGATTTTTTGTTGGTTGTGGTCAGTCTCTCTGCGAGGTGTAAGTTGACGGACGAGGCGTGGACAGCTTGCGCTTTAGACGAGTAGAGCTCTCTACTCTAGAAGCAGGTACTACTGGATGAGCTTGCGTTTTGGGATACGTAGCCTTCAGTGGGGGAAGTGAAACACGATGCACTAGACTTGTTGTGGCAGGATCAGGTCTCTAAATGGTTAGAAGGTAGGTGTGCGAGACGAATAATCCGACACCTTCGGCTTGGTTTTTCCGCTCCTGCGATTGGACCGTTGCTTGGATAGCCAAAGCCCATCACCACCACCATAAGACCCGACGATAAACCACCTCTCGTCAATTGAGTACGAATCGCTCCCCTACTACGCTATACTCACGGCTAACGTTGTCCCGTACAGGTCATCATGTCCGCCGCACCTTTCTTCTGGCAAGCTCCCCTCAAGTACTGCCGCTGGGCAGCCCGCGAGCGTCCCGCCCTCTTCTGGTCCGTCATCATCGGCGCTGCTGGTCCCGTTGCCATGCCCATTGTGCCTCCGATCCGATACTACTTTGGCGATGTTGATGCGCCTCCGGTTCCTGTGACCTACCCTAGTGCGTTGCCCTCTAAATCGGGGAGTTACGGCAAACTAACCTCACCATGTAGTTCCCACTGGTCCCAGGAAACAGCTCACCGGCTACGACGATTAAGATCTCGAATTAAAGACAAACAAGGAAGATTCACGGCTCGGTATGACAGAAAAGAGGAAGCGAGCACACAATATTGTACAAACCACGGCGTCACAAGAGCAGCACTACAGCGGAGGCGGAGGAATATCATAGATGAATTCAAGGGACAAAGAGTCGACGTCCAAGATCTATCAGCAATTGACGCTCCAATTCGGTTTTCTACATCCAATCAATCAAGCCGTCCACCGATGACAACATATGTATATACGTCGTGCGCCCACTTGCGCGAGCCAACGCTTTTTCTAATATGCGGTTTAAGATCAAAACAGGGAAACGCCACTAGTGATGAACATATCCTCTTCCCATTTTCTTTAATTATACGAGACTATTGCGATTGTTGCGTCGAACTGATGTCCGGCTCGGGAGGGCCAGACTCTATCTATCCCTGCTCAGTAGATTCCATTCGTACTAGAAACCTTGTCAGTGTTGGTAGATGGGAAAAAGCTGGTGGTACTTACAACTCTACCGTCATCATCACCTGTGTAGACGCATGTTGGCATTGGGCTGATACACGTCATGCCCGCCTCTGTATTCGCGCCTTTTTCGTGCTTGTAATCAACATGATCAAGCTTTCTCAGCAGCTCTAAAGTCCACCGACTGCCGACGATGCTGCGCCGCCAGATATTGACTATACCGCGCTTGTGGCCTGTAAAGATCAAGTAATTGTCAAGCCACTCGTTTCCAGCGCCCTCGTAAAAGGCACACGACTGGATGTAGTCATCTTGGTCGAAGCAGACGTTTTGTTCCAGAAGCAAAGTGCCGTTGAGAGTGTAGAGTATCACATTCGGACCAGAGCAGAGAAGAATCTCGCCCGAGATGTCGTTGATACGAGCAGATTCGACAGGGCGCACCAAAGGCAGCTTGCGAATGAACGACAGTCGGTTAAGATCCCACAAGAACGCCTGCCCATCTGTAGACACAGTCAAGAGCGTGCTGAAAGCCTTGCTGACTGCAATTGTCGTGACTGGGAATTTGTGTCCGAACAGACTTGACCTTGGAAGCAGCTCGACTGGTTTGCCATGGCCAGCCTGAACTGCGTACACTGAGACAACGCAGTCCTCGCCGGCGGTGATCAAAGTCTTGGAATCAGCAAAGCAGGCGCAAGAGATTTGTCCAATGTGGAGGTTCTCAAAAAGGCCAGCCGGCTTTGTCGAGTTAGCGATGTGGCCGTGAACGAGGATATGGTTTCGTATTACCTTTCGATTGTCGCTGAAGAAGAAGCGAATGCTGTTGTCGGCATAGCCCCATTCGAGGAACTTGTCGTATGGCGGGAAATTGAGTCTGAATGGGGACGCACACAATAGGCGGTCCAACTTGGATGCGTAGAGTAGGGAAGCTACACGCTCGTGGCTTTCTATTGAGGATTTGTCAGACAAGTTCACATATCGAGAAGCAGAGTCCATACCAAGAAGGGGATGCGGCAAGCAGCTTAAAGAAAACACATTCGTGTCCAATCGTCGAACGGGAGATCGGGCATGCTCTCTAGCAGGATGCGACTTCATAAACACTTGATGTGGCGTCTGTCCAAAGTTATGAATAACTCCAGCCAAGATGGCTCTCTCCTTTGCATCAGTAATGCTATCCAAGTCCGTCGCACCACGGTACGAAAGATGATGGAACACGTTGAGGTTCTCCACAGCCGCCTCGCCTCGCTGCTTGAATCCAAAAATGAGATCAATCCACTGGTGCAGGTTCTCACTCACGTAGGGGCTTTCCAGTGCCTCTCTGTGCTTGGCGATGAATATTCTTGGATCACCCTTGGCCCATGGGGGAAGCTCAACATGGTCGACCTTAACGCCGTTGCTTTCACGATTGCCAAAGTTGTAGCCATTGACGTTGGTCAAGAATTCGGGAAGACAGTAGAACTCGGGGATAAGCTCCCTCACGTCTGTTTTGTTCTTGCACGAGGCAGATTGCCATGTTTCTGGGATAGATTGGAAAAGACGATCTGCGTGATCAAAGCTTCCGCCCTGGAGAAGGATGTAAGACTGCACAAAAGGTGGCAGACGGATCAAATAGGATGACACTATCATAGCAGAAGAGTAATGTGTGCCATAGTGGAAAGGAACCTCTCCAATCTCTTCCAACGCATTGTAGCTCTCGACAAAGCCTCCAACTCTGTGTGGCGTCTGCGCACCCATCGGTTTGGACAGGTCTCGGAATGTATTGGGGTCATCAAGATCCAGATCCTCGCTGGTGTAATCTGCCAAGACCCATGGGAACACTGGGTACTGGGTCAAATCGTTAAAGGTCCTACCAGCCATGGTATTTACCATCATGAGATAATGAAAGTTGGAGATTTCGCCCTTTTGCCATTTCTTGAGGATAGGGTTCCAAGGCGATGAGTTGAAAAAGGTGCCAAACTTGGACCCAAATCCTTGGGGCGATTCGTCAAAGACCTTGAGAGACTCCAAGCGCCATGCATCTTCGGGGTTTGGGAGAGTGTTGGCGCCACTGGTGTGAGGTGCCTTGCTGAGCATCTTGATGAACAAATTATCCCGGACCACTGGGTTGATTGTAGTCAAGAGATAACTTCGGCCATCAGTAAAGAACACCTCGATCGCGACATCTCGGAAGAGGAAACGGCGTTTTGAGATGCTGATAACATCGTGCCATCGCCAATGCCTCGACTCTTGTTCCTTGTTATTCTGTCGCTTCTCCGACGTCTTGGCATCAGTGACAATCTGAGAGAAAGGGTCGCGCTCTTCAGGCGGAGCTTGCCAGACGTTGACAATATCTCCATTAGCACACTGAAACACGTTGTCCATGATGTAAAGCGCATCCTTGCCGATGATGAGGATACCCTCACATGCCTCCAGTCCGATGATACGTGATATATTGTATGCAGACTGGACTTGATCTCCGCGCTCCAGCCGTCGCATCACCTTGCGGTTCTTGTCCTCAAAGCCTTCGTCTCCTTCATTGGGATCGTTGGGATCGTCAACAAGCTCAAAGTCGTCTTCGGGCGCGACACCAGAGGCAGGCTGCTCTGCTGGCTCAGTGCTCTCGGGCTCTTCGGTGAATTGAAGCGGTTCGTTGTTACTTTCTAGAGGTGCGGGGGTGGTTGACTTTGCTGGCGACACTGCAGACGTGACAATCGAGGGTGCTGGGCTGGCTGATGTGTTGAGCCGAAGAGTCTGCAAAACCTCGCTTGCCTTTCTCTTTGGCTGATATTCATCCTTGCTTATCGTAAAGTCAGGAAGAACCCTGAGTCGCATTCGGTTTCGTCCTTCTGTTCGGTCGAGCTTCCATTTGGGCGTTGCGGCTTCGCTAAACACCGCACCGGGTCGTACAAGGTCTCTTTCCATCTTCTTGTAAGCGTCGCTAAGAAACACAAGATCATCCTGTTGGTCTTGCATGATCCGCTGGTACTTGAAGTACTCGGAGTTGTAAATGCTCTTCATCCAGGCGCTGTTGCCGATGTCATGGCTGAGCAAAGTTTTCTCTGTGTTGATGTTCTCTGCATGCCACACTCTAAGTTTGTCTTTGCGTTTGGCCAACCGAACTTTGGCTGTCTCTGCAGTGCGTGCATTTTCAGAACTGACAAAGTCTTCCCATGTCTTTGACATACCACCGAAAAACAGTACATCCAGGGACGGGCGATGTTTGTCAACCCACTCCACAAAACTTTCGTCATCCACGCCTGTTAATTGCTGAAAGTCCTTGGAAAGCTGCTTCTGGTCCGGCGACATGCATGAATGAATCAGCTCAATAGACTCCTCCGGTTTCTGTACCAAAATGATACGTAAAAAGTTGGCCGCTGCAGTTCGAAGGGACATCTTGTCGCTGATGAGCTTGGTGTAGAGTTGGTACCAGAACAGCTTGAGGAACTGGTGATCCTCGCTCGTGAAAGAGCCAAGGATTGACAGTTGCCAGTATGCCATCTTGCCCATGAACTGCTTAGCCTCTACCAGTGTAGTATCTGGACTGTCCAGGTCAGATAATCTGAGAAGAATTATCCTCAAAAGACAGAACCGGATGCTATTAACAGCCTGGCTACAGAGCCGGACGCTCTTCAGTGTAGCGATGTCGGGGCGTTGCAAAAATTCGAGAAGCATCCCGATAAAGTCAATCATGACCTCAGCCCCATTCAGGAACCATCCTTCAAAAATAGCTTCTGACATGTGTTGACAAAGTCTCGAGAGGTTGGTCAGCACACGAGGTTCGCAGATTGCCTTCTGATTAAGTTGGATGTTCTTCTCCAATTGGCCAACCACATGCTTCAAGATGTAACTCTCAAAGTAAGCTTGGTGTTCACGGAAGCCAGGCGGAACCTTGGTGAATAACCCAAACCCGGAAAAGTCTTTTCGCGAAAGAAGCTGATCCATGAAAACGCTCACGACCAGTTCCATAAGTCCGTCCAGGATGTCGCTGCTCGGTCTCTTGCTAGGCGTTGATCTAGGTGATGGCAAAGCAGGGCTCAACCGAGCCTGACTAGGACCAATGGGAGATTTCTGCTGAGTGAGAAGAACAAACGACGAGGCTCTCCTCAAGGGTGTACCCTTGGGCGGTGTCGACTGAGGCGACGGGACCGGATCAACGCTTGTTGTTCGCACGATTGGTGTAGCATGTGAACCACTATCACCAATAGGTCGAATAATCACGTCTGTCCCTTCGAATGTCAGGGCCGTATCTCCAGAGTTCAACTCGGTTTCGGGCGTCACCGCATCAGCGCTAACAATGACTGGATAAAGCGCCGACAGTAGCAATCTCACCCATTCTGAAGTCAAAGCAAAGTCCCTGAATTCCGTCGAGCGCTCGTGAAGATCAAGAAGGAAACGGATCACAGTGTGTAGAACACCTGCATAGCTTGCAACTCTTTCGCTGTCGCGAGAGAAGTTTGAACGTGTCGCAAGAGCAGTGGTCAGGTTCATAGAGCTTGCTCGCGGTCGCATTTCTGGGCGGAGCTCTTTGGCTGATGCATACTTCTTCAGAGTATGTGAAGACGGATCAACATACGT